CTCCAGCACCAGCTCCAGCACCAGCTCCAGCACCAGCTCCAGCACCAGCTCCAGCACCAGCTCCAGCACCAGCTCCAGCACCAGCTCCAGCACCAGCTCCAGCTCCAGTGGCAGCTCCAGTGGCAGCAACACAAGTAGCCGTTGGACGAGGACGAGGACGAGGCCGAGGACGAGGACGAGGCCGAGGCCGAGGAGGTCGCCGCGATCGCGATGAGCACCACTATCACATCTATAACGTGGATGTTTGGAAAGAGTTTCGCCGAGACTTATTATCTCACGGTATTAACGGTATTAACATGCACTTTTGAGAACCAAACAGCTCCTGTTTCTAATATCTGGTACCTTTTGTGGGTTCTCAAGACGCAACCCTGCCGTTCAGAAAGATGGGCATCGACGAAGCATCTATTCACTCAGAATATATACAGGCATTCATCTAACCTGGAGAGACACCAATGCCGCTATGAAGGCAAGCTCTTTGGGGAAGCGGGGTTGAATCAGGCAGGCTCACTTGTTATATGCTATGGGAATTGGCACACGGATTATTTCTATCATGTACTTTCTTCCGAACGGCTTCACTTGAGGTCGAGTTGCATTTGCGTCTATTGTTGTATCTGGTCTGGTCAATTTCGTGTGTCACATTAATATATTCATCTTACAAGAATTGACTCTCTTTTGCACTTCTGCATTTACAAAGCTGGCCTGTTTACGTGCTTGGTCAGCCTCAACATTTTGGGGTTGAGACAGGGGATGCAGTGCAGTGCAGCTTGATGAATCTTCTCTGCTTTGCCTCTTGGAATGCGCGATATTGCCGAGATAAATCCATTCCCAGCTGCTGTTATTGTGCCGCGGTTCTATCTCGGTAAGCAGTCGAATATGTCAATTTAAACCTCACCCAAACTCAATTGTGTCAAATATTTGACGTTTGGCGCGTGTAACGTCAATTGGAGGGTTGTACTCAGCACTAGCGATGACGTCTCGTGCATTGTGGGTTTGGCTATATCTTGTTTTGTGCGCGGGATGCAGATTAAGGTTGAGCTTGACAGCGCAGTTGAGTCTAGCGCATTCAACAAAATTTCCAATGGATGCCGAACTGGCCCTTAATTAGCATTAATTAGCAATCGTAATGACACCGGCCCTCTCCTCTGTCCAAGCAGCTTCGAGCACTAGAACTATCCGTACCTAGGTAGAGACGAAAAGATCGAGTCTCTAGCCTGGAATCGGCTTGCTGTCCCCATACGATCTGCGCTGCTGACCGAAACCGGCCCAGATCTCAATGCCGCTTATTCGCGGATCTGTGATTGTGATAGCCGAATCTGCGATAAGGGCCGTTGGGGAGACCCAAGCAAGCGGCCAAGCATTGAACCAAGGCAGAGCCTAAAAACCACCCGCTGGATCCCCTCCCACGGCGTCGGGAGCCCGCTGTGGCCCCCAATCTCCAGCGGATCGGCTATCAGATAAAGCACCGAGGGCAGCCCAAAACCCCAAAGCGTTCCCCTCCATCTTCATTTTTCCGCACCAAGACCATCGCTCGTGCTTTGGCTCTGGCTGACTCCTCCTCCTCTTCAGTGTCAGTTTGTCATCTTAACCTCTGCTAGATGCACCTGCAGCAAATCTGACAGATTACCTGCAGCCTGACCATCCGTTCCCCGTCGCAACAAACACCTCACTGGTCTACCAAGGACCCCCCCTGCAACTACTGCTACCAAGTACCTTGTCTTCCCTATCGCTCTATCGCTCCTCCAAGCTTCTCGCGCAGCTACTCGCTCGTACTCTTCCGGCAAGCGCTGGTACCGGTACAAACACTCCATCGTCCAAATCAAGGCGTCTTCCCAAGCCCGCGGACTCGTCCGACCCCTTCCGAGCAGGCCCCCAATTCGAATCCCCCTGCCCTCGTCTCGCCATCTTTCTCAGCCCCCAGGCCCCTTTCGAACGACACGACATGATTCCCTCTCGAGTCGGAGGCCAGCATTTGCGCTTGGCCGCGTCCCGTCCTAATCCTGGTTACCGGCCCTCCGCCGCGAGCTTTAAGCCGGCTCGCCGCCCTGCTTCTGGAGGCAGTCGAAACGTCTCATCTTCATCTTCTACCGGTGCTTCTGGCTCTGGTTCTGGTTCTGCTCCCAACGCAAAGATTCCTGCTCGTCTGCCCGGCATGGCTGAAAACGACCACGACGTTGAGCGCTACCTGCGTGAAAACCACCAGCGTCTCTTTGAAAACAACAAGCAGTGGGCCGACCAAAGGCTCAAGGAGGACCCCGAGTTCTTCACCAACCTGGCTGCTGGCCAGTCGCCCGAGTATCTCTGGATTGGATGCAGTGATTCTCGAATCCCCGCCGAGGCCATCACCGGTCTCCAGGCTGGCGAGGCCTTTGTCCACCGCAACATTGCCAACTTGGTCATCAGCACCGACCTCAACGTCATGAGCGTCATCAACTATGCTGTGCGCCACCTCAAGGTCAAGCACATTGTCGTCTGCGGCCACTACAGCTGCGGAGGTGTCAAGGCCGCCATGACCCCCAAGGACATGGGCTTACTCAACCCCTGGCTGCGAAACATTCGCGACGTCTACAGGCTCTACGAGAAGGAGCTTGATGCCATCAAGGATGAGAAGAAGCGATACGACCGCCTGGTCGAGCTCAACGTCATCGAGCAGTGCCGCAACGTCATCAAGACGGCTGATGTCCAGCACTCTTTCGAGGAGAACCGATATCCCATTGTTCACGGCTGGGTCTTCAACTTTGAGGATGGCCGCATCACCGACTTGAGCGTCGACATGAAGGAGATTCTTGGAGACATTCAGAAGATTTACAACTTGACCGAGTAAATGCGACTCTACTGCATGGATTTCCTTGGTATACATGTGTTCTTTTTTTGGTATTATTCTGGATTTGGATAAGGATGCAGCTTGAGGTTTTGGATTTGGACGTGCGTGGACGTTGTGGTGGGTGACAGGAGTCGATGATTAGACACTTTTGTTTGTTACTTTTTGGCATAGCATTTTGCAGATTACGGCCATGATAGCCTCAGGGGTGGTGGTGATGGAAATGGAGACTTTTTTACCCCGTCTTGCCCACAACCAGCACCAAAGAGAGATCACCCGTCCATTCCGGTCCTGGCCAGCCAATCGCTGCGAGTGATTATTCCCAACTGTTGCATCACCCCCGCGTCTCTGCCCACACTGAACAGGGATCATCCCACTGAAATAAATTACCGCCTTTTTTATCTCGCAAGGCTGCCGGATCTGGACCACACGTGCCCTGTTGCTCAGGATGACTGGCAAATGGCCAAAAGATGACACTCTTGGGGTACATGACGGTGCGTTGCATGTCACTCAGCTGACTGTTCTCTTCTTAGGTAGATACGGCATATACGATTACACGCCTATTACAGCGCAGGCGTTCTACGGTAAGCTTTGACAATTGTCATGGATCTGTCTGCAAAGGGAAACGATCGCTTCGTGCGTGCTGCCTTGCCGTTGCTGGGTACATTTTGCATCTTCAACCCCTTAAAACTATGCGATAACAATAAATCCCTCTTCGGATGCTCGGACGCATCCTTTCATGTCTCATATGCTCTGATGCTCGGATGCTTTATCCGAATGACTCGGGTTTTTATGCTGCTAAAATAAATTAGCCATAGATAAGTGAACAGACAAATCGGACCACCGTACTGTTGTTGCCTTTGGCTAACATTCTGTTATTCTGACTACCTTCTTCTTCTATCTACCACTGTTACTACTTTGGTAATACCGAAATCTATATAACAATGCAACAACATGCCACATGACACATGACAATCGATTCATTACTAAAACACACAAGACTTGAAAGGAGATGATAGCGGTCTGCATATCCCTCATACCTGTACCGGTACATGTGCTACGCGAGGCTGAGTAGTCGCTCGCATCATGACACTATCCCCTGTCTCCCTCCTCGAGAACGACACCCATGTCTTGAAGCTCGACATGGAAAACGTCCTCTTGAATCTTGGTCCGTCGTCTTCCGGACCCCCTTGGCCCCAGTGGCCCCTCTGCACGGCACCGTCCTCCAGAAGCCGGAAGCGCCGCTTGGCGAGCTTCCACAGCTCAATGCCCGTCACGAAGACCAGCGTGAAACCCACGGAGAGCGCCCACTCCCAGGAGATGCCCGTGTGCTTGAAGAAGCGGGTGTTGAGGAAGGGGATGTACACGACGGGGAACACGGACAAGCTGCCGATGATGACGGACCAGAACAGGAAGCGGTTGCTGTAAATGTCCCTGAAAAAGGGGAAGAAGCTGTCGTCGTTGGGGTTGAGCCGGAACATGGACCGGCGGAGGCTCTTGAACTCCCACGCGGAAATGAGGATGAGCCACGTCAGGAGCGCAAACGTCGCCGCTCGAGCGCGGAACACGGGAATGCAGGCGTCGGAAAACTTTGTGTTGCAGTCGTAACCGAGGTTCCCGCCGTTGGCCCCGTAGATGATGATGCAGAACGTGCAGAGCGTGCACGCCCCCATCAGGATGCCGTAGACAATCATGTCGACGATGATCTGGTTGGTGAAGACGCCTCGCTTCTTGTCCTGCGGCAGCTTGCGCATCACCTCCTGGGCGGCGGCCTCGCGACCTAGCCCAAACGCCGGGAACGACGACGTGGCCATGTTGATCCAGATGATTTGCAAGGGGGACACGGGGAACACGGAGAAGCCCATGTCGTCGACGAAGCCGAGGCCCGCGACGAGGAGAATCACTTCGCCTACGTTTGACGTGAGCAGGTGCAGCACAAACTTTTGGATGTTGTCAAACATGCGGCGGCCCTCTCGGATAGCGGCCACGATGGAGTTGAACTTGTCGTCGGTGAGGACAATCTTTGCCGCGGACTTGGCCACATCGGAGCCCGACCCCATGGCGATGCCGACATCTGCGCGAGAGAGAGACGGCGCATCGTTGACGCCGTCTCCCGTCATGGCCATGAAGGCCCCACGCCGACGAAGGGCCTCAATCATGCGGGTCTTGGTATCCGGAGCACAGCGCGCAATGACTAGCGGAAGCTCCTCCAACGCATCAATCTCGGCATCTGTCATCTTATCAAACTCCGTAGCCTTGACCACGACAGATGCCGCGACACTTTCGGGCAGGATGTTGAGGTTTCGAGGGATAATGCCAACTTCTTTGGCAATGGCTTTGGCCGTCTCCGGGTGGTCACCAGTAAGCATATGGACTTTGATGCCCGCTTGAGAGCACTCGGCGATAGAAGGCTTAGTCTCCCTACGCGGAGGATCGTAGATGCCGGCAAGACCGAGAAGGACGAGGTTTTGCTCGACTGTTGAGCGTAGTTTATCGTCTTCCTCGGCAGAGCTCGAGCTTGATTGTTTCGATGTAAATCTTCCCTCCCATGGGCGATATGCCACAGCTAGAACCCGTTGGCCCTGCGATGCGAGGGCATTCATCTGTCCGAGAACGGACTCCTTAAGTTCGTCTGTCATGGGTTGCTGTGATTCGCCAATGCCGGCAAAGGCACACATGTCAAGGATGCGTTCTACGGCACCCTTGGTAAAGACGATGCTATTGTCCGAACCAGCAATGAAACTGCCTTCAGCTTCAGGGGCGTTGTAAATGACTGACATGCGCTTGATGGAGCTGTCAAAGGGGAACTCGGCGACTTGCCTCCACCCTTCCCCTTCAAGAGTCTTCTTTCCGTGGTTGAAGCGATGAGCAAAGACTTGTAATGCAACCTCTGTTGGTTCGCCAGTAGTCTGCCACTTTTCCTCTTCTTGATCGAATCTCACGGTAGCAAGATTACAGAGCGCAGACGAAAGCAAGAACGCGCGCAGCTCGTCCGTCATCTTAGTCTCCGGCTCCGGGCTTTGCGGCTGCTTCGACGACGAGATATTTAGTTTCTCATCCGGAACATCGAACTTAAGCACAGCAGCACTGCGCTCCTTATCAAAGTCGCGCGTCTTCTCTTCTACAGGTTCTTGCGGAGTCTCGTCTTTGCTCTGCGTGTACACGACGCGCCCCTTTGTAGGGTCGCTGGGGTTCTGAGAGTCGTGGACAGTGTACACGTGCGAAGAAGGGATCCATGCCTGGCGAACAATCATGGCGCCTTCGGTCAGCGTTCCGGTCTTATCGGAGCAGATGTTGGTGACGCCGCCGAGGGCTTCGAGGGCGGAGAGATCGCGGACGACGACGTTGGCCTTGCGCATGACTGTGACGGCGACGACCATTGTAATTGTCAGGACACTGGAGAAAAAGTTAGTTGAATATTGTAAGATGATGGGAAAGGAAAGACTCACGCAACAAGAGACTCGGGGATGATGGCGATGCCCAACGAGGTTGCATAGATGATGACCTCGTGTCGCATATTAAAGTGATTAACACCAAAGACAATCATGGCGAGAATCACAGCACAGCCAAAGAGAAGATAGGCCAGGGCCGACAACTTGCGCTGCAACGGCGTTCCCACCGTTAAGCCCAAGAACTTGCCCACAAAGTCATAGATGCGCTTCGACAAGCCAACAACAGGTTGTTTCTTGCCGTACTTGCGCCAATTCATCGAACGTCCAGCCTTGCGACTCTTCTTGGACGTCGAGGCAGCGATTTTGCCTACTTCAGTAGCCATGCCTGTAGCGACAACGATGCCCCTGCCGCGACCCTTTTGCACGACGGTTGTAGCGTAGGCCATGTTGATGCGGTCGCCAATGCCGACCTCGCCTTCAGAGGTAGCGGCCGTTTCGGAGCCGTGGGCGGTGATGTGGTTTGAAGTGATTTTCTCGACCGGGATGGATTCGCCGGTGAGTTGGCCTTCTTCGCAGGCGAGGTTCATGGCTTCGAAGAGGCGGAGGTCTGCGGGGACGGTGTCGCCCATTTTGAGGAGGACAATGTCTCCGGGGACGACTTCGGAGCTGTTTCATCTGGTTAGTATCCAATTGAACCATCATGATTGATTGGGAAAACTTACTTGGGAATGACTTGAGTGTGGCCATCGCGAAGGACCATGGCGCTGGGAGAAGACAATGCGCGGAGAGCGTCCATGCGCTTTTCGGCACGGTACTCCTGCCAGAAACCTATGGTGACATTGAGGAAGATGACGCAGGCGAGGACACCGCCTTCAATGTAGTCTTGGATACCAAAGCTGAGAGCCATGGCAAAGACGAGAACCTAGATACAGTCATGTTAGTTAGCCAGCACGATGGGACGAAGAGGGGAGAGTGTCATCTTACAATGATCATGGCATTGAGGATCTGCTTCGCGAGAATGCTATACCACGGTATAGTCCCGCCAACGTCGAGTTCATTCGTGCCATATCTCGACTGCAGGTCAGAAACCTGCTCCGACAACAATCCTCGATCGACATTGGTTCCGAGGGCCCGTTCAGTCTCTTCAACGGTGAGCAAGAATGGGTGCTTGGGGAACTCCGCCATCAGATCAGGGCCTGGGGCTCTTATCAATAAAGTGGAAGATGACGAGACTATGGCTGTACATAGATGAGAGCGTTTCTGACTATGAACAAAGTCTGGGCTGACAAAATATGTAAACTTTGTGAATAGAGATTCTGACTTTTGAAAGGCTACGTGTCGAAATATGCGGGGAATCAATGGGTATAAGTACTTCGAAGCGAGCGACAAGATCTTGGCTTTTGACAAGAGGCTTGCCACGAGCGAGAAGTCTTGCCATCATGAGTGAACTTTGGTGTCATGGCTTGATATCAGGGCGGGTCTGACCGGTAACTAGTGTCCTTGGCGTCGGGTCGATGAGCGCGGAGGCTTGGAGAGGATGGTTTGCATGGTGTTGAGGGGTTGTTCTTTGATGTACGACGGTTATATCGTGTGTTATGAATGCAGTGGTACCTTTTTCTCAGCTGTTACGCAGCATCATGTCTGAAAGCTGCTGTGATACATGTTCGGCACGAGGCTGTCTTAGACATTCAACCCATCAACTACTACTACCTTACCATGAACTAGACTAGGTGGTTTCACTTCAGCACAAGACAAAAATCACATCATCCCGATTCCAAGACAAGCCAAGAGCCTCAAGACCCCATCTCCACCCTTGGCGCCGCGTATTCCCCAGTCTTTGAGCCCGTAAATCCACCTCCGCAAGAAAACGACAAGCAGAACATAACGACACCTCGCCAACGAATCTTGGCTCTCATCCGCCAAGATCTGGTTATCAAGCACCGGGTGGTTATTTAAAGTTATCTAGTCCGAGTCTATTCCCTCTCTAGCCAATAGCGTAGCAGCTCGATGGAGGGGATGCCGCCAAGTCGGTTTTGCTATTCCGTATTGACTTTGGGGCGGATCTTGGCGCACCGGGGGGGGCGATTCGACAGAAAAGTGGCGAAAAGGGCTCTGATTTTTGGTTGGACTTTCTGGAAGACGTTGTGGAAGAGGGGGGGCTGGCGTTGAGTTTTTGAGGCTGTGGTTGGTTGGGTTTGTTTCCGCCAAGGCTTCGGGTTGTTTATAATGTGATGACGGATTGAATACAGGAAGCCGAGTTTATGCTTTTCTGGAAGTAAGTAAGCCGAGGATGAAGGAATGAATGGGCTCTTTATGATTATTCATTCATTCACTCTACCTACTCATATCTAACTGGTAGACTCATCTAGATCTACTCATAGCTGTCATCTAGACGATTTCCCCTTTAAGACTGTAAACGTCGATGACAGATGAGATGGTCAATTTTGTATCTCATATAGTTATTTGGTCGACATGGGCATCGTCTTTTTCGAACTTTGGTAGCAATTTAAGTGAGCGACCACTCCCACACGCTGAGTGCATACATATGCAGCACTTGTCGTTCGTTTTCGTTGACTTAGTTATTCACCTCATAATTACTGCGACGTTTCCATTTCTGCCCCAATTTGACCATGTATGTGCCTTGTAGTATGCCTTCCGATGCATTTGGTGATTCATACATGTACCCTGCAGCATTGCCCTTGTAATATAGACTGATGAACTTAAATGACCCCTTGACTTGCGAGGCAAATTTCTCAATATTTTCCAATAGAGATCACCTATTTACTCGGTATTTATAATTATACAGTGTATATCTCCTGCTTGCTTTTTCTACCACTGGGCAGGATGGTGAGGCAGCAAGCGGTACAGTGCGATAAATTCGCTTACATGGCGAGGCTTGTGCCGTTGTTGTTGGATTGGCTCTACTAAATATGCTGCCCTTCTACCAAATAGGCATTGCCACACTCCAAGATGCGGTTCAGCGGTAAATTATCAGGCAGCAACGGTACCTAACGACATTATGCCTTGGGATATGGAATATGCCTTCCCAGGTTATGAAACTCCACCATTTAACCTTGCGCAACCCATGCGAAACTCGATTCAATCTTCCTACTATTATCAAGATTGACTGGAAGGAAATCCTATTTACGTCCAAATGGATCTGTGCCATGACTGTCACGATTTTGCCCGGGCCATTTCTCAGAGACTCAGGTCATGGCCTGGGCTGGATTCTTTCTCGAATGTCGACAGGCTGCGGGCGGAATCGCAGAACTGCCGACTGTGTAAAATGATATATGATTACACATTCGCCGATGCCCAGAAAGCAGTACCATATCAGTGTTCAGAACTCTTCTACAGGCCATGCTATGATAATCCATTTAGCATCCCAATTACTTCCGTGGAACTTTCCATCCATAAACAGAGTAGCATCAAAATAGCCGTATGGAGCGATGAAGGTAACTAACTTCCGGCCAATATGCTTTCTTACCTGAGGGATAGTGGTCTACGCTAGTATTAACACTTCAGTTAGGCTCAGCGGCTGCCCTCTCTGGAAAGTTTTGCACAGAGCCGCCTCTACCAAGCGACAACTGTCCGGAGGCGTTCGCTTTCATCAGATCTTGGATTCAGAAATGCTCTCAAGAGCATGATTTATGTAAAGGCACATTCTCTAAGTCCTGTCTAGATGAGGTTGCGGGTCCAAAACTTCCTACCCGAATATTGGACGTTGGGCCCCTAAATCATGAGTCGGTTTCTCTCTTTGAAACCAACGGCCAGCGAGGGGAATTCTGCGCGCTCAACTACTGTTGGGGCCCAGAAGGTACACAAACTCTAATGACGACGAGGGATTCCATCAAAGATCATCGGAAAGGCATTCAATTCAGCAGTCTGCCAAAGACCTTTCAAGATGCCGTCATTATTACACGTGAGCTTGATATTCGTTATCTCTGGATCGACAGCCTTTGCATCATACAAGGAGACGAGAGCGACTGGAAGAGAGAGTCTGACACAATGGCAGAAATTTACCAGAACGCATTCCTGGTGATAGCGGCTTCAGGAGCTGCAAACCCAAAAGAAGGCTGCTTTTCGACCGAATCCAGATGCCAAACTGCTGTAGAAGTTCCATATTATTCAGCGGAAGGGCAGGCGGCTGGCTCTATAAAGCTTTCGATGCGTATCCGTGGCGAAGAATCACCATATTGGGGGCCACTGTCTGAAAGAGGATGGGCTTTCCAGGAGTGGATTCTGGCACGGAGAGTTTTGCATTACATGCCGCAGGGCATAACATGGAAATGCAAGATGTTCGAGTCTGGTGAAAGAGATGACTATGATATGGGACAGTACTGTGATTCATGGGAGGATATGCTGGACTAATTCTCCTACCGTAAGCTCACCTACAAAAAAGACCGCCTAGCGGCCTTGGAAGGACTAGCTCAGGCGCATCTTGAGAGGACCAACGACGAGTATAGCTTTGGTATCTTCGAATCAGGAATTCCAGAACAGCTTCCCTGGATGATGAGGAGCAGGGCAAAGGCTTCAGAAGACTTGACGGATGTGCCTCATTGGTCTTGGGCCTCCAAAGGAGGGTCAAAATATTTCTGGGCAAAGCCCACCTACGAATTGCGGCTAATACACCACACGCGAGCCGTTTTCGAGTCTTCTGGCGTTATAAAAGTCGATGGCTTCGTGGCACAATCGAGAACTTCTATCATCAAGTCTAGAAAATCTGCTCGTACTCACAAGCGAATATTTCAAGATCTACTATCTCTGGTCGGGTGGTTTAGGAAAGATTCGTTGCACTGGATCCAAATCGTGTCCAGACATACTCGAACTATTGGCATAGCTGCCTTTGACAGAGACCATTATACAAAAGTGTATATTCTTTTTCTAAAACAATGGAGAGACTATAAAGAGTAAGTCTTGCACAATATTATCTATTGATAACAGAAAACTAACTTGATTCATTTGTGCATCTCTGTAGCTGCTTTAAGAGATGTATCGAAAAAGGTTTGATCGGCGAAGATGTGGTGAGAACAAACTGATTGTTGAACGGTAGTTGAGAAATAGCTAACGAACAGTCAAGATGCCATACACAGTTTTGCTGCTAATACCGAGTGATGATAGAGATGGCTATTTTCGGCGAGTGGGTATGGGATTTGTTATTCCAGGCCCAGAAAGTAAGGAGGTGTCGGCGGTTCATCAGACTATTAAGCTAATCTGAGTGACTTTTACGCACTGGGTTAGAGAGACATAAGTGATATTCGTAAAAGATTTTTACGGTCTTCGGGTGAATGCCAAATGCTCGTCGCCGTCCAATATACATGTCACTGGTAGTGCAATCACTGCGGCCAGGTGAAAAATCGTTTACCAAAAGCTCATATGGGCTACGAATATTTATGCTTAGGCCCAACCCATCGCTTCTTTCTTCTCGATATACTGTGGCCTATCTTGTCAATCTTCCTCAAACAGCTTCTCTGCTACTCGCCCATCCACAGCCCTCCGAGGCGAAAAGGTGACGATGCCAACAGCCAAATATGCCAAACTGGTTGTTCTCGGCCTCTTTACACGTTCGCGCTATGGTATGTCTAGTATTGGAGATGAAATACAAAGGATAATCGAGAGAGCTGCTGCTTGAGTGTTCCACGTGTGAGATGAAGATGAAACGGGCGATTGCCGGTAACTTCTACATGACTGGGGTTTTGGAGGATCCATCACGCATCCGTATACATTCCGCGCCTTCGTTCACGATGATTTGTGTTTACGGGCTTTCCGTTTGGGATTTCTCCGTTTACGGGTTTTCCGTTTAGAGGTTTTCTTTTTGGGGGGTTTCTTTTTGGGGGTGAGCGTAATAGTACCGTCTGCGTTTTTCTATTAAGAATTAACAATCGGAATACAAACACCCCGGAAATAACTTCAAATTGCTTACGATCGCAGCATCATAGGTCGAATCAGCAGGATTTATGGGGATCCAATTGGGATCCTCGCCGTTCGCAACTTGTGTGTACCAGCCTAGGAAGCCATTTAGTCATGGCCAGAACCTCAAGAGCTACGCCGACCTTACGATCAAGTTGATTATGGTATCTAGTAGTGAAGCCACTTTTTCCGGTTATCGGTATCTCTCTTCCATGAATATATCGGTAATGGTATCGAAGTGACTCCCGGCAGAAGTAAGGTTCATACTAGGATTAAATTAGTAGTTGTTCTTCCACGATACAGAAGTCATGCCATACTCTATCACAGAGAACACCATCCTCGTCTCGCCAGCGACAAAAAAGCTCTCCCGGCATGATGATGGCTTCGCCCTTCTGGAAATGAAACTTAGCAGAGATGTTGTGGCAGAGCAGCTGGGGCTCGACTCTAGAACTAACATGGTTTACCTAGATAGAGGGCATCGCCTCATTATTTCTGTCATAATAGCCGTCTCCCTCGATATACCTGAGGTAACCGTCTCTATTCTTGTACGTTATTACCGGCATTGCGAAGCATTTGATTGGCGTAGGAATATTGATTTGCATATAAATATTTCTTGTTTGGAAATTCCTAGGTCTAGCGTGTCAGGGAAACGGTTTGTGATGATTGTGTGTGGAAGGAGAAGGAGCTGTGCAACTGGGGAAAATCCATGTGCATATACGCGCTTAGCAAGAGCGAAGGGGAAACCCCCCAACTTCTCTTACTTTCGCTATGATTCTTCATTTAAACCTTAAACGTACGACGCATTTATCGTATATTCATCATTTAAGAATCTATGCAACGCATTCAGTTTGCGATTAGTGATTCAAATGAGCAAAAAGCCGTATTCATCAAAATTATAGTCTCAGATAACGATGGCCTTGGCGCCATGGTAACTTGCTGAAGGGTACTGGGATTTTACAACAGGAAAGCGTTTGATGCATGGTTAGCATCTGCTGCAATAGTTCTACCATGGAAGAACTAGTATCTTGTAAAGTTAATTATAGTTCTTTTCGCCCTTTGGCGTCAATTTGAACCCTATGCCCTGCTTCTTTTCTCGAATCAACGTCAGCCGCCGTGATCAATGTCTTAAAGTTCAATACAGTAACAATTTATCCATGTCTAAGTAAAAATACAGCCCTACTTCATATATAGATTTCCGATAATGCTTGCTTTCCAAATGCCATTCAACCTTGCCATACATTACCATTAGATGCCCGCATAAACTCCAAGATACCATACCATTTTCGTTTACATGTCATTACAATCATGTCTTGATCGTTCAATAGCCAAACCTTCTACATCAATCCATTGGTAAACAACACCATCAATCCGATCGCAGCAATAGTCCAACCAGACACAAATCCTGTCGAGGACGCCGCATTCGTGCTTGTAGGCTTAACATTCGTCGCGCCGAAGCCAAGATACCAAGATCCAATGTCAGTCAGCCGGCCTCCATTGTTCAAAAACGACGCATTGGGTCCAACGTTGGACACCTTGGAGCGGAAAGCACCAAAGTAAGTGTATCGTGCGATATAATCCAGCTTGCCAAAGTAATCGAGAGTCTGGTTGAAGAACTCTTGCGTCGTCTGTAGATCTTGGTTCGCAAATGCGTATTCCGTCACCCAAATGCTGGTATTAGGCCATCTGTTCATCACAAACGTCAGTATATGCATCTACATTGACATGAGGCAAAAGACTCACGTTGCCCTCCTCTCACCAATAAGCGACGCCAGTCCGGCGAAGTTGTCATACCAATGCACAGGCAAAAAGTCGAATGTGCAATTCTTCTTCTGACTCCCAGTGCTTACAATGTCAGAGCAATTCGCCAGAAACTGCTTCAGCCATGGAATGCCGTCGGGTCCGCCAGTAGTCGCTGGAAGCCCCAGCTTGATGCCCATCTTGCCCAGAGGCTCGAAATTAGCCACCCAGGCCTGAGCAGCATCTCTGGGCTCAATGTCGCTCCCGCCGTTGCTAGTTGAGCCGTCTGGCTCGTTGAAACCCAGTACGTGCGTAATGTTGGTGCCCTGGTTGATAAGAGTCTGAACCTGTGTAAGGAATGTCGTGTCACTGAGGTTGGCCGAAACTCCCCACATCATGGGCACAAACTCAAACTGGTCCTGCGAAATTGAGGTGTAATCCGGCGATGGCTGCGACTGGTAATTGTAGTACCATGTTAAATCACTACCACTCTGCACCCAAATCTGGTTGTCGCTGGGCCAATCGGCATTGGGCGTGAATACGAGACCCCGTTTACCAGAGGATTGGGCTCTGGCGAGGCCTGCTAGTAGCAGAACGGGAGCAAGAACAAGATTGACCATGACGATGTCGTTTCTTCTGTTATCGGCAAAAGAGCAGGGATTTGTGAGATTGGTGCTGATGTGGGGTCGGATCGCCTGGGAATTTGAGATTCGCGATGAAGCGGTGCTGAATCCAAGTCGTAAAGATCGTCGACGGCTCTATCTTCTTCGTTGTGGGTAATTGGAGCGAAGCGATCAAGGAAATATCATTCTTGCGCAATTCTGGACATCAAAGCTAAACAAAAAATGAGAGTCTCTATCCGATCTAATTGAGAAAAGCACGCAATCCAAGAACAAGACGGCGGACGCAGCACGAATTGGCACACGCAGACAACGAGAGAAATTGAATGAACCACGAATGAGACAGAAAAGGAGGAACAATGCAGGACGAAAGAAGAGGGAAAAGAAAAAGAAAAGAAAAAAACAGGATTGAGCTGAGAAAACAAAACGTAACCACACGTCTCTCAGCTTTTCAGGGCGCAGCTGAACGCTATCCAAAGCTATTCCAACTTTGCCGCCGGATCGCCCGATCCGTGGACGCGGGAAGGATAAAAAAAGATGACATGGCAACGCCCAACCAATCCGCGGCCCATAGTCAGGGGTCAGCACAAGGCATTGTCCAATAATGCAACGGTGGTTAATCTAAGCCTGCTTGGCGTGCAGATGAGGCCAGCGTATCGCCGCTAACAGGCGGTACAAAGGATGAAGGAGATTGGGCGCGTGGAAATGGCGCATCATGATGGGAAGCGTTTGGTGTTGTTGTGTTGTTGGTGTTAGTGCTTTCGCGGGATTCCCATGTCGCCGCGCCAAGCTTCGTATGCTGCACAATGATGCACGGCAAACCAATATTCTCCATTCCGAACGAGATACGGTTTGGCTTCTGCCAATAGAGCCGGCGGAATGGCGCCCGTTGCGACCGTTACGGTGACGCAAAAAGAGTTGTGAATCCACTCACTCAACCACGATCACATGTTGACAGACTCACTCATTTTCCTACCTATTATCTTACTAACCCACGCACTTAATCAGCAAATAAAGAATAAGGTTTATACTATTTCTCTGTTGTGTCGTTCTATTTCCATACTCCGCATCGTCTATATCGATGCGAAACACGACCCCTGTCTAGACGCTGTCTAATATGCTCAACAAACATAATTCCATCTTTACAGCGCATTCACCCAGTTGACAGCCTCTTGCGGCTCGAGTCTCTGCATCCAATCCGCCTCTGCGAAAATGTTCCTCACCACGCCCTTCTCGTCAACCAGAATCGTCGTCGGAATCACCATGTCATGTGAATCATTGCCGTGACGCTTCTCCAGGTCCGCACCAACCTTGTTCAAAGTGTCAACCAGGTCGTCCGACTGTTTCCAGACAATGTGTAGCTTTCGCGCAAGCTCGAGTCCATCATCAGTCAGAACCGGAAACGCAAGCTCATTCTTCTCCGCAGTGGTGAGCGAAGCATCAGGCTGCTCCGGCGTAATCGCAACAAATGTTACACCGCGAGCCTCGAAATCCTTCAGGCGCTGCTGGTAGGCCCTCAGGGTGAGGTTGCAAAAGGGACACCAGCCGCCGCGGTAGAACATGATGAGAAGAGGACCCTTGGCCAGGAGGTCAATGCTGCTGACTGGCACGCCGCGGGCATCAGAGAGGATGAAATCGGGCAGCTTTTCGCCAGGCTGGATTGTGGATTTGACGTCAAACGTTTTCTCGACGTTGGTTTTGGCCTCAAAGATAACGGCCTTGACAGCTTCGGGCATTTGCGACCCGACAGCCTGTGCGGTCTCTTGGAGTCCAGCAGCGAGCGTAGTAGCCATCTTGTAGGGGTTTTTGGCTGTTTTCGATTATAAAAAAGGGATTTATGAGCTTCTCTGATTTGAATGAGCAAGTACAAAGGCTAGAGGCTGCGTTCTGAATGATGATTCTATTGAAGGACTCTGTCTAGAGAATGCTGTTTCTCTCGACCGGCAACTACACTACATTTTATAACACGAAAAGCAATGATTCCTCATGAATCGCATGCTCCAATTCATTACCAACAATGTCGCATTGGTAAACCACTTGGTAATGAGCTTTGTAATGTTTCCAGGTTCCTTCAGGATCTTGTCTCGCTTCGCTCGGTTACTCCCACTCTCTAGCTATAGGCATATCCTAGCTGAGTCAGTTCCACGGTAAGAATTTCCAATCCCATAGCCGAATAGAAAGCCGAATCAGAGCGAAAACCCTGAGACCTATTGCCTGTTTGAAACACTATGTAGATGGAAAAGGCAAAACCTCCATGGTCAAAAGATTCCAGCTCGTGCGTCTTCGTCCGAACTGGTCCGCCCCAGGATCGACGAGCAAGACAAGCATCAGCCAATCACGTCAGACCGTCCCCCAGCTTCGAGCATATTACTAAGAAACGACGCCAAGTCTCAGTCGAGCTTATGGAGTAGATTGGCTTGCTTCCCCCCCGGCTAAACGAACGCCAGCTGCACCGGACATAGTTGCCCTCCCATACATACAACCCAATAATAATCAAGCGGTGGACGAGAGCCGGACGAAGAAGAGAGACACCGCTGCGTAAAACTCCCAGGAACAGGAAACAGACACACACACAATATGGACGACCGGCCCGCCAGGCGGATGCGGCTGGGGACCAAGTCGTGCGCCGAATGCCGTCGCCGGAAGGTCCGGTGCGTCTTCCCGACCAACAGCTCCGTCTGCCACGGCTGCGAGCTCCATCAGACGCCGTGTCGGGCCCAGCAGCCGCGTCCGCGAGACCGGGAGACGAGCCTGCAAACGATCCCGCAGTCGCAATCACATGCTCAGCTGGCCGAGGACAACGCGGCCCTGCGCCGGCGCGTGGTTGAGCTCGAGGGCCTCGTCGGCAGCATCTGCGACGCCCTCGAGCCCACCGGCGACTCGCCCGCCTCGGGAGCTGCTTCGACCTCCGCGGCCTCTACTTCCACCGACGTCAACAACAGGGCTATCCAGGTCATCAAGAATCTCCGCAATCACGGCCTCTTACAAGCGGAGGCTTCCCCCAACGGCCAGCCCTACAACTTCGGCACCGCCCTCACCAACCCCGGCACGCTTCTCCCCCCTTCCGGCCCGCCATCATCATCCTTCTTCTCGCCGGGATCCATCGACCAAGATCTCGGCAGCAGTCCCCCCGATCTCATCGACAAGTCCGTCTCAGCCGTAGACGCTCCCTTGATCCATCTCTTCCGGGATGCCCTCCTGATCCGCGACGGCGACGGCGAGCTGTACGACGATCCCGAGGATCCGTCCATGGTGTATCTGATGAAGGAGTCCCTCAGCTCCTTCAGACCTCCCATCCCTGACCCAGGTACGCTGCGCCTGATTCTCGAGGAATCGCACAAGTTCTGGGCCATCTGGCCGCCCTTCTTCTTTGCGCCGGACCAGTCGGCCACCATGCAAAACACCAGCATCGACGACGCCGAAGCCTACTTCAACCAGGTCCTCAACTTTGGCCGCGGCGTCGAGTTCTGCTCCGCCATGCTCTTCCTCACCCTCTGCATCCAGCAGCTGCCGCGCAACTGGAAGCACATCATCGTCTCCCCCAGCATCTCGCGCCAGGTCCTCATCGACGCCTACATCCGCTTCGTGGCAGTACTACTGGCCGTCGAGGGCGAAGAGAGCGTCCTGGTCGTGCAGTGCTACGTGATGCTGCACAAGGTCCTCGTCAACATGGGCCGTCCGCAAAGAGCTTGGGTTGCTATCCGCCAGGCCATCAGCGCCGCCACCCTCGTTGGCCTCGACAGACTCGAGCCCAGCGCAAACTTCCAGCGCAAGACGCTGTGGGCGCAGACATGGATGGTGGAACGACAGCTGTGTATCATGCTGGGCTTCCCTTCCGCCGTCACCGACCGAGGAACCAAGGAAGATCCCACAGAAGTGCTAGACAACAATATGCTAATCCATCGTCGTCTATGCATCATCATGGGCCGCATCGTCGAGCGTAACCAGAACCCAGCAAAGGCCTCGTACGCAGCAACCGTACAGCTGGACCAAGACATGGAAGAACTCAAGAACAGCCTCCCCCCCGATGGTGCCGAACTTCTTTCCCCCGGTGCCACGACTGACTCCGTCTACTCCGAGGAGGGTGCCAAGATCTTCTTCTACTCGACTCTCAAGCACATTCATCTGCCCTACATGCTCAAGGCCAAGACTGACCGCCGCTACGAGCACAGCCGCCTGTCTGCCATGGACGCCTGCCGCGGCCTCCTCAGGACCTACCTGCGCATGCGTGGCTCGCCCAAGACTGAAGTTGTCCAATGCGAAATCATGGACTTTATCATCTTCAGCTCTACCATTGCCCTCATTCTCGGCATCTTGTCTGGGTCCGGAGACTCATCACCGGCAGCGCTCACGGGCTACTCGGAGGATTGGCAACTCATCAACCGCCTCATCGGCGAACTGAGAAAGACAAACGCCCTGCTAGAATGCACCGTCGCCAGACAAAGCGCAGAAGTACTCGAGACTCTCGTAGCCGCCAGCTGCGGGAACTACAACGTCCAAGAAGACTTTGTGCTTGTAGTACCATATTTCGGACGTCTACGCATCACTCAAGGCAACAACAACAACAAACCAGACACCAGCCTCGTCAACACCAACAGCATCACCCAAGCCGTACCCTCCCTGATAGACTCCAGCGAACTGTCCACCGTATCATTATCCTCGCTGCCGCCGCAAAAAACCGTCCCCGGAGATCCGTACTACATGACCCAGCAGGCAAACACCATCGAGTTCAGCTCCAACGAGTTCCTCAACACCACATTTAGCGACTTTGACTTTCAGATGGACCTCAGCCAGGACTGGTGCACCATTGTCGACACGGGCGTCTATGACTGGAACCAAATGTTTAGCACCAATACTATGGGATTCCGGTAGAAGGGAGCGAATCATGGACGAGGAGTTGGTTGGCAAAATGGGGTTTTAACAACGTGCAACGGAGTTGAGGTGGTTTCGTTTTATGGCTCTTTATCATTTGCTTCAAGTGTCGTTTAGGAGTTTTGTCTTCTTTTTGAATCGTAATATTTCTGTGTTTAATCCGCACATGGGGAGATGAATGCAATCAACAGCCTTCAGTGCCCACTCGGCATTTAGCCAATCTCACTTACATCCCATTACATCATTCTGTAATTCCCAAAACATACCAGTCACAGGCATCCATGGCCTCAACAAGCAACAACCACCATCCAGCAAACAAAACAACCCATATTCACCCCTGTTGCAATTCCTGCAATCAATCAAAACGCTCTACCCCACCAAAGAACCATTATGTCAGGAAGGCCCTTGTCTCAAAACACGCAAGCGCTTACCCTTACAAAGCAACCAAGAACGTCTGAATAAACTCTTCGTATTTTTCGTATCTGCAAACCGACTCTAAACCGAGTGCAAAACTCACAACTGCCGCCAACAGTCCTACGAGATTCTCAATTGCAAGTACAAGAACAGCCAAATAGGCGAAATATCTTTCTGGGATAACTAAATTGTCGAAGTGTTAGTATTTGATGATAGGCGAACCAGAAGCACGGTAATATCCACATATCTCTGGTTCTGGTCACACGGCACACAGTAGACAGCACAGCGAGAGGAGATTTAGTTATTAACTTGATTTGATTTTTATTCAAGAACAGAAAATGTAGTGGTATATAGGCTCAAGAGTTATTTACGAGCAAAAGATTAAAAAAGTATTTACACAGGTGCCGCACATCCAAATGATGTGGCGACAGTGCCTCCGGGTCCAAAGACCTGGATGAGACCCTCAATGGCAGCCCAGGAACCCATACCGGAGCAGACAAGACCACCGAGGAAGTAGATGATGTTCATGCTGTTGATGTGCCAGTTGACCATGAATCCACGGGTCCAGCGCTTGAGGCCAGAGTCGTGGCGGGTGGTCACACCAGTGACGGGGTCGAAGCCCTCACCGGGCAGAGCAGCGTCGGTCTTGACGCGGTATCCGATGTACAGGAAGGCGGGGAAGGTGTAGGTGAAGTTGAGGATGAGAAGAGCGCCGACAATACCGGAGATACCGTTCAAGTTGGGGACGGCGGCACCGACGACGAAAGCAAGGGCCCAGTAAATGGGTCCCAGGGCGTACCACAACCAACGGCCCTTGCGGGTGGTGATCGGGGGGAGACCAAGAATCTCCTGGAAGACTTCGACGTAGACAGTCTTCATGCCGACGTTCATGTACATAACTAAGAGAATCGAGTTAGGTATTTATTCAGATCAAATTTCAGCGCTGCAAGAATATACTTACGACAAGCAATAGCTCCAGTGATCAAACCCAAGACGTTGTTGGCAGTCTGGAGTCTGAAAGGCTGAATGACGGTGTTGATGTTGGAAGCAGAGTACTGTCCGTAGTGGCCATAGACAAAGGCACCGAAGAAGATGTAGACGACGCAGATGAAGGTCTGGGCGCAGAGCATGCCCTTCCAGAAATCCCAAGGGTGACGCATCTCAGCGAGGAAAGCAATGAACAGAAGAGCACCACCGTAGGAGTACACCATCTGGTTGATACCGTTGAACTGACCAGCGAAGCCAGTGGCCTGCTGCTGGTACTGGTCAGGAGGAGGACCAGCGAACAGCTTGATGGGCTCAATAGTCTTGATGAGTGTGGAGTTGGTAACGGCAGAGTAGTCGATGGGATAGTTGGCGCAAGCAACCATGATGATGATGAAAGAGATGATGTTGATCCAGACGGACAAGTTGGCGAGCCAACCGATACGCTGCAGAGATCGGATGCTACCGAAAACCATGCCGACCACCATGAAGATGATGAGACAGGCGACGTAGCAAATCTTCTCGCTGGACAACTGGGCGATGGTTGTGCCGCTGCCCAGAATCAACACGGCGACTGTCATGAACTGCTGGATGGCTTGAGCAACGTTGATAAAGTGACGAGCAAATGGGCCGTAAACTCGGAAGTAGGTGTCACCGAAAGAGACCATGGGGAAGCGAGACGAGTCGAGACCAAGGAAGACCTTCCACAGAATGTAACCAGAGAAAGCGGCAGCAGCACCGAAGATGATGTACAGAGCGACACCAGGGCCGAATCCGACACTGGCAAAGACGAAAGGAGTAGACGACCAACCCAGAATATCGGTGGTGATAAGGTAGAACATGGTACCCCAACTGGCAGTTCTCATGGCACGAGAAGCCTGCTTCCACTCGGCCTCGGTGGGGAGGCCGGCATTGGTAGCAGTAACGCCAGTCTTCTCGTCGGGGGAGGCAGTGCCGCTGTTCTCAGCAGCAGCAGCCTCAGCCTTCTTCTTGTTCTCGTGGTGGATACCCTTTGAGAAACGGCCCAGGAAGACGCTCTTGACGGTTCTGGGGCCGTGCTCAGCCTTGAACTCGAGGTTGGCTTGGTATTCTTCCTCTCGCTCAATCTTGGCCCAGTATTGGTATTCCTCAAAGGTGACGGTGGGATCGATACGGGCAGCGAAGCCCCAGACTCGTTCGCGAATCTGAGGGGGCTTCTCGAGCTCCTCAGCCTCCTTGTCAACAGCGGAGTTGATGATGTCGTTGTCAATGCCAATGGGCTGGAGGCCCGCAGTGGGCATGATGGCGGCCATGGCGGATGTTAAGGACTTGTGTCCTAGTTCTGGCAATAGAGAAAGAAGAGAAGGCCAGACAACACACACAACGACAACGCAAGTTGAGGTGCGGTGGGAGGAGGGAAGGGTATAAAAGGTGAAGGGGATGAGTTCAGAGGAATGAAGAAAATGGATTGTTACACGTGGGAGGAACAGGTCTTTATCAACAAGACTGGGATGCTGGTGTCTCGATGCAACCCTCCTTCTTCGTACGACCAAGTGCGTCTCTATCGGAGCAAGGGCTGGGGTACTCCACCTCCACGAGCCAAATACGACGATTTGCAATGGCCTGGCAAAATCAAAAGATAATGCTAGTTCAGCTCAGTGGTTTGAGAACTTCTGTCCATCCTTCAGCCATTCGGAGAATGAAGTTAGTCGGGCCGCTTATTCCGGGGAAGCCTTTGCTATCTTGAGATGCCATGCGACAGAGGAGGCAATCCGGTGATTGCCTTCCAGCGGTGCTAGTTAGAGGCTCCGCCCCCGCGACCAACAAAAGGGCCCTGCCGATAGGGGAGAGAGGCTATCACCAAAGACGGGACCGGTACGACAAGGCACGAGTGCGTGGAGGCGAAAACCAAAAGTTCTTCACCCTCCAGTACAATAATTGATACCATCCCAGTTCGGCTGGCGTGTGTGGAGTGTTTGTTCTGGAAGTCCGTGCCGATCCCAGAAGCCCAAATAGCGCAGTGTCGCAGGCTTAGTCCAGGGCATTTGTGAAGGCTCGAGGACGGATAAGTCGGGTTCTTTTGCACTTCTCAGGCCTGATAACAGAGGCGTCTGAACAACTCTGTACGGTGGACTTGGGCGGGTAACCGGACCCATTATCTGCAATGGGCTCGACGGTGCAGGGGGTGTGTGTTGCTGCTTTGAGATGGTTGGTGGCACCGACGGGGGGCAAGCCATTGCTTCAAGACGGTTTGGGCTTAAGGTGGAGAGGGTTCGCTGAATATAGCCACCCCGGCCTGCTGTGGTGATACCGTACGAGCATTGATGATCAGGGCAGATGCTGCAGACAGTATTAGCATGATGATACTAACATTAATACCAGGAGCAGTTAATGCTGTACATACAGTATTCCGCGAATGAAATAGCGACAGTAGCCGATAATTGCCTTGAAGAACCAGGCACACAGATTACTGTGCATCATCTCATCTCTCAATATTGCACATGCAAGAGAGAAGAGAGGGGGGAGTGTAGATTAGACAAAGCCCAGACGACAAGGGCCACCTGATTGGCTGAAAGCGGCACGATACTTGTCACGTGATGGCGGGCGCTGCTATTCCCGGCCTCTTTGCGGAGAGATGGGAACTCAATGCTGCTCTTTATTTACGAGTATTATTGCTGTATCATCACCATCTCAGTTCATCCGCGTCAGGCTCAGGAGTGGAGGAGCCGGACAAATGGCCTGACTCGCACCGGAGACTTGGTGGAGAACCGCCTTCTTGACAGCTTGGCACCAGATTTGACACACGACAGCAGCCGCATCGGAGATGAGGACGAGGACGAGGTGCTCTCATCTTGATGCTGTACAAGTGCTGTAGGCTAACAATGTGCATGTCCAGGTGCAAAGGATGAGGACAGCCCATGCAAATCAAGTACCATATCCAGATAAGCGCGCGAGACACCAGTTCTAAGCGCAGCATACCGAGGAGCTGGGCGAGAGAGGCCCTTGTGAAAGATGCATAGGCCCAACCTTATGCCTCGCCAAAGTGTGCATGTACAGCTGCACTGCATAACAAGACTGCGACAGCGGCCTGTTCTTCGTCCCATGATGGCGGCTCCCTTGTCTCAAGCAACACCCCCCCCCCCGGGTCCTATCTCTCCGGAAACGAGTCAATTGCAAAGGGACCCTGTCAGGCGGCTACTGTATCCATTCTCGTGGCAAAAGGCCGATACTTCTCCATACAATCTTATCTCCCCGGACCCGTACGAGCTCTGGTGGCGAGCCCTCCAGTGACAGATTCAAACTCGTGTGCAGTATGGAGATAGATTAACTCGACAACCACACTCGGTGATGATCGAAAACCATCAACAAAACTATTGGTGATATGGTTGCAAACAACAAAACTCTATCACAAAGCCGTGGCCAAGCGACCAGATTCAAACCTGCACGGAGGCAGCCAGTGATGTCACCACCACCTCTACCGATATTGCCGCGCAAGCACCCCATCCAATATAGAAACAGAAGTTCCTGCAAGCACCGTATCGCGCCTCTCGATCGTCTATGAGCCGGCTTGGCGCCCGTCCCGTCTTGGCTCCGGCCTTACATTTCCATTTGCGTTAATAGGTGCTGCCGCCACTCGTAAAATCCTCCGCGAGCGTGCATTGTTAGAGCGCTGCTTTCGGTCCCCGACTTGAGCGTACTAGCGATAGTCTTCTCTGCCAACAGCTAGACGCATGAGGAACTAACAGAACTAGGCTGGAGGCAAAGGCGGCGCTGATACCCAATCCAGGAACACAGGGTTATCATTGGTAGACTGCGGCGGGGGCAAATGGGGCCCATGAACTTGCTTGTGTCTGCTTTCTCGGGAATCTGCGATGATGGCGTTGCCAAGAGACTTGTCGATGCCTTCAACTGCCATCTGCCGTGATCGGATGAAACGTCAAGAAAAAAATCGACTACTACAACCATTCCTTTTGAGTGAAGAGGTGACACCCATCTCAAATCCTGGCCGCTCACAGCGCTCCCAGTCAGATACGACAGTAGAGATTGTCCATTCATACAATCTGCAACCCGCTGAATTCCAGCAGCGGAACTCCAGCAGCCAGACCAAACACGCTACCTTCATTTCCTACGGTACTTTTTTCTGTGGCTTTGGCAAAAATGACCTACGGACAAATAGCAGGAGAAAAATTCCCGCCTTAGCCGATTAGTCGCACGCCTCCCCTGTCATAAAGTCCCACAACTTCCCCGGATATTATGGCAATCGCTCCAAATTATGGCAGCTCTCCAATGAGAGTCTTCAGTTGGCCGTCTTATCTAACACACCTAGCTGAGAACGAAGACGGCGACCGGGGACATTTGCTTGCTGACCGGCAGGGGCCTAGGTCAAGGGTGGCCGCTACTTGTTTAGCGCAGCCATTCATGATCAGCCTCATGGGCAAATAACGGAGTCGTATGGATCGTACCGACTCCGTACATCTCGTATATCTGAGTACCACCTACCAAGAGCAGATGTTCCGTAATGGCGGGATCAGGCGCTCTCAGATGAAAGCCAACAAAACCACGCAGCGTCCTGGAATGCAAGCGACGTGCTGTCTGAGACTTGAAACAAATCCTGCAAAGGAAACTTTTGCCCACATCAACCTTGAAGACAGACTTCTGACTCCCGAATACTCGTACGCGGGCGGGAAAGCCATACACGTAATTTTTTAGCCTGTCTGCGGTCTCATCCGTCCTTCGCCACCGAGGGAAGAAATTCCAAAACAGTTCCATGGCCTAACACCGCCTCAACTCGCCACCGCCGACAGCCTCTACGGGCAGGGAAAGCATGTTCCGGATCCGAAAGAACAGGACAGGTTACGGCCGGAGACGATGAAGGGTACATTCCTCTACCTCTACACCCAAGTCCGCGGCCCATCGTATCAGTTCTTGGCAAAGCCCGACCGACTACCGCAAGCCGCTAGTTCACGGAGCGATGGCATTGGTGACCTTCATTTCCCCGCTTAATGCCGATGCTCCGTTTGGGTGCCACTTCGCAGCGACACAAACTCATTGTTAAGTCGCAGCCAGAACTCCTACCCATCTGAGGCTGTGGGCTTTTTCGCCTCGAGTCAAGGCCAACGAGGCTTGTTCAACTCGCTTCGCTTCGCCTCTTGAAACTCAATTCCAGTTACCCCAAGATTTCGTGGAGAAGAGCGGGACAAGACGCGACGCTATCTTTTGCCTCACTGCAAACCCTCGTATCATATAGCCTGTGAAGGATCACGACGAGATGTCGCAATGTCTTGCCAAGAATCATCCTCAGCATGTCACGATCCGTAATCAACACCCGGAAGTGTAGCTCAATTTGGAATTCCCTGGACATGAAATAGCGGCAACGAGACACCCTCTCCTACTTGGAGTACGTCGGCTTACTTGGATGGGCTGTTATCACCAATAAAAGCGCTCACTTTATTGGCATCTTCGACAAGGTCCATGCCTTGAAATCCTCGAAGGGGACAAGCATGACCCCCAATTTAGGGTAATCCTTGTTATCGGGCGTATGTAGGTAAGATAGCGCTTGCATGCCATGTGGCCTGTAGTATCGTTTGTGGATACTAGGCCGGGAGAGATACCACCGAAGAGGGTAGGCAAGTTGGCGTAGGGACTTGATCCATGCTTCTTTTCGTGGATATGCTCCTACTAGAGAGGAATGCCCGTGTCCATGTCCAATATTCATCTGACCATTACAGCAGCTTACACGTTGGATCAGCATCAGACAACCAACCGTCCGCTTCATGCATGCTCTGGATCAGCCGCAAATTCCATACGGCTATCCTGCCGAGGCTTAATGCTACATCATTACCACATCGATAATCCTCCGCAGGACACATGGCTATCCTCCGGGATCTGTCCAACACGCCCTTGCCCTTCTACCCCGGTCTAAGGAAATGATGTGATGAGATTTTTTCTCATCTGGTCCGAGCCGAGAGCCTGATTTTCAAGCCTTGTGATTCCACATATCATTCAACAGACCATGTACAACACTCGTTCTTTTCAGAAAGGGCCTATCACAGGACGAATCCGTATCTCCAAGTGAGCCAACTACGTAAACTTGAACAGAACTCACCGTGCAATAGCCTGATGAAGTTCTCAAAAAACCTCCGACTTGGCAGCTTTCGACTTGGCAGCTTCCGACTTGGCACCAGCCTCCCCGTCAAAACACACACTTGGCTCTCACATGCCACATGCAGACAGACGCACACCCTTCATCCCCCCGACCACCCAGCTATCCCAAAGCAACAAGCAAAGCAACATCAACTAACCTTAACTTATTCAAACAAAGTAAGGCTACTTTTTCACTGCGTATTTTTAAACTGGCTTATTCCGTAGACTCCGTCCTGCCCCGTCACCGCTGCTACTATTCTGCCTACTACTTGTAAACTAGGGGTGTGGGTACAAAGGTCCTCTTGTTCAAATGTTCCCAACAGAGAGCATCTGGTCTAATGCTTTAGACTAGAAAACAATAAGCTTAGGGTTGCCACTTAAGGGGCCCTCTTGATGGGGACTCCTTTTATCTGCATGATTGCTGCAAGGGTAATCATCTCCAGCAATCAAAGAAGATATCAACACAAATAAGATGTGCTAATGACTTCAGCAACAATTACGTGCTTGCTCGATGGAGAGAAAGAACTTACTTTAATACATTAGGTACTCGTAAGTAATGGGGTGGTATTGTGGCAGTTATCTTCTAGTTGATGCATTGCCTTTCAACATCTTACATACCTACTTCCATCATCTCTATCATTTAGTCATCTAGTAACAATACACCTTTCAAATGTCTGACACTATCTACAAGACCTACATCTATTATCGACTGTGACAATACTAAATATTTCAAGCTATTATTTCAGACGCTCAAGGAATGACTAATAGAGCTGATACCCCGAACAGAGGAGCACAAGCGCTGAATCGCTGCTCTTCAATCCTACATTCCAAAAGAGAACCATGATCGAGAACCAACCAACATCCGCTAACCAGATTTCCTCCTCTACCGATATTATTATGACACATACTCCGTCCGATTCCGACTTATGAAGACAAAGGTCCTTACCATTCACGGCGATTCCAACCAGAATACAACGGCACCGCGGACTTTGGCAAATGCCCGTGTGAGCCGGCCCAACGGGATCCATCGTCACGGCAAAAGCAGTCACTGCCTTGCAACATGCGTGACTCCAACTTTTTTATCCATCCAATGTCGCCTATTCGATAACTCTTTGAGATGGGGTGTTGACGAGACGCAACTCATTGAGATCGTGAGCACTCATAACCACGGTTGCCACGACTTAATCGAAATTCCCTTGCCTGTGACCCCCAACAGATCGATGATACGAGCTTTCGGCAAACCTACAGGTGTTCTCTATGTGTCGGGCGCCGTGCGGGGAAAACACGAAAACATGGCTTCTTACGCGTATCTACAGATTTTCGAAATTATCTGCATTGGAGTATCCTGTGGTATTGTTTCTTCGGATCTGTTGGCTTTTTTGATGCAATATCTACATGCAGAATCAAACATCGTGGAGAACACCCATTCGAGAACGCTGACATCGCAGCCTCCTGAGTATCTCGTCAAAAAACACAGCTATGCTCATCTCGAGCAACGACTTGAATTCTTTCTGTCTTCTGAGCGTCAGAAAGAGTATTATCGTAGTCAAACCTTCGACGGCGACGCGTGTAATACGACGTTCTGTTAGCAAATCGACTCCGGCCACGTCAAGAACAACTCTCTTGTGGTCTCGTTACACTGCCTACTCGCGGATACATATCAGTATGCCATAGTCCAGGCAGCATATACCAAGATTAGGCTACTATCGTAGTCAACATAGCCCGAGATAAATGCACCCTCCGGCAGCTATACAGAGACAATAAAGTCTCGAGGCCGTTTCCTTAAAGTAATCTGATAAGAGTAAGTAAAGAGTGTCAGCATCTAAAGAACAACACTTGATGCCACTTGTAAAATTCTGCACATATTGGTAAAAGGGAAGGCAATAAGAGCAGCTCTTGTCTAATGACAGACTCACGTAACAACGAATCCTATTATTGATCATGACAAGTACTTGTTTTGCGTGTTGATATGAAAGACGATAACTAGGTAAGAAATGCCTCTTAACCTAATATCATGAAAAGAAATGAGGGCTCTAGTATTTGATAACCCTAGTTTGTTACAAGCAAAGCAAAGGCATGCTCATCGGCTGTCGCCAGTCGAGTCCATTTCAAGTACAGGGTATGTTCTTCTGACATTACCCGATAAAGTAGAGTTTAGGAGTAGACACATGTAATCCAACATGAGACATGAAAAACACAAGAAGAAAGTAGAGAGACTAAGAAAGTAGAAATACTCCGCTACAATAGATACCTAGACTGAAAGAGTAATAAGCAAACACCTGGATATCTCTAAAAATAGCTGCTACCGTATCAAATACATAATCCCTCTCACGCTGCAAGGTCTAGGTTTATACATGCATGACCGCTGTGTAAAAGCAAAAAGTAAAAAAAGAAAGAAAGAATAGAAAGAGAGAGAGAAAAAAATGTAACAAAAAGTGAAGAAACAGAGAATTCGCTGATATGCATAGCCTCGTAGCTTCATCCAAAATCTTCATTCGAACCACCTTGCGATGGCGTTCGTCTTCGTTTTCACTGCGTCATCACGCTGTCTTCATATTCCGTCAGTCGCAGTGCGGCGTCGACGTCACTAACAAAGTGCCTCTCGCCGCACAAGTCGACAATACCGCTCTTGTCCATGAGCTGCCACACAGGGTGATCCCGGTGATGTGGTGCGCGGGCGAAAAAGACCCGTACGCCCCTCTCCCGGTACTCCCGCACGATCTCCTCGAGCACTTGCGTGCCAGATCCATCCATGGAAGTCACGCCATGGATGTCGAAGATGATGTTGCGGTTTGAATCGTGGCTGCGAATACGCGGCAGGGCAGGGTGCGCTCGCGATGTGCCGTAAAACTCCAACCGCCGAAGACGTGCTTTGAGCTCGCCGGTGTTGGCAAAAGTCAGGGGCTCTGGAATCTTGACTATGAGGCATCCCTCGATAAACTCGATTCTAGAGTCGAGGGATTCCGGGTTCTCGTAGCGGTTGGTGCCGGGAACACGGCCCAGGATCTGGATGCGGGGACGAGTGCTGTGCTTGATAACCAGGAGCAGGGAGATTCCTACGCCCAGAGCCATACCCAATGTCAGGGAGTAAAAGATGGTGGAGAGGAAGATGGCTGCCATGAGGCCTAGCTCGGTCCAGCCCCGAATCTTAAGGAAGAATGAAATATCGTGAGGAGCCTCTTCTATCAGCGACCATGCAACGACGGAAATCATTGACGAAAGAACGGGTTTCTGTCAGGTGCATTTGATTAGCCTACTGTGATGAAATGTGCATTAGGACTGTAGGGCTGTTTGCTTACCGGCAGGAAATAGAAATACGGCAACAGGAACAAGACGGACAGCACTGATATCAGACTGAGGAACACGGAGCTCATCGGAGTCTTTGCACCAGTCGTCTTGTTCACCTTGCTTCGTCCATAGCCACCAAATGCAGGCAGTGCCATGAACATGGAGCCAACGAGATTGGCAGTTCCCAGGGCAATCATCTCTCGGTTCGCACTGAGTTCAATGCCAGGGATCGAGCTACCGCCCAAACTTTTGGCCGCAACCGACGACTCAAAAAAGCCGAGGAGTGCAATGAGAAAAGACGTTGACATGGCCGAGCGAATGTGCTGCATATGGGCGAGCTGGAACGGCCATCGGAATTCGAAGATACCTCCGGAGGCGGCCTTAACAGATCCCAGAACCTCGACACCCTTATCTTCCCAGTCAAGGTGCCAGCACAAGATGGCCGAAACAACGACGACGAGGAATCGATCAGGGAAATAGGCAACTCCAGGAAACCTCTTCTCCAAACGACGCTTGAGTTCGCTACAAAGAATGAAAGCGTTAGCTATGAATTGGCCCTGTCCATTTGCCAAGACTGCTTCTCACCAACTTACCGGAATATCATAATAATCACGAAGCTGACACCCGCAACAGCAAATGTCAGCTTGTGGGTCTCGCCAACGTTCTTGACAATGAATCCGATTTTGTCGACACTACTTCCGTGATTTACGCCCTCCTCTTCCGCAAGGGCAGCAAGGCCGAGTTCGGGGATCAGCTGGTCTACTGCAATAACAAATCCGATGGCTGAAATAAAGCCTCTCAAGAAGGGCCTGCTCAAAACGCTGTCCAAGAAACCCAATCTTGCCAGCCCCGCAATAAGGACCATGGCGCCAGCCATACCGCCAACCACGCCGCAAATTTGGGCATGCAGAATGTCGTTGTCCTCTGAATCTCCGCCTCCAGAATCGACCCTCGATTTCACTACGGTGCCCACGAGAAGAGATCCAGCTGCCTCAGGGCCGATAACCATTTGCGGAGAGGATCCGAGTAACGCATATACGAAAGGATTGAAGATGAAGCCATAGAGACCGAAGATGGGCGGAACATGTGCCAGATTGGACGCAAGCGAGAGCGCCATCGGGAGGTAAAACGAGGCCATGGTGACGGCTGCAATGAAGTCGCCCTGGAGGTATGACAGCTTGTACTGTTGGATCCAATTCAGACACGGGATGTAGTATGCCAGATACCTGTCCGCCGAGTCAGTTTAAGCTGCCATATGTCTCGACAATAATGGCAAGATGTCGGTTAGAAACAAGCTCACATGAAGGGGGTATCCCGAAAACCAGCTTGCTCAGCAAGCTCGCTGCTGTGGCCCATCTTAGTCGTTCGCATCCTCCTTGAGAGCCACCTCTTCCAGTCATCATTCCCCGAGAGCGACGAAAAGAAGCCACCGTTTGACCCGTGATCCTGCGATTCGCTCTCGTCGTCGGTGCTTCCGCCAAAGAGGCCATTGGGAGGCGAAGAAGATTGAGGATCGAAGGTGCCATGGCTGCGGGGCCCTGACTGGTCGTCCAGTGTCAAGGGCGTCGATTCGCTGGCAAACGAGTCGCCAATAGCCGTGATAGACGGGTACACATCGCTGCTCTGGCTATCACCGCTCCCTGGTCGGCTAGGAGGAGTATGGCTTTGTCGAAGAGTGCTTGGTTGCAAAGGGCGGTGGTCTTTGGACGAGTCCGCGCGGTTCAGCGGCGGCGGAGGTCCCGACATTTTTACACAATCGGGATTGTAGAGCTCGGGATCGTGTCGTGCATTCGGGATCTCGGTTTATAGGTGCTTCTCTGCTAATGCTGTAGGCTTTGGAGAGCTTTCCGTGGTGTTTGAGGCGACCTGTCCAGTCGAGGGCCAACGCTCCAAATCCACCGCTTCGAAACAGTAACTAGCGGAAGATTGAGTCGTCGCCCAAGGATTCCATAAAAGCCGAACCCTAGCAAGGCGGTGCAGCTTTCCCGTCTCTTTTTCCCAGCCGCCGACGGCCGGATGTTTCCAAGTGACAAAGAGTGTCCGGGGAAGAGAAGAGTAGGAGGATTGCAGTTGCGTACAATGGAATGGAGTCTTGGCGACCGAAAAAAATTGCAATACAGGCAGAATGGATGGTTTCCCAAGCCGAAGCCGCGGGTGACATCAGCGGGGATAGGGCGGGCACAACAGTGCGACACAGCGCTGAAGACCCTTCTCCACAGGGCACCGCTCCACTGGAAGTTTGGGGGGGCGAATGCGGTGAGGCAGCGCCTCAACGTGCAGGGCCAGACCGCCCAGGGCCGGTAGACACCAATGAGAGGCCGGCGATTGACTAACAGGATGCGCACCTGACACTACGAGCAGGTGGTCGCGGGACGGGCTGCATTGTTTGCTGCCGGTCTCGGTGAGCGTGATATTGTTTTTGGACAGGGTTTCAATATGCTGATCTTTTGAAGGGTGAGCACATAAGGTCCAGTGTCAAATGTGTCAAGTGTCAAAATGTCGAGGTGTCAAAGTGCCAGTTTGGAGATGATTGATAAGATAAGAGACATGTAAATCTGCATGTACTTTCATTATTGGAGGGAGAGTGCCTGTTTACACGATTGTCCACGTATAAGACGACACCACCCAATAGCTATTCAAGACTACGAATATAAAACATAAATTGAAATCCCCAAAGAAAAGGAGACAATATCATAACAGCGCGTCAATCTCATCCTGCTCACATACCTCACGCATTCGCCGCGTTGTTGTACATCTTTTGTAGGGTAGCACCACGCCCAATTCCAGCCACATTCCATCAACACAGCGGCCGAGACACTGCATTGCCGAGATCCGCGCTCAAGTCACACATTGCGATTCTCGAAAAATCAATCGGAAAGCGAAAGACGAGAAATCTTCGAGCTGCTCAGACATTTTGAAAGAAAAAAAAAAGTAATTCGCTAGTATTTCATAGAACACACAAAAAAAGAGACATCTAGTAGGCAGCTAGCTGTACATATACATGACCCTATTATCAATGATCCATATCTCATCCATCCCAATGGTATTTTTTTTTTACACCTGCTCGTTGACAAACAGACCAGCCATGCCCTGGCCAGTACCAATGCACATGCTCGTCAGCAACAGCTTCTTCTTGGTCCTCCGCAGCTCGCTCAGGCCAGTCACGACCTGTCGGGCACCCGTGGCTCCCAGAGGGTGGCCAAGAGCGATGGCACCTCCCTTGGGGTTCATCTTGGACCAGTCCAGGCTGAGCTTGTCGCGGCAGTAGACGGCCATGGAGGCAAAGGCCTCGTTGACCTCGACGACGTCAATGTCGTTGAGGTTGATGTTGTAGATGGAGAGGAGCTTGGGGATGGCGACGCTGGGGCCGATGCCCATGATGCGGGGAGCAACACCGGCGACGGTGGAGCCAACGTATTTGGCCATGATGGGCAGACCCAGCTTGATAGCGGTTGATCGCTTCATCAGGACGACGGCGGCAGCACCGTCGGTAACCTGGGAGGCGTTACCACCGGTAGTGGTAGGTCCCCACTGAGGGAAAGCAGCACGGATCTTGGCCAGGCCCTCGGCGGTGGTGCCGGGGCGGATGCCGTCGTCCTGGGTCAGAGTCACCTGCTTCAGCTCGCCGTTCTTGTCCTTGACCTGTGTGGTGATGGGGACAATCTCGTCGTCGAAAAGGCCGGCCTTTTGGGCCTTCTCGGCTCGCTGGAAACTCTCCGCTGCGTACTTGTCCATGGTGACTCGGTCAATGCCAAAGTCCTTGCTAACGTTCTCGCTGGTCCATCCCATGGGCTGAACGGCGTCGTCGGCCTCCTGGCTCTTCTTCAACACGGCCTCATCGAACTCCTCGGTAGGGCGGCCGTGGGACATGCTCTCGGCGCCCATGGCAATGCCCACAGAGATGGAATCATTGGAGATGGAGTGGGCAATGTCTGCAATGGCCTTGAGACCGGAGGAGCAGAAGCGGTTGACGGAGCTGGCACCGGCGGTGTTGGGGTAGCCGGCAGCGAGGGCAGCAGTTCGGACCTTGTAGGCGGCTTGGGCATCGGTCACCTGCGAGAGACAATCGTTAGCGGACTATAATCGGATATATGGCTGGATCTCAATCTAGGACATGACATACGTTGCCGAGGCAGATGTCCTCAACGAGAGCAGGGTCAACACCGCTCCTCTCGCGAACCTTCTCCAGCAGAGCATAGACCATGTACTCTAGGCTGGTGTCCTTGAAGCCGCCCTTGCCAGCCTTGGTGAGCGGTGTTCGAGCGGCATAGGTGATGACGATGTCGTCGGGGTTCTTGGACTGGCTACAAGACGAATAGCGTGTCAGCATGTGAAATAATCCCCAAGCGCGCCAGAGCTGGTTCCTTACATGTTGTTCAGCGATGACCCAGGGGCCAGGTGCTTGATGATGGAGCCAATTCGTTCGACAGCCATGATGTGATGTGATGTACTGTATCCGCAAGATCTAAGAAACAATTCGACGTAAAGACGGTATCACTTTGCAGCAATCAAGTCGCCCCTTGCAGACAATCTGGGGATCCACGAGCTTTATGGATGGTCGCCGGCCGGGGTTTGTGGGGTTGAGCCGAGGCAACCGGCAGCTTACATAAGTTGGACCGAGCCCTGGCAATTCCAGGCCCTGGAAGCATTGACTCGGGATTGCTTCACGGGATCGAGCTTTGCGGGGAAGCTTATTAACTCTCAGGGATGCCTCGGAACACCTACATAATAATTTGTAAAATATTCGCCGCCAGAGAGGGTAGAAGCCCAACGAAATGTGAGATGCCGGGCGGATGTCTGTGGTATATGAGCGCTCATGTCATCCATCATCTCTGGGGCGGCGGATGCTTCCTGTTCGTTCAACGTTTGCTTACTGTACCCCATACCTACTCCGTACATATCTCCATCATTCTCTGAATCTTATTTTGTAGTAATCTCTTAGACTATTTCCCGGCGTATATAATGACCGTACATATTATAACCGTGATATCTCCACCTGTTGCCATTCAATACTGATATTGTTGGCCATGCTGTTGTCTATGTTAGTGCGGATGTGGTCTCCGCTATTCGACTGTATGGGAAGCATCGATATCGTGGTAAACCAAATGGCAACAACCTTTGCGTATTAACTATTAAACAACAAGCTTCCCTGACGGTTAAATAGAAAGATATCTTCTTCGCCTCCTCAGCAAGCCGAGAAAGCAATGAAAAAAAAAAAAAAAAAACCATCCCGAAATCCATCGAGAATCCGTCGACCACCTGGCGATCTCCTATACACGGAGCCCATGGAAGATCGACAACCCTTGCCAGCGAACCCCAACCTGGCTATCTCCTATAAGAGGAGCCCATGGAAGACCAGGCCGCCCAAGCCATCACCAGCCTGGTTATCTCCCACAAAAGGAGCCCATGGAAGATGAATCGGGATTTTCGCTCCTATACACAGAGCCCATTTAAGACTGAATGGGATTGTCATTGACAAACATCAACATGCTTTCATTCGCTCGCCACGCGCGCCAAAGTCCCATCGGCTTTCTGCACCGGCTGCAGTAATGCGCTACACATCCTACAGGACGTATGTCGGTACTTCTTTCTGGATATACTTGTTGTAAGGTCGTATTCTTTGTCTTACTTTGCGTGATGGTACACGAACATCGCCATTGCACCGACGGTCAGGACCGACGCTTCTCGACAAGATCGTTCTTCGTGTTTTTGACGCAGATACAAGAAGGCACCTCCGAAGGCGGGAGCTGCAAGATCGTGGGCGAAGTTGGCTGCTTACGCTCCTTGACTCATCGGAATCCATGCCATCGCCGTCGTCATCTAGACTATCGGCTTCAACTCTTAGCCCTTCATCCATGCGGGCAAGCTTTTCGTAGGCACTGCCGTTTTGGCTGGAACCGACTGAAAGATTTCCTTCTCGGCTTGCGTTCCTCTTGGAGTGGCCGACTCTCAGAATAGCTGCAAGATGTGTTCAAGTTAGCTTCAAGTTCTCTGAGTTGTGTCTCAAGACCCCTTTGGCACCTACCCTTGGCCACCACGACGCACCTGTGTTCTGTTATACCCCTCGGGCTTGCGTTCTCCAGCTTCGATCACCTTCCATACTGGCATCCCCGTAGCTTCATGGCCCACCTTCACAACTACAAGGTTTCGCTGTCCGGCCGCGTCCTCGTCTGATCTTGTGACTGTTCTGTCTCATGGCTCCCGCCTCTAATGACCTGATCACAACTGCAAAGCCATTGCAGTTTTCTGTAACTCACGGATTGTTTTCAAGGTCGCAGTGTTATCATCTCTGGCAAGGAACCAATTGACTGACTTCTCATATGGCATGTTGGTACCAATTTCCACCCTCATCTTCATATTCTCAACTGCAATGAATGAAGAGTAGGAAGATTGACAGGCTCATCACAGGGCCTGGAAACAATATTTTCTCGTTGCTGGGACATAGCTCCATTCGTGAGCTGAGTCCTCCTAAATGTCGATTTTTAGCCATAGTCGCAGAATGATTGCCTAGTAACTCTCCCGTCAAAACAGAAGATGGAAGAAGGCAGCGATAGGAGCAGACAACTGAGAAACATACCAGATAAAGGTACACCGAAAGATACCTGAAACCACAGAGACTGCGTATTGCCAGCTCTGAAGCAGTCGTGGTAGCGTCGACGAGCTGGATACAGTTATGGTGCAGCTGATGCTGGTGCTGCCTCAACGACAATATCTGCTCTTGCTATCGTGGCGGCGAGGTTTGCCGTTACTGGAGCTGCGATGGCTTCCTCTGTCTCAGTGCGTATAATCTACCGCTCCATCTTGAAGAGGGGCGCGATCAGGCCGTCATCATCGGAACTTGACGATGATGATGCCAGTGAAAAACATTTACGCCTGTGAATCTATCTCTGTCAGCTTATCTCTGTCAGCCTGACCATGAATACCAGATGATGATAAAGAAGAAACGGAGAGGAGAGGGGGAACTGGAATCCGAGGGGAAGAGGAATTAAGGAGATGGTAGTCTCAGCAGCCAAATGACCTTGTTGGAGGGAAAATGAAGTGAATCCAGGCAGAAAGACGATGGCTGCCTAGAGGGACGGGTTTCAGCAGCTGGCAGGAGCACAACAGCAGGAGCACCTCGGGGCTGGTCATGAGACTTGGCATGTAGGTACCACTGCCAAGGTACCTGAAGTACGCGAATGCTTTGAGAAGACCTGTAGCGGGAACGATGAAGAAATTGACGATGGATGACAATCGAAAGCCGCTGGAACTGGGTGGTAGATAGTAGATCATACTCTCTATAAAGCAAATGAGAACCTTGACACTGTGTTTGTTTAATATCCACCGTTGCTTTGTCGATCAATACAGCCATGTCAACCATAATGACAGGTCCAAAATCAGCACTCCATATCTTAACGTACGCCCCTACTTAAGCGTACCTGATCTGTTAGCACAACTGCACTCCTTTTATTGTCTCGTACTATAGGCATGTGAAGCATGGTCATATTTCCAAAACCATCGACGTTGAAGATGATATCATTGTGACAAATGCAAAGCAAAGCTATCTATGAAATACCCCCCTTTACCCAGAACACCAAGCACACGAGGGTGCTTCTTAACCACAAATATCCATCCAGGACATGTATAGAAAACATATATACAATACACAATAACAAAGACCTTAAATCAATGCACAAAAAGCCACATTTATCATAAGCTAAGCCCCAAAAGCTTCACTCACAATCTCTCCTTCATCCGGCGTCACAGCCATTTCCAAAAGCTCGTGGGCCGCTTCGACTATTTCTCCCTCTATCCCCGCCTCCATGACAAGGTCCTCCTCTGCAAAAGTTAACCTCCCAAGTGCAATTAGGTAGCGTTGACTTCCGCCATGTGAAAGCGATAGTTTTCGAGTAATGTCAGCCAAGTTGGACGTCCACGGGTCCGTGGCCAATGTATGGATCAGAGTCACACACTGGGAAATTATGCGGTAGAGTTCGGCCGAGGTCGTAGATTCGGCAAACTTTAGCGATGAAGATGTCATGACGTCTGGAAGGGGAGGAAGAATGCTGGGTGGGATTGGTTGGTCGTAAAGTTCGTCGATGGATGTACTCAAGCAAGCTACCAGACGTGGAAGGGCGTTGTCGTGAGATGCTAGCTGCTTGGCACCAAATTCATGTCTTGCAAAAGTAACCAGCGTTCGAAGAGCAGCAAGCCGCACACTTCGTTTTTGCGCCGGCGTAGTCGTGGCGCGGGGATGTTCCATCAGCTTAGCAGATACTCGTTCGATGACGGCTCGCGCCACGGATACCGCATCTTTTTCGTCAGATATTGGGCCGATAGAATCGGGCAGCGAAGAGGTGGCCAGCAAGTCAAGCATTCCGATAATATCGACCGTTTTCTGTTTTGGCATCAACAGAAGAAGAGTAAAGTCGAGAGAAATGAGTTTCCAATATGCAGCGGAAGTGTATCTGGCACCATCCTCAGTCTCGGTGGGTATCGTTGCGCAGGCCAAAGACGCAGTGTATAGCAGCGAGAGAATATGAGTTGTGTCAATTTGCTGTTCCAAAATGGCATGCTCGTCATTGCTGGCCGCCGTGCCATCTGAAAGACGGGATGGTCCTTCTGCAACGGTGAATATCGTTGTCTGTGCTACGGGCACGAGCCTTGAAATGATGAGGGGTGCAACAGACGAGGTGTGGAGCTGAAATGTGAAGGAGATGAGCGATACAAGGTATTTGATGGGCTCCCAAAATTGCTCTTCAAAGCACCGAGTCCATAGGATGATGATTTGTTCAGCGAAATCGACCAGGAGTTGCATTGGCTGATAGGGATTTCCCATCAGAGGGAGTCTTTCGAAAATGAGGGTTGAGAATGAGATTGTTGGATCAGAAGGGAACGAGATGCGAGAGAGTATGTCAAACGTGGGAGGCTGGCCTTGGGCAAAGCCGTGGTCAAGTACCACTTGCAAAAACTAACAAACTCAGATCAGTATATAAACAAGCGGGACTTGAGTCGGTGAGTAATTGCGTACATCAAAAGGAACTGTGGGCGTGGCAATGATGACAGGCTGCTGCAATGTTGGCTGGAAGATGGGTTTTGCCTCGCTCATCTCGGCGTCGCCCATATGTATATCAAGCGCCTTCATCGGTGACTCGGATATCTGGCGTTTTCGCTTCCCTTTGCTCGGCGTCCGCTCTCCAATATTGGTAGCAACGGATCCGGCCGTCTTGCCTCTCCCTTGGCCTTTGCTTGGGCTTGAAGCGATGTCCATCTCATCGAAGCCATCGGCAAAGCCCCAAGTTTTGGCGGCCTTCTTTGGCGTCGCCGTGTTGTTGGCATTGGGCTCTATTTTCCGAGCTCGGTCGTTGGCCTCCTTCATATCTCGTTGCATGAACTGAAGTTCCACATTGGCATGTTTCTCAGCCGCCAGGGCCGCTTCCATAGCTTTCTCTTGCTTGCTTAATTGCTCGGCATTCAGCTTCCGTAGGCGTGCAATCTGCTCGTCGTAGCTATGCTGCGCCTTTGTCGAATTTGAACGGAGGATAGAGGCTTCGCCACGAGCGGCATTGAGCTCTGCTTCCAAAACGCGAATTCTTTTCTGGAGTGCCGTCACCATGGTCTCCGATTGCCCTTGAGAAGCCATTGGCAGAGCAGCAAGCTGTGCTGTCTGAGGTCGACTAGTACTTTGCGAGGAATCCGGGAATCGTTGAGAGCTCATGAAAGGCTGGTTCAATGGCCGGACATTGGCCATTCGAGTCCGCTCCGCAAGAGGAGCTCCAGGCCTGGCGGCGGCCGAGTCGATCGTGGGGTTCCATCGAGGATTGGGTACGGGAGGTCTCTGCTGTTGTTTCTGTTGCGGCTGTTGTCGCAACGTCTTGTCGACAATGGGCCGGCCAACAGGAAGCCCGACATCGTTGGTCACTTCGGTGGTGTCCAGGTCGTCATCTTCTTGCTCCCAGGCGTAGTCGAACTGCTGCGTCAAGGCATGTTGAGGCCGGGCCTGGGTGGACTGGAGAGCTTGATTCTCGAGCTCTTGGAGCACATTGTCGGTGAGATCGTCAAAGCCATCGTCGGAAAACTCGTCGAGATCCATCATTCGTGGATCGTCAATCCATCTGCTTCATGGCTCCAGGCGGCTATGAGCGGCGGACTTGGCACGGCTATTGCTTGCTTTGCTTATCATGCAGCCATGGTGGGACAAAAAAGAACCAGAAGCTGGTGCGCGGTCCAGCTTCCCCACGATTATTAACATGCCGGACGAATCGACGCGACACGAAGTCACGTTTTTTTCTCGAAGTCTTTGCTTTGTGTGGCTGAATCTTTAAAGTGTGGCTGAGGACATATTTGGTAAAGATTGCAGTAGTCCAACACGCTACGCAGAGATTACATAGGCTCTCCGCTGTAGCAGTGCTTGCTATGACCAGAAATGAAATTTCCTCCATTGATACGAAGCATACGTCATTAAATGCCGAAAAGAATAGCCAATTGCGAGCAGAATTCGCAGCACGGCATGCGGCGCCATGCCCTGGATTCAAGGCTTAGCAAATATGAGCGGAAGAGGCGGTGCAACTCCTCAGCCCTGATCTACGCATCATGTCGCATGACGTCGTCCCTGCTTAGAGACGGCTTTTTAGTTGCGCCATGACGGAAATTGTGCATTACAGGCTGCCTCTAAGGGCGATGTTTGAAGTTATTCGACATTTCTAGAGACATACTGTGATTGTCTACGAATGAATGATATTTTTTATTTTCATTTTTTATCCTCATACCTGTGTTAGGCATAGCAAACAGCATCGTAAATTGTTGAGGCCAGGTAGGAAGAGGCACTACCCAACATACAAAATGGCCGCCGTCACATGCGTTTGCGGGGAGCCCAAGCGAATGCGGTCATGGCGCACGGGGAGTCGCAGGACCCCGACATTAATTTGAGCATGCGGCATCCTTATTATTATTAAATTACATAACATTGGCGACCTCCAAGCACAGGGACAAGATGGCTTCAAGGCTCTTGTAGCAGATAGTAGAAGAAATAGCAGCTACTAGATAGAATGTACCACTGTAGACAAAAGCTTGAAGGTCTCCGCGCATTCTACTATTAACACATGTACCTATGGACACTTCTTGGAAAAAGCTCCGCCCATGGAGAGTTTTGAGGTGCTGGTTTCAGTGAAACTCCCGCCTAGCCAAAGCCTCTGCAATCCCAGCAGCTCGCTAGCGCCAAGCCCCAGGCATTTACAGGCGCACGCCAGCAGCACGGCAATAATGGGGATACCAAAACTCGTCAGCTCCACGTAGCTTCTGATTTCCCACATCACCATCGGGCAAGGCCACCTCGACATTTAAATCGCCCTCCACCGCTGCTGGGAATGTCGAGTATATAAGGTGAGGAGAACCAGCTATTTGAGACGGCGACTGTGCGCTGGACTAACTCAGGCACCGCATCGCAGCCCGCCGAAGCTCCTACCATCGACGATCCTCCTCCGAGCAACCCGTTGAATCGCGACTCCTGTCCTGTCCTGTCCTACCGTTTCACCTACCCAGACACACCATGGCCAGATCAAAGAGAGGGGGCAAGTCCCCAATGAAGAATGCAAATGGCCAGCTCAGCGGCTCCGAGGGCCGCCGGTCCAGCTTCAGCGACAAGAGCGAAGAGGGGTCCCCAACAAGAACCAGGGCACAGACTCAAGCCAAGCTGGCGGCTGTACAAGAGGTGAGCTCAAGTTGCCATTCTCTTTCGCACTTATTTGTCTCTTGTCTCGAGGAAAAGGGGAAAACGGATATTAACATGATGCGACAAACAGAGACCCGCGACTGCCGCCGAGAAGCAGGCCGAGTATGAAAAGAAAAAGGCCAACTTCTGGACACGAACCTTCTGGACGCTCGTCATGATAGGTGGCTTCTTTGGCGCGCTCTTCATGGGGCACATCTACATGATCGCCATTGTTACCGCTGTCCAAATCATTTCTTTCAAAGAAGTCATTGCCATCGCCAATGTTCCCAGCCGTGCCAGATCGCTGCGCTCCACCAAGAGCTTGAATTGGTACTTCCTAGCCTCTACCATGTATTTCCTGTATGGCGAGAGCGTCATCTACTACTTTAAGCATATTGTGCTCGTAGACAAGGTTCTTCTGCCTCTGGCTACTCACCACCGCTTCATCAGCTTTGTGCTCTACGTCTTTGGTAAGTAAATCCTCATTAGTTGCAACGAGACATCTAGACGGGTTCTTCTAACGCCAGCCCAGGTTTCGTCTACTTTGTCGCTTCGCTTCAGGCCGGACACTACAAGTTCCAGTTTACCAACTTTGCTTGGACTCACATGGCTTTATATCTCATCGTTGTTCAGGCCCACTTTGTCATGAACAACATCTTTGAGGGAATGATTTGGTTTTTCCTGCCAGCGGCTCTGGTCATCACCAACGATATCTTTGCTTACATCTGTGGTATTGCCTTTGGCCGCACACAGCTTATCAAGCTTTCGCCGAAGAAGACTGTCGAAGGATTTGTCGGCGCATGGATCATGACCATTCTCTTCTCCTTTTTGCTCGTCAACATTTTGATGCGCTCCAAGTACTTTATCTGCCCTGTCAACGTAAGTCAACCAAGTGAACCCCCTTCCCTTGCCAATTCGATTGTCTAATACTCACGTCAATCCAACCTGCAGGACCTTGGCGCCAATGTCTTCACTGGACTCAAGTGCGACGTAAACCCCGTCTTCCTCCCACGCACCTACGAGCTCCCGCAGTTCTTCTTCCTCCCCCCGGGCACCAACTTCTCTCTCACGTTTGCGCCGATGCAGCTGCACGCCCTGGCCCTGGCCACCTTTGCGTCTCTCATCGCTCCTTTCGGCGGTTTCTTCGCTTCTGGTCTCAAGCGCACCTTCAAGATTAAGGACTTTGGCGACTCTATCCCAGGACACGGCGGCATGACGGACCGTATGGACTGCCAGTTCATCATGGGCTTCTTCGCCTACATGTACTTCCACACCTTCATCGAGGTCCACAAAGTCACCCTTGGCAGCGTCCTGGAGACGGCCATTACCAGCCTCAACCCCGAGGAGCAAGTCGAGCTAGTCAAGAGCATGTGTCGATATCTGAGCAACCAGGGCATTATGCCCGAAGCGGTTCGTCTTTCATCTTTATATATACCTGCGATGGCTCGTCATGTCAACTAACCAGATATTTCTTCATAAACAGCTTCAAGCCTGCCTCGAGAAAGCCACGTCTTCTTAATGATCACTTAAACCGGAATTATTTTCTCATGTAACCCTAACCCCCTCCAGCTACACCTTTCGTAATGACCAGGCAACTCTCGTTGCTATTTTTTCATCTCACTCGTGGACCAACATGGGACGGCAGAATGAAGTTTGTGTGGATCGATAGTCCGGGGAGAAGGGGTGTGACAGGTGTTGAATAAAAGGAGGAAAGAATAATGGATGTTGAGTGGGGGGAAAAGCATGCTATGTCGTGTTTTAAATTGCGGGGAGGGATCGTGATGTAAACGGTCTTTCTTTTCTTCTTATTTACATGTATTTTGTCATTGTAGTTAATCATCCATCTCCAGAGCATACATAGGTAATGCGGGAAGAAAATTGGAAGCGGGTAGGGACAGGTCTCATCGGAGAGGCCATTCTTATAGCTGACTAGAATTTACGAATAACATTCACCTCAACATCCTCTCAGCTTATTCTGACCCCAGCAATCTCCCAACAATCTCCATGCGTGAGTGCTGACATATAATCAGCCTTTGGTTCAGGATCACCCAATCGTGAGACTTTTGGTAGGTCGCATCTGAGACGGGCCTCCCAATCTTTCCCCAGGGCCTGTTTCAACCGAGAGGAATTTCTGATTAAGGTTGTATTAATATTCAAGAATATTTCGCCAAATTACGCAGAGGCCACAATCTCATCCAACCGAGCTACAGCCTCCCTCACAGCATCCATTCCAGGAGCATCATCCTCGATGAACTTCTCCAGCTCATATAAATGAGGCTGGCCATCGGCGACAATCAACATGACCTTGTCTTCCCCCAAGCAGTCACGCATGTCCTCGCTCACATTGAGCTCAACATCGGGATCCTTGTTGCCGTGGAAGATGACCGTCTTGGGCCACTGCGCGACTCGATTCTTGGAATCGGGAAGTTTCGCCCATTGGTACCCGGGGTCGACGGAGCCGACTATGTCGAGGAAGGAGTTGTTGAAGGTGTAGTAGTCGTAGAGCATGCCACGGTAGCTATTATCGTCTGATGATGTTGTTGTGGCGGGCACGGGGGGCGTGAATGATGGATCCTTTGCCCCGTCGGGGGTTAATTTGTCCAGGACAAATGTGGACTCGTCAGTGGGCATTTCGCCGACTTGAATTGGACCGGCGATGTACTTTTCCATTGACGCATGGGGGATATCTTCGCCGGCGGTTTGGATGGATGAGTTGAAGAAGGGGTGGTGGAAGGTGTTGATTCCCTGGATTGAGAAGAGAGCGAAAGGTTTGGGCTGGCAGTGGTGAGCGATGAGAGTAGCCATGAAGTAACCTCCACTGGCGCCTCCAACAATAACTGATCGTTTGGAAGAAGTTGGAGTGTCCCAATTCTGCGCAAATTCGTATGCCGCCGTGGCGTCTTCTAGGAGGCCTTGTCCGCCTGCCTGAGGGAGAAGACGGTAACTCGGGGAGATGAGAGGCCATTTCCGCTGAATGCACACCTACAACTTGACATGTCAGTGGAAATGCTCTATTGAGTGTCTTTTTCAGCTTTTTTTCGATTCTTCTCACCTGTACGAGCCAAGGCGCAATGACATCACGGTTCCCATCGACAAGTCCTCCAGGGTGAAAGTATAGAAACACGGGGTTGGTCTTTGGGTAGTCGTCGTGAGTGTAGATGTCGCATTTCAGCGAAAGGCCGTGATTGGCGTATTCCTGCGTTATCTTTTGAACCATGATGAAGCGTGAATTCGCACTTGTCTGTCTATGTTTTCAACAAGGTTGGTTTCATGAAGGAAAGCATCGTGAACTCCAGCATTATTATACTATGTTGAAAGTCCGGAGCGGGGTTTACAATATTGCAATAAGTGATTACTTGCTATGAGCTGCTAGGCAACAAGAATCCCGCAGCGCCCTTCCACGCACTTTAACGCCCTTCGGATAACTACGAGCAACGCGCAAGCACACACGCTTGATCAATCGAACAGCACAATCGCCGACAGAACGCGTCATCACGTGGGCGTAAGCATTCGGTCGAATTTGGGTCCTTTGGTTGAGAAGCTCAGGCGCCTTTTTGGGGGTGGTTCAGGGCTTGGGGATGCCCGTAGCGTTGGTGCTAGCGAAGGCTAGATGCACGAGTTGAGGGTTTTTACGGGCCTGAATCTGGCGCTTGTGGGGGTCGATAGATGATGGTCCGAAGTGGTTCTTGCTAAAGTCCGATGCAGGTGCGGAGTATTATCATGGCGGCTGTTACTATATTTGTTCCATATCATGAGTTGCTGTTGTTCGGGTTCTGTTATGCTAGAGGTTCCAAATTTTGGTGTCTGCAACCAGACGTTAGGAGGGACTCATATACATGTGTGCAGGGCCACCAAATTTGGCTGGACTTCAATGTTACGATCCACCACAAAGGTACCAGACAATGGCAGGCTGAGATGCATAACCGGCATGTCACGGGATGCTGGCGAAACGGCACAAGTTGTTTCGGGCTAGGAAAGGTATGAGAGACACCATATTAGGTAGGTATGTATCCGGTGCGATGATGTTGTCCTTGCCGTAGACTTGGCATTGGCAAATGTGTGCATGTGCAGAGGCCAACACCACCAGCAAAAATATATGTGAGTGCTGGCGCGAACATTACTGCTCCCCATTCTAATGTGTTAAAGACTAGAGGATATGTGTTCTTTTGTTATAAGTGAACAATTACATCCTGCTGTTTGTAAGGATCCAACGACTGACTGCTTCGGTGCCTCAATCCTGACACCGCTTGTTCTCCCAAATCGACAGGATCAGGCTATTGGTGACTTGGCTTTATGCGCTACATGCAGTCCATCATGGGACCTCTTTTGAGCGGGGGTACAATGCCGCTGCTAACGGGAATCGGAAAACTCAATTTACACGGCAGATCCGTCTAGGGATAAAGAGATGGACGGCTCACAACTGTGCAGATCCCATCAAGGTGTTGACGGTGTTGCTTTCCAACTGCCGCCGTTGCCGACGAGCGTCTAATGTAGGACAACAACATGCATGGTCGGATGGTTATGATGTTCACACGGCCTCTTATCTCACCCTTTGAAGCTTGTCTGATGGCCCATGTATCCCATGTTCCACAATGATCCTACGAGGCTTTGCTAGTGTGATACTGGCCAAGAGCTGAATGTTTGCCTACTCGTATGTGGCAGCTGGATAGATGATGCCAGTTCTTGAGAAGTCAATTCAGGCCCCTTTTTTTTCCAAGTCAAACATCTATTGGCCACGAGACTACATGTATGATGCTATAATGTGAGGAACATCAAGGCGGAGACATATCCATGATGCAATCATGTAGGAGGCACTTCTAGGCTTTGCGCCATCTCCAAGGTTGCTTATTGTGATTCGTCCCATATACCCTGTTCGGTATTAAGGGGGTCAGGCGAGCTTCATTTATACAAGGCCCTGCGGCTATCGTACTGCGAGAAAACTTTAGATCCAATCACTATATCGCCGTCCATCATGGCGCTATGCAAGGAGTGTAGCTTCGGTGGGAGAGAACAAGCATACAGGGCTATTGGCCAGCCACCTCGGAAAGTGTAGGAAGACTTCTACTAACGAGAGTCGAACTGCCCTTGTTTTGCTTTTTCTCACTTACAAGTCTACTCCTGATCTTGAGAAAGGAGATCCAATTGGATTCTTTTCCAAGCAAGGAGGAAACAAAACTAGTGTTTCTCTAAGAGGCCCATGAATCAGCCGCAGCCTAGTAAATAAGAAGAAAAAGAAAAGAAAAGAAGTACAACAGGGAGATTTCAGGCGTATTTTGCGATCCTGCGAGGCAAGGGAAATGACCCGGCATCATGGGACAGGGAAGCCTGTCACGATTTGCTTTTTGCTTGTCTCAGCTAGTGAATACGATGGCCCAGGGATATGGATCAGCCGCACCGTGGGAGAGACAGCCGAATAAAGTAGTGGTTGGCTAGCATCCCGTGTCTCAAATTACAGTACGCTCTTCAATACATACCGTACCTATGAGGAGATACCGTAAGGTGCATGTACTGTATCAATGTTACTTGTTGACCCCTGCACTTGATGATGGATGGTACACGTAGACCAAAATTGTTTCCTCTGCATGCTCTATGATGCTTAATACTGCTACCTAATGCAACATCGGAATACGTTGGCACCAAAGATTCTTTGCGTTTCGAACGGTCTGGGCATTACATCCAGGGACACCATGAACTTCATGGCTTGCATATTGCATGGAGGCCCGTGAGGTGTGGGAGCAACCGCATTTTGCATAGACGACATCGGGAAGATCGGTCAGTGAGTGGAGGCAGGCGTAAAACTGAGATGTCACAAATGACAACAGGCCTCGCTCAGGGCAGATTGCCGCAATAGAGAGGCGCTTTAATGCTGTCTGGTGCTTTGTCAAGACCCATCGGGACTGGGAGGGAGAGAGATAGAGAGAGGGAGTACGGAGTAGTTCTGCCGCTATTGCTCTAGCTCCCCGCCTTCCCTAAGCTACTAAGGTGCCCTACACTAGCTGCTACTACCCCGTAATGATTTTCAACTCAACCTAACTCCATCCATGGATTGCTTGCACAGTGTTGTTTGTCCTCACCAACCTTCATCTCTTGACCCTTTTCGATAGGCTGTTCTACCCTCTATCCAGCTGCAAGTCAGACCCGAGATGCTTACCAACTGCTTCTGAAAAGAACTCTTCCGACTGTCAACAGCCGGCTGTGATTGCTGACAGCGGCAGCGGGGTTCCTCATCTCCACTCGCTCGGAGCTTGCCATGACCGAGTCGAGGCAGACCAGACAGAGAGTACGAGTATAAGCCTGGAGCGGCTGCCCTCGGGACGTCAAAAGACAAGGATACAGATACACTCACCTACGAGTACAATGGCCGCACATGCACATTCGAGGTCTTGTTGCGAGGCCGGTCCACGTGTCTCAGGCCAGCCAGGCAGCCCCTGGGCACGGCCCGACGCCATTCCCCCACCAATTTGGTTTGTGCTGTAGCTCTGCCACTATCTGAGGCCAGGCTTGCGAGGATTTCAGCCCAATGATAGCCGACTGGGCACATGTACGCATAGCACGATGTGCATTTCCACTCCCCTGCTTGCTTGCTTGCTTGCTTGACCGGCTGCACGCTAGCACGCCATGCAGCCCGATACCAGGCTTACATGCATGCGATGGCAGACATCTGCTTATTGCGACACCATCCTGTACCGTGTCTCGAGGCGGCTGCTGTTCAGCCCGGCCGCCACAGCTTCGACCTGTGACTCTCAGCTGTTCACCGGCTCCGGTGTGCTGGGTACAGCCCCTCGCCTTGCCTCGCCTCGCCTCAGATTACCTGTTTGGTCGTGAACGAAGCCTCAAAGGGCTGGATCACGAGCTGCAGGGCCGGCAGATACTGCAGGCCCTCCTCGAGTGGGTGGGTAATGATGAGATGGCATGGGCAGATGGAATCGCAGGTGAATTAAAGAGGGGCCGGGTTCGGCCCCGTCACACAGACAGACGGAGCAACTGAGACCAGAGTACTCCGTATGAACGCGCGCAACCCCAAGGGGCCTTGAGAATTACCTTTTCTTTTTTCTTCTCCCGGCTGTTGCGTGGCGGGTCACATCCGAGGCGCCCATGTCGAGTTACACAGTTTGCTTTCTAGTCCAGCTTTTCGATGGCGTCCTCAATTTGCCTAATGGCCCTACACGCCAATATCCTTGACCTCTGGCCCCTATATATAGAAGATGCCCCGGGATAGCCGTTGCTTTCTTGTTCTGCATCTTTCCGGTGAAATCGTCCTTTGAAAGAGAGATAGTGCCAAGGTTTTATCCTGTATTCTGGTAGGTCGGCTCAGCCCACTGCTCGCAAAAAAAACACAACTTGACCCATTCTGAATCCAAATCCCTCTTTTTTAGCCCTGCACAGTCGTTTGCTCACCCATGCTCCAGGTTGTGTGGATCATCCTATCTGAAGCGAGTCTCTTTGGCTTCTTACAAAGGGCAAGGACTCGTGTGCTCTTTATTTTGTTTGGATTCTTTAGAATCTTGCTTCATCTCAGACAAGACCTCAGCTTGTCATTCCTGGCTCTTCTTTTTCAGATTGCCTCATCAGGCGAAACCTGTTCGGGGTCAGCCAATAATAGCCGCTGTCAAGACAAAACCAGGCCTCGGCAGCCGCCTGTCAAGGTACGATTGACAGGCCTCTTTGATTGGCCGATTGATAGGCTGTAATTAGCTGACCAAGGCGTCTAGACATCTTTATTAGAGAAGACGCCCTGGTGCGCTTACCGACAGTCAAGCTGGATTGTTTACTTTCATTTCTTCCCAGGAGGATCAGGAAGGCATTGCGAGGCAATATGGGCAGCGACGACGCATACTTGCTTACGGCAACCCAAGCTCTCGCCAGGATTCGCGCTGGTGAGCTGACGATTGAGAATTATGCACGCTCACTGCTGCGGCGCATAGACGTGCGTGATGCCGACGTCGGAGCGTGGGCGTACCTCGATAGGGATTACGTCCTGCAGCAGGCGAGGGCTCTGGATAAAGTGCCGATGCAAGACAGAGGTCCCCTTCATGGAATGCCCGTTGCCGTCAAGGATGTTATTTATACAAAGGGTATGTCCTATCATGTTGCACCTGGCCTGTGGAGGTGTGTGTTGGCAGAGCTAAGGGTAGGGTGTGTCTAGATATGCCGACAGCTCACAACTCGCCGATTTACAAGGGCGACTTTCCGAAGCTCGACGCAGCATCCATTATCCTCCTCCGCCACGCTGGCGTTTTGTTTCTTGGTTAGTTTGCAAACCGTTCCCTCTTTTCTCCAGTCACCACGTCGTTAACATGCCAACTTAGGCAAAACTACAACGGCCGAGTTCGCTGCCTCGTATACCGGACCGGCCTCGACACGCAACCCGCACAACCCGTCCCGCACCCCGGGCGGCTCCTCCTCCGGCTCCGGAGCCGCCGTTGGAGACTTGCAAGCCCCGGTCGCCCTCGGCACCCAGACCGGCGGATCCACCATCCGCCCCGGCTCTTTCAATGGCGTTTATTCAATCAAGCCCACCTGGAACGCCGTTTCCCGCGAAGGCCTGAAGATTTCCTCGCTGATGTTGGACACCATTGGCATTTTCGCCCGCGGCGTTGATGACCTAGACCTCGTCGCCGATGCGTTCGCGCTGCATGATGACGAGCCTAGTGACTTTGACGGCATCAAGGGCGCACGCTTTGCTTTATGCAAGACGGTTGTCTGGCCAATCGCAGGAGAAGGCACTCGCAATGCGATTGCCCGCGCTGTCGAAATCCTTCGTGCTCATGGTGCCGAGGTAGAAGAGGTCGATCTGCCGTCTGAGTTTGACAATCTGCCTCGTTGGCACAACGTCGTCCTCCAGACCGAGGGGGAGACTTTTTTCCTCCCGGAGCACCGCATTTCCAAGGACCAACTTTCTCCACAACTAGCTGGCTATGTAGAGCGAAAGGCTGGCTACGACCGCCGTGAGCAGCTGAAGGCCTTTGACGGCATCGCTGCGTTGCGGCCCAAGATTGATGAGATTGCCGGCAGATATACTGCTATTCTGACACCCAGCGTCGTTGACGAAGCTCCACTAGGGCTCGAGTCCACGGGCGACTCGGCGTTTTGCGTTGGCTGGTCCGCGTTGCATACCCCGGTGATAAACATCCCGGGCTTTCAGGGACACTCTGGCATGCCGATAGGTGTTTCGCTTGTGGCTCCGAGATATCGCGACCGCCATCTTCTCAAGGTAGCGAAGGAAGTGGGTAAGCTTTTCGAAGCGGAAGGTGGATGGAAGCGAAACCTGTATTAACCGCTTGAAACTATTGTTTAAACGCTTCAAATAGGGGATTTGCAGATGAGTTGTTACCTACTTGCGAGTAAGTACGTACATTAGAAACAGCAAAAATGTTAGAAAAGGGTAACGAGAGCAGAAATAGAAGCCTCACTAAGCTTGATCTTACTTTTCCCTTGTGTCGAGGGTACCTCGTGGTGTTGGCTTATATACCTGTTATTGTAATTGCCGACGAGGGCAATTTCACATGGTTGAGTGACAGGTATCTTTCTTCTCCATCTATTCAACGTGTTGGAGATTGACATACGCTGCCACATTCATCTAAATTGTGCTACTATCACCACCCGCTTCTAGTATCTTGTAACGCTAAATACAGGTTGTGAACAATTGCATGCTTTATAAGTTATTGCGCAATCCGCTCATGGCTCAGGTAGACATCATGTCCTGATAACTTTGTGAATCCGACTTTATTTGAAAAGAGTCGGCGGCTTCCGTGGCGGGAAAACTCCTTCATAAGCGCTCTGGAGTTGGATCAGAAGACCCTCCTCTTTCGCAACGGCGCCAAGCCCATGAGGACGCCCGTTGTACTCAAGGTAGCCAAGTGGCATAGCAGCAACAGGATATCCTAAAGTGAAAAAAATATTAGTCCTATAAGGTTATAATCAGGTGAAGCGGAAAGAAGGGAGGTTGCACCGCAGGCCGCAGCGAAATAGTACAGCGGAGACTCGAGTGGTCCCATCACCACGTTGATGTCGTATTCGTTAAATATCTTATCGATGCCTTCGTCGCGACCGAGTTTCTTCAAGTGTGCGACGTAGTTTGCACGGTCTTCGGGTGTTGTGTCCGTGTTTTCGCTACGTTCAAGGATCTCTTGGTTATCATAGCCTAGGAGTTGTCAGATCTAGGGGTCTTCTAGAAGAACATCTGCGAGAGATGGCATTGAGTTACCTGGAGGGAGCTCTCTATCGGCATTCTTCTTGTTGAAAGCAATCAATTCGGCCAAATTCTTGATTTGTGGAGTTTCTAGAAGTTGGAGGTAGTCCTCAAACTGTTCTTTAAAGTCCTTTTCTATTCCCTGATGCCTCAGTCATGTGTGTCTTATGCCCAGATTGATGCACAGCAAACTTACCAAAAATCTTGAGCAATACATCTTCACCATTGATAGTCAAAGTATCTGCAGTTCTCAATGGAACATTGTCCTTGAAAACTGACACATGTTGCTTGATCGTTGCATATGCGTCCCGAATTTCATCGTTCTAGTCAACTTAGTATACCAGAAATGAGCCTGACAAACCGAAACAAAGGTACAAATCTTACCAACTGTCTTTCCATTCCTTCATCCAAGACCTTTCGAATCTCAGGAGGGTACGTCCACTTTTCCGGATCCAATGTACCAATCCTGAGGCCCTCCCACGAGCCCGTCACCCGCGAAGCGTAACCCCCAGACGGAACATTTTCAGGATCGGTAATAATATCCATCAACACCGCCAAATCCTTCGTAGTCTTTGTCATAGGCCCCGGTTGATCCGAAAAGTTCGAAATGGGGACAATGCCCCTAGTGGAGATCAGCGCGCGGCCAGGCTTGAGTGAGTAAAGGGCGGCTCGGCCCGCAGGCAGCATGAGTGAGCCAAATGTCTCGGTCCCAATGCTGATGGGCGCAAATCCGGCTGCCACGGCGATCGCAGAGCCAGATGAAGATCCGCCGGGGTTCTAAAGGAATGTTGCCAGATGAATCAGTGTTTCGGGAAGGGATGATACAGGGCACTGCTTTTGTTTCACTTACGCTGTGTCCTGCGAATGAATCTCCGATGAGAAGGCCTCCTTTGACGTAGGGGGATTGAGCTTGGCCGCTTATGCTGTTCCATCCACAGAGAAGATTTGTGCCCCTGCGCCATTGTGTCAGCTTATTAAAGATCAATGCGAGTTAAATACATGTAGTCATTACTAACTTCCACCATGAGAGTTCCTACATGGGGGATTAGCCTATCGTGTACTTTAATGACAGTTGAGCCGTCACTTACCGACAAGCTGGCTTTACCTATGATGATGAGTCCAGCTGCCAGCAGCTTAATTGCCTTGATTTAGCTCATTTTTACTAGATTTAAGCTTACAATGGTCACCTACTCGGTCTATAATAGGCGCATTGCTCCTTGGTTTCGAATCAACCAACGCCAGGCTACCAGCTGTGGTGTCTAGACCAGTAGAAGGATGCGTTGCGACATTATCCTTCACCAGGATTGGGATTCCGTGGAGGGGACTTCGAAGCTTTCCTCTCTGTCTTTCATCGTCTAAAATTGTCGCCCTCTCTAATAGAAGTGCCTCGGGAGCTATGCTGATTACGGCTTTAAGGTAGTCGTTGTGGCGCTCAATCTGCGAGAGATATATCTTCACTAGTTGCTTGCTGGTTATGCCGCCAGAACTTAGCTCTCGCTGGAGGTCATCAGCGGTGGCGGTGAGAATGTTAAAATTCGGGACCATGGCTGGTAGTGATGCAGCAAGGGGTATTCTAAGAAGTTAGAGTTAACACGTATATCGAATGCGAAATACGAAGAAGAGTGTGTCTCATTTATTGAGCTCAATTGAGGTCCGCTAGCGAATTTAAGATGGGAGATAACTGAGCGGGTACTGTTATCCGATGCATATATCCGGAGTAGCGAATATAGTAACTTAGAACCCAAGACAACCAGCATCCATCCATCCTTTCTTTTGTGCAACATTCATCCTTCAGATGTTAGAATCAATTTCATGTGTTTCTCAAAGCAGTGTACAAGGGGTGCTTCAAATACAAAGTGCCAAATGGGGGTCCCATCTTATTGAGTTTGCTCCTCCTGCAGGGTAACGTCAGCTCCTTCGGATGAGCGACGCATCAGCCGGCAGCTGTGACAGTGATGAGCTCATCAGTTATCCGACTGAGATGTCCAATGCCATTTGGATGAGATGATATCTTTGCATTAGGATGGGATTCGTAGGATTCGCGGGGTTGATGCATCAGCCGACGAGACACCAAGTTCAGCAACGTCACGTCAGATTGGTATGGTGATGAATGCCATTCTACACATGGATATGCTTACATCATTAAGTGATTATGTGTAGAAGAATTATAGTAGCATGATAGCATGACCAAGATCATCAAAATTTCTCATTAAGGATACTAACCCGGAGATTGCAAGAGATCTCGCGGTACACGAGCCGAGCTTCTGAGGCGGAGATGCGGAGATCCAGTTTTCCGTCATCCTGGTGGATTCCCGACGAGCCAGGCTTCTCCCAATGAGGGAAATAGCTTGTCAGCATACGCGTAGCGGCACTTATGTCCGGGAACTGAACCTTTTGGGCTGGAGTTAAAAATTCCGCCTGGTGACACTCCCGGCACTTGTGCTGCCTTATATAACGACAGCCGTTTGTTCGTCTTGTAGATTCTTTTCCGTAGCATTGTCCATCATCTTTAATCTTAATTCGCCCCATTTACGTGTTTTTCATCAAGTGCTACTGTGTCTGATAAGACTCAAGTTTCTTCTTCTTACAGAGTATTCCGACTTATCCACCCGCTGACTACGTTTGATAACAACCACCTCAACTCTTCACACACCCCACAACCACAACCTCCATCACAATGCATATCATCCTGACAGGCGCCACTGGCTTGGTGGGCAGCTCCGTCCTGGACGCCATGATCAAGGCCAAAGACATTACCAAAATCTCCATTCTCAGCCGCAAGCCCATACGCATGGTTGAGGACGCCAAAGATCCCCGAATCAACGTCATCCTCCACCAGGACTTTGAGAAGTACGACTCAAAGGTGCTAGAACAACTTCAAGGCGCAAAAGCTTGCGTCTGGGCCCTCGGTATCAGCCAGACCAAAGTCAATGCCCAAGAATACGTCAAAATCACCAAGGACTACACCCTCGCCGCTGCAAAGTCCTTTTCTACGCTCACAACCTCACCATCAGAACCGTTCCGCTTCATCTATGTATCGGGTGAAGGCGCTACGCAGAAGCCGGGCCGCTTCTCTGCCATTTTTGCTCGGGTCAAGGGAGAAACGGAGACGGAGCTGGGTAATTTGACGGCTTCGAATCCGACGAGCATCCAAGCGGATTCAGTGCGACCAGCTTTCGTGGATCCAAGGGAGCACAAGGCTATTCTGCCATATATTCCGGACCCAGGAGCGCTGTACAAGGTTAGCGTTGCGGCGCTGTCGCCCTTTATCGGCTTGATGAAGGGGATGCATTCGCCGACGGAACACCTGGGAGACTTCTTGACCAGGATGGCCATGGGGAAAGTGGATTCGCAGCTGGAGGGGCCGGGAGCATTTAAACTGGGCGGCTCGTGGGTTATCGAGAATGTTGGTTTCAGGAGGATCATGGGATTGTCGGGGTAAGAATTTGAAATCTGGAGAAGGCGCACAATCGGAGAACGTTGGATGTCGCTGGCAACTCACACCCTTTGGGGATATATACCTATGGAGAGCAGTGGCCTTTGTATTTTTAGCTATTCACTTTGTCGGAACAGGATCTAGGATTAAGCTTATTTATTTAGTCTATACCATTACCACCATGCATATCGTTTCCACTTTGAGATTCTCTACACAACACAATGGGTTCATCGGAAGGCGTGATTGCACAATTGACTGAGCCTCAATCATGTCTTAACGTAAGAAATATCCAAAACCTGTCACCTTTTTTTAAAGCAATACTCGGTGAGGCAAAAGATGCCATATTAGTCGCGTCTACGCGCGAAGCCTGCACTCGAGACGCGAATCACTTTAGCAAGCCGCCCAGAGACATGGAGCAGCTTCGGCGACCCATTGTAATATAGCGCAGGCAGATGTCTCACAACTGAGCATAGGGTCCCTTTTCGGCCGGGCGGATTCCGAGTCGGTACAGGCGCTAAGGGTGATTCTGCGTTTTGTCACAGCATTTGGTATGCTGGTGTCGCGAAGAGACACAACACGTTGGTCCTTAGTGTGCGACAGCAGCTAGTATTGCACCTAGGCCTAGAACAAGAAGCTAAAGAGCATTAAAATAGAAGCAGAAACATGCACTAAAAGGACAAAGTCGAAGCTGTATGGAACAGTATAGATTGGTGTTGTGGCAGACAATAATGAAGATGGGCGGAGAGCCGCGATCACGTGCGTCCCTCGTGAACTTCACATTGCTTCGCTCACCCCTTCGAAGCAGTGATCGTACATGTAACTTTCAGCCACATTCACACTTGGCATTAAATGTTCTAGGATACGTCACAAACTCAACTGGAGGCAGTGGAATTGGTAACCTCGGCGGAAATGGCTCTACAACGAATAGCAACACCGGCTCAGTTGGGGATACTGATTCAACCCCGACGACTAGCAGCACTGATCTTATTGGTGCCCTTATAAACTCAACAGCCGAACTTGTTAACTCAACCGCCGGTAGCCTTCTCGGAGCGTTGCTCGGAGGCCATGGAACACACGATAACTCCACAAATATGACAGGAGTTATTGGCAATCTGACAAATAGCATGGGATCCGGGGCCACTGACAATAGCACCACGGGTAGCCTGCTTGATGGGTTGATTGGAACTCCAGATAACAGCACGGGGTTGTTGGGAGGATTACTTGGCAACTCTACCTCTGGCAACTCGACCGGTCTCCTAGGGGGTGTGGCAAACTCAACTGGTGGTCTTCTCTCAGGACTCCTGGGTTCAGCAGAGACTAATAGCTCAACAACAGGCGGTGGCTCAAATAGCACTTCACGCGGTGGCCTCCTCGACTCGGTTCTCGGCGGTCTTGGCTCTACAGCGAATAGCAGCACTAACAGTACTTTGTCGGCTCCAACAACTGGCGGCACCACAAATACCGATCTTCTTGGAGCTCTTATCAATTCCACAGTTGCTCTCTTGAACACGACAGGCAACACTCTCTCAGACCTCGTGAATACGACGGGCCACGCAGCTAGTAACCTTCTCAATATTACCTTTAGCGGCACCTTGGGGAGTCTTGTGAACACGACTAGCGACACTTTGTTAGGTAGCCTTCTTGGGAAGTTGGATTGATGATTAGTAGTAGTAGCGGCGGATGTGTTGAACTTGCGATAGAAGGAAAATAAAAAGAAAGATTATAAAACAATATGCGCGTCTCTAGGCATCCCGGAGAACACATTCTCGGGAGCTGAACTGGATTACGATAGCTCGTCTTGCATGTACTCAAACGAACAACAAGTTTACAAGTCACGATACGAAAGAAGACATGAATGCCCACAGAACTCAGGTAATTATTAACGTAAAAAAAAAAAAAGACCCGAAAAACAACCGAAAAAAACAACAACAACACAACCGAAAAAAAAAAACACAACACAAAGCAAGATTGATGAAATCACGGTGGCCGGGAGAGTCTGTTACATCATGTTAGCGCTGCTCACTATCGGATGCTTGATGAAAGGAGGAAAGGCATTACCAATGATGAGGATAGCGCAATCGGTCTGGGAAGTACCAGTGATCATGTTCTTGATGAAATCACGGTGGTCGGGAGCGTCTGTGAATTGCCTGTTAGTATTGGCTTGCGATCGCAGCATGAAGTTGATGAAGCAGACAATGTACTTACCAATGACGGTGACATAGTACTTGGGAGTCTCGAACTTTCACAGAGCAATGTCGATGGTGATACCACGCTCACGCTCGGCTTTGAGCTTGTCAAGAACCCAGGCGTACTTGGGAGTCTCGAACTTCCACAGGGCAAATTAACGACGGGGCGCAGGGCCATTATAATAATTATTATTATAAATTTTTTGCCCTCCCCGGGAAAAGGCGTATTGGCCCCCGTGGCCCCCATGGCCCGGCTCGGCCCGGCGGCGCTTCGGGCAGTTCTTCTTCAGGTGGTCCGGGGACCCACAAACGAAACACCGCTTTTCGGCGGCAGCCTCGGCGGGACGAGGCGCGACGGCCAGCTCCGTCGTGGTGGTGGTGGTGGTGCTGGTGGTGGTGGCAGGGGCAGGATCAGCCGAAGACTCGGCCATATCAGCCTCTGCCGGGGGAGGAGGAGCAGAGGTTGCATCCTCCTGCCCCTCGGCAGGGCGCAAACGGAGAGGCAGGACGGCCCGCCATTCTTGCTGCTGCTGCTGCTGCAGAGCTCGGAGGTCTCGGACCTCCGTTTCCAGCGCATCGATGCGCTTCTTCTGCTTATCCACAAGGCTGTGGATTATATTTTATAAAACCTGAAAATCTATAGACTATAACGTTAGTTATTAATACTAAAGTGTAAGCGTGATGGAAGTATGGTATAACTTACTGGTGGCGGGGATAGCGGGGGCAGATATTTTATAGAGTTTTTTTAAAAAAAATAATGTAAAAAAAATAACTATAATAGTATTTATTAGCTTAGTAAATAATATAGTAATTAAAAAGCATAAGGAGAGTAGAAAGGGATTAAGAAAGGTTAGTAGATGTAAAAATGTAAAAGGTTAAATATATATTTACTAAATATCCTTATTCTAGATAGTAATACGCTTAGCGTAGATGTTCTTACTCTAGATAGTAATACGCTTGGCGTAGATAGTGCATAGGTTGGTATCCTTAAAGAGGGAGATGTAGTAAGAATGTAAGACTATATACTAATGTATTAGCGACGGTAACGAGTAGGAGAGAAAGTGGTAATGGCTTCATATTCTTACAGGCTGGGCAAAATGAGGCTTCTTAAGAAAGGAAGAAAGAAGAGAAGAAGAAAAAGCAAAAGGAGGGGAGAAAGAAATTGATATGGTGCACACTGCACAGATACATCACGTGGCTGCTGCAAAAGTGAACTGAAAGTGACGGCCAGCTGACAGACAGATGAGGGCTCTCTGAGTGCCCGGCAATATATTGGATGCAGTAGAGCAAGGGGTTGTGCCCTATTAGGTCCCTAAGGGGTGCTGAGTACACGGCTCACAGTTGCCAGCAATTGCGTAGATCTTACTTGGATACTATACCAATTGGCTGAGCTCCTGGTGCGTTTATAATATCAAGAAATGGGAATGCAAATGTGAATCCCAGTTGTCAACCGAGGAGGGAGGAGCTCATTGAAGCCTCAATAACTATGGAGCCTAATTGACAACACCTTGGGTGACCGGTCAATAGAAATGAGTACTAGGTATTTGATAGTTTCTAGCAATGATATTTGGAAGATGAAAGCGTTGCAGATCTATCAGTTTGATTGTGTGAAGGACGCGAGTTTAACTTGAGGCTCTCTTTCAACATGGCATCGGACACACTGCCTGTTGTTTTTTGAACAATAAAATGGATTCCATTGCCTGGCCTAGATATCTAGAGTGGCAAGCCAACGGCAGAAAACGAGAAGATGGACAGACTCGATTAGTCTAGCCAGCTACTGGAAGGTCTCTCACTCTGAGCATTGCTGTTTGTTATATAACGGAATTATGGAAAATGCCTTCACCATCACAAGTAGAGCTTCACGGGTAGCAGGAATTCCAAATTTGCGGCTCTATTCAGGTGTCAGAACCCGCTACCCGCCTGCCAGCTGCCCAGTGATTTGACTCTGTTTTCTTCTCTCTTTTCAATGTTGCGTTCGGCACAATTGTTTTTCTCTATCCGACTTGTTTTATCTATCTATTTTCCTTTGGCCTTCTCCCGCTTTCGTCTTTCTCCTTCCTTTCGATATTGGTGTTTGCCGTTTCCTATTATATGGAGCTGACAGTGTTCTCGCACACTCACACACCAGCCAACAAGGTCATAAATAGTAAGTGGGAAAAAAGGTCGCAAGCTCTGTATTGGACGCGCGAAGCTTGGATCGAGATACTGACTGATATGTAGATAGGCCTCCCCAACGATCGCATACGCAGAGAGCTTCCCAACACGTAATGAGCCTTCCAAGTACGATAAATAGCCTTTGATCTACCTCATACCAGAGAGCCTCTGTGATGAGCGTTTCGCTCCCTGATACTTGAGACAAACATTGCGTATTTTCGACCCCTGCTCCGACTTCCATCTCCGCGATTCTTTCCGCATTCGAAAACAAGGGTAATGGTGCAATCTGACTAGACGAACGCCGCAGTTGGCGCGAATCAGAGGCATATGAAAGGCACCGCACGCAACGCTGTCTCTGGCGTCATTTATTGGCTAGTGAGAGGAGCTAGATGTTTGTTTTGGTCTTTGGAAAGTCTCTTCGAATAAGCACGGATATATGAGAAACAGCAGTGAGTCCAAATAACAGCCTCTTACAATGCCTTTTGTTCGCCCTGCTGCTATTGGTGATATTAAGAGAAGGAGTGGTATCATGGCTCTCGTACGTACGTTTACTCGTTAACTGCCAGACTACAATTACTTCGATGCCTCGACCCGATTTAGGTGATCCAGCTATCGGTACGTCCAAGGTACCTACTTACCTCAGGTAGCTCGTTCCTTCCCTTCTGAAACGCGATAGTAAATCGACGCTTCCGTCGAGTTTCTCGTCCTGCTTCTCTTTTCTTTTTTCTTTTTCACACACACACACAATGCCTACCCCCTTTGTCGTCAGCAAGCGGGCGTCGAGATCCAACAGTCGTCACTGTGCGTCTTCCTCCTCTTGAATCGATAGGAACGTCGATCAGAATATTACCGTCGCCCGCCCCCGGACCCCCAAGAGGTGCTTCCACCATGTCTGCTTCCGATATTGCCTTATTTTGCCAAGCCTGTAAGGATATAAAGTCATCACTACTTTCTCTTTTACTCGTTACTGTCGCTAATACATTAGTATATAGTCTTACGTTTTTACTACGTTTTCCTCTTTAAAAACACTAACCTTTAAGTTATTTATATAAAGTATATTACTATCTAAAGTAAAAACATTTACGTTAAGTATATTACTATTTAAAATAAAGATATTTAATATATATAAACCTAATCTCTTATATTTTATATTTATTAATCTCTCTTAACCTTTTTCTACTTTTTTTATACTTTTTAATTAGTATATTATTTATAAAGCTAATAAATATTATTATAGTAATTTTTTTATATTTTTTTTTTTAAAAAAACTTTATTATAATATCTGTCCCTACTAAAATACCTGTCTTTAATAAATTATATTATACTTCTATTACGCTTATACTTTAGTTTTAATAACTAACGTTATAGTCTATAGATTTCGATGTTTTATAGAACACGATCCACAGTTATGCTAAGGAGAACAAGAAGCAGCAGCAACAGCAGTACCAGCAACAGTAACAGCGCATTGAGGCGCTGGAAGAGGAGGTCCGAGACCTCCGAGCTCAGCTGCAGCAGCAGCAACAACAATGGCAGGCGTCCCTGGCGTTTGCGCCCTGCCGAGGTACAGGAGGATACAACCTCTGCTCCTCCTCCCTCAGTAGAGGCTGATATAGCCGAGTCCTCGGCTAACCCTGCCCCTGCCACCAGCACCAGCACCAGCACCAGCACCAGCACCAGCACCAGCACCAGCACCAGCACCAGCACCGAGGTGGCTGTTGTCTCGGCTCCCGCTGCCGCCGCCAAGAAGCGGCCAATTGGGGCGTGTTACGGGTGTGGCGAGCCTGGCCACGTGAAGCGGCATTGTCCGAAACGCCGGGGCGGCCCAAGGCCAAACCAACTTTGCCCGGGGAGGGAATAAAATTAATAATTATTTTTATGGTGGTGCGGGCCCAGCGCCTCTTTAAGTTGCCCTGTGGAAGTTTGCTCGTATCAAGAAGACTAATAATTAGTAATAATACAACTATACTCCCCTAGTATTTGCTTTGCTACCATCGCATCTTTCTTCTAGTATCTGCTACCGTTTCCATATTCTTCCAGTATCTGCTACTGTTTCGAAATTCTTCTAGTATCTGCTATTATTTCTATATTCTTCTAGTATATGCTACTTATTCTGTCTTTATCCAGTATCTGCTACCATTTTTATATTCTGCTAGCATTTGTTACTATCACCACCGTTGAAGTTGTGACATAAGTCTCTAAACAGCAACATGGTGGTTCTCAAGATGTATTTCCATCTCAAAGGCCTACTACCCGTTACAGCGTTCCCAAAAGGGAAGAAACAACCTGCTTCTGCCTACAGCTTTTGCTCCACATTGATCTACATGGGCGGATGAAGACGAGGATGGACGGCATAATGAGTGTCAAACGGGTTGAAAGAACTTTTGAAAGCTTCGACAGCATCTTGGAATACGACTGAGTATACTGGTAGACTACAGACGGGAGTATTATCGCCAAAAAACACTCCAAAAGAGTGCTCAGGAGAGCTCTCAGGATACCTTTGAGGAGACCTTGTGCTCGCAGAAATTACAAAGTCGAATCTTCTAGTGGGAGATGAGTCTTGCTCTGGCGGAAGGTGACCAAACATGTCGAGGCCCATCCAGCACAGCTTTAAAAAGGTCATACCCCGAGTAAGTATTTCATCCAGTACATGTCTGTTTACATTCAAGATCTAGGCTACTTAGAAATTATTGGTGATATCGAAATTATATCCATAGAGCCCTTGATCACGACAAAATGCACATGTTGCACTTTGGGGATGGTAGAGCAGATAGGTAAGTGCAGGGCACTGCCCCTCTCTGAAAGGAACGCATAGGCCTCTGTAACTTCCAGTGCCATGTACCTGAGGTCGGTGCCTGTAGATCAAATCAAGCTGTCAAAGTGATTGCAGGATGGCTGCTGATGAATTAAACATTGATCACGGTACGACTCCTTACAGTGGCCCTTTGTTGCTACAAGAGTATACTCATCACTGCCAATCAATGGCCAGCTTCGTACTCCGCTGAGCCAAGTTTGGCTACACATCCATGGGCCACCTCGGATGTACCCTGCGCTAATAAGTCTTGCCCGCTTCTTTGGACGCTACGAATCCAGGGGTAAACAGAACTAAAACACCTCAAGGTTCCACACAAAACGACAACAGACAGCAATGGAATTCAGTCTTGGGAGCCGATCCCGACAGATTCGTGACACCATATTCGAAGGCCTTAAACAGGCGCCTTTGTGCCGCCTCGTGCAATCATGAACTGGCGTAGAATCAGAGCACGGAATCGAGGCTCTTCGACAATTTCAATTTCTTCTCTTTCTACCCTACAGTTACTTTGCCCCGCCCATCTGTTTCGCTCTCTAGTTCGGTAGGTTGCTCGTCTTCGCCAGGCTTATGAAGAATGGAACTGCAGAGGTTTCCGTCGGAATACACGTTGGGGCGGATGAGAGAGCACGTCCACCTTCAACGCCGCTCAGCGTGAAGTTACAGATGCCTTTAATATTCTACGCAGTGCGAAATGTGTGGCATGAAGCCATTGTGTTATCATCATACCCCCTTATCCCATTGTCTTTTCGCGTGCCCTGGCTCATGACAATGGTAACACCGCTTTTGGGCGGTGGTGGCGGCGAGGGCTCGACCAAAACAGGCGGCAGGGTAGCCTGCCATTGTTGCTGATGCTGATGCTGCTGCTGATGCTGCTCCACGTAATCGTTCAGAGCATTCCACACGGCATCAAAGTCTATAATGCCGGCTTGTGGTTCAATTTTAACGTCACTGTATCATTGTGTTTGCAAGTTTACAAGTCACGTTAAGAAAGAAGACATATATGCTCACAGAACTCAGGTAATTATTAGTATGTAAAAAAAAGACCGAAAAAACAAACAACCAGCAAAACCCGAAAAAACAACAACACAAAAAAGCAACAACTTGATGAAATCACGGTGGTTGGGAGCGTCTGTGAATTGCCTGTTAGCACTGGCTTGCGGTTGCAGCATGAAGGAAGTTGATGAAGCAGACATACCAATGACGGTGACATAGTACTTGGGAGTCTCGAACTTTCACAGGGCAATGTCGATGGTGGTACCACGCTCATGGGCCAGGCCCACGCTTGTCCCGATGATCATTATAATAAATTTTAATATTGTTCCCGTAAAAATGGGAGGCGCCTATCGTGACCGGCGCGGGTGGGTCGGCCCGGCCGGCCCGGTTCTGAGGGCAATGCCTCTTGATGTGACCCGGCTCGTCACAATTATAACACCGCTTTTGGGCGGTGGTGGTGGTGGTGGCCACGGCTCTGGAGGAGGAGGAGGCAGAGGCGATGGTGGTGATGGTGGTGGGAGCGGGGGCGGGAGCAGCTTGCTGCTGCTGCTGTTGCTGTTGCTGTTGCTGGCTCTCCAGCTCGGCCACACGACGCCTGAGTTCGGCGTTTTCACGCCGGAAGCCGGCATTCTCCTGCGTCAGGGACAGGAACCCGTGGTATATAGTATCAAATTTTCCTATAGAAACGTTAGTGATCGTCTAAGTTGTGAGGGACTGCAAGTATTATGAGACGTACGCTCTGTGGAGAGAGCATTCCAATCTGCGAGGGAGAGCAGCCGCGTGTTGTTGTTGTTGTCTATGTATTAAATATGTTAGCTGAAGAATAACAGAGAGCAAGATGGCAAGAGACTGAGTGAATGTGCTTACCAGACATGGTTGGTGTCCTCGAAGAGGGAGATGAGGTAAGACTCGACGGACTCCTGGAGGGCGCTAATGGCGGATGACTGGAAGCGGAGGTCGCTCGGTGGACTTCTGGTATCGATGAATCTCACGGAGGGCGATGGTATCAGGTTTATAACGGTGAGGCTTGTTGGCTGTGGAACATATTAGCGACGATCGGTGGGTAGTGATGGCTTCATGTGCTTACCAAAGAATCTCTCGGAGAGTGACGGTACCAGGCTTATAACGGTGAGATTCTGAAGAGAAGAAAGAGGAAAAAAAAAAAGAAAGGGAAGCAAGGAAATGAAATTGATCTTGTGCCCACAGGAATCACGTGGCTGGTGCAGAGAAAGTGAAACGAAAGTGAAGCGAAAGTGACGGACGGCTGACAGCTGGCAGTGAGGAGAGAACTTGTTGAGTGCTTGAGACTGCATTGGATTCAGTCTGATAGCCGTCTAAGCTCCATGTTATGCTAAAGAAGCGGCTAATACTAGGTATTCAGCATCCCAACTATCACGTAAAGCTCAAGTGACGGAACGGGAGGTAAAGGGGAATACGGAACACGTTCATCATGTATCACGGCACTTGTCTTGACAACATATGTCCGTTTTTCTTGAGTATCTACTACAGTCACTTCAGGCACCCATGACATCGAGTTCATCCACGTTGAGCTGAATCGAAATATCGAACATTGCTCGACACTTCTTTTGCCTCGTTTGATACTCATCATCCTGTCCATGCTCGTCTTCTTATGCCTTTTCCTGGGCGCATAGATAAATGTGGAGCGAAAGTTGCAGGTAGGAGCAGCTCGTTCCTTTCCTTTGAAGAATGCAGCAGGTCAATGCGTAAGACAATTTCCATCGAGTTTCTCGTCCCTCTCCCCTCCTCCTCTTCTTTTTCATCCAGAAAGAGACGCATGCATACAGACACACATACACACACAATACCTGCCTCCTCTGTCTCGGACCGAGTGTTACGGTCCAACACCCGTCGTCGTGCGTCCTCCCCTCCTCTCCCTCCTCCTCCTCCTCCTCCCAAACGGGCTCGTCGGTCTGGCCCACCTCCTCTCTCCCTCCCCACCTCTCTCCGAAGGCGAAGGCTACCTTGACGAGGGCACCAACTTCGGAGAGGTTTTGTTGTCCCTCGTTGACTGCAGCGAGGAAACTCGGGGGTGAGATAACCGAGTCTATCTGTCGTGCCGCCGGGGATAGGGCAGTGATACCTAACGGCAACCTGGATCCGGCTGAGGTGCCTGAAGGCCAATGGGCATCCTGGGATCCTGCCATGGATCGCGACTGGGAAGATTTTTTCGACAACCTTCAGACTGCCAGATTAAAAGACGACCAGATTCCTGAGCTGTCGAAACCGTCTGGGCCACGGGTTGCTTCGTTGTACTATTTGTGGCACTATCCGACATATAGAACAGACCGGGATCTGTATGGAACGACACTGGATAGCACAAACGACTGTATAAAGTTGCAGTGTCAGGACCCATGCCACATACCCAATTCGGATCAAGTATACGGCAGGCGAACCGAATTATAAGGAGCTGTTGGGCGACAAAGCTGAACCGCGGATCAAGGCAGTATGCGAGGATTTCGCCTTGGAGGCTGTGAAATTGGTCCCATTCACCATCGCCCTTGGAAAACACAACTCGGGGTTGGTCCGGAGGAAACTTGAAGAGACGGATGGATTGTATCTTGAGACATACACAATCAAGTCGGCAATAAAGATGTCCGACCGCGCGACGTCTTGCATGGACGTCCAGGATATCGACGAGATCATTGTGAACATGGTATTTTTCAGTTACCATGGGATGTATTTCTTGGACGAGAAGATACCTGTCGACAAGTTATCTTCTTGCACGACTTGATCTGAAACCAAGTTTGCGAGTGGAGTCGAGTTTTAGTCGCGAGGGAACGACACTTTCCAGTTATGGGCGATTGGCTTGACAAGTTTCGCAAGAAGACTTCATTGGACATGGCTAGAATCTACCTGGTCGAGGAGGAAAACCCGGAAAGTTTATGCCATCCGTGGACGTGAGGAGGTAATCCAGCCATGGATTGATACCTGGACAAAGACAAAGACAACAAAGACAACGACGACGGGCTCGAAGTCTGTAGATTGGACGAGCTCAGAAATTGATGGGAGTTTGGAGATGCCGGAAGAGGCGAGGTTAAAGGAGGTAAGGACGGAAGTCGACTAATGAGAGGGCTCGGCTGGACGCGAAGGAGCGGGGGGAGAAGATGGCAAAGAAGTGAAGATCCTAGGCAATGTTTGGCTGGCTGATGATGGTTTTCAGGATGATGGCTGGCGGTTTGTCACGGATTTGTTTTTAGAGAATAGCTACTGGGTATTCAGCATATTCAGCACCCTAGGTTGGCTGTCCACCCAAACAACTGCGTCAAGTTTGAGCATTGGAACCGGAAAGCTGTTTATTTACTACTTCGTGCATTCATCTTGATAATACCTTGGAAATATCCAGCTGAGTTCTCTCAGCGTCTGCTCCTCGTACCACTCGTCCCCCACCGGGAGATTCGACACTGTGATTTCTGATTGCGAGAGTCCCCCTGAGCATCTCCTCCCCGAGCGCTCTCGCGACATTTCAAGACCATTCTAAGATAACAGTGCTGGACTGTCTACCCTATCTACCTCTACATTTCAAAAAACAATCCCATAAGATTTTGCAGCCATTCACGCACTTTTTGTCTCTTTTTCCACAGTCATTTTGCAGTCCGTCCTCGTTTGCGTCTGCCTCTGGTGACCGCCGAGATAAATGTGGGGCCACCAGCTGTTGGCAGGAGCAGCTCCTTCCTTCCCTCCTCTCCCCTCCACTTCATCATCCTTTTCTTCTTCTCTCTTCTTTTTTTTCTTCCTCTTCTTTTCTTCTTCCTACACACACACACACACACACACGATGCCTGCCTCTGTCATGAACAACTGAAGTGTCGAGATCTAACACCACCGCCTTGCCTCAATCCCTCTCAATCCCTTCCCCTCCTCTTCCTGTCTTTCTTCTTCTTCATCTTCTCCTATTTTTCCTTCACCTCCCTCTCTACCTCACCTCCTCCTCCTCCCAAACAGGCTCGTCAGTCTGCTCCGTCTCCTCCATCTCCCCTCTTTTCCCGTTTTCTCCTTCTCCTCTCTCTGCTTCCTCTTACTATCTCCATCACCATTCCCGTTCCCCCCCACCCCGTCTGCGTCTTCCCCGTCTTAGTCTTCCCCGTCTTCCTTCCCCTTCGAAGTTGACATATACCTTGACATCGTTAAGGTATATGTTTGCCAATGGCACTAGCTTCGGAGAGGTTTTGTTGTCCCTTGTTGGTTGTAGCGAAGATAGTTGGAGCAAGGCGGCTGATGATGGTTGTTTGTCCTGATTGACCTCATGTCAGGACAATTACAGGCTGGAGAATGCCTGGGTCCTGATTGACCTTATATCAGAACAGTTGGAGAAAGACCAGTTCCAGATTGATCTTATGTCTGAACCCTGATTGACCTTAGGTCAGGATTTGTTTTTTTCATTGCTTTCTCGGCTTGCTGAGGATGCGAAGAAAAAAAGGTTTGTTTCATTTTGTAAAGTAATGGCACTTATTCTGTTAGATCGGTAGCTCTGCTCCTAGTTGATAGCATCATTCGTAGAGAGAGAGTTTGCATCTGGTTTTGGACGGCCATAGTTCATAACTCTGGATACAATCACAGTCAGAACAAAACGCCTTGGACGAACGAGTGGCATCTTAGGAAGGGAGAATCGCACGGTGAAAAGGCATCCCGGCTCCACCCACCAACATCACCACACACATCCTTAACTGGGGACGAGCGGAGATAAGACGACTGGACAGAATGAATGTAAGGTAGGCAATGGTACCCAAAAACAGATATATCAAAATGTATTTTAAGGGTAAACAATGGAATGGAATGAAAAGACGGCTGGGCATTTGGCGTTTGCCGGGAAGCAACAGCAGTGACGGCCTGTCGCCAGCAGACATGCCGGGCAACACCTGGCACTCAGCGACCACATCTTTCTTTTGTCATCTTTTTGCTTCTATCCTCTTTTTTTTTCTTTCAGTTTTTTTCATCTTTTCGCTCCGTTGAATTGCTCAGCCTCATCCTTTGCTGTGCCTCGCCAAAACTCTTGCACACGATCTCTGAACAACATATGGGAGCCCGGCAAATGCACGAGGAATCAGATACACTATGGCGAGAAAGGGCACACTGCGAACCCAATCGTCAAGGCAAGTTTGCCACAGGATTAGACCGCAACGTAGCTGAAGACTGACCAAGGGGTACCAGTATTCCCACATCTTACCTTTCAAGCACAAGTATGCGCGAGCCGGCGAGCGAATAGCTGGACAGCGAGTGATCAGAAGACGGCGGCCCCGGCGAAGCCCGAGAGAGCTACGAAGATTGCGAACAGTGAGAAGGGCAATATTGAAGCCTGGGTGATCGAGTGCCAGGTCATCATTGGATCGCACAAAGAAGAGGACATGAATGAACTCTAACGCCTATCTCACCGAATCGATTAACTGAGCAAACGGGAGAAGACAGACATGTGAGCTTAATCACACGTCCGGCGCAAGTCTCAAGCTGCCACCAAATCACAGCCATGGGTAACTGCCTCTTCGCCATACGCACGTCCTCCTTTTCGATGATCAGTCACCGTTGTTCAATCTAGCCAGTCCAGTCACTTTCTTGCCGATATCTCGCTCTCGTAGGCTTGACACAAACGGCGCGGTGCAATCCGCTTGATCAAGAGATTCACTAACTGCTGCATGCAGAGCCACGTGTTGCTGTGGACTAGAACCAGCAGCAGCAGCAACCAACTCCTGCTCCCGCTCCCGATCCCATCACCGCCACCACCTCTATCACCACCTCCGACGCCGCCGCCGCCTCCTCCTCAATGGTGGCTCCCCCTTCTCCGGCCACCCAGCCAACGACCTATAGAAGACGATGCCACAACCGTGGCGAGTTCGGCCATATCAAATGGAAGAGATTGCCCTTTTTGGAGAGCCTTCGGCACGGGTGGGGGTCCGGGCTGGTGAATCACGGCGGCAAACATTTATAAGGGCATTGCTAGACATTATACCGTCTTTCATGTATCTGATACTATCGCTACCCCAATCTTTTTTCTTCTATTACGCCTACTTCCATCTAGATTTTGGCACTTCTAAGAACATTTATTGTCATTTCTTACACTGATACCGCCACCGCCGCTGAGGAAGCACATTACAGAAACCGTGCCCAAAGCCAATCCCACCGGGTGATATAGACATGTCATAACATCATTAATGTCGCGACAGCGAAGCCTGCCGCACCAAATACTGAGCTTAAACTTATAAATCGAGTCGATCGAGGAGCTGCATTAGACATGCTTGTAGCCGTTGGTCTGGTGGCCTTGACCCAGATGTTGCTCGCCAAGCTGTCCTTGTCTGGACTATATTGTTGTGGAGAGAATTGACATACAGACATGATGACGTCCATATCTACAACACGTTATTAGCTATGACGAGATAAACCATGGAGAGATGCATGATCATCACTCACTATTTTGTGTATCCGCTTTCATACTTATGCAACTCGCGCATAACCCAGCAATCTCTGCCACATTAAAGCTGTTGTTTGAACATACGCATTTCTCTTCTGCGTTTTCCGTCTCTCCCCATCCACCAGTCAAATCGCCATAGTCTCCACTTGAGCCTATTATGGTCGGACGCTTTGATGTTTGATGCTTGGAAGTTGTAGATGCACTCTTTGTTGTCCTAGTCGGGGCGGAAATGGAGGTGGGCTGAACACTCCATGTTGTAGATGATGTAGGAGACTGAGGTACTGGTTGAGGAGTTGATGGAGGTAGATAATCAGTTGTAGTTGGAAGAGCTGGAGCTGGAGCTGGAGCGGCGGCTGGCAGAGACTGAGCAGGAGGAGAGTAATATTGTGGAGGAACAGACGCCGGGGATTGTGACAATGGTGTTGATATATCTAGTATAGGGGACGAGGCTGGCGGATATTGTCCAGCTAGCAAATCAGGAGGAAATGTTGTCGGCGCTGGAACGATAACCGAGAAGCGCTTCTCGATCCGGTCACTTTTGTCAAGTTGGTTCTCGTTATGCTTCCTGGCCTGTCTGAGGCGCGCCCTCAGATCCAACTGATCGCTTTCTGATCCTTCCAACGATCTCTTTGGGCTGCACATGGAACTCAGCTCCACGATTGGCCCGCAGATGGCGGCACACATGACAGGAACTGCATTAGGGGGGAGCGCTTCTCCGGCTGCGATGGCGAACAGGATGAAAAGGATGTGATGACGGGCCTTCATGTCGTGTTAGAGGAGCCGCCCACTGCCTATCCGACTCCGAAATGTCGGCTGTAGTATGTAAAAGACTCAGAAGTCACACAGAGATGTCGATTGTAGTCAATTGCGTTTTGCACGAGGAATAGAGAGAAAGAGAAAGAGATAGCCCGATGATGTAGGTTTACGGACTCTTTAGAGAGAGAGGACTTTTCATGATTCGTTCCAGGGTTTCAGATCTATACGACACTTCATACTAATATGTAGAAGATAGGTAAGGGATGTATATACTACGTAGAATCTCACGGCTAGTCAGTCTGGCAGGAGGCTGTTATCGCTGAAACGTGGCAAAGGGGTTCTGTGGCCACCCTCGACCGAGGAGAATTAACATGACACGGCCTTCTTCTCCTGTAAAGTATTGAAGCAGCAAGTCGGCCAGCATACATATCATATACTTTGCAGAAAGGGTGATTGAAGAATGGAACTTCTTTTTTACGGATCAAACTCTTGGATGTATTAATCCTTGATGAAGCACGGCCGATCTGGCTGTCGGCACAGCAATGCACAGACATTGAATCCCCCAGAAAAGATGCGCGATGCCGCTTGGCAGCTGTCAACTCCAACATTCATCAAGGTTCAACCCGTGACTCCCTGACCGGGTCCTGAAACAATCTAGCTGCGGTGCTTCTGCGAGACGGGCAGAGCCGTGACAGCGCGAAACGCAATGCGAAACAAGATCGTGGAGACCTTTTATCCGCTTTCGGCAATCGCCTGTCATTCCGTACGAGATGGCGGCCTTCGGTGTATAATAGTCTGTAAAAGCCAAGCGGAAAAAGAAGAGATGAATCGATATACCAAGTAACAAACATGGATTAACCTAGTGATGAATCATGGATTGTGATGATTGGCTGTGTTTACATATCTTGAGAGCACCACTTTCGCGGGTAAGGAAGACTGCTGCACGCCCAAATGACTAGCCAAAGCAACCGGATACATGACTGAATCATATGATGTCAAGTACAACTATGAAAAGGAAGATAACTCTTGGCAGACGTTTGTTTATACAGTTTCCTTGATATGCTACGATCATCTTGCTGTAACGGACGAATCAGCGCCACTTTCGGTGAACTTGTCTGTTGCCTGGCGAGGCTGAATGTGGCTTCATGCAAGGGAAAATGCAACAAGCAAGAAGCGGTCATTCAGCAATGCATCACTCATTACCCCGCAGTCGAAAGAGAGTCAAGCAGTCATTTGGCTCAAATTCTTCTCGTATGGCTTGGTTTCGCAAGTTACAAATGCCCCTTTGTTCATCAAGGAGGGACGCAATCTTCTTAACAACAACCATCTCCTTTGTGTCACCCAGAAAACATGGCATGGATTCCTCTTATCCCAGGCGCAGTGGCTAGTCTATGGAAGGGTTATGAAGAGATAGTCGCACGTCCTCAAAGGAGGGCTCGTGAAGCCCAGCAGAAGCTGAGGGAGTCACAGGAAAAAGAACGGGAAAGCGAGCAAAGACGAATAGCACTACTAAAAGAGCTATAAGACATGCTTATCTTCTGGCCATGTTCGTAATGCATGCTGAATTAATTCATGCTAGGGGCTATGACACAGACCAGCCAACAATTACAAAAGAGCTTATAGTCAGCGCCCAGGAGACGGTGGGCTATGACAAAGACAAACAGAATATTGTCTTCGCTGGCAACGTCAATGTCGGCAAATCATCACTCATCAATGCCCTTTGCGATAAAGGAGGAAACGACGATGGTGCTGCCCGCGTGGGCTCTATTCAAGCCACGATGGGTATAACTCGTCACGAGATTCCCAACCACCCAGAGATGTTGCTCTACGACATTCCCGGTGCGAGAACCCAGGATGTGCCGGCATTCCAATACTACCACGATCAAATGCTGTATGCTTTTGACACTGTTGTCCTTGTCCACGATACTACGTTGACCCAAGTACGTTATCCTCCTAACGTTACGTGTGTGCTCTTCTGATAGCTAACATCCGCCAGGCCGACATCCGCTTGCTCAAAATGTGCATCCTTTCCAACCAAAAATGCCTAGCCGTCCGAACCAAATCCGACGATCATATAAGAAACTACGAATATGACAAAGAGTGCAACAATTTGGAGGAAGCAAGACAGATTTTTCTCAGTGAGATCCGTCAAGACATCGAGCGCTGTCAGGAGCAAATCGCAGCCTCTTGGCCGGAGCGTGAAGTCCAAGTCCGGGATTACGTTGTATCCTCTCGGTCGGTGAGGAGCTTTATGCGTCAAAATGCGTCACCCAAGGACGCGGCTACTGCTTACATTGATGAGTTGGATTTTGCGTTTGCCTTGTCTCCAACTCTGGTGGTGAATGTTGACAACTAAGTGGATGAGTATGCCGAGTGAGTTAAAGGTGTGAATATATAAACGAGATACTAGTAAACAATAAAGGTCAGGTCTCTTTTTAAATCTGACAAGAGCATATATCTTGATCCTCTATAAACTTGTTACCGTCCTGCCGTCATCTGCTTTGCCAGTATCGTCCATTTCCAAGATACGACTCTTGCATGGCTCTTATATCATTCTAGTAGGCTGTAGCCTTTACAGCCTCTCTAATTGCGTGTCTGTATGCACTTGGTTCCACTTTCAAGATTCAGCCTCCCTTCCAACGCGTACGGTAACACAACTCCCTACACCATGACGTAAAACTGCATCCATAGCCTCATTGAGCCACCGTCGACCACTCAATCTTTACCACATCTTGGCGGCCTCTCCGGCTAACGGCAAACCCCAAAACAGAAAGAGAAGGGAAGAAGAACAGAACAGAAAAAGAGGCTATAACTCGCGGCAGCCTAACATGATCCAAGCCATGTGGCACCAGCCATGTCGGATCCGTCCCACATCGTCCAATGTGGCTCAGGCACTTGACCAACCCCAAAGCGGCATGATGGCACGAAATGAACTAGGACTATCTGCGCCAACTCACACATGGATCGAGACCCTCGGGGGAAGCGAACATTGTCTCGACGTACCTCGTGCAGGATACAAGGGGGCTAATGTACAAAAAGTCTTACTACTAGTAGCAGCAGTATGTTCCAGTTGCCGTGTCTCATGGCGTCGTATCTCTCGCGTAGCTCAAGCTTCCATTTCACTATCCACTAAGACAATCTCGACTCCAAGTGTCTGAGGCTCCAACCAATCAACCTTCCACACTAGATTAAAACCAGTCCATCTCTAACCCCAAAACGGCTTTATACCACGAAAAAAAAACCAAGCCATCAAGGAACACCAATAAGCATCAACCCCAAATAAATGTGCGAAAATCATCAAACCCGCTAAACACAAGCCAAAAAACGCCCACCTATTCAATTTCACCCAAACCGCCTAGAGAAGATAAGGTTGCGGGTTTATCCCCTTTGAAGCATCATGCCACGAGCTGATCGCCGAGTTTACGTGTATTCGCCCAGCAAGGATCCTCAGCTGAACAGAGCCGCGTGGATGTGATTCGTCGGCCCCGGAAGCCGGCAAGCTCTAGGAGGATAATCTCGGGGCATTGTTGGCCCTGGGGGGCTGCCTTTTTAGATCGGAAGGGCTTGGGTTGGGTGGTTTTATATGCATGTTGGCGGCTGTGTTGCGATGGGATCTTGTATGTAGTTACTTATTTAAAAAGATGCTTCTACCTTCTTCAATTAGTTGTGAATATTCGGCCTCTCGGTACCGAACAACGACTTCGACATCTGCCTGCCTTTCCAACAAGTGACAACCTCCTCAGGACAGATCCAAGCAACTTCCAAACATGCTCAACTCCCACGAATCCCTGGGCATAGCCCAAATCATCTTCTACGTGCCCATCGTCCCAACCGCCATCTATCTCATGAAGCGTAACGGCAGAATCCGGCCACGCCTCGCCTGGTGGCCCCTGATTCCCTTTAGTCTAAGTACATCTCTACAATTCCACTATCAAAACCCATCACCATACATCGACAAAATTTAACTTGGTTTGCTTTGAATAGTGCGTCTCGCCGGCGGCCCCGTCATCATCGCCCTCGAACAAAAGCCCAGCATCGGACTCTACGTCGCAGCAATCATCCTCCTCAACGTCGGCGTCGTGCCTCTCATCATAGCAACACTCGGCTACGTCCGCATCGTGTAAGTCCCCAAACCCCCTATCAACCCCTTCCACCAAAAGAATAAAAAACTGATCTAATGTTTAACAGCCTCCTCGACAACTATAGCTCCAACCCCCGAGCCAACAAAATCGGCGTCATCATGCGCCTCTGCATCTTCGTCGCCATCGGCCTCCTCTCCGCCGGCGGCGGCGTCAGCTCCATCGGCACACCCTCCGCAATGAACACGAGTCGCACACTTACTCTTGTGGGATACATTGTCTTTGCCGTCATGCTCGCCGTGCTCATCTCCATGATGGCGTTTTTCTGGCGAAAGAAGCACACTCTCCTCCCCAGCAGCCAAATAGTATGCCAAACCCCCCTCTCGCAAACTCACACTTATAAAAGAAAAAATAATGACAATGTGAACTCCTCAGGTCCTACGCGGCGGTCTCCTCGCATCCCCGTTCCTCATCATCCGTACAGTCTTTGGCCTATTAGAAGTCGCACTCCAAGACAGCACCACCTCGCCTTTCAATCCCATCGAGGGCAATGCCGTGGCCTTTGGGTTGATGGCGCTGCTCCCAGAGTACATTGTCGTGCTCACCTATATTTATACCGGCTTCTCGATCTCACCTGATCGCGGCGTCCCGTCTGTGGAGACAGAAAGAGTTACACAGCTCGCCGATAAAAGCAACGTCTAAGGGGCTTAGCCCTGGATCCTTCTCGATAGACCATGTAGCGCAGGATTTAGGAGATGTTGGGGTGATGAATTGGTAAAGTGTAACTGCATGTCGGTCAATAATGCAAAAGACAACACCAAGTTGTGAAAGTCTTATAGAAAACTGTTTCGGATACCCCTTAGCAAGCATATAGATTGTTAGTATATACTATGGTTTATTTTTACCACGGGATCACATCTCTTCACTTATTCATTCACAATTAAAATATTGTATCAGGTATTCGTTTCTAGATTGCTTAATCCAATTTAATCTAGAGGCTGGTCAAAACCACCCCCGTCCAAGTCTCGCATGGTGACCGCTCTTTTCTTTTCCTCTTCCCAGGCCACCAAACAAATTCTTTCCCAAGTGATGCAGAATGTCTCACATCTGCCGCCGCACAATGTCATCCAAAGGATCCAAAGGTTAATTAAAACAATAAGGTAGTTTTGTTCTAGGCCCACCTGCATTACCGATGCACAGCCTCAAAAAAGGAGTAAAGGTCGTATCGCAGCCGCCCTTTAACAAAGAAGAAAAACCACCGACATTATATCACGCAACTAGAAGCGGTGCTGGCGACCGACACTCTCGACGCGAACGCCCAGCTTGACCATCTCGCGAGAGTCAATGACACCACGGCCGTCAAACACCCATCGGGGCTTGGCCATGGTCTCGGCAATACGCACCCAGTCCAGTCGCTCCTTGGGCTTGTACTCTTCGGCGCTGCCCATGCCAGTGGCAAAGCCCGTCTCCTTGCTCTCCTTGGCCTGGATGCAGTCGGGGCAGCTCTCGTCGCAGTCGGGCTCGACGTTGAATCGGTCCAGAGGATCCTCGGAAGTCTGGCCGTCGCGCTGCACCAGGTGCTTGTGCAGCGCCAAGAGATCGTTCTCCGTGGGGGCCGACTCCTTGAACGGTCTGGGGTCCGCCTTGGGGTTGGGCTTGCGGCCAAGCATCTTGGGCTCGGGCTGATCTACGGGCTTGGGAGCAGCCACGGGGATGGGCTGGTTGCGGAACTCATCGAACTCGGTAGCGATGACGACCGCTGTGCTGTCCTTGCAGGCGTCGTAGGCATTGCCGTACACGTGGACGCTGGCTGTGATTTCGGGTCCGAGAAGGGCCTTGATCTCGTTCTTGACGACGAACGGGTTGCAGCAAGGGTCAAAGACGGCAATCTCGCGGGGTCGCTCCTCCAGGAGCGTCTTGATCATCTCCAGAGCAGGAGCCTCACGAGTATCTGAAGTGTTCTTCTTGAAGGCGTAGCCGAGAATGGTGACCTTTTTGCCAACAAGGGTGTTGTTGAGGCATTTAATCACGCGGTTGGTGAATCGGTCACGAGCGTACTCGTTCATCTTGACGACCTGTCTCCAGTATTCGCCAACTTCAGGGAGGCCCATGGTGTCGGCCAGGTAGACGAGGTTGAGAACGTCCTTTTTGAAGCAGCTGCCTCCGAAACCAATACCGGCCATCAAGAACTTGTTGCCAATACGGGGGTCGACACCGATGGCACGGGCGACCTCGTCAACATCAGCGCCAGTCTGCTCACAGACGGCAGAGATGGAGTTGATGCTGGAAATTCGCTGGGCCAGCATAGAGTTGGCAACCAGCTTGGCAAGCTCAGAAGACCACACGTTGGTGGTCAGGATACGCTCGCGAGGAACCCAAGCGGCGTAGACCTCGAGCAGAGCCTCGGCGGCCCGCTTCCCGGAGGGGGTGGGAGCGGAACCGATGAGAATTCTATCGGGGTACAGCAAATCGTTGACGGCGGTACCGGCGGCCAAAAACTCGGGGTTGGACAGGATCTCGAAGTGGACACCGGGGCGGTGCATGGCGAGCTATGGATGAGAATGGAGGTCAGGATTGATTCTTGGGCATTCCGGGTGACGCATTTGGGTGCTGGTCACTACTTACAGTGTCTGCCACGAGCTGAGCAGTTCGGCAGGGAACAGTGCTCTTCTCGACAATGATGGCGCCCTCACGCGCATACTGGGCCACGAAGCCAGTGACGGCCTCGAAAGCAGTCATGTCTGTGGCGCTGCCGGCACCAACACCGCGCTCCTTGGTGGGGGTGTTGACGGCCACCAGGACAATGTCGGCCTCGGCAATATGGCCGGCAACGTCGGTGCTGAAGAAGAGGTTGCCCTCTCGGCGAGCAACCTTGGTCTCGCCCTTTTCGGAGGCGATTCCCTCGGAGGACTGGCCAGAGATGTCCGTCTCGCGGCCGCCATCACGGGCAATGCGGACAATGTCGTGCAGGCCGGGCTCGTAGATGGGGGGATGGCGCGAGTTCCATCGGCGGATACGGGTCACGTCTCGGTCGACAACGGTGACCTTGATGTGAGGGTTCTGGAAAGCAATGACCGCGGCGGTAGGGCCACCTGTCCAGCCGTCAGTTCGGTTCGAGTCCCGGTTAACTCTCGACAGCGGAGTCGGTCGACAGACACAGACAAATAAACGAGACGCAGGGGTGACATACCGACATAGCCAGCGCCAACGCAGCAGATGTTGCGAATGGCAATCTTGTCGCCGTTGACCTCCTTTACGGAGCCATTGAGGCTGAGGGTCTTGACCGAGTCGAGAAGTGAGGCCATGGTTACGAGGTGGATCGGGCCAGAGAGAGGAGTGACCGATGTATCCAAGCAAATGCAGGTAGTGGCTTCAACGAGGGGATGGGGATCCTGGAATGAGGGTATATGGATCGAGCCCGGTTGCGAGATATAAACGAAGATATAAAGCTGGCACAGGCAAAAAGAAAGGAGTTGGGGATAGGTCGAGTTAGTTGGCAAGAGAGCGAAAAGGGCTATTTGCGTTTAATCAGCAGCGCGGGAAATGCACGCATGTCTAGGCCTCTTTTGGTCAACAGCCCATTCTGCTATCTGGAAGCAGCCTTGGAGGGTCCTGGGGCTGCTAGCGCCGGTTTTTTATGATGTGACGGATGATGTTGGTACAGCTAGTTTGGCAGCAGGCAATTGACTTTGGCACGTTGAGTTAAGGTTGAGTCAGAGAGCGATTATCCAAGTTTTTGATGCATCAAGTGACTGTTACTGCTGATCCTGTTGAGGCTTCAATGTTGACACCAGACCCTACAAGTTGTTGTATTGACCCCTATCCTATAATCCTCCCGCTGCTTAGTGGTGGGCTCTAGCGTATAGCGCCTTACGCAGCCTCTAACGTCGGCAGTCGCTGCTACTCTCGTCCGCTGCAGATTACACGGCGCTGATGCGTACTCCGTACTTGGCCGAGAGCGTCCAGCAGGTGCAAATTCTGCCCCGCCGTGTCCGGATCTTTCAGGCACGCGCTAGGGGGTGGATGGAGGGGCAATAAACCAAGCCAAGCAATAGATTGAAGCCGTCGTGTCTGATCAGGAGAAGAAATCGATACTTGCTGGTACCTGGCATTCAATGGAAGCTGGTACGGATCACTGGTAAAAGCAAGAACTTGTACGTACCCAACCCGGTGCCTTGCGCCACGCACGACACGCAGCAGACAGGAACAGACGGACACCAAGAGCCTCCAAAAATACAACAAAGCGGTGAGTTACTGCCAAGACCTGCAACATGCAACTTCGATAAACGACCCCATCCCATTCATTTCCTTGTCCATGCCTAAGTGCCTTATCAGATGCATCATCTTGCTTGCACATTACAAACCCGTCTCGGAACGGCTATTTCGAGTTTTCTTGACATTTTTTTTCTTCACTCTCTCTTACACAGTGCCCTGCCATTTGGTTTCGCGACCGAGGGGTCCTTAACGATTCCCGCCAGCCAATACGAATCCCGGCCAAGCACTGTAAATACACACGTGGTTCCTGCGTCGCCGCTTTCAGGGGGTTGTTGCGCGTTTTCGGCCCATGGAGGGGTCGTTATTTCACGGACGCTAACACGACAGGCCTGCAAAATGAGGTGTGACGAGGAGTGTGATGGAATCCATCAGCTGCGTCCGAGTAGCTGAGGCAAAGGGGCATGATGAGAGCACATGTCACAGACTTTAATTGACCACAGGCGACCAAGTTTTGCACCATACCGACGGCGAAGGCTTGAGACACACAATGGAAGCCCAAAAAGAACTAAAATAGGTCAGGTACCTGAACGACGGACTGAGTTTTGTGGCGCAATGTGGCTAGTGCAGTGTCGTCGTTGACCAACTGCCTACAGCTTCTCAACAGGCGTTGAAACTCTGAACTTTTAACAAGCATTGAAACTGGGTATGTGAATCATCAGATCAATCATTCAAGAGAGAAAACAGGACATGGCCCAAACAGTATGGTTACCAGCCGACGATGGGAATCAAGTATGAAGACGAAATTCACTTGTGATGATACTCAGTTTCCTACTGCTACTGTGTCAGCCACATGCCCACGCAAGGACAAAAATCCGGACACTTTTCTTGGGTTTCAACTGCACTCCGAACGACTAATCCCAAGCACTATGGAGTACATACCCGCTCCGTCCGATATTATCCACACCATCGTGACGGCCCCTGCTGAATCCCCATCCAGTTACGCCATCCAGTGGAACGACCGTGCGCCTTGAAGACTCCCTGTATATGGGAAGACGAACGCGCCTTATTACCGCTAGCATTGCCGCTACGGCGCTCACGCGACACGAGATTTTTCCGGACTTGGATGAGACGATTCCTGGGCGGGATGATCTTGCGTTGACAAGGGCGGAGCTGACAGCAGAGAGGTAGGCGAGTACATACTAATCCTCCGTACGCACGTAAAAGGAGTTACATGAGAGCGGCACTCGAGGAGATTTCAACCTTGCCATGGAAATTTGACTTGGCGCTGGCCAGGGGTCAGAGATTACGTCGTTGGCTGCCAATGTCCCGTATGAGATACGAGATGCTGCTTGGACGGCACTCAGTCATATTGTCCTTCTCTGAAAAGCTACAGAATGCTGGTTTTTTATATGTGCAGTGAAAAGCAAGAAAGGGGTCCACCGCAAGAGGTTACAGTGTCCTGTCGAGGCTATACAAGCCGATCAAGCATTGATGACATGGTACGGTAAAAGGCGAGGATCGCGTCTCGCTTGATGTCGAGAAACACGGTCATAGGTGCGCTATGTGCCACACAAGAAGGCTTGTCGCTATGCAAGTATACGCATGGGTTATGTGTTATTGTTCTTCTTATAACCGACAAACAGATTTCGTCATGGCTAGAAGTCTCACTGAATCAATTGAGGCTATCCAGCTAGAAAGAAGGAAAAGGCAAAGTCATCACAGCAAACAGACAGAGGTAGGGGCAGTTCAATTCGCTGCAGGGTATCACGTGTTGCCACACATCTTTCTCACCTCGACTCAAACGTTTATCCGCCTCAATTACAATGCCTTAAACCAGAAGAAGCTCAACCCAGACGATTAATGTCCACGTCGTGGAGGTTTTTTTTTTTTTTTTTTTTTTTTCCTTTAGACAACCTTTCGATTCGCGTTCTCAAGAATATAGTGATAGGTAGCTTATGGCATCAAGTTGTTTAGACATGGCAACCAGTCGGATCTATTCACTTACAGAAACAAAGCTGAACTCTCCCCGATTTCAGCTCTGAACGCACTCATCACCCCGCATCTTCACCACCCACGTTTCGTCCATGTAGCAGCATGGTCAGACTTCATGCTTCGGGTGATGTCATCTCCCTGATGCATATATTATTGACATTGATCGGGAAGGTCGTAATCATCACGGGAGCGGGGTTGACAAATGGGCTGCTTCAATTTACATTTTGTAGTAATATTCATGTATAATCTCTTCCTATTTTCACGTGCCTGAATCTCCATCCCTTGCTTTAACTGCCGATTTTAGCTTACTTGGCGCTTCTCCGCAATCCATCGCAGATTTTGACAGCAATTAACCCGTAGCCTCAAACCGCCTTGGCTGAATGTTCTCTTCACTTGCCATGGACTCATCGCAGCACCTCATGACATTTCAATGACATTAAAAGACTACAAACTGTGTTTCGAGCCGAATTTATGTATCAAAAGCACAAGTTTAGTCCCCGTCAAGCCTCAATGCTCCCATTCCTCTCGTCTAGGGGCATCGTCTCCAACCCCCGACGAGCCGACGGGCAAATTGACCATCTAGCCTGTATACGGCTCGTCGTGTGATTTGATGGCAAACAACCTACCTGAAGACGTTGCTTACAGGAGGCAGGCCTCGCCACTTTGGAAGGCACAATACGACTCCAAAGATCAAAATAGATTGATCCTCCGTCAGTCTTACCACTTCAGTGATCATGTCCGTCTGGGGTGCATGTGTGTACCTAATGCTAATTAAGAATGCGGGGAGAGTTGCAATTCAAAACATGTGAGGGGGCAATACAGTCTCAGTGAGAATCCTTTCTGCCAAAGAAAGAGCACATGCTTGTGGCCAGAGGGCTCGCTTCCTCGGCTGTCTGCTTCATCACGGACTATAAAGTCAAGGGTTTCCAGCTCGTATGTTTTCTTCATCTCGTTCCAAACCAGACTTCAACAAAGAAACAACCTTCTCTATCAATTCTACTACAACGACCTTCCTGCTTAAACAATCTCTCAGTACCAATTCCTCAAGATGAAGTTCACTCTCGTCCTTGCTACCTTTGCCGCCGTCGTCTACGGTCAAACCATCGATGACATTCCCGCATGTGCTCGTACTTGCATCGAAAACGCTGTTTTAGCCGCTGGTTGCTCGTCCGGAACTGACGTCGCATGCGCTTGCGCAAATTTCAGTGCTGTTCAGAATGGCTCTACTAGCTGTGTCATTGCTGCTTGTGGCGTTGATGTCGCCATTAGTATGTGCTCCCCTCTCCTTTTGGTCGAGGATACTTATCTCTCAAATGCTTATGTATATTTATAGACCAAGTTCTGCCTGCCACCCAGGCTCTTTGTGCCAACCAGTGAACTCATCCATCAAGAGGGAGAAAATGACATGGGTGAAAGTACTCTTGTACATTGACAAAACAAGTACATAGCTAAATGGTGTAAATGAATAAACAGCATTCTTGCTTGATATCGCTCTGTTCATCTCTGTATTTCGATGAGTACCCATGTAATATATATAGGTTGACTTTCGTAACCGACTATCCGTCGAAAGAAGTTATTCCATGTCCGAGGCAATCTTACTGCTACAGCCATGTCATTTATGTAAACATAGATATAATAAGTATCACGCAAAGAAGTAAAAGAGGAATTTTCTACCAGTTTAAAAATAAATAGAAAAGAAAGGTGGAGTAATGTCAGACTTGTATACATAGTATTTCATATGACTGAAATCGGAGTGATTTGATACGCAGGAGCATAGGATATCTGATGCTCCATTATAACTAGGATTTAATCTTAAGCCATCCCAGTTTCAAGTTATTATGTGACGAAATTAACCCTAGCCAAGATGAGGGCAGCCAGGTCCAGTGGTTCCTTGCCTTGTTCTCGCTCCGTAAATCTTATAGCGACTAGACAAGCTAGGTTTCAGCTGTAGTATTTGGTGTTGGTCGAACCAATCCAAAGGTGCATTTTCTAGCTGTCAACAGAACATTTTAGCGGTACTGATGCCAAGCATGATGAACGATGTGTAAGGGCTGGGTATGCAATAGTTCAAGCTTGGTTCGGGCTAGAGTTCCGAGTCGCCCTGACTAGCGTTGAAATATAATCCGCCTCGGCCCCGTATCCCGAAACACACAGACAAGGAGAGTCGAAAGAATCATTTAGTTTATAGTTTATAGTGAACACAAATGTAAAAGCTTAGTTCTTGCAAATCTTTCTCTGAATATAACCCCTTTGCATTTATTTGTTCTAGCTTTCTTTTCCCTCTTAATTCTGTGTTGCGATGGGCTCACGGATCAATACAATGCTGGACGACATCGAGGCTGGTCCTCCGGACCCGATGTATACACTAAAGAAATGGGCCGACGGCGATACCTGTGATCAGAAAGCTGATCTCGGTGTTGGTATATATCGAAACGAGGCAGGCGTCTATCAAGAAATGGATTGTATCAAGCAGGCAAGCCCATCACCATAACAGCACAAAGTTCGAATTCTAATGGGATTCATTAGGCCAAAGTTGAGCTCTCAAAGCAGAGTCTGGGGCATGATGTAGGATAACTCCATCTTCTACTATATCTCCAGCTCTAACAGTGATGCATATAGTACGAGGTCACTACTGGAAACCCGGAATTTCTGCATCATGCAGCTAGGCTCATTTTCGGCCAAGACTGCTCGCGACTTGCGTCTAATCATGTCAGTTCAACATGGTGATTCGTACTGGATTGATGAGCTGACAACAATGCCAGGTTGCTTCGGTACAAACCATCTCCGGTACTGGGGCTAATCATCTTGCTGTACTTCTTTTGGCCAAGTGCATCGTGCCGCAGCCAAAGGTATTCATTGGAACACCATCTTGGGGCAATTACAAACCGATGCTCGACTTGGTAGGATTGTCAACAGTCGAGTACTCGCATTACGATGAAATTGAGCGCACCCTTGACTTCCCATCTATCCTTGCGGCCATCGCTTCGGCTCCTCGCCAAAGTGTATTCATCTTTCAAAGCTGTTGTCACAATCCTACTGGGGCAGACCCATCGCCGGAGCAGTGGCATGAGTTGGCGATGGCGCTTCGGGCTGGTGACCACATTCCGCTTTTCGACTCGGCCTACCAGGGACTTGGAAGAGGGCTTGACGAGGACTCATTCGCTGTACGACTGTTTGCCAAGTTGGGTTTCAGCATGATTGTTTGCCAATCCTTTTCGAAAAACTTTGGCTTGTACGGTGAGCGATGTGGTGCTCTTCACGTCTTATGCGGCACTGCAGAGGCAGCAAGTGCAACGCATGACCGCCTACGTTGCCTAATACGGTGGGAGTTTTCTTCTTCTCCAGCCTACGGCTCCCGCTTGGTAAACATTATCCAAAGCTCGGCCTATTTAAAACAGATGTGGTGAGCAACTACTCTCTTCGCAGCGACCTGACCTCCATGCGTGTGAAGGCTAAAAATCTTTCAAGGGCTACGGAGTTGTCTGCTATGAGACACCGGCTGTACAAACTGCGACAGCAGTTGCATAACTTGCTAAGTAAAGTTCTAAAGGTGGGTAACAGAAAACAGCTGTCAGATCAACTGTGCATATCCGCTAATTTGACATTGAAAGACGCCTGGGCATTGGGGGCACATTATCGAAGAATGTGGCTTATTCTCGTGGGTTACCTAGCAGTGGAACTTTAGTCTTATATATATACTAACAGCCAGAAGGTTCCTTAAGCTATCGCCGCGACAGTGCTCGGTCCTAATCCAGCAGTTCCATATTTACCTTCCACCCAATGGCCGTATCAATATATCCGGCCTTAACAAGTCGAACATAGGAAGAGTTGCGGGAGCAATTGATTATGTTGTTCGCCTCCCAGATGCATAAGTAGCCAGCAGAATGAAGAAATGAATGTAGAAGGGGCTATATTATCGGGATAAATTGCAGCCGTGGAGAGGGGCAATGAATATAATGTTGAAATATGAATTTAGCAAGAGATTGAAATCCGCTGATCTACATCCCTTTGACCATTAACATATAAACTTTAGAAGGAAAATTGAGTCTCTCTTGTCTACCTATATGTATACGATATGAATGAGAGACCATCTGATTTAGCCATCAGAAATAGCGTCACTTGTGGCTAATAACTCAATGAATTAATCAGAAAGTTAGTATCAGATTGTGTTTGGTCTTAATTTGGTAGCTATAATGAATGTTGGCGACTACAAACTAGTCTCGAACATCTCTTACTACATTTGACAATAAATGTCCTAGAAGAGCCATGATAGAACCTTGGTGTACAAAATTGAAGCCTTTGATCCCTTCCCTCCCGCTTGTAACTGTGCTTTCTCCGCTTCAACCCGGCTTCTCTCTTCGGCAAGAGTCTCCGTTGGTACTCCAGTCACCAAGTCTGCCTGAGAGCTTCTGACTCGTTTTGTCTTGTATACCAACTTGTAGCCGAATATGCAAAGCAAGTATACTGGGATGCCAATATACTGTACTACAAAGCTTTTATAGTCAAATTCTCCAATAAACACTTGGAAGCCCTTGGTCAATGTGAGAATCACCAAAAAGCACAGAGCTGCGAAAGATCCATATATGCCCAACGGCGCCATGTAGGGTATCCTGTCGCGCGGTATTTGTTGGACTTTACAAGCTCTTCGGAAGAATATGTGTGTAACCAGGATCGAAATCCATGTCAAAAGCGCTACGGGACCAAAGTGTCAGCAGAAGAAAATACTTGTTGGTCTAGAGCCACTCACCAAAGACTGTCACCACGTTGGTAAGATAGCCAAAGACGACTTTCGACCCATCACCAACGCTCAAATACCCCAAGGTGCAGAATAAGGCGCAAAAGCCAAGTGCATAGAATGGTACACCTTGGTTTGACGTTCTTTTGAAGATTTGGGGAGCCTTGTTATCAACTGCAATGGCGTGCAAGGTTCTAGTGGCAATGTAGAGATCTGTCGCACAGTGTCTTAGCAAACGGCAACGGAAAGGAATTTGACATATCGTACCTGAAGTCGAAGCAGAAAATACAAACACAATCAAGCAGCCGTTGATAACATGGTCGAGACCGTGAATCTTTGCTAGCCGAATTGCCACAACAAACGGCGAGGCCGCAGCGCTCGCAGAAGACTTGGTAGCAAATACGAGCTCCGTGCTGTTGGACGGGACTACCATGCCCAAGAAGAAGACCGAAAGCACATAAAAGAAAACGATCCGAAAGAAGGTCATCTTGACTGCCCGTGGCATTGTTAGTCTGGGATGCTTCGCCTCTCCAACAGTCATTCCGACCAGCTCAGTACCCGTAAACGCATAGACTCTGGAGAGCTATGTCAGTTTTTGTAAACAGAGCGTCAAACTCGACAACTTACGCCTGCACCAAAGCACTCCAGACACCAACGAATTTACCAGCGCTTCCATGTAACTTGTATTCGACAAAGGCACCAGGGTCGTGCCAATATCGGAAGCCGGTGCGGTCGTGTCTAGAGCATAACTTGTTAAGATGAAGCAAATAGAACGAATGGCTTAGAACTTACGTCGGGCCACCTCCTAGGGCCAGTATAAGCATTAAGAGAATGACTCCACAAAGGATAATTATCTTTAAAGAGGAGAGCCAGAATTCGAATTCTCCAAAGACACGAACATTGACGCTGTTGATCACTAAGATCAGGACTAGGCCAACTGTGATAAACACTGCTGGGCTAACACGATCTCCGACCCAAAACTGTCAACGTCAGTAATTGTCTTCTTATTATCAAACGATAAGCAGTCGCGTACCTGGAAAATAAGGGCAAACGCTGAAAGCTGATTGGGAGCAGCAAGAAGGTATTTGAAAAAGTACACATATCCTGTCGCAAATCCCAACGCAGGGTCAACAAAGCGGGTAGCAAATCCTCCAAAACCGTCTACTTCACGTCAGAATATTATACCTATAGCGATCGAAACTTGAAAGAGCTCACGAGGTAGCGGCATGTATGATACCATCTCTCCCAACGCAGACATGACTAGGAACACCACACATCCGACGATGGAGTAGTCGATGAGGACGCCTGCCGGACCAGCTTCGACAAGTGCAGATCCACTGTACATTATTAGTCAAATTTGACCATTGAATTAATGAAACACATCACAGTGAATACTCACGTTCCAATGAGGAGTCCTGTTCCAAGAGCACCGCCCAGAGCTATCATAGTTATGTGACGGCTTTCTAGATTTTTCTTCAACCCACCATCTGCTTCGGGCCCAATCTCCCTGGTTTCTCCCCCATTGGTGCTTTGCACATGGGTGAGTTCGATAGATTGTTTATCATTCATGTTTCTTTCGAGATCCATCATGTTTAGGATATCTTTGGACAACTGGGCATTGAATCGCCAAAGGGGATAGAAAGCGTTCTTGTATTGCGCGAGTTCTCTTGTTCAATTCGTAGTTTATCTATTAGTATCCAGCTCGGGATGCCGTCCCGAGCGCCAACACTATCCGAACATGATAAGACTAGCAGTATTTGGCCCTAGTATAGTAGTCGGTGATAGTAAGAACATGATATCGAGCTAGCCTCATCCCAATAAAAGTGCTAAAGCAGAATCATTGGACTTTCTTTATCGGCATTGCAGGATTTTCCCCAATTCCATTTAATTAGAAGATTTAGTGTATATGTTGCCTTTCATAGATAAAGTAGATACAAATGCTTATTTTGGATCTAGAGCTTGCAGAGTTTCCAAACACCCTTTGGCATGCCTAGCAAGAATTCCTGAATCTTGTTGTCCCAGAATGAATCGCACTCCCAGTACGTCCACCGCCCACTGCTGAAACACAGAGTTGTCGTAAATACCAGCCAAACCCATGACTTTGTTGTGTCTTTTGCACGCGCTGCTCACTGTTTCCAACGCCCCTCTAAAAACTTGGCTATCAAATTGACCTGGAACTCCCAACTCAATCGACAGGTCATTGGCTCCTATCAGTAGCAAATCGACCCCCTCAGTTCCCGCAATTTCATCGATGTTTTTGATGCTCTCAACAGTTTCAATCATGAGAATTACAGTGGATCCTACCGAATTGGTTTTCTCAACCACAACGGGGATTGGTGTCTGCTGTAGGGAAAACAGTGGCAGCTGCCCCGTCATGGACCTTTTACCCTGGGGAGGATATTTGGTTATCGAAACCGCGGCTTGAGCATCTCCTATTGGAAAAGTAAGTTGATGATACAAAAGAAATATTGTTAGTATTCTTCCATATGGAATGTCGGAATCTCGGGTTCTTTAGTACAATGCCCAAACTGGAAATCTTACCTTTATCATGGATATGAGGAAAGATTATGCCCATTGCTCCCCCATCTTGTACACGCTGTACAAAACCATTACCGCACTGATGAGGCACTCTCACGAATGGAGTAATGCCATTGTTTAGCCCAGCGATACAGAGTCTGCTGGAATCATCAATGGAGAGGGTAGAGTGCTCTAGGTCGATAAAGAGACAGTCAAAGCCAGCATTTCGCGCAAGCTGGACAATTTGCGGATTGGTTACTAGACGAATGCCGAATGCCTTGGATAACTGTCAATAACCAAATGTTTGGAATATGTCAGAGTATGGCGCCACTGCTCGTACATACCTTGCATAGCCGGCCAGCACCAGTTTGCTTCAAGAATGCATTTGCCATGACTGCAGCCATATTGAGATTCAAGGACGATTGGTTCAATTTCGTTGTGAGTTTGCTGAATATGGTGTCTGATCAATCTAAATTCCAAAGTTTTGTGCTGCTCCTATACATCAGCTCATCGGGACTTGCACAGTATGGAGAGGGTCTTCGGCTTCGGCATCCGAGCACTAGATCGGACCCTCGGGCCGGCTATCCGAATGGCGGCACAGCTTTCGCATTGCACTACATCTTGGAGAACTCCTCCACCATCCTCCCCTGCGTATGCGTATGACGCGAGGAGCAATATTCTTGACGGTTCATTATCCGACAGGCCAACCTCATGAATCCACACAGAGCACATCGTGATGATGATTCGGGCGATCAACCCCCGGTCACGCTGACCCGAGGCAAAAGATCTATTACAGCGTTAGCAGAGGGTCACGTCAAACAGGAGACTAATAAGCACAAGGCAGCTGATAAGGATATTATGCAGGTGTATACGCTGTCGCGAACGGAAAGTCAAATGCTCCGGCTCCCTTCCGTGTCAAAACTGCTCAAGTCGTTCTGTCGAATGTGCCTTTGATCCCGAAGACAAGAAAGTAGTTGTATCGGAAAGGCAAGTAACGTCTTATGAATACTTGAATTCTATGAGCATCATTCCCATTCAGTCTCTTGCAATGTATAATAAAACTCACGTAGGTTCCTTAATGAACTCAAACGTTCTTCGAGCCATCTTCCCCATATTAGCCCTAGCCATACAAGTAAACGTCAGCGCGTTCGCAGTTATCCTCGCGAAGATGATGGATTACAAGGTTAGTATACAAACGTAATCTAAACAGAAGAATTATTGTGTTTTGACTATTTACTAGGCGAGGACGACACTGACGCTCGGGGTGCTACCTCAGATGCTGAGACCGCCGGAATCGATGATGCAGCTGAAATCTGCAATCCGCTGGCCACAACCCCTTCCAAGGTAATAGAAGACACTGAAGGGAGGAGACGTGAGTTGATCAGCATTTTGAGTCAGTGAAATGTGCGTAGTCTGACATCTCCCTAGGTTTTCTTGGGCCTTCATCGACCTGGGCATACATTCAACAAGCCATGTCAATCTTACAGCAATGTGTCAAAGATCAACCATCACCGCAACTACCTGCGACTTCAGACGGTGGCGCCTTTGTCCTAGATTGGCCGTCAACCTCTCAAACTACACCTAGTGCACCACTGACTATAGATCGACTCCCGTCTCTCACTTATTCGTTGTACCTTACCGACACTGTCAAATTCTATCTCGGGCCGATGTATCATTTATATGATGAGGACATTTTTCGGGAGCGATTAAACAACTTTTATGCCACGGGGCCATGGGTTGAACCTCCTCGGTCCAGCAGGCTGTGGTTCATACAGTATCTGCTCATAATGGCGCTTGGCAAAGCTCTGATTCTGCCAGGTTCTTCAGATAAGAGACCAACAGGGTGCGATTATGTGCTAAGAGCCATAGATCTCCTTCCCGATGTACACGGCTATTACACTGATAGTATTCTGTCTGTCGAGATTCTATGTTGCCTCTCGCTATACCTGCAGTCAATCGATCATCGAAACGCAGCGTATAATTATGTAGGTGATGTATTGTTGCTGTAGTTTTAAGTCTGTCTATTGACAATGTCAGATTGGTCAGGCTCTTCGAATTGCCCTGTCTCAAGGATTTCACCGCGAATTGACCGGCGCATCGCTCACTGTAAAGGAATTGCACAGGCATCGGCGTGCGTGGTGGACGCTTTATATCTTGGACAAGAGATTTTCCTCTCTGATGGGTGCGCCCAACTGCATTCAAGACAACGAAATAACCGTTTTACTCCCTGAGCCCGACTACGATCAAGGGGATTGTCAAATGTTTGGGCTTCACGTTCGCCTCACCCGACTGTTGGCGGATGTACTTCGTAGTAAGTTAACCTTGTGCTCTCCTTCTTACTCATGTCCCGAACCTAAACCTCAATCAGCAGTATATACCGTCACAGGTCGGCTCAAAAGCACATACGTCAAAGATGCCCAGAAAACTCTCAGAAAAACGGCGGCGGTGGGTAAAGAGTTTAGACAGGACTGTGACTTTACCCGAATGGGCGCCGCTCCAATTTCACGAGCATCTGCAACACTTTTGCTGTATTATCACCAGGTGAGTATGTAATTATTGGATCGACGGTCGATGATGTTTATCTATAGAGGACTCAAGCTTACATGCCTAGTGTATTATTCTCACTACGAGGCCACTGTTTCTATCACTTATACGCAGCACCTTGGCACAATCCGGACTCTACCCTAAAAGAGGGGACGTAAGAGTTTTGGCGGAACCGGTCAAAGCATTGCTGGACACTTGCTATAATTCAGCATTAGTCTCCCTTGATGTTCTTGTGGCCCTCCAAAGGCAAAATCTTTTAGGTACCTCTATTCTTAATACTCGTGTAGCCTTCTAAATGTGGATACTGACACCGATGTAGAAGCTTTTCTACCTTTTGATCTAGATTGCACGATTTCTGCCGCAATCTCGCTCGCTCTTATACAAGCAATACCAGCTACGTCTCACAACTGCGGTCCTTCAATAGACGCTGCATTAGATGTTTTGGACTCGATGATTATGCGAGGTTATGTTATCGCTCAGTACCGTAGAGCAGAGCTCGAGAGTCTGCTAGAAACTCTCCATACAATCTTTAAACACCAGTCTTCTACAGAAGAGTTGAATCATTCTTACCAAGATGGGAGGCTACGCTCAGGAAACGCATCAATATTACCAGACATGGAGGCAGAGCAGCAGCCTCCAAATGTGCGGATCAACAGATCCTCGCCGGATTTCATTCTCTCACTTGCCGAATTGCTAGATTGGGAATCAATCATGGAGTTCCAAGGCGGCGACTTGGAGGCAGCTTGGTTATAATTTAAATCATGTATTACGGAGTAATAAACATCATAATATGGCACTTTGTTAAATACCTACCTATTGTTCAGAATCTTGAACGTTGTTCGAAATGAAGAGGGAACCGCGCCTCTTTATGTCCGACTATCATGTAAAGCAGCATATTAGCACCTTGATGTTTAGTACAGAAGTTGAGCCACAATCCGAAATACCAATAACCCATTCATGTATTTACCAGAGACAACGTGCCGCTAATACCAGTAACCTGTAAGTTGACTAGAAGCTTAGCACGATGCACCCCATAAGAGACATGAGTGAAGTGAGGGATTACCCCATACTGGGCCACTGGTGAGACCCTTGCCGCCATATTAAAGCCGTCCTTGATCAACTACACACACCACCGATTGTTATTTTCTCCGCCAACTAACACCAAAAGAACAACAAAACGAGAATGAATCGGACCCTAGCCCATCACCGGCACGCGAATCGTGCATGCTGCACTCCATGGCTAGCCTCTCCGTCACAAGACGCCAGTCACTTGGCAAGTACATCACACGTGACCCCGGCTTGGATGACTTTTGCACTCAACAAAAACCCGCGACAGCCTCTCCTCTACTCTTCCACTACTACTTCAAGTCGCTCATGTCCAACCAGATAACGCACGAGGGTCGCCCTCAAGGCCCCGATTCGCAGCTTTCGCAGAGTCGAGATACACGATGGGCGTTGTGCTGCTATTGGTCAGCGCTAGGAATGTGGTTGCGCTACGGCTGCTGATTCGTCCATCTGGGCTCCGTAGATCTCGCAAATATGCCGCTCGAAGCTTGTCTTCGCTTGACCCGGACCGCAGGACAGAATGGGCAAGGTTCAGTGAAGATGGATGCAGGGTCAGCCTTGGAGAAAAAAAGGTGTTGTGCAAGTGATCAAGATGTGGCTGTAAGTGCATCTTTTTGGGTGAGATGGTGGACGGGAGGGCAAAGTCAATGAGGCAGCACAGCCCATTTCAGCTGATAACAATCTGGATCTCGATTCGTCTATGGGCAACCACCAGCTTTCAGCACTAACATTGCCACTTTGTTGATGTTCAGCCTGTCTATGTACAGAGCTGAAAGTATTGGCTTGTATAAGACAAAAAAAACTGACAAAAGGCTGCCAAGGTCTAAGGCACTGAGGCCCTGACTTTGATCCATCCGGCGCTTACCTCGCCACATGATGGTCGGCCATACCATGTACAGATCTGGGCAAGTATTACACGAGAATATGCCTCTTTCTCCCCACGTTATTTAGTCACTCTTTCTCGACGAACTGCGTCCAGAGTACGTTCCTCGTGCCCACTTTCATGTATTCCTATTGCAGCTTTCCTTGTCTTAAAGCCACTCCCGTCATGCGCAACATATCAGCCTGATCCACGTGGGACTGCCTTTCTCGGACGTCGTTGGGTATCTTGTTGTATCGTCTGAAAAGACAAAAAGCAAGCACACTCGCTCTGTGACCGCTAGCCGTGTGTTATCCTTCATAGCATCTCTTCACCTCATCCTATAGCCTGTCCCTCAACGCAGAGCCAGCACGCCTCTCTCTTTGGCCGTCATGGCGTCAACATCGCTCATTGGATCGGGGCAGTATCCCGAGCATGATCTGTCCGAGTTCCCGGCCGCTCTCAAGGGCAAGCAAATTCTGCTATGCACAGAATCATTTGGCCCGGTCAACGGTGTGAGCCGGACAACTCTCATGCTGGTCAACCACCTGCGCGATCACGGTGTCCAGGTCGCTGTTGTCGCTCCTCACAACCACACCAACCACAACACATTTTCACCACCTCCGTCTCCTAGCCTCTCTCCTGCGGACAAGCAGCCCGAGGTCCGTGTCACCGGTTATCCCTTGCCCTTCAATCCTGAGCTCTCCATCGTATATCCTGTTCGCAACTCAACGCTCTACTCTCGCACCTTTGGCAATGATGCGCCGCCCGATCTCATCTACCTCGCATCCCCGGCTAGCCTGGGTTTTCAAGTCATGCTGCAGCTGAGACAGCAGCCCAAGGAGAAGCAGATTCCCATCATTTGCAACTTCCAGACGGATTTGGCTGGCTACTGTTCCATCCTCTTCCCGGCGCCCCTCAGCCACGCGGCAGTCTTTGCCTTTGACGCCGTGCAAAGCTACCTTTTCAGGCACTCGTCAATCAAGACCATCTTTTACCCCTCCAGATTCGTCAGACGTTATTTGGAAGGCCAGAAAGTCCAAGCCAGCAAACTTGAGGTCTTGACCAGAGGAGTCAACACCACCATGTTCAACCCGAGCCGTAGGAGCGAGGCCCTGCGAAAGGAGATTGCGCCAAATGGAGAAATCATCTTCGTCACCGTTTCTCGAATTGCTGGTGAAAAGGGTTTCGATTTCCTCGCCAAGGTTGCCAAGGAACTGGATGCTAGGGAGTTGCCGTTCAAAATGGTCATTGTTGGAGGAAACCGAAACCCCGACGTCGAAAAAGAAGTCCAAGAGCTGTTCGACCCTCTCAGAGAAAAGGGCACCGTCACCTTCGCCGGCTTCAAGGTTGGAGAGGATCTCGCTACCTACTACGCCAGTGGCGATGTTTTCTTGCACTGCTCCGTCACAGAAACATTTGGCCTGGTTGTCCTGGAGTCCATGGCCAGCGGTGTTCCCGTAGTGGCTCGTGATGAAGGCGGTCCATCAGACATTATCGCCCACGAGCAGACAGGCTACCTAGTCCCGCCCGACGACTTGGACGGCTTCGTTGCCAAGGCTGTCAAGCTTGCTGAAGACCACCAGCTACGATTCACCATGGCCAAGGACGCTCGCGCAGCTGCATGTGAATGCACATGGGAAAAGATCAACAACAAGGTTGCCTGGCGCATGGCCGATACCATTGCTCAGCGTGAGCTGGAGAAAGGAAAGGCGCCTCAGCCAACCCCCGCGGTGACAACTACAGCTTCACAGCTGGTACCTGTTTATGGCTGGCTCATGATGAATAATTCCGTCCGAGAAACAGTCACTCGTAGCATTGTCGATGCTCGGCTGATGGGTGGCTTGGGAGTCATTCTAAGCTTCTGGGTCATTACTGGCGCATATGTGGTATTTACCGAAGGTCTTCTATGGGCCAAAGGCCGATTCCGCAAAGCCACGCCGACGAAATGAGGCGATTTACTTACCCTCCTGGCAGAATATGATATGACTTTTTGATGGAACTTGGTATTTCTGAGGATATATGGGACTGATGGGTTTGGAGCCGGTGTTTAAGGCGCGTTACATGTCGTGAGACTATTGGGATATGATCTTTCATTTGTCTTCTTTTTTCCCTCTTGACTCCCCTTGCCCTTTTTTTGACACGACTTTATCTGCTTGTTATAGATTTGAAGTTTTATGGAGTAGAGATTATGATAGATGTGCGCAAGATGCACGTCTTATGACGTTGACGGGTTCATGGCCTTTTCTTCTTCTCTCCTTTATCTCTTTTTGTTTCTGATTACATGGCGAATGAACAGCTGCTGCCGGATATACCCCTACAAGATTGACTTTTAAGATGCTTATTCGTATTTTAAGTAGCATTAGACAGAATTTCATGACTATCTTAGATATCACGTATAGTTTATACATATATATCAAATTTTGAGTTGCGCCTTTGCCTGTTTTGATTCGGTTGTTTAATATTGTGAGTTTCAAGGAAATGTTATGTTATACTGTATGTGTACACATGTGAAATAATAAGAAAGGGGCAGCAAAGTACGCTTGGGGAATCATAAACCATCTCACCCATAATAACCAATCTTTTGTTCAACGCTCAACTTATCCAACCCCCTGCTCTTCCTTACATCCAAAAATTCCTCCATCTTTCTAAAAAGTGCGATAGGCGGCGTTATCCCTGGTAGCATGCATGGCTCTTCGCTTATAAGCCGTAACATGCTGGATTCTCTCATACGTGCCGAACCCGTAGACGGCCAAGCCAATGAGCAACCAGGTTCCAGTGATGACAAGGCCGGTGGGGAAAATCATGAGGTTGACTCCTGGAAGGACAAAGGCGACAGTACCGTTTTTGAGACCGGCTTGCTGTAGGGAGACGGCTTGTTGGGCGGCGGCAAAGTCGGAGAGGATGACGTCTTTGGAGAAGACGCCGACGAGGAAGACGGCTTCGTTGAGGGAGACGTTGGAGCTGATGCGGGCGCCGGTGGAGGTTACTGCGGAGAGAGTGAGGGTGGGCATGACGAGAGCTTCGAGATCGGCACTGGGTTATCTTATTAGATATATGGTGCAAAAGAGCTGTAGAACAGAAACTTACATGGACAAGTTATTCTTCATCTGGTCCTTGTCGATTTGGCCGACCAGCATGTACGACTGCAGCAGAGTCGGGGTGTTGGAAGAGCTGCTATCTCTCTTGGTGATATTGACAGGCGGGCTGGAGCTCGACCCTGAAGTCACTGGCTTCATAGGAGTCACGCTGGCGCCCTTGTATACAACGCCAACCTGAATCTCACTGGGCGGCACGCCAACAAAGTCATCTCTCGGGTCAGAAACGCGATACAGCCGAAGATCCGCCTCGAACATGCCAGTAGTAACGTCCAGCATGGGCAAGTTATAGCAAATGCAGTCTCCCGAGGGATTCGAAGTCCGTGTAAGCGACGCAAGGCGCGCCTGACAAGCCGCGTTCGTGAGGTTATTCCAAGCAGTAAAGTCCAGCGATCCGTCTGGCAGAAGCTTAACGTCAGACGGGATACTCGAGTTTCCCGTGGCTCTCTCGTCCAGGCCGCGGGCTACGGCCATGGTGTCGTCGCCGAAGCCGAGGAGCGAGGCGTATGGCGTCGAGAGAACATCGTCGGTTCGGAGGACGGAGGCTGCGTGAGGGACTTGGGCGAGAGTGGTGGCGGCGAGGAGAGATGCCGCGAGATTGAATTTGGCCAGCATTTTGAATGGAGTTTTCGATGTCTTTTTGAGTGGACGCCCCCAGAGCAATTGTCGAGTAGATGAGATTCGAGAGCGAGAGAAATAGAGAAAAGATTATTATTAAAGATGGTCCCGTCCAGCGGTGGTATAGAATAGAAGTCCTTCAACACTCGTTTATTACGCTGTCGCCTACAATCGTTCAAGAAACAAGGAAACAAAAAGTGAGGAAAGGATATTAAAGAGATGAAGAGAAAGACACCCCGAGAAAGCACGGTCACGGCGTGAAACGAACAGTCTCGCTAACCGCTTCTCAGATCCCCTTCGATACAGATCCAGCTATCCCCAGCAACAAGTCAGGCCATTATTGCAAGTGCCGCGACAGCATTGACAAGAGCCAGCCACTCTGCCAAGACGACGTCAACTCGCCCTGGTCGTTGCAGGTGAGTTTCCAGGCACCGTTAGTGAGGCATCAAGGGGGTTTCCAAGGGGCTGCTTTCTCTGAAAAGTACAAATAAGAGCCCATGTCCATACAGCTGGACCCTGTTCACTGAGCCATGCAAGAATTCATGGGGTTTCCATTGAATTTCCCAGCTTGAGTGGTCGCATTGTTTCGCTAATTTTGGTAATGTTACACTGGGTGTTTGGGAGTTGTGGCTCCCGCCTCGGCTTGGTGGGGATCGGGGGTTGAGAGGCCAGTCGGACGCGTCCAGGTTCCCCAACTAAGCGCCCGCTAAACCAGACGGAGATCCCCTGTATAATAGGCGACAATTGGCTTGAGATGAGAGATTGAGGACATTGGACACGCGATGGTGATGCCAAAAGATTCCCTAGTAAGAGAGTTGTCATCCTCTTATGTTGTGAGCTGTGAGCTGTTACAAGCTACAATCGATGCATCTCTTTGGAATTTTTCTTCATCAAAGCCCTACCGTGATCAGCGTGTCAAGCCATAACCTGAAGGTCTTGTCTCGTCTCAGGCCAGGGGCGGCTCAAACCAAATCTCCGGCGCCATGCTCGTAACTGTAGTAGCTCATTGTAGCGTGCGCGTACCTCCGTGGAGGTCCTTGAACGTGATCGTTTCAGACGATTCTTCCACTTCACTGCCCTTTCCAGAGGTCGATTTATTATCTGATAGCTGTTGTTGTTGACTTTGAGATATCGAAGGATTTCGTACTTTGCTCGTGTCATTCTATTCTTATCTGCTATCAGATCAGGCCCTTGGATGCGGCAAGATGCGGCCACGGCGGCTTCAAATAAACCGCGATAGCATGGCCTCCCAATCTGGCAGCTCCTGACGACGCACTGTAGAAACACTGTCCTTATCTCATCTCCTCCGCTCAATAGCCGCCAGTGATAACCCCTCTTCACAGTGTCGATATGGCCGTGGAATACTCTCGCGAACAACGGCCAACAGCCACCTCACCACCATGACTTTATCCTTCCCCGCGATTTAAGATGCGGAGAAGCTTTTGTGATTGGCATAGGAAACAGCACCAACTTTCTGTACGAGCACCGGAGATCCGAAAAAGGCTATCATGGCACCCTCCATCTCGTCCCTTGGTACCCGATAAGGGCCAATAAACTGCATCAGCGCATCCAATACGACCAACATCCCGATGGACATCCGAGAGAAGCAGGATATTCGCTATCTATTACTATCAAGAGGAAGGCCGATATGCCAGTGTCCAAGATGCGGGGTGATCACTTATCACGACAGGGGATGGGTATGTGGAATCCATTCCATGATGCTTCGTAGAGACGACGCCTACTTCCTCGGAATCTCGATGATCGTCATGCATGCACACGCACCCTTTCAGCCACCCGGCTATAAACGGCCGGTTCTTACCTATAGCTGAAGTGTGTTGCATTGCAGGATATACCAAAGCTCTGCACATATATCTGCTATAGGTCGCATCCAATACTGGGACTATTCACTGCTTCCTAAGTGTTGAAGAATAGCTGAATACACCATGCCCGGCAAGATTCGAACCGCACAAACCGTCTCCCTTGACATTCCGGCTGCAGAGCAGCCAGGATTGCATAACAGATGGCATCCTGATGGTGAGTCCTGGCCGCCTATCTTCTAGCAGGAATTTTAGAGCTAATCAATTGCCTTTGTAGTTCCTACAATTGGCAGCATCGAGCCTGGAGAAACTGTCAAAATCGAGTGTGTCGACTGGACCGGGGGCCAGATCGGGAATAACGACAGTGCTGAGGATGTACGCACCGTGGATCTGACCAAGATTCATTACTTGACTGGCCCATTCGAGATCAAAGGCGCCGAGCCAGGCGACCTCCTGGTTGTAAACATTACCGATGTCCAGCCGTTTGAGGACTCGCCCTGGGGATTCACAGGCATCTTTGACCGCAAAAATGGCGGCGGTTTTCTTGACGAGCACTATCCAAAGGCTGCCAAGGCGATCTGGGACTTTGATGGCATATATTGCACCAGCAGACACATTCCCGGAGTGCGGTTCGCAGGCCTGATTCATCCCGGGATCCTTGGCTGCGCTCCGTCACACGAGGTTTTGGCTGAATGGAATCGTCGCGAAGCTGATCTCATCTCAGCATGCGTTCATAGCCATCCCAACAAAGTAGTTGCTCAGCCACCACTTGCAGTGAATGCGCATGCCGGCCAAGCCACCGGAGATCTCAAAGCAAAGATTGCTCGTGAAGGAGCCAGGACGATTCCTGGACGGCCAGAGCACGGAGGAAACGGTATGTCACCCAGTAAACAGTATGTGTGGCGGACTCTAACAAAACTCAAAAGTGGACATCAACAACATCTCGAGAGGATCGACGACATACCTTCCAGTACACGTCCCAGGCGCCAAATTCTCAGTCGGCGACCTCCATTTCAGCCAAGGCGATGGAGAGATTAGCTTTTGCGGCGCGATTGAAATCGCAGGAACCATCACCATCAAGTTCGACCTCATCAAGAACGGCGTCCAATCGCGAGCCATCAAGAGCCCCGTTTTCCGGCCCGGCGATGTAGCCCCTAATTTCGGCCCTGGCCGGTATCTGACGTTTGAAGGCTTCTCCGTCGACGAGAATGGCAAGCAACACTTTCTGGATGCAACCGTGGCTTATCGACAGGCTTGTCTCCGCGCAATCGAGTATCTCAAGCAATTTGGTACGTCATTAAAATAGATTTCCTCGAGTTCTTCGTCTCTCCCAAAGAGATTCTGCAGCTAACCACTCCACTTCGTGTGACAGGATATTCTGGAGAGCAAATCTATCTTCTATTGTCATGCGCCCCGATCAAAGGCTCAATCGCGGGCATTGTAGACGTTCCGAATGTCTGCACAACATTAGGGATACCCATGGACATATTCGACTTTGACATTTCTGTCGAAGCCGTGCCGAAGAAGCGAGACCTTGGATCTTGCCCCATTTCAAGCGTGTAATTTAGCTGCAAACTAGTACCAGAGAGGAAGCTGTATATTGATGTTTGTTGCTTTCATCCTTTGGTCCTTTGTATCGCATACAAAAATGAAGTAGCATTGCTAATATTGATGGCCATGGATGCCAGCTTCGCCTCGTGTCAAAACAAAGCTAGTGACCGTTCAGCTCAACTACGTCTGCTTATGCTTGAGCCTCGTCTTGGTTGTACGTAGGATTCTTTTGCAGGCGATGGAGCCGATAAGTCAGCCATGTATCCTGGACGCGATGATTAATTACTGTATTCTTGGCAAAACACTTTGGCCTCTCATTGGTGTAGAATCTCCTCGCGGAGCTGGTTGTCAGAAGCTAAATGTTCCCGAGCCCCCAACCGCGCAACGTTCTATGACATTGCCCAACGCTCATTCAATGGTTCAATTCGTTAGTCCTTGGCTCTTGTCAAGCTGCAGTTAGTGCACTTACCGAAGCCCTGTGTTAAATAAGATTTTATATAAGGTGTGGGGGAATATTGCTTTCAGCCGTTAAGCATAGTATTCAACCTTCCCCATATTTTACCCCAGACTTTGAGGAGTTTCGGCATGATGGATAAATATCCGCCAATCATGCGATGGAAGCATTTGTCCGCCAATGGGATGGTCGCTTCCTGTCAGCGTGTAGTCGCGTTAGGAAGGAGATCTCCTTTTATTTCAACAGATATAATGAGGAATACCCCTTGCGAGAAAGTGAATCTGAAGAGTAGGCATAGCATCAATTGATCTTGTGTTTCATTACTGCTGTCCCTAGCTGCTTGAATTCGAGCTCTGGTAATCGATATCCCGGCAACATGAAGCTCAAGTCTTTGGTGGGCTTCGTCGCTGCGACAGCTAGTGTTGCGCAAGCCGCTTCCTCGGACGATTCACTCGCGCTCTTTGCTAAGAGGAGGACGGCGGATCTATCTCAATTCCCTGACCCGACGTGGTTTGCCAAAATTGATACGTGGCTGTCTTCCCAAAAGACGGATGGCACTTGGTCGGATGTAAACTATGCATCAGGATGTCCTGCGCGTAAGTGACAAACCGCGCCGCGTCTTGCCGAGAGCTGGCAAATAGATGCATCATATGACTTTTGGGGAGAACAGTGCTAATGGGTTTACTTTTGAAGAACGTGCCAATTGGCCGATACAGGAGCATTGGAATAGGCTGATTACTTTTGGTGCTGCGTGGAGCGGTGTTAACCCTGCCGTGTCAAGTACCTGGGCCAAGGATCCTAAGCTTCTTGCTGCAGTTCAGAAAGGTCTGGATTATTGGTTTAGCAATGATTATACCCCAGCCGACTGCATGGGAGATGGAGGAAACGCGTACGTATTGCAAGAAGTGCCATTGTTGCTGGGACGGCGAAGCTAATGATGAATCTAGATCAAAGGGATGTCCTTGCGATACGCCGGGTCTGTGGAACACTGTATGCTTCCATTACTCTAAAACTGGGTAATTTGGATTGACTTGCTGACAAAAGTATAGAATTGGTATGATCAGGCCATTTTGATTCCTCAGCTGTGCTCAACAGCATGTCTTCTTGTCAAAGATGCGAATCTCACGGAGACTCAACGAGCCGGCTGTGAGCGTATCCCGAACCGAGCATACGCTCTCCGGGATGGCACCTACGGTACCGGAGGCCGCATGACCGGAGCCAACGTGAGTTTATCATTGAGACCTCTTCGCTGACTTGTACATTTTGCTGATTGCTTGTCATCTAGATGGTCTTGGTTATGCAAAACTCAGTCACTTTGGCCCTTTTCACGGATAACAGCACAATTTTGTCGGATGCCATGACTAGAGCCATGTCTGTAATGACTGTGAGTAGTCGTACTTGTGGCGTTAAATACCAGAATCGAGCTAACTGAGAGGCAGTTTGTCGATACCCCTGGAGATGATGGCATCCACCGAGATGGCACGTTCCTTCAGCACGACGGTCTCTTGTACAACGGCAACTATGGAAAAGATTTGGTAAGATATAATTTCTTCTAAAATCCAGATATCATGCTTCGTGCTGACATTGTATGTAGTTGAATGCTTTCATTCAGCTCGAAGGCGAGGCCATTGGTACTTCATTCGCTGCAGACGATAGTACCCGAGAGGCCATGTCCACTTACATCAAAGGAGATGAGTGGATGATTTACACAGACTCCGACACCAAAACCGAGCACTGGGACTTTGTAGGCACTCTTTCTTCACCCCCTAACTTCCGAAGCTAACTCCAGGTCTCTGTAGAATGCCATCGGTCGCTTTGTTTCTTTCCCTACCGTTGACTTGCAGGCCAGCGCAGATATCAACTTCAACGTCTCAAAACTTGCCAATGCGGTGGCTGATTTTACAGGATCGTACGCCGTCAACGACACAATTCGTAGACTTCTCTCCAACGGAACCGAGAAGCTTACAGGTAACAAGGGCTTCTGGGCAAGCGACTACATGGTTCACCGCCGCCCTGGCTTCGTCCTTACAAACAAGATGATTTCAACCAGGTCATCCAACTCTGAGAGTGTGAATGGTGCCAATCCGTATGCTTACCACATGGGCCAGGGCACTCTGTACTCCTACGTCAAGGGTAATGAGTACAAGGACATCATGGCACAGTGGGACTGGAATCTTGTGCCTGGAACGACTACCCTGCTCAACCAGCCCAAACTCCAGGCCACTCAGGTAAAGTATGATGGTCTTAAGGACTTTGTTGGCGTCGTGAGCGACGGCAAGTTTGGCGCTGCTGTTGAGGACTATCTCGACCCCTTGACGCAGAATCTATCTTACCGCAAGTCTTGGTTCTTTGTCGACGAGGGTGTCATTGTCATCACCACCGACATTAAGAAGAATTCCACCGCTGGAAACACTCCCGTCATCACGGTGCTGGACAACCGCGCAGCAGAGCCAACAAAGCCACTCCTCAAGAACGGCCCCCTCTCTAAGCTTGGTGATCAACACTCCACCTCAGATACTCTGTACTACGCAAACAACGGCTATCTCGCCTACGACACCCCCTTCGAGCTCACCATTTCCCTGGGCAAGCGAAGCGGCAACTGGTCCGAGATTTCGACCTCGACTCAGGGCGTCAAGACGGCCGACATCTTCTCTGCTTATACCACCATCAAGGGCAGCCAGTTCACATACGGCTACTTCCCCGGCATTTCATCCCAGAAACTCAACAAGGAGCTTGAGAAGCCCACCTGGAACCCCATCACCAAGAAGGGCATCTCGGGCATCTACGGCAAGGACAGGGCGAGTCTGGCGTTTTGGCCCGGCGGCGACAAGTCTGTTGCGCTGGACCTGAAGGCGCTCGGATGGGCCAAGGCCGGCACGCTGACTTTTACGTCTGACCAGCCGGCGGTGTATCTCATCAGCGCGCAGTGCAAGGACAAGAAGAGCATGCGTCTGGTTGTTACCTTGGCGGATCCCACTCAGAAACTCGCTGTGGCTTCGTACTCGATTAAGATCTCGGGACAGGGCCACAAGGTGAGGGAGATGGGAAAGAAGAGCGAAGGGCTTGAGAGGAGAGGTGATGGTGGCATTGGATTTGGTGTGAGACTGCCTACTGGAGGACTGGCTGGGTCTTCTGTTAGTCGCGAAGTCATCTTGGAGTTGGACTAGAAAGAGATCTGTGCGCTAATAATGGGGGATGGGATGGATTTTTAAACGAGAGACGCATTGATTTCTTTGATTAGGTTATTATACTTGTAATATAAATGATAATAGAGCCCATGGTGGGCGGCATTCATTCAGAACCTTGATCAATGTAAGCAACCAACTTAGACCTGGAGAAGTTCGACCGACAAAATTCCACCAATAAGTATCTGCTGTTGATGCGAGAAGGGATCTGAAAAATAGATCCGACATGGATGTATACATGTATATTGCCATTCAGTCAACAAAGCATTCATCTTCATCGTTCTGCTGTATTGGACCTTTCTTAGCCGTTACGTTCACCAGATGTAGTCAGATTATGTCTTTGTCTCTATAACAACATAACATTTGAACTTTCAATATTAGTAAATGCCACGGTGTACATCTGGTTACTTCAACACACGGACTTTAGCATATAGCATCTGATTTCTCCGTATATGAGTCCGAAACTTGTCAGTATATGACAATAAATTGTAGGTCATTGAATCGATTGCGTGATGCGCTAGGCTATCGAAGCGACAGTGGATCTACATCTAGTGGAATGCAGCGCCGAGACGGGCCGTCAGCACGTATGGAGTACAGGTACATGTATGTAGAGAGAAGAGTCAGTAGACTGATGTTCGCTGTCTAATAATCATGGGCTCTTCTTGATACGGCCAGCATGGAGTGTTGTCGTGGATTGAGCTGGTTGCCAAATGAGGCTGTCACGTATGACCGTGGCGTTGTTTCTCGCTACGAGATCAAGGCTCAGGACCATCATGAGCTGATTACTCCTGGTAGAGAATGGCTGGTACTCGTATTGACAGGGAGTTACATGAAATATTAAAAATTCAAGACTGACGGGTGGAGCAAGTCCGGATGCTTTCCACACCAATCCATTTCTCGAATATGGTCCATCGATGTTGCTCTTGGTGTGTATCCACCACTCCAGATGCGACCTGCATTGCACTACTTCTTGTATTGAATCGAGTGTCAATGTTCAATTGGACGAGATATCATTGGTGGCTTGGACAAAAATACCTGCCTCTAGAAACTCTATCGAATCGGCGTCAATCACGGCCGAATCCGGTCATCAAGCGGCCAAGCACACACCGGCTCAAGCCACCATTTCTATTTCCCACCACCTCGTCCCGTTTCGATGACTCGTCTAATGCTACTCGAAGCCACGCGGGCGTGTCATCAGAGGCAGCAACAATTAGAAAAAGAAGCTTGGAAGAGCTTGCCCCTGTCAGCTCTTGGCGGCAATCCCGGTGAGGGTAGCCTTGAGTTGGCAAGGCTTCGGTGACGCGATTGAATCCTCGTCCGGGTAGCGGTTTGATGGAGCTAGCACATAAGATGGGAGATGAAGACGAATGGAAAAAAGGACACAAAGAAACACGGATAACTGAACCGGAGAGGAAGGCCGATGAGGAATCAGAGCGCACGGCTGTTTTGATCCATCTACTGTGCTCCGTACTACGTTCTCCGTACTCCGAGCGACTCTGCAGTGAGATTCTGGACTTGTTCGGGCCCTGGCGATCTGCGCTGGGGCGGAATTATGCTCACGTTAGGCCCCCACGTCTTCTTGTTGTACTGCCGTCGCCAAGTACTTGCGATGATGGCTATTGTTTTGCGTAGCGTCGAGTAGCAGTCGTGAATCTGTACATGCTAATCGTCTTGATTGTACACTAATACTGTGTATATCTATCTAGCTGACGCCAAGTTGCCTTCATGAGCTAGAGATCATTCTTTGTGTCCCCGCGAGCCTTCTCTTAGCATACCGGTACTCACACACTCACTCACACACCAACTCCCGTTATCCTAGCTTCATTCAAGCACGGCCTGGCCGATGCCTCGCCTCCAACTCTCCGGCAAGCCACCGTGAGCGATGCCGATCCCGTCAATCAGGCCTTGTGAGCCATCCAACAGCCCTGTCGACTGCCCATAGCTTGTTCTGGTGGTCCCCTGCGCGGCATCTCGATCGTGATTCGTGCAAGCCCAATCACCAAAAGCTGCGAGATATTGCGCCATCGTCGCTATACAGCACTCATCCCCGTCCAGCTGCCTCTTAGCCTCTGCTTGTAGCGTAGTCTACGGACAATATTTCTTGATATTACTGCAGCATAATGATCCAAGCTCGCGCGCCCTTTTGACAGAAAAGGTGGATGGCAAAAGAAAAAAAAAAGGGCTTTCCGCCCGTGGAACCTCGGCGCGCGCGTATCCGTTTCGAAGTAGCCTGCGGAGGAGTAGCGTGAGGATCGAGGAAGCTCGTAGCCGCAATGGTGATAGATTCCTAGCGTCATGTCGCATCAGCTGGTAGCACCAAGCATCCTGAGGTCGTGTGCTAAGGTTGCATTGTAGAAAGCCTTGGTCCGCGTACATAATGAAGGCCGTGCCGCGTTTTCTGCGACTGGGCGACCAGCCGAAGGATCTACTCCGTGCTACGACTCTTCCTTTTTCTCTTCTTTTCTAGAAAAGTTGCGGGCGGCCATTGCGTTGTGCCTCTGCCCAAACTTGTCTCTTGATATAATTGTATACGCGGTCGTTCTTTGCAATCGCTGCAATGGGTTCCCCGTCAGACGACGGCAAGACGGCGCCGACCCGAGATGCCGTCGAGACTCAGAGCATTTCCACTGGCAGTGATGAAGATGTCATTCCCAAGGGTGCCCTCGATCCTGTATACGAGGCAAAGGCCAAAGTGCTGAATCACGCTGTAAGTCTCATCCTCGTTTTCAAATTACCTACCACTTCAATTGGCATGTCGATATATATATGCGGCCAACATTTATACTAACGCATACCTTGATACAGATTCAAGACATTGGCATGGGATGGTATCAATGGCAGCTCTTCTTCGTCGTCGGCTTTGGTTGGGCTTCCGATAACCTCTGGCCAATCGTCACATCCCTCATCTTTACACCCATCAACAATGAGTTTTCCCCCAACCGCCCGCCGCTCCTGACTCTGGCCCAAAACATTGGTCTTTTGGCCGGTGCCGTCTTCTGGGGCTTCGGATGCGACATCTTCGGTCGGAAAATCGCCTTCAACTTCACTCTCGGCTTGACTGCGCTCTGGGGAATGGTGGCTGCTGGTGCTCCCAACTTTGCAGCCATTGGCATCTTCGACTGCTTCTGGTCCTTTGGTGTTGGTGGCAATCTGCCCGTCGACTCGGCCATCTTTCTCGAATTTTTGCCCGCGACTCACCAATACCTGTTGACTATCCTGTCTGTGGACTGGGCAATTGCTCAAGTCGTTGCCAACTTGATTGCTTGGCCTCTTCTGGGTAACTTGACTTGCGCTCAGGACGAGAAGCCATGTCTCAAGCACAACAATATGGGCTGGCGATACTTCCTCATTACCATGGGTGGAATCACGCTTCTCATGTTCTTGGCTCGATTCTTGCTCTTCTCCCTTTACGAGTCGCCCAAGTACCTCATGGGCAAGGGCCTAGATGAGGAGGCCGTCCGAGTAGTTCACGAGGTTGCCAAGCGCAACGGTAAGACGAGCTCGCTCACAATCGAAGACCTCAAGGCTTGCGAACCCGAAGGCTATGTATTCCAGGCAGATATTTCTACCGCTGTCAAGAGAACCCTAGTTCAAAAGATTGACACTACGCATGTTAAAGCCTTGTTCTCAACCTTCAAGCTCGGCTTGTCGACCAGCCTCATCGCTGCTATTTGGGCGCTCATCGGTCTCGGTTTCCCTCTTTACAACGCCTTTCTGCCATTCATTCAGGCCAACAAGGGTGTTGACTTTGGTGATGGAAGCACATATCTCACTTACCGTAACAGTTTGATCATTGCTGTACTTGGTGTTCCCGGAGCTTTGATCGGAGGTCTGCTTGTCGAGCTCCCTCGAATTGGCCGCAAGGGAACGCTCGCTCTTTCTGCTGCTCTGACTGGTGTCTTCCTGTACTGCTCCACGACCGCCAAGAGCAGTGAATCTCTTCTTGGATGGAACTGTGCCTACAACTTCTGCAGCAACGTCATGTATGCTGTGCTCTATGGTTACACCCCTGAGATCTTCCCTACTCCTCAGCGCGGTACTGGCAATGCCATTGCTGCTACTGCTAACCGAATTTTCGGTATCATGGCTGTACGTATTTTTACATCTCCCTATCTCTTTGTGAATCTTGACGTGAATAAGCCTAACTGTTTGGAAACAACAGCCTATCATCGCCATGTTTGCCAACCTCGAGACATCCGCGCCCGTATATACAAGCGGCGCCTTGTTTATCGCTGCCGGTGTTCTTACCCTTTTCCTGCCATTCGAATCACGCGGAAAGGCAGCACTGTAAGGGGTCTAGAGAGCCAATTAATTCGTTTGTATATAGAACAAAGGAGGATGGTGTGGTATTGGGAGCGAAGTTGCAAAAGAGTAATGATAGTGTGATACCCAAGGTAGTTTCTATTCAATGGATAGTGACGGTTCATTTGGCATAATTTCAGCAACAGTGAAAAGATTTGTTCGTTTGCTCATACATATTTCACCCATACCGAATTGCTCCAAGCTATCAAAATCTCAATCCAGTTCCATAGACAAATGTCGTAGGCTTCAAAAGACTATTCCCGTCCAACTGGCCATCAAGAAATTACACAATCCGATATGGTGTAGTGGCTAACATCGCTCGCTCTCAATAATGAACCGAGCAGCCCTGGGTTCGATTCCCAGTATCGGAGGCAATTTCTCTTTTTGCCCCTTCCGTTGAATTTTTTTTTTCTCTTCGTCCATCGTCTGCGAGAGTGTATGATAAGATTTTGCTCCTTAGTCAGCGTCTCAACATCCGATATGGTGTAGTGGCTAACATCGCTCGCTCTCATCAATGAGCGCCGAGCAGCCCTGGGTTCGATTCCCAGTATCGGAGCTTCTGATTTCTTTTTCTTTTTTTGCGCTCGTGATAATAGTTTGTTCCTGAAATTTACTTTTTACCGGAATGTTGTTTGTGTGGCTGGCTGATTGTCATGTTGGCATTGTAATATCCCCGTGCTGATTGGCTACTTTAAATAGTGGACTTGGTTGGATCTAGATTCATCCTGGCACGGCTCGGTCAAGTATCGCGGGTGACGACAAGCAGGCATCCAGTCCAATTGACTTTGGAAAAAAGTAAACAGAGTTTAATTAATTCCTTTAAATGACTTGCATTAAACTACTCAATTGTAAACTTGATATAAGCTTAATGCCTTACTTGATAGACTCACGATCGATAACAATGTGCTCGTATTCAACATGCAACAGGTATCACGTGAGCCTCGGAACGTCTGGGCTCGACTTGCAGGTCACGAGCTGACGAAGCGGTGACACGACAATAGCAGCCCAATTGGCCTTCTGAAACGTGATTAATCGTCTAGATCGCCAGAAACAACCATCGTTATATCCATTGTTCAAGCACAGGGCCCTCTCGATCTCAACATGGGGGAAGAAACTGTCCCTACAGCGGAACCTCGCGTGACCTTTTCATCGGGCCGAGTTGGGAGCAGCGGCAGTTCCGAAGCACCAGACCTACGTATTCTACATTACAACGATGTCTATCATGTTGACCAAGCCAGTGCAGAGCCAGTGGGAGGTTTGGCGAGATTCATAACGCTCTGCAAGGAGTACAAGGATGGGGAGCAGTATCAAGGCCAGCCTGGGCTGCTTACCCTGTTCTCGGGTGATGCCTTCAACCCAAGCTTGGAGAGTAGTGTTACCAAGGGTATATTTCTCAATTTCAAGATATCCATGCTAGTGAAAAGAATCAATGCTTACTGCTGATAGGAGCTCATATGGTTTCCGTCCTGAATGCTGTTGGCACAGACGCCAGTTGCGTCGGAGTAAGTCATGTTGTTCATTTCGACACAAGCCACAACCACTGACCGAATCCTCTGCATTGATTTAGAACCACGATCTGGATTTTGGAGTCAAGCAGTTTGAGCACCTGGCTGAAAAGTGTGAATTTCCATGGCTTCTAGCCAACGTTCTAGATCCTGCCCTGGGAGAAGATGTCCCGCTGGGTAACGCTAAGAGGACTCATATGCTCACCACCTCCAACGGCATCAAGGTGGGCCTTATTGGTCTGGGTGAGAGGGAATGGCTTGCAACCATCAACAGTCTTCCGCCAAATCTCATCTACAAATCAGCCACTGCCGTCGCCAAGGAACTCGTCCCAAAGCTGCGAGAGGAAGGCGCTGAGATTGTCATCTGTCTGAGCCACATGAGAGAGCCCAACGACAACAAGTTAGCCGACCAGACGGATGGCATCATTGACATTATTCTGGGTGGACATGACCATTACTATGCTCACAGCTTCAGAAATGGAACTCATGTCCTGCGCTCTGGAACGGACTTCAAGCAGCTCAGCTACATCGAGGCGCGACGAAAGCAGGACAATCCGAAGCGATGGGATTTCGACATTTGGAGAAGAGACATTACGTCCGAGGTACCCGAGGATGAGCCCACGGCCAAACTAGTGAACAGCTTGACGTCTAAGCTACAAAAGTCACTTGCCAGGCCCGTTGGATGGACAGCCATGCCGCTCGATGCTCGGTTCATCACCGCTCGCTTAAAGGAGTCCAACATGGGCAACTTTGTGTGTGACATTATGCGTTCCTATCATAACGCTGATTGTGCCATTATGGCTGGTGGTACGATTCGTGGTGATCAGATTTATCCTCCTGGAGCAATTCGCATCAAGGACATCACTTCTTGCTTTCCCTTTGAAGATCCTGTTGTTTTACTAAAGGCTAAAGGGCAGGCGATCTGGGATGCGCTAGAAAACGGCGTTTCATTGTATCCTGCCTTGGAAGGGAGATTCCCCCAAGTTTCCGGCATTGAGTATGAGTTTGATCCATCGAAGCCGTCTGGCCAGAGGATCTTGTCCGTCAAGATTAACGGCAAGACTTATGAGCCAGAGAAGTTGTATATTCTCGCAACTAGAGGCTACATGGGTCGTGGAAAGGGTAAGTGTGATGCAATCCTTGTGTGTGTCCATGCTTGTTAACTAATTGGAATCTTAGATGGCTTCACGAGTCTGCTCGTCAAGTCGGAGGGCGGAGAGGTAGAGGAGATTGTCGACGAAGAGAGCGGTATCCTCCTTTCTGCTATGCTCCGCCAGTACTTTATGGCCCTCCGAACAGTCGGCCAGTGGAAGAAACTGTCTGACAACTGGAACCATATCGTAAAGGATTGTGGTCACACTCAGTTACCATCCGAAGTGTTCAAGGGTGAAAGCCAAGTGGGCCGGCTTGGCCTCCACGAGCATAAAGAAAACGGGGATAAGGACCCCTGGCGCAAGTTCTTGCGATCAAGGCTAGGCTACAGCAAGAAGCCTCATGACGAAGACGATGACGCCCATTTTGAAGCTGGTACAGAGAGCGATCACTCGGGAAGCGATTCGGATAGCCAGCTTGACCTTGAGATATTGTTGATGAGAAAGTTTTGGGGCCGCTGGGCTCATAAGGCAGGTGTTAAGGGTTGTGTTTGCGACTCCCTGAAAGAGGCCGAGTGTGCCGTGGACTGGACGAGAGTGATAGCACCCGTGCTCGAAGGACGTATCAAGATTGTCGGATCATAAGCAACTCGGAGCTGGTTTCATGCATTTTAAAGCAGGAAGAAATACATTAGGTTTCACTTGATCAAAACTTGGGTTCCCTGATCAACACACCATTTATTGACCACTCCTATATACTTGACTTCTCCTATATACCTGGACTCGTCCACCTCCCCCTTGCTACACTGAAATTATATACAAGAATGTGAGAATTCCACCTTGGCTCCCCACTGGCCACAATCTTCCTTTTGTTGGCCCTTTTAGTTGGTGCATCGGCCGTTGGAGCAGAAGAGGTCATCAGAGCAATCATCATCGCTGCCACAAGACGCGCCAGCACAGTGACCAGCCCAAGAGCAGTTGTTGCTGCCGCCGCCACCGCCGCTGTTACCACCAGAGCTGCCACCGCAGAAACCGTTGGAGCAAGTAAGATCGTCAGAGCAATCATCGTCGCTACCGCAAGAGGCACCAGCACAGTGGCCCTCCCACGAACAATCACCGCCGGAACCACCGTTGCCTGGATCACCGCCACCAGTGGTGCCGATACGGGCGACAAGGCTGTCACCGAGGGCGCTGATGCTGTTCTCGAAGTCGTTGTAGTCTTGGGCGTTCCACTGAGCACCTTTGGCGCCGGGGACGGCGCTGGAGCCGGTGAAGGCGATGTAAAGAACATCAGTCTGGTCGTGGCCGTTGTTACCGTTTATGCTGTTGCCGAAACAGGCGGTAGCAAGAGAGATGGAGGCCTCGCCAACGACAGGGAAGTCACCGTCGTCACCGTTGGTGTCACCCCACACACCATAGATCTAAGAAAGGCATATCAATTAGGAGAGCTCATCAAAGGGGAGTAGGGGTAAGTTCCTACCAGCTGGTTGTTGCAGACAACAGCCATGACGGAGAGGGGCTCAACGCCAACGGACTGAGGATCCCAAGTGTCCCAGTTTCCGCTACCCTCGTTACCAAAGACGACATAGGGGTGGGCATTGGCGTCAAGATCCCTCTGGCCGGTGCCGTAGCCTCGGACAGTATCGGCGAAAGCGGTGATATCCTGGGTATCACCAGAGTCGCCGCAGCGGCCGTCATCAGCAGGGCCACCCTGGATACCATCACAGTCGATGTCCATGTTGGCAAGTCTGCCGTTAGTGCCCTGGAGGTAGACGATGCCATAATCGGCAAGATGGTCACCACAGTAGCTGGTGGCTATGTGAAAGGAAACGTGTTAGTCCAAATCTTGAGATGTTGATAATGAGTTGAAGTGATACTTACTACCGCCATCGCCGTCCGAGCTGTAAAAGCCGGTGGCAAGTGGGCTTCTGCAAGAGCCTTGGGCAACGATGGAGTTGTACAGGCTCTGGACGTTGGCGGGCACCGAGCGGGCCGCAGCAGCGCCGGCGAGAGAAGCGAGGATAGCAGTCTTGAAGGAAGCCATGGTGACCAACTCCTTTGGTTGAAAAGATGATTTGGCAGTGGGATAGTATCTTTGTTTGAAGAGAAGCAATACTGACTTATATATAAGTTTACATCTCAGCAGATGACCAGGGTCGGCTTTATGGATGGCAGAAGAGCATATAAGCTCGGTAGATCCTTTGCCGAAGGATGATTCTCAACATCGGCTCATCGGCTTCATCCCTGGAGTGAGCCTTGATTCAACCCTCTCAAACGGGAATGAGGTCCAAAGGATCGGTTAGCGATGCTAGCCAGATGCAGTTTCTCACGCCACCCCTGTAACAGCACACGATCCTGTTTGAGCATGGCAATCTCAGTCTTGATGATTAGCTTCGAAGGATGACACGAGGCTGCTGGTGGTTCGGTAATGCATTTGCCGACCAACGCCCTCGATATTGCATGCAACTATACGAGTCGATGTCTCTCCTACATGCGGCTTTCGGTGAATGTGGAATCCCAAATAATATGGTGCCTAGTTCGTCGTAGTATTTTGTCTTGAAGATTTTGTATAGTCAAGGCACAGATGCCAAGAGATCTTATGACGGCTTCTTCTTGGTCCGTTCTTCTATCAAGATTGCCAGAAGCAGAATATCCCAATTTGGATTTAGCTGAACTGATTTCGGCTTTACCGTTACAACAACTTCTTTGGCCGCAGGTAAACAATTGTCATTTGGGAATAGCAGCAAAATCACAGCTCCTGCTGTTAATACGACAGTGGGATGCAACCCCCCGCGTATGGTTTCCACGTTGTTTATGAGTTGCCTCTTTGAGTCGTTGGGTTTACATGAATTTTCACCGAGTGGGTGCACTATGTGGGCTGAGGGACCGCTGATACAATTAGCAATGCTCGTATTCTCAACACTCGAGCAATGATTCCATTTGTTGTCTTTGTTTCTAAAGCACGATGAGAGAAAGGATTACTATTATCTAGCTAGATCAAGAGCCCACGATATGGTTCTTGCTTCACAACGATAGGCGAGTGCTTCGCCAGTAGACGACTGAAACGTCGTCTGAGCCGTCTAATGGAAATTATGTTCATACGGGTCTTTACTCGGCCATGGCGGTCTCACACGCATAACTAGCGTTCATCCTAACTCAGACCGAGTGGTTTGACAGGGTTTACATAAGGTTAAGGAAGCGCATAACAGAGAGCATAACAGGGATCCGGCACGCATCTCGCTGCGGCAAGTTTTGACGGCGAACCCACAAACAGATGGATATCTAGGTTTCCAGATGTGAGATGAGATGATGATGGGCTACGGGCGGCAGATACGATATACGCAGCCGACGATCATACGGTTTATCCAGGTCGCCAGCCAACCATGGACGGTTTACACTGCACGCATCGCATTCCATCAGTGGCAATTCGTCGGAGCGGGCCGCTGCGGTGCTAGAGAGTAGAGAAAGGCTGAAGGAATTCGGGTCAGCCTCCCCCTGAACGAATCACTTTCCTACCGACCATCCTTGTTGTCTACCGGCGGATGCGGAAATATCTTAATGATTTGCCACTAAAACCACAGACGAGTTGACCTGCTAGCCGACCAACCGGCTTGGCTTCTGTCAATTGGCTGTGGACAAGCTCTAATTGCCCGGTAGGAGCCAGTAGGGCGATGCAGGCTGGCCCCATAATCTCACTACGAATGATCCGTTGTGGGCAGTTGGGAAACAACTGAGCTTCCGGATTTGTTCTTCTTTGCGATATTTTGTCTTGGGCTGAGGATGTTTGCCTATACTCATACAAGGCCTTATCCAGAAAGAGAACTTAGGCGCGCAATCCTAGGCGCGCGCAGCATCCAGGGGGTGAGCTAGGAATAACGGCCCCCGTGCATGATTAGAGTAAACCAGACAATTTGGGGTTTAACCTTGGGGTTAGAAAAAGGCTTTGTAAGCGTCATATTTAGGGTTTTGCCGATGCTCGTTCTCGCACGGCATTTCGTGCTGCTTGGGGGAACTCGTCAAAGTTCATAGCATGCTCCTTGCGGTACTTGGTTCATTCGTGGAAGAATGGAACGTAGTATAAACTCCAGCCCCCATGCTTGTTTCCGGATGCAAGTGATCCGTCATGAATACAGTTAGACATAGATACATATACAGTTAGTAAACGCGAGGCACTCAATACTCAGCCATTAAATACTACTCATCTCCGATACTTAAATGCTATATCACATTGCTAGTTCTCCTTTGAGCCAAGTGCCATACAAGACTTTTGGTACACTATCGATCATGCACACTTACATCATACAACACACAGAAGCGAAGACTTGGCTTCTCATCTGTGAATGAACCATCCAGGCAGGTTGGCAGCCGCGTGGAATCGTCTGACCAAGGATCTATAGTATGTAGGCTTAGGATTATGGTTCAAGGGTAATCTGGCACCCGAACTATGAGTAAATGTAACCTTGTTACCAAGGTAAAGCAATAAGAATACATAACCGAGGATCATTCGCGAATCAGCTTGTCCAGCGGATATTCCGTCGTCACGATACGGCGTATACATTATGATCCCAGTAGTTGTAAGCGCTGAATTTACAAGGAATGTTACCCTACTGCCGATCAAAGAATTTGAGGTGGGGAGGCCATAATTAAGATCCATGTTGAAGTAAGAATAGACGACGATATCCTCTTTGTAGGGTAACTGGCAAGAGAGGACATGAAAAGATAGAAAATTACATACTAAAGACCTGGACAAGATTATCCAAAAAAATTGTTGAGCGCAGTCTTGTAATACGAGAATCATGCTTTTTTTATTGCAGCGTAATAGCTATTTAAAAAAAAAAAAAAAAAAAAAAATTGGTTGCCATTTATATGCGTGAGTATCTCTTTATATGTCGGGCCCAGGATATTCTCTCCTAAACTACTTGGATTTTCGCGTAATCCAATAGTTGAGCTGTAAGCTGATGGCCCCCATCCAGATTATAGACTACTAGTGCATCTTGAGATTCATTAAAGTTGGCCTTTTCAGAAAATGCCTTCAATCCCAATTTCTGACATTCCTTTTGCTGCGTAGGCCTACACCGACCCATACACATGGCGCTGTAATTTTGAGTGCTAGCAAGGTATGAGATACTGTCCTTGTATTCTCTTCAATTGGTTGGGCAGACTTACATGAAAACGAAACGTATGTGGAGTTTTGGAGCCGAAATCCTCGGCTTTTCTGCAGCCGACAATTTATACGAAGGATTCTATATTTCTGACGCCACTTCCACCTAGCATTATGCAACACGAGAGGCTTGGAGTGTGGTCATTGGGCCGCATATCCTGTATAATGCTGTTACATTAGTCGTCAGTTTCGAGATGGATCCAGACAACTCGACTATGAACAAAGCAGTGTTGCCTTGTTTTGCTCTACAGTCTGCAACACACTTTTGACCATCATCTCATGGGCGAAGGTCGAGAGAGATTGCAACCTTCTCATGTCTTGACGCCTGTAGCAACACTACCTTTAAGCCGGTCAATTATGTCAACGCTATTCCATGGGGTGAGGATAGAGCATATCCTAATCCGATTAAAGTTACCATGGGCTAAGCTTTCCTAGAGTGACCCAGCATATACGAGTTGTTTCGTGAAACGCCGTCTTCAGGTGGCACGTACGGTTCTCATTTCGTATGGCTATGCTCGTTCCATCTAGCTGTAAATGCAACGTGTATTTAAATAAGCGTTTTGGACTAAAAAGCGAAAAGAGAGATACCCAACACGAAAGGACGGAGTAACAAAGAGAAACTGTTGATGAGCTCAGACGTCGCTAGCTTTTAAAGGGAGCGAGTTCCCCCCGAGGTCTTAAATAGATATCTTGCATGCGAATCTCATCATTTCATCTCGGTACAAAAGGCAGTATAGTATTCAGACTAAGTCGTAGGTCAGTCAGTGGCCTTCATCTCCCCCTGGCATGAATTTATGCAACGTGGCCGAAATGCTCGGATGAGAGCATTGCCAACATGAAGTGTGAAGTGGATGACAATGAGTGTAGCAATGTGAGGCGCCGTAAGAAGCCAGGCAGACGATTATGAGTCGAAATGCCCAAGACTCTGGTCATGGCATTGCAGCGTTTCGGTATTTTCACTTACTGATTGTCGACATGTATATATCATCACCTACCTAGTAGTATATCGTCTTGATACGCAGTTTTGCCAAAGGTACCTGGCCATGGTCCAATTGACATTTTGACACACATAGAAAGAGTGAAGGAAGAAAATAGTACCTATGCTAGCATGCTTTCATTCGCTTTTGCAAAATGATGAAGAGTGGACAAAGCCAAACGAACGACAACTTGAATCGAGCAGCCAGGGGTATTCACTTCCAGCATTATACTCAGAAATCGACACTGCGGAAAACAGTGCAAGCTGCATGGTTCGACAGAGCGAAGATTCATGTTCTCGCTTTTCTCACTGATCTCACCTACGAAAGAAGCAAAGAAGCCGGCATTGATTCGGCAACGATTAGTGTTGTACCAGCGGGAATATGTAAATGATTGCGGCGCGTTAGCTACATGTATATTGAGTGAGCCATCTCTTTGCTCAAAACGGCTAGCAGCCAGTTATGATGTTTAAAAGAGATAGTTCCGATCCAAAATAAACATTAATATTGCAATTCGTGAATAGCAGGTCATTCTTCGATCATTTTATCCTAGTACACAGCTTGATGGATAGCTATCTTACAAATTTAACAAAGACTTCTGCTTCAATGGTTCAAATGTTGTACAGTCCATATACCTACCACACATCTGAGCCAATCATTACACATCGATCCATGAGAGGCTCATGTATAATCACAAACTTATATAATATGACACTGGAACTTTCCGACTGTTCGCAACGGAGGGTGAAATAGTTGCACCAAAAATATCACATACTATCAGCGGCTGGTGCATAACACGTCTTGGCGATTATATGAAGTAATGTATTATATAATGATCCAATGATTGGATCGGCGCAAGGCCGGATGTGAAGTCTTTAAAATAGAACACCCAGACCACCTCGAATTGGACAGTAGTTACAATATGTCCCCGCGCTGACCCAATTCCCGATTCGAAAAACTCCAGTCCGTATGTCCCTTGAGCGCCCCGGCACTAATTCATCACTCCAAAGAAAATCTTTGTTGATAATCCGGTACTCAAAATCCCTCTCTCATGACAAATGGGTATCTGAAAGCATATGCTGTTTCTGTCCAACTGAAAGAAAATGTCTTCTAAAAAAAAAAAAAAGGAAAAGGAAAACAAAGAGGCAGCAATGCCAAATTACATTTTGAGAAGCGCGTCATTCTCGATAATCCTGTCCTTCCAACCTTCGCAGGCCACCTTGACCATGGATTTGCCAACTTGAGTGGTTGTGATGGCGCCGTAGAGGTTGCCGACAAGCCTTTTGGAGAGTGGTGCGTTGGGTTCGATGAAGCCGGAAGGTCGCAAGATCCATGTCTCGAACTTGTCGGCGTTTGCATCAGCAAGATCGCACAAGCCTTTCTCAACTTCTCCTTTGATGCGACGAGAATCTGCCATAAACAAAAGGGGCCTCTTCTGGTTCCATTCCGAGTATTTGCCGCTGCAAAAGACAAATCGAAATTTCTTGCCTGGAGGGACTTTGTCGGCCAGGTATTTCAGCATCGCATTTGCCGCCGCTAGTGTGAACTCTACGCTCACTTTGCGACACAATTCTTTGTCGTTGTTGAACTGGTTAATTCTTCCTCCAATGGCCCTAAAATTTGGATATTAGTAAAGGGAGGTGATCAAGTAATGAAGTAGACGCCCTAGCACACAAGATCAAGCTGAAGCATTGATTTGCGGTGTTGATAGTTGCAGGTGTCATTCTCCATGTTCGGAAATTCCTCACCATAAGCACACTTCAGCGCCCTCCAGTCTGCGCATCATATCCTCAGGATATTGTGAAAAATCTTGATGCATGACGACCTCGGCTTTGGGGTGGCTTTCGATATCTATCGGGACCGCTTTCCTCGTGAAGATGACCACCTTGGTGATGCGTTCATCGGCAAAGCAGTGGTTGACGATTTCCTTGCCGGCATTGCCAGTCGCCCCAAAAACAAGAACTTTCATGGCGATGTAAGTGAAGCAATCCTGGATTCGCTTGCGACTTGATATCAACACGGGGTGCGCTTTGTTAGGCTACTTGGTCTCGGCTTGTCGTTGATGGCGGGCAAAAGGAGAGGTGGCGATGATCAAGTATACCGCGAGTCCTGCGACACTTTGGTCCAAACGTCCAACTAGTCCGTACGGCAGCGGACCCAGTTCATTTATATCGGAATAGCAGCATGATTTCCGAGCCACAGAGAGGAAGGGTGAGAATGGATGGCAGGCTAATCGGGGCTCGCTTGGCTTTTAGTCTAGTCGTTGACAGCAGATCATCTTGTACTTGACAGTCCACCAACTAGCACCGTGAAATTACTATTTCTTCCTCAGGAAGCTTTCTGAGCAAGGGTCCTAGTGTTGGGCCGAGCCGTGTAGCCGGCTGCAGCAATGCCGGGGTGGGTCGGGTCGGCACAATGGTATTGGTGCATAACATGAGTTTAGGGCTGCTAGAACTTGGAATTCCGGGTCTTGTCCCTATCGTTATTACTGTACCTGTGGTTGTATTCGTCAAGACGCCTCAGGAGGGTACAATGTCAGCCGAGGCAGCAAATAGGCGCGAGGCGTCATGATGACCATGGCGGCATCGGCTTCGTGGCGCGTCTCTGCGTCGGAGCTGTCGAGAAATGAGATGCTAAGTGCACTCCGCACAGAGGATTTTCCTCCATGATGGATCTGCTTCGAGGCTCGTGACTAGTATTATTAAACACTGGCTCCGGTTGTTAGTGGCTCGTTAGTTGGCGGTCATGATTCAGTCGGTTAACGGTTTCTCCAAGGCGATTACGGCCTTCGGTTCCGTCATCCGGCGAGAGGTGAGGTGAGGAAGCTACCTACTGGACATGCGGAGTTGGCCTGGCGCCAACTGTAATCCATGCCACCTAGCCCAAAGAATGCAGCCACTCTGGCCCAAGAGTGTGTGTCACGACCAAGACCCTGGCGTTTGTTGCCTTTTCTGTCGCTCTCCTTTCTTGGGGCGTTCACTCCCTGTGCTCCATCTTGTTCAACCCACGGCTCGAGCGTATCTCGATCTGCTCCGTGCAAGGATGCGAGATGCTTGTGTAACTGCTCATCTCGACTTGCAATTTGTCTGCGACTGCGAGGAGAGGTAGAGAGGAGAAAAAGAACTCAGCAGAAACACGCCGATGTGGTACCGATGCACCGAGTAGATGATAGTGCAGTAATACCTAATACGAAGCAGTGGAGATTAGACAGCCTGTACTCCGTACTCCGTGCTGCGTACCGTACCAGGCAATTCGAGTCGGTTGGCCTTGCGCCTGTACCATACGAGTGCTTTAGTACTGTGCGATTTCTCACAGCCCTGGCGGTTTTGGGGGAGGGTAGGCCGACGGGATGAGCCTATCAGACGATGCTGTGATGCCGCATTTCCGTTGAAGTCTGCCTCGATGCGGCCCTCAGTTGCACTCCATGGACGGCACTAGGAAAAGCCAGATGATGGAGATAACGCGGATCTACGGCTGTCGGTGGTGGCAACGATTCCGCCGCGGGTTCTAGTTGTTCACATGTGTATTCCAAATAGAGAGAGAGTGAAAAGAAGAAGCAAAGGCGATCGATGCCTGAGGAGATGAAGCCGCAAAAGTCCTGAACCCTGGATCGAGCAGGTGTGATCGCTGGGCCGTTCCTGAGCTCTGAATCTGGGGTCTTGGCAGCGAGGCTGGAGCCAACGGGATCCGCGGATTCAGCAGTAGAGGCTTGGCCTCCCGCCTTGGCGTCTTGGCTTGGTCTCGATTCCTTGGCAATTTCATGCAGGAAATTTTGCAAAAATCAAAACACCACAAGTGCATCGTGAGATTGGCATCATGGGTACCACAGCATTAGATGGTGGTAGCTACAGTTAACCATTCTCCTTGCTGTATGGCTGCAGTATGTCTCAGCACCACGGCTAATAAGCCCATCCTCCTGCTGGGTGCTTTGGCGTTTAGCCGGTCCCTTATTCTCGTATATGCCACCACGGCCCATGGGAAGAAGAAGTCGTTGAAGCTCAGAAGAGCCTCATATTTCCGCCCCCCTTTTCTTCTCTCTTCTTCTATTCACGTCTCTTCTCTCAAATTCGGAAAACTACTGCACTAATACTAGCAATAGCACTACTGCCTGCCCTAAATCTATCTGACAAGTCATTAATTAGGAGCGGCGGTTTAGCGTCGAATGTAACACACCATGAACCGTCGCTGCATCTGACGGTTCCATTCTGGAGAATTTTCGATGCCTGCCCTGCTTGACCACGGAATTCGGCCTAACATATGGATGAACAGTTACAGGCATGTTACGGACCAACTCCGAAAGAGAATAGATAACAAGTGTTGCTTATGTACCAAAACTTGATTTATACATGTCAGTATTATCGTCTTGTTTCCCCTATTGATGACTAGCTAGGCATGGAGTTTGTTTGTTTCAACGCTTCCAAGTTTCCCCCAGCCAGGATTCAGCACTAAGCCTATTTCTCCTATTTGCCTTGCCAAGCCGGCATCCAAGTTGCCATTTTTCCAGCAACACCATTGCGAGCTTTAGAAGGGTATCGCGAGTTCGACCAGATTAGAGAACACAGCGACCGAATTCCTATCTCTCAAACAGCAGTATTGTGCTGCTCTATCATTTCCGGCCATGTCGCAAGAGATGGACCAGATTCCGACTGAAGCGACCCACTCATACGGTGTTTGTATGTAGATCCGCTTGACACAGTCTCAACAATGCTTGAGCTTCCTTAGCTCTAGGCACGCTTATGGCAGATTACAGGCATCGTTGCCTGGACTACAAATGTAGTTTAGCCACGTAGCTCTTCAGATGACCAACAGCAATCTGCATATGGTCCGGGTAAAGAATGTTGAGCCTCGAAGCTCTCATGCGACTCGATGGTGAATATGGGCGATGCAGACAGATTAGCCTGCATTTCTCAGCCGTGATGATCAAGTCACCAAGGAAATCTCATCGCTCTGGACCCTTTCTCCCAATAACGTAACAAACATCCAGGCCGCTCTGGAGAGGTCATCGGTTACATCACCAGATTTTACAATTTTGATCCGAGACTGTGAAAGGACAAAGCCTCCGCATGAGACCTGAGTGATGCGAACACCGGGATGGAACAGGTTCAGTGCCATGTGGTGGTCTAAATGATTCGCCAACGCTTCCATCAAAGGGTACGACTGTCGTTCTTTATTCTTTAGCCACCCCCACCCGTCGTCCATGTGCGGACCGGCGAGCCTGCGCCGTTCTCGGTCATCGTGTTCCCATGATGGTGTATTCGCAGACGTTTTAGAACTTGTCCTCTTAGATTTCAGCAACGTCTTCCCAGCTCGTAGGAAGCGACGCAGATCCGATGCCGAGATGCATATTTCCATACTCCGTAGTCCAGGAGCAGATGCCTCTTCATCCTCATCATCGTCGTTGTTGCCTAGATCCCCGCTTGAAGGAAGTACAGCTTCTCGGCCCTTGTCTGTTACCGGCGCATTGAACGCTAGAGTCAACACAAGGTCAGACTCTGCTCGGGGCAGTCCAGTTTCTTGGATCCAGCCTTCTAGTACGCCGACCAAGGTTCGAGTGCCCAAGTTCAATTTAGTCACACGGCAGTCGAATGTTGTCGACAGCCATTCTCCGATGACTGCCTTGAGAGGCTGGGGCATTCGAAGGAGCAACAGAGGCAGGCGAAGAAACTGACTGCTGTCAGCCTCGCCAATTTCAGGCTGGTCTATGTCCATGCTCCACATTGAGGCAGCCGGAGTAGTGATAGTCTTTTGTTTTTGTGAGAATCCAGGCAGCAACAGTGCGACATAGGCAGCATTCTCATGCCGCAGCTCGATCCAGAGTCCCTTGGCCTGCTCATCTGACAGCTCGCCCCAGCTCTCGGAACTTTTGTCACCCAGAACATCAGTTGCCTGAAACCAACGAAAAGTCACGGCCTTGAGCGGTCCAACCTGGCCCATTGGCGTGTCCGCGGCCCCGAGCCCAATCTGAACACCGCGAACCACATCGCCGACGAGCGTGTCACGGAGCCGGTGAGCAAGTCGGTCAAGGCGAGCCTGGTCGAGTTTCTGAGCGCCGATATAGAGCGGAGACACGCGGTGAGTTGAGAAAGTCGTGTTGAAGAACTGCGGGACTTGAATTTGAACAGAATCGCTGTCCTGGGCTCGCTCAGATGCAGTTTGTTGTTGAGCTGAAGCGGACCCAGCAGTTTGAGCTTTTTGGCGCGCCATGTCTGGAAGCGCGTCAATGTAGGCAGAATGGTTCAATCTTAGGTGAAGGCTATTCTTAGAGGCGGTTCGTCATTATTCAACGCGTTGCTTGACCATTCATATGAAAAAAGACGGTTCAATGTGAGGTGAGCAAAGGGCAGTTCATTTCATTCACTGGACCAAGATTAAACCAAGGGTGAGTGAGAGATGACTAATCACGTGCACTTCTCATCGACGCAAGATTGAGATTGATCACTTGCTCTTCTACTTGGATTCTTCTCGCACTCTTCAAGAATTACAGTTCCCCATCTTATTTTGATATTAAATAATGCTTTTTTTTTAATCCAGTAACTCTTTCAAAATCCCCTCAGAAAGGCGCATCTTCCCGGTGCATCATCATCCCGACTCTAGGACCGCATCATCATTGCCTTTCATCTCACTAACACATCAGAATGAACACTCTCGGCCAGAAAAGAAAGTGAATGCAAAGGTGATATAAATATGTAATAGCTTGATCTTTCGACTACACTGTTGGTTCACTTTGGTCTCCAAACCTGTTCGTCGCTGGTTAATGATCACTTACCTGAGTGTGTACACGAACAACTCCGAGACGGGCATTAACCGCAATGATGCTGTATTTCGTGCACCATCCCAGCATTGCTGCTTCTTTGTAAGAATATAAGTATCTATATCTGTCTCCTTACCGTTCTATTATCATCACGCTATCCATAAACCAACTCGCAGCTTGTCACCAAATACCACTTCTCACTACTATACAACTCGTCCAACCAACTTCATCATGGCCGCTGAACCTCCCCCAAATGAACCTCCTCCAAATTATCGGTCTGAGGCCCACGATATTTACTTGGGGAAAAACCGCCGGCTTGCCGATCCAGTCTTCTTCCCAGCCTCCATGCGTTCGAAGCATGATATGAAGACAATAGAGGAGGAGCTTGCCCGTGAAATGGAATCGGAGCCCGATGGACCTCGAGAGTTTACGAAAGATGTCATGGTCCTTTGGGGTTGGGGTATATGTACACGATGGCCCCCAGGCGGCCCAGTTCCACGACTCGAAGACTACGAAAAGTCCATGAATGCAATGACTGCTGACGTATACAAGAATTGGCAAGAAATCCAGTCCTTGGTCAGAAACCATGAGGATGCCATCCGCGACTGGATCCTCCGCTTCTCTCTAGGTATAGAGAAACAAGAGACCCGAGATACCAACATATTGTATGCTGGCATACAACAAAGTTGGAAACGCACTGTCAAGACATTCAACGACTGTGCCGACGACATCAGGATGTTTATGAAGCCTGACTCTATCGAATCCGATTTTGAGATTGACGTCCCCAACTATCCTGAGTATGAGAAGACTCGAAGGCTCCCCTTTTCCTTCATGTGCGAACACTTCTTGATGGGGTATCTACATGGTCCAGAAGATGGCCGAGAACACTATGTTGCCCATTATTCCCATCCTTACAACTTTTTCAACAACCTACCAGATGAAGAGGAGCCTGGTATGTGCGAATGTGAGTGCCTGGGCGTTCAATGCAATGATGAGGAGTCACGCGAGTTTTACAAGAAACAACGGATCTTGTTCTTGGCCCCTCACATAGCCTCGTGCGAGTTGCAAGATCCTCATAGTCTACTTTCCTTCATCCACTATCGAGGCCGGCTACATCCTTCAGTGTTTGCAAAAATGGACAACGATATGACCTTCATTGGCAGACGAACTAATCATCTGACAGGCCCCTTGATCCCAAACCGGATGGTCAGCTTCGACGTCTCCGGATCTGGTTCTGAAAATCGGTATCGTCCAAAATTGTGGGAAGGGTGGGCTAGTCGTCCGAATCCTGAAACCTTGGGTGAGAGCAAGGAAGAATACGATCGTCTTTGGCATCAAGGCCAGTTGTTTGGAGCATCCGAAGCTTGGATCATGCTCCAAAGTCAGCGAGCTAATTATCACTACCTTAGGCACCTTCTGGGGTTTATCTGCCGCGAGGAAAAGCTCCCCGTCACGAAGCCCAAATCGCCAGGAGAACAAGAACGCATATTTCGCAGCTCAAGAGCCTCAATAGAAGTAATCAAACAGAGGGCTTTGGCCAATTGGTTCGATTTTACCAAGCAGCAGGCATTCCTCCCTCCGCCGACACAAATTTCCCCAAGATACTTGCAAGATCTAGAATTTAAGATGGAAGTTGCCGAGAAGCATATCCAGGAGCTCTTCAGCGACCCAGGGTACTTCTTTGGCTGTATCCATACACTCAAAGAGCACCATTGGGCAAATATCGAGATACAGGGGGACGAGACAAAGGTCAATGAACGTAGCCCTGCTTCCATATACGTGGAGAAATACGTCGAGGAGGATTACCGGCATATTCTCTATTTTGATCTCATAAGGGGCGTGCTAAGGCGATCAATCTTCGAATTCTACATGTGGCACTCCATCTACATCCGCATTCAGGAATTCCAAGTCACGATGAGAAAATCGTTTGAAGACTATGGCAAAGAAGACGAGTCTGATACAGACGGAACCAAGATGCTCCAGCGGCCTCCAATTTTTCTCTCTGACAAGGCGAAACGTGATCACCCCGTACTGGCAGAAAAATACCTGTCTCTGGTTGTTTTACTGCGGTATGATGCCGTCTTTTTCATCAACGAGTTCCGCAAGAAAGGTATTCATGCTGGCGATCATACAGGGTTTGAAGTGGCTACTGTCGATCCACCCAAGGAGGGAACTCAAAGCCGCCAAAATACCATAGATAAGAAGCACTATAGAGCGCGGAGCCTGTATTGTTGGCCGAAATTCAGGAATCAATGGCTCCGCGTTGACGAATACTCAGCAGATGAGATTCTTCGAATGTTCTTCTTCAACAGCATGGACAACTTCATATCGGATGCTTTGAACTGCACAAACTGCGGCATCACGGAAGCGGCAGGTTATCTCCAAGCAATGTCCCGGGCCCACGATCCGGACAGCACAAAACATATCTTTACAGACTTGATGGACGACACAATCGACAATCTCAACCTACTATCCTCGCTTGCCGACCACCTGGAGTGTTTGTGGCCCGCCATGGACAAAGTCGGCGGCGCAGCCGTGAGGGAGGACGTCCGCCGAGAGTATTATGACTTCGGCTGCAAAGATATCTCCATCAACTTTTTCGATTTTGACGACTTTGACTTTGAAAAGAAAATGCCCGTGAAGCGCTTGAAAAGACTCTTCCTCTTCTTCGATGAACTGCAGGGCTTCAAAGATGAATTAATCTCTATGGGTCATGCCAGAGGCGATCTGAAGAGGTTTGGGGCCTCGCTGCTCTGTAAGTTTATATACCCCCTGAACGACGAAGGGGAGGACTTCAAGGCCAATCAAGAAGCAATCTCCAGACTCGAAAAGGCAATGGGTGTATCTGGATCCGATTACATTTTCAGCGTAAAAGAAACGCCCATTAACCTAGATGAAGAGAATGCAAGCAATGGAGCAAAAGTCCAGCTCGTGGGTCAGCCGTCAAGCTATCGCAACGTCGCGGCTCGTGAGAGGGAGCGCCAACAGCAAAGAGATGCCTTCAACGAAGCGTTACGAGCGAACAGGGATACCATGGCGGAGATGTGCAGGTTCAATCCGCGATGGGCGACGTCACTTCATTCTGCTCTCGAACAATTCCAGATCCCGCCTGCTCTGGTAGACCCTCTGGCCGATGCTTTATCTGACATTTCTCTCCAGCCAATCCCCAATGCTCCCGACGGCCAGCCCAAAGGCATCATTAAGAAGCGCGACTGGGCCACTCTAGAAGCAACCTATAACATTCACGGCAGCGCAAATGCGGCCGTTTCCTACGCTCAACTCAAGCTTGCGATGGTGGCAATGGGGTATAAAGAAGATCCCAGCGGGGGGAGTCACATGAGATTCGTCAGACTGAACGGTAGGTGGCCGCATGATGTGCTGCCAAAGGGTGAGAACGTTATTATTGCGCGAACACACGGAGGGGAGCATGCTGCAGCGGCCAAGGGGAAAGCGATGGACTGGGGAAGGAGATTCTGTGAGAGAGGATTGACATTTGACTTTATTCAACAGTGGTACGTGAAGGGATGAAGGATATTGTTTGATTTATTGTGTGTTTAGTTATTCGCTTTGTTATTTTGGAAGGTTTGTATCTGACTAGGGCAGTGTTTCTTTTTGGTAGCATAGATAGATGCAGGTATGTTCATCTCAACATGTTCATACACAAGCAACAACTCAACGTTAGCAACAATAAAGTCTCAGTTCTCCATCACTTGGCTCGTCATCACATCATGCTTCATCCAATCAAACGTATCGAAAAGCTCAAGACTGAGGTCCAGCTGCATGTCCTCCATCGCTTCAGGCCGCCAACTCATGTTCTCGTTCGCCGCGTTGAGAACGTGATCCAGCACACGCCTCATCACGGCGCTGGCCGTCGCACACAAGTCGCTATTCGGCCTAGACGGGTCAATCCACTCGAGAAAGCCGATGAGGAGGCTGAGATGCTGGATGATGTTGGATCGTGTTATCGAGGGGTTCTTCGGATGACTTCCCTTGAACGTGGGGTTGAGGAGCTCCATGCAAAGGATGCCACCGCTGGGAGTCGCAAAGGCCATGACCTAAAAGCGCCACACAACTGCGTGTAAGTAAAATATGCCTTGCTTGGAAATAAGAGTTGTGGAAAAGGGGGAACTTGTTTGTCTCACCAGCCACTCAAAGTCATTCCTAAAAGGGGCAAAGCGGTCCTTGTGAGTCCAAAACAACAGCGTCAACGAGACAAGCTTAAAGGCAATGAGTAATATTCCGCCTTCGTCTACCTCTCCGTGCTTCGATAGCATCCTCTCAATAAGGAATAGGTTTTGCAGCTGCTCTAGCTGCAGCAATATTCGCGCAAAGATCATATTCACGTTAGAATCGGGATCGGCAAAATCAGCGGGATTGTAGGCTAAAGACGCAGGGAATTCCTTCACGGCCTCAACGTGCCGGTCCTTGAGATCCCTGCAAAACATGAGTATAGGTCAGCGGGGCTGGACGGGATAGAAGTGCGAGTACCGAGGGGAGTGTGTGTGTGTTTGCCTACCGAAGAAGAGCGCCGGCAACTTTCTGTCTGGCTTTGCCTATTCCAATCTCAACCAACTCGTCTTGTATAAGCGCAATGATGTATCTCGCTCGGGTGAAAGTAGCAGAATACATCTTCCCGCTCGTATTCCATCCGTTCTCATCCAGTGATTTCACAGCCTCCCTGAGAGCCTCTCCCCCCTTGAGCAGATCTTCATCCCGCAAGTCCAGGGGAAGGGGTGTAAACGCATAACGATGAGAGAGTCTCGGTGGCCGACCCGTGAACAACACTGCGTGCTTTTCCCCGACAAACATCTGCGCGAAAAGGCGCCGTCGAGACTCAGAGGCCAATGACGGCACGTACGATGGAGAATTCGACTCGGCATGCATCCCAAGGAATGTCGCCAAAGCCACCGACTCTGCTCCGCTCCTCCATGTGGAATAGCCTGCTCTGTCAGCTGCCTGCTTGCACCGTATATCGGAGGTTTGGAGTCATAAATCACAATAGCAATATAAAGGAGTCCACTTACTAGCATCTCCCGCGTGGATGGATTCCAGCGTGCTTCGCCGCTGTGCAAGCTGAGCTAACAGGCTGTTCGCCGACGCAAATCTCCTGCTCAAGTCCATGCAAAGACCGAGGCAGACGCGAGATATCTCTAGCCATTCCTCTTTTGCTGAAGCGTTGTCGAATCCTTCCTGAGATCTGCTGATGTACGAAAAGGATAGTTCACCGTAGCCAAAGATGAGCCCGAGTGACTCCCACCTCAAGTTGGGCCCCGTAAATTGACCGATCCATTTCTCAGGATCTGGTTCACCCTCTATGAATGGCTTGGTGGTGTTATCGCTCAAGAAAACTGCAATGTCTTCTAGTTGTGAATCCACGCGGCAATTTCCGAGATATGAACCGAACCTTTCGTGTATATCCGAGAGCACACGTTGTGCCGTCACCCTAAGCCAACCATCTCGGAAGAACGGAGAGTCCTTGATAATCTCGAATTGGCCAGTATTTGGGGATGGGATACCTCTAAGCACAACAAGGCACATCTCTTTTGTTGGCGAGCAGAGGTACCTTGGAATTTGATCGGGGTTCTGTCTTAGCCTGGTGTTTGTTGGCTGGGGCAACCATGCGTGAAACCCCTGAAGCATGGAAAGACTATTCTCGGTCTCCTCAAAGACTGACGAGTAACTCGTGAATCCCAGGTACCCCGATGCCTGGTCCAGAGGCGTAGATGCCCTATCCGACGGAAGATGACCCCCTGGAGTCGTCGTCACCGAAGGAGCGAAGTCATGGTTGATTGATTGGTGACGGTGTCCATTAGGATCAACTGGTGATTCAATGGAATAGACGCGATGATGAGTTTCCAGGGGCGATGACGACACCTTTGTGCTGCTACCGTGAATATCAATGTGAGCTTGCCGCCGGAACTCTGCACGGCGAAGAGCTCGGTCGTCCTCGGCGGACCCAAGCCGATGACCCGGCGACGGACCGGCCGTCCTCGGAGCTCCATGCTGGTTCACGGGAGCGCGTATTGTTGCCTGATTCGATAACGGCCGCTTCCTAGGGACTGAAGAGGTATAGACACACTCTGCTTCTTGCCCTCTGTCAATGCATCGCTTACAAACAGGTTGTCGGTGGTCACAAGCCACTTTCCGGGATCTGCAGTTGTCACAAGCCACAGGACGCCCATTGGGTCTGCGGAGTGACATCGGAGGCGATGCTGACAACGCAGCCATTTAGCCCGGGGGTTATATATGTCGAGCGAAGAGTTCTTTAATGCACGATATCCGTTTTCGGGAGAGATTGTGCTGAAAAAAGCAACAAAGTCGCGAGTATGAAGGTCATTCAAGAAGTCGGATCTCCTAGCCGGCTTCGGGCTCGGTCTCGGCTGGAGAAAACCAGTCAGCTCGGAAACACTAGTCTCGAGTTTAGCCAGTACGCGCCATAACAAGGGCGTGATGAGTGGATCAATATAGTGACGCCGAGCCAATCGGGAAGATAATGGCCCTATGATGACCTCCGGTCGACTTATACGACAAGTCCGGGGGCTATGATTATTCGAGTAAGATACCAAATATGCTTTGTGATGGACGGTAGATGACTCAGGAGTCGGTATGGTCAAGCCGAGCTTGCGTGGCTTGTAGGAATCCACACGTGTGAGAATTCCTGGAGTCCGGTGCTCAATAAGGTTTCTTAAACGAGCTGACTGGATTTATCTGGGCGTATAGATGTGTATATATATAGACTTAGGCCTTCCTCTTCCACTGATTCCGATCTCATCAACAAGTAGCAACATAAGCTTACATTTAAACCATCGAACAAGCTTTCACGATTATTCAAAGTCTGAACCTTACCGAAACACCTCTTCGATATCTCACACATCCACTCCACATCGACAACATAAATATACATACACAATTCTCTTTTAAATAAATCGACATCTCAGCAGTCACAACAACACGGGGAAATTCATACATCACCTTCAACAATCATACGAATTTACCAACCTTACGACTACCACACAAATCTGAACAACATGCCTCTCCGACTCTCATCAAAGAAATCGACTCCTGTCGCTTCCAAGCCCGAAGCAATGTCGTCCGAAGTGACCTTGGTCAGCGAGTCAAATACAATGTCCGAAAAAGGAGCCGCAGCTGGTAAATGCCCCGATTTCCATGCCTAGATGATCCATGGCAACAAGACTTACACCGATGTTTTCATAGGTCCCTCCAACAAAGAAAAGAAAATGACTTGGAAGGAAGCCCAGGAAGCTTGCAGGAAGGAGCAGAGCTGGACAATTCTGGTGAGTAGGCTGCTGATTTATCCATGCTAATACATCCTACAGAATGCTAACACGCTATACAGGCGCAACACTATGCCCTTCGTTAAATATAGCACAACGCGATTCAGACTCACCGAAAGACGATGCTTTTTTCATCCGTTTACAACTGTTTCATTATGACTTACGATGGTTGCGCCTTTGATTTGATTTGGAGATGGACGCAATTGCCCTACACAGTTCTGCTATATAATATGGAGGATGACTGCACTTGTGTGGGAAACCCTTGACCGAAATAGCTAGAATAGATACCCTTGGGAGATTTAGAAAAGTTCTTTTGTTTTATTTTAATCGTGTTCTCAAACTCTTTTATTTCATTTTAATCTTGCTATCAATTACCTAGTGAGCGCAATACTGTTGCTTCATTTAACCCAACATGTAGTACCAAAAAAACGCTGTCTCGTCCTTATTCTGCGCGATGCCTTTGTACAAATACTCATCATACCCTCCAAACTTGAATCCGTATTGCCTATAGAAATAGCATGCGGCAACGTTGTTTGATTGAGATTCTAGCCGAATACCAGCAACTCCCAGCTGGCGAGCCCACTCAACCACTTTATCCAGTAGCTTTCTACCGTAACCATGTCCTCGTATGCTCACATCCAGCACGATGAAGCGAACCTCAACCATGTTATTCCAAGACTTTGCTGCATGTACGTATCCGTAAACTCTTTCATCCTCTACTACGGTGAAGAGAACACTATCGGGCTCTTTGATATTCTCAAACTCAGACTCATCAAACCCGAAATCTTTTTTTGTAACGGCAATCGGATTCGCGGTAATCTCTGCACCCATGGCAAGGGCTTCGTAGGGTTTGGCCACTTCGGCGGATATCTCAAAGGAGAAGTCTCTGCCCGAAACGTCATCCTTTGTAAGTCTAGTGACTCGTCGTATTTCCATAGCGTGAACACGATGCGACTTGTTTGAATAAGCTTAAAATTTGAACGGTTTGATTCTGTGAATTTGGAGTACCAGGTTCCATTCATCAATGAGCTACGTGTACCAACAGCTGTGTATGTAGACTCGCTCATGCATGGGTAGCTTGGCTGGCTAGCCGCAAATAGGCGTATAATGAACTACTTTCTGCGCCAACGGTGAGTGACTCAGACCGAGCTGGGTATTACTTCTAAAACCAGAACTCCGATCCCACATTCGTTTCATTCATCATGAAGAGCTGGATTTTGCATCGCCAAGATGAAATTTTATATACCTAAGTATTGCTGGTATCCGAGAGTCCAGATTGTGATTCGGACTGAGGCTCGGATACAACTAAAGTCAAACCGAGAGATTAAAATTCCGTGATACCCACAGCCGGGCGCATATTATGGAGATTCCGAGATTTCAGTAGGCCAAACAAAAATCGATCTCGTTTATTCTCTTTTACTCTTTATTGTTTAGATCGGCAGGGCGGATCTCTTAGTCTATTACATGTACTGCTCGGACTCGGTGCAAGCCTCTTGTAAGTGTGAATCGGAAGGATTTTGGCTACTTACTCGTGGGCCACTAGACCAGGCCACTAATAAGATCATTGGAAACCGAAATGACATACATAAGAAATAATTGATTGACATTCTTTGATTGATTTTTATCTTATTTTTCTATTCATTTATGAGCCTGAAGTTGAACCACCCCGTAGCAGCTCCTGAAATACTCGTGCTGAGAGATGAAAGACCGTGGCGGGGCCGTTCCGCAGAGTGGGGCGCGCCAACAACAAAATTCCGCGCCTTGACGGAGCTATCTTATCGCCAACAGAAAAAAAAAAACTTACACTACCTTATTGCTGCGAGTGTCTGTGATATCGCTGAAAGCGCATTTCCATTCGTTCAACACCACAGCCACATATTACCGATCCAATGGGTCCTTCACTCCCCTCACGGAAGCGGAAAGAAGTTTCCGAGGTTGTCGAGTCCGACGACGAATTCGACGGCGCTGAGCTCGAGGGCATCTTGTCGCAGAGCGAAGACGACGACGACGATGTCGAAGATTCGCAATCAGAAGGCGAAGAGCCCGAACTCGACGAGGACGAAGACGAGGATGAGGACGAAGATGAAGAGGATGATGTGCGAAGCGGCGACGAAGAGGGCGAGGGAATCAATGGCGAGTCCAATTCCAAGACCAAGCCAGACGTCGACGGTGAAGCAGCAGACGATGAACCCAACTACAGAGTCGTCAAGGACGCCAATGGAGGCGTGCGCTACGAGTACGCAGAGATAGATCCAGTCTACGACAGCGACGACTCGGATGCCCAGGGCCCGGTCAACACCATTGGCAACATTCCGCTCTCCTTCTATGACTCCTACCCGCACATTGGATACGACATCAATGGCAAGAAAATCATGCGGCCCGCCACTGGCGAGGCTCTCGATGCCCTGCTGGACAGCATTGAGCTCCCTAAGGGCTGGACTGGTTTGACCGACCCCGAGACGGGCAAGCCGCTGAACCTCAGCCAGGAGGAACTGGAGCTTTTGAAGAAACTGCAGATGAACGAAGTCCCCAGCGACGACTACGATCCCTACCCAGTATGTCTTTCTCATCCATTACTAGGCTCGCATGAGCGGCAGCTAACACAGTCTCACGCAGGACATGATCCCCTACTTCACCAGCATCGAGGAGAAGATGCCCCTCAGCGCCGCCCCAGAACCTAAGCGACGATTCGTCCCCTCAAAACACGAAGCCAAGAGGATAGCCAAGCTGGTGCGCGCCATCAAGGAGGGCAAGATTCTGCCCTACAGGCCGCCCGAGCCGGAGACGGAACAGGAGGACAAGTACTACGACATCTGGGCCAACGAGGAGCCCCAGGAACGACATGTGATGCACATTCCCGCGCCCAAGCTCGCGCCTCCAGGCTACGACCTCAGCTACAACCCTCCGCCCGAGTACCTGCCCACCGCGGAGGAGAAGGACAACTGGGAGAAGCTCGACCCGGAGGAGAGGGAGAAGGAGTACCTGCCGAGCAAGTTTGACGCCCTGCGCAAGGTGCCCGCGTACGGCGAGTTCGTCAAGGAGCGGTTCGAGCGCTGCCTCGACCTCTACCTCGCGCCGCGGGTGCGCAAGAACAGGCTCAACATCGACCCCAGCTCGCTGCTGCCCAAGCTGCCTCGCCCCGAGGAGCTGCGGCCGTTCCCGACCGTGTGCCAGACCATCTTCAAGGGCCACACGAGCCGCGTGCGCACCGTCGCCTTCAGCCCGGACGGCGAGTGGATCGCCTCCGGCAGCGACGACGGCACCGTCCGCATCTGGGCGCTCAACGGCCACCAGGAATGGAGCGCCCAGCTCAGCTCCGCCGACGAGCCGGAGCCCGTCAACATGGTGCGCTGGCGGCCCAGCAAGGACACCTTCATCCTGGCCGCCGCCGCGGGCGAGGACCTCTTCTTCATCGCCCCGCCCATCGTCAGCGATGCCACCGAGCAAGCCAGCCGCGACGTCCTCGACGCCGGCTTCGGCTACGCAACCAACGGCTCTTCCGCCGCCGCCGCTACAACCACCGCCGACGGCGCCAAGAAGGAACCCCCAGCCAAGTGGTCTCGCCCCAGCGCGTCCCTCGTCGCAAAGGGCGTGCTCCTCAAGTTCGCCGTCCGCTCCGCCATCAAGACCATCAACTGGCACCGCCGCGGCGACTTCCTCTGCACCGTCTCCCCCACCGGCCAGCGCAGCTCCGTCATCATCCACACGCTCTCCAAGCACCTCAGCCAGGTCCCCTTCCGCAAGCTCCCCGGCCTCGCCCAGACGGCCCAGTTCCACCCGTCGCGCCCCTACTTCTTCGTCGCCACCCAGCGCATGATCCGCTGCTACGACCTGCAGCGCCAGGAGCTCGTGAAAGTCATCCAGCCGGGCGCCCGCTGGATCTCCTCCATCGACATCCACCCGGGCGGCGACAACCTCATCGTCGGCTCCTACGACCGCCGCCTGCTCTGGCACGACCTCGACCTGTCCAACCGCCCCTACAAGACCATGCGCTTCCACCCGGAGGCCATCCGCGCCGTCAAGTTCCACCGCGGCCTGCCCCTCTTCGCCGACGCCAGCGACGACGGCTCCCTGCAAATCTTCCACGGAAAGGTCGTCGGCGACCTCATGGAGAACGCCACCATTGTCCCCGTCAAGATGCTCAGGGGCCACAAGGTCGAGAAGAAGCTGGGTGTCATGGACGTCGACTGGCATCCAAAGCACCCCTGGATTGTCAGTGCCGGTGCCGACATGACGTGCAGACTATGGGCTTAAAGGAGAGGGAAAAGAATAATGGAGAATATCATCATTGTTTGTTATATAGTTTGGGTTGCAATGCGGTAATAAAAGTGCATAGATTTGCTATCATGTTTAAAAAGGGGGTTCCATGTGCTTGTTGATGTTTGTGTGTACATTGTGTGCAAGAATGTGAGTCAAACTACTACACCAGTATTATGGCACGTCTCTGTCATATCACTTCCATCATAAGCGTTGGCCCAAGTAGTGAATAATTGTTTACATCTCTACTTACAATCGAGTTGTTGAATGCCACTTGAGTGAATGCTCTTAAGTATAAAAGGAATGTAAACGATTCGTATTACCATAACATCAAACTGAATTCCATTCATCATTGGCGGTCCTCAACTGCCTTTTGTGCCAAACCTATCCTCCCCCTAATTCATGAAAAAAAGAAAAAAGAAAAGAGCAAGTTCCGTGCTATCTCTCTACATCGTACACTTGACGCACCACATCCACTGTGGCCATCTCGCCTTTCCTTGCATTCCCTCTCCAGCAAATGTAAACGTGCGTTTCTAAAACGCTTTACAATTCCTTTCGAAGCTTCTCGCCCTTCTTCTTGGCTTCAGCCTCCGCCTTGGCAGCCTCCTCTCTAGCGACCTCACTGCCAATGTGCAGCTGATCGGCGACCCATCTCCATGTATCCCTGGCGGTTTCTCCGATCTTAGCAAAGACAGTGCCTGAAGGAGAAGAGGATCCATATCTAAAGTAGGTAGCTTGCTTTCGTGCCTCGGCTCTGAGTTCGTCAATCTTGGATCCCTGGGGAACGGGAACTCCGTAGCTGTCGAGATAGTTCTTCAGCTCGCTCTCCGACCACGTGTCGAAGGCGTTGTGCTTAGCGGCAGCCGTCACAGAGGCAAGGTAGCTAGTGGCAGAGGCATATTGGGCACCGCCAGCAGTTGAAGCAGAGGAGTAGGCTGATTGGGCAGCGCTAACAAGGTCCTCGCGGGTGGCGTCCTTCTTCTTGGCGGCGGCCTTTGCGGCAGCATTACCGTTCTTGATGAGATAGTTCTTCAGGTTGTCATAGCTGTAGTCATCAAAGTTCCACGCCTGCCAGCCAGTGGAGGCTTTGTGTGCGTGCTTTCGAACAAGAGCTCGGAGCTCATCAGACTTGCTGGCCTGGGGAACAGGGATACCGCGGGCATCAAGATACGACTTGAGCCGGCTATCCGACCACTTGTTGACAGCCTGGTTGAAAGCATCCTGGGCGGCAAGTGAAGCGCTGTCAGTCGCCCTGGCATATTGATTCTGAGCGTTGGAGGTAGCAGCACCAAAGTAAGCCTTGGCGCTAGCACCAACGGTATCACCGAGAATATCAGCGCGGTGCTTCCGAACGAGGGCTCGAAGTTCATTGAGTTTGGTGCCTTGGGGGACAGGGATTCCATTCTTGTCGCAAAACTCCTTGAGCTGAGACTCGCCCCAGGCGTCAATAATTGTGTCAGTGAGGTATGTGTAGGCAGCTTGAATCTTGGCGGCAGCACTATCAGCCTCGTTCTGGGCCCTGAGATAGGCAAGGCGAGAGTTGCGGCGAACCGAAGCAATCAGCTTGTCTCGGTCAGTAGGCTGGGGAGCAGGGAAGCCGTGGGTGTCAAGCCACTCCTTCAGATCAGACGTGGTCCAGGTAGAGTACAGCCAGTCGCCAGGATAGGCAGCGGTTTCACCGGCCTTTTCCGCGAGAGTTGCATATCCCTCGCGGGCTTTCTGAAGCAGAGTATCACGAGTACGCGGTTGAGGCACTGCAAGTCGAAGCCAATGTTAGCACATGTTCATACTGTCTCGGCTGCTATTGGTGATGGTGATTGCATACCTGGAATGCCATTCTTATCACAGAAAGACTTGAGCTGAGAATCGGTCCAGGTATCAAGAATCCAATCCTTGACACTGGTCCATGCTGAGTTGGCAGAGTCTTCGGTTTCATACCAGTTGGCCTTGACCTGGGAGACCAGGCTGTCCTTGTTCTTCTGAGCATCCTTGGCCACATCACTGCCTTTGGATTGCAGATATGCGCTTAGCTGGGAGACATCCCAGCTATTGTACGGCTCCACAACATAGCTGTTCCAGTTCTTGGAAACGAGATCCTCCAGATCCTTGCGGTCAGCTGCAGACGGGTAGGGGATGTTCTGGTCGGAGAGCCATCGCTCAAGCTCCGTCTCGTGCCACTTGTTGTAGACTGCGTCGCCTATTGTCAGCTTAGAGTCAGACGCAAATCCATCAACGCGAATCGTATCGTTAACAAAAACTTACCTGTCTTGGAGCCGGGGAACCAGTTGCTGGCAGCAGCTCCCGATACGGCGAGCCCCACGATTAGGACGTCTCGAAGGCGCCACATGATGCAACCCAGTGAAACTTTGAGGTGTCCACAATGTGTGATGAGTTTATTCGCAGCTCAACTGCACACGCGTTCTGCTGGTGTTGATATTCCGAGGGTTGAAAGGGTTATAGGTGTTGATCGTATGTTGTATCAAAGGGAAGAAGGAAGAGAGAGAAAACAGAGAAAAGATCGAGTTGAAGAACAATGACGTTAATAAGAGGGTGAATGGTGGAATCTCAAGGTTCTGCCAGCTGTAAGAGCAAAAGATGAGGTAATGCCAGACACTTCCATCACGTCACTTCCATGACACAAAGCTCCACGAAGGCACATTCACAAGCTTTTGGCAACCGCAAGTACCGTCACCACGTGTGTACATGCCAATTGCGCTTCTTGTGGCTGCGCAAACGCGTACCCAACGGCACATTATACATGTTTGACTCACACTAAGCTTTCCCTGAATTGTCTGCTTGCAAGATCGAGGTTGAGATCGAGATAATCCGGGCCAGTTAGCGTCCAAGAGCTTGACTTCTATCGCGATCACAATGACGTAGTGGTAGCTTGCTCTGCGGTGTGGGGAAACAAAGACGGAAGCGACAAGGAGAAAACGGTCCGGGATCAGCTCCGCCACTGTGTGTGTAACTGCTACCCTGGACAAGGACGGGGATTCACAAACAGGTTGGAAGTGGTTGGTTTAAGGTTAAAAAACATGGATATTAATGGTTGGCTTTTTATGTAAGGGGAGATGGCCTAAAAGATCATGTTGTACATGAGATTGCATGTGTTTCAACACCATGCAACACTGTCGTGTTTACAAACCGGCCCCGTACCGGCGTCTCATTACAATGGCGTCGCTCTATATTAGTACTGAGCATATACGCAATACTGCACGCAACACAAGGAATCTGACATGAATGACACTCGTCAATTGGTTTCGCAATACTCTATTCGCTTTGCTAAAGAGGCAGCCGTCTCTAATCTACTGAGAACAACATGCCTCCGCCAGGAATATCGTCACATGCTTCCTCCCAGGCTTTGACTTTTTGTCCCTCTATGCCAATTACCACGCCCTTATCAGACGCCAGCCGCCCAGAGCATCCTTGTGTGCAAGCACAGCACCAGACATGCTTTACCATCCCATGATTCTCTGCCGCAAGTATGAAAAGTAGATTATGCGTAAAAGTTGACAGTCTGGAGCGATGAACGTCAGTAATTTGCAACAATGAAATATCGACAAGGAGCTCTCGTGGTGTGAGGGGAACAACTTACATCCTTCTTCTTGGCCTGCACCTCAGCAATGGCGTCAACATAGTGCTCGTGGCCAATCTGGTTCTTCCCTGATCGCAGGGCAATCATGCCGGCCTCAACGCAGACGGCCTTCAGCATGGCACCACCAAACTCATCCGTGCTTCGGGCCAGTTCGCCCCAGTTGACTCCGGGGTCAACCTTCATCTTGCGTGAGTGAATCTTGAGAATCTGTGCTCGGGCCTCCTCGTTCGGCAGAGGAAACTCAATCTTTCGGTCCAGACGGCCAGATCGTAGCAGTGCAGGGTCGAGCACGTCGACTCGGTTGGTGGCGGCCAAAACCTTGATGCGGTCGTCGGATGCAAAGCCATCAAGCTGGTTAAGCAGCTCCAACATGGTTCGCTGGACTTCTCGATCACCGCTCTTCTCGCTGTCGAATCGCTTGGTGCCGACAGCATCAAGCTCGTCAATGAAGATGATTGCGGGGGCCTTTTCCTTTGCTAGGGCGAAACAGTCGCGAACAAGCTTAGCACCATCACCGATAAACATTTGCACAAGCTGAGGTCCTGCAAGCTTGAGAAAAGTTGCTTCTGTCTGAGCAGCGCAGGCTCTGGCCATTAGAGTCTTTCCGGTACCGGGGGGGCCGTACATCAGAGCGCCTAATGATTCGGGCTAATTAGTATCATATCGAAAAGGAGCAGACTTGTAAATAAAAGCTTCCTTGACAAGTCGTACCTTTGGGTGCTTTGATGCCAATCTTCTTGAACCTTTCCGCCTCCTTCATGGGCCAGACAATAGCCTCCACCAGCTCCTCAATCTGCTTGTCTAGACCTCCAACATCGGTGTACTGTTCTGTTGGCTTCTCGTCAACCTCCATAGCCTTGACTCGGCTGTCATACTCGGCGGGCAGTGTGTCCAAAACGAGGTATGAGTCTTTGTTTACACCAATCAGGTCACCAGGCTTGAGCTTGTCCGAGTCAACGAGACCGATCAGCGGCAGAAAGATCGTCTGTCTCGTGGAGGTCTTGATGACGGCTGACTTGCCCACTCGCGTGGCATCGAGATCGATGTTGGCTCCCTCCTCAGAAGATTCTGCAGTGGGATCTAGGTCTAGCAGCTCGACAACATTTCCGACGAGATAAGGCAGTTGCCTGCACGCATCCATCACGGGTTAGCCACATGACAAATCGATTGAGGGCGAAGCAAGCAACGGAGCCAGCTCCCCCATGTTTTGCATGCTCCTCAGAGGACTTGCCTGTTGTTTGCGATCTTATCCATGTTTTCTTTAATCTTCTCGCCCATGGCGGCCTTCTCGTGTGTTAACCTCGAAAGCTCGCTCTTCATGATCCGAGAGTCGTTTTCGAGTAATCGCTTTCGGGTCTGGATGTCTTGTGTGCTCAGGCTGAGGATTTCGTCATCGAGAATGTCGTCCTTCTCCTCCGCATCTTTCATCTCGTCGTCTCCATCGGTAACGGTGGCCTTCTTGCCATTGTTTCCTCTTCTCTTCTCCTCCTTCTCCCGGCGGTCGAGATCATCGAGCTCTTCGAGGGTCGACATGGTGGCAGCAGGCCCTCAGCTGGAACTGAGTCTAAGCTGGATAGATCGGCGGTTGCGAGAGTATTGAGGGTATGGACAGGGGAGTCGTGCAAAGGAAGGATTGGAAATACAAGTAAACAATGGATATATCGGGGTTGGCGCTGGTAGAATGCAGTAGAAGGAGTGTGGCTCCGGTAGTTGCTGGCCAGCTTACAGGTTGAAGCTGCAGGGCAGCAAGCAAGTCGAGTCGCGCGCAATCAGTCTGGGTGCCTGGTAGCAATATGCGGCGAAGTACTGCAGGGTACCTGCTGGGGGCTATTCAAGAGTCAGCTGCGCATTCGAGTGCCCCTCTGTACTTGCAGGTACTTTGATGACAATTTCAGCCTCGGAGCGGCGGCTAATTGATCCGAGACCAGCCCATTCGGGTGGGACTTTGAAAGTTCAATGTTCGCATGTCAAGATTCTGGTCGAAATCGAGTCGTCAGTCGACCCAGATCTACACAAGTAGGCGTTCCTCGCCATAATCTGTCTCGATTGCATGCAGAAGCTGATCAGCGCAGAATGACCAGAATACTAAGCCGGGCGGCTCAGCCGTGCCTGCGACGGCTCAGCGTAGAAGCGACACACGTGCGAGGGGCTTTTGCTCACAACTTCTCGACATCAGATGCTCAACATGCATCGCCCGGCCTGCGAGCCGTCCCCGAAGGCGCCCAGCCGCCAATTGACTTTGCTCCCGTTACGAAACCGCCCAGCGCTCGACCAATTGATACCCGAAAGAGTCAGATGATCCGAACCTATACTTCACTCCTCCGCACCACGCCCCTCATCCTGTTCTTCCAACACAGCAATCTCACAGCAGTGGAATGGGCTGCCGTAAGAAGAGAGTTGAAAAAGGCCCTGGATGGAGTTGCACCCATGACCGCCGCGCCGGGCGCCGAACCTCTGGACTTGTCTCCAAGAGTACAGCTGCAAGTGTTGAGGACCAACATGCTGAACGTAGCGCTGAAGCTGGTGGAATTCTACAATCCCGAGGTCGCGGCCTCATCGACATCTACGAAGCGAACGTCCAAGGGCCCCATTGTTCACGATCTGTCCGAGGCTGCTTACGAGCAAGTCAAGAACGCCGAAATCTCACCGGAGTCCGCCTATGCCCAGATTGAGCCTCTCATGGTTGGCCCCTTGGCCGGCCTCATCATTCCTGCCGTGTCTCCAGCGCACGTCGCAGCGGCTCTGAGCGTCCTTGCTCCGGTCCCCGGAAAATTCCCTGCGCCTACACGAAAGAAGAACCCCGGATACTACGATCCCATTTTCCAGAACGGCCTTGCGAAGCTGATGCTGATAGGAGGACGCATCGAAGGCAAAGTCTTTGATCAAGCTGGCGTCCACTGGGTCGGTGGTATTGAAGGCGGCATCGACGGTCTCCGCGCCCAGCTCGTGGCTATTCTGCAAGGTGCTGGCTTGGGCATCACATCTACACTGGAGGGTGGCAGCCGCAGCCTGTGGCTGGCTTTGGAGGGACGAAAGGAGCAGCTGGAGGGAGAGTCAAAGGGAGAGTCAAAAGGAGAGGCGCCTACATCTTCTTAGATGTGTGTATGATGGAAACGAACAAGACTAAAAAAGAGAAAAAGAAAGACAGCGGTTTGGATATAGGGCTGTAAAAAAGTATTATACGTGTACACTATGGAGGATGTATTCATAGAAATGAGCAAAAAAAGCCATTGAAACATGTGTGTGTTTTTATCTGAATTGCGAATGTAGATTGAGATCATAGACATTCCAATATTTGTTGTTTCTTTTACTCGAGAGGTTTCATGGACGCCGGGATGAGCTCCAAATAAGATTCTCACCCGGGAATACATACTTTAGTGTCTATCTCTTCACTCTTGATTATAATACACTTATAAGCCCTCTATTCCATGTAAGCCGGCCTCAATGTATGTAATCGCCAATGCTCCATACCAAATCCCACTTGAAGCTAGGCCCTATCCCACCCCCAAAAATCCCCACCAACAAATCACCTCCAGCGCCCATCAAGCTCTGTAAGCTATCCATGGATAGCTGTAGCTCATCCCAGACCCGCCGTTTTAGGTAGCAGCTCGACCCTTGCACCCCGAAAAAACATCCAATCGCAACAGGCTCATGTGATGCCCTTGCCCAAAACCAACCTCCACTCTAAACAGCATGCATATGCATTCGTCTCTCTTCTCGTGTCCCTCTCCTCCAGAAAAGGCATCTGTGCCCTCGCCGTTCTCGCAAAAACCCTCACTCGACAGGTCTTCCACAGAATCGCATGCCTCAATAATAGCAGCAGCATCGTTCTAGCCATTCATCTTGTCTTTCCCTTATTCGCTCCTCTCCGCCTCCTCTCGACATACATATCTCTCCTCTCCCTTCAAAACACCACACCAACGAACATCACCAAACCAAACCACACCAACAACCATGGACTTCGCACCCTACCAATCCTCGCCCCCCGAGCACGCCCGCTCCCCAATCTCCTCCCCCCGCGCCTCCGCCGACATCTCCCGCCGCCCCTTCTCCCCCTCCGCAATCGCCTCCTCCGCCCGCAGCCCGCCTCCCCTCCAACACCCTCAACCCCAGCGCGCCTGGAGCGGCGACCTCGACGGCGCCGCCAGCGCCCACGGCGCATTGTCCGGCAGCGGCCTCTGGGGGTTCGGCAGCGGTAGTGCTGGAGGGGGGACGCCCATGCCCGGCGCATATCCCGCCGAGATCAGCGAGTTCGATACGAGTCTGGGCTTGAGGCTGGATTACGAGGCCTGTTTGGCGTATTTGGCGTTTCCGCCTGTTGGGGCTGTTATACTCTTGATTTTGGAGAGGAATAGCGACTACGTCAGGTATGTATATGTGTATATGCTGCTGTGTTTGTTCTGATCTTTGGGAGAGCGCATTGAAACTAACACTGAGTCTGTAGATTCCACGCCTGGCAGTCTGCCCTCCTCTTCACAGCCGTCATGGTCTTCCACGTCCTATTATCTTGGTCTTCGTTCCTAAGCTGGATCATCTTCATCGCCGACCTTGTCCTGATCGGATTCCTCTCCTTCAAAGCATATCAAGACGCAGAGATACTAGACAGGTCAGTATTCCACCCGATCAACATCAAACAATAACCCCAAGACATATAAGCTAACGATCCAATTCACAGGTTCGAGGTTCCCTTCTTCGGAAGGATAGCTAGCAGATTCCTAGACGACGAGTAGAGCATTGCGTACACATTTCCTTTTCTTCTGGTCTGGCGGTTCGGTATGGTTCGGCTGGTTTTGGTTTTTGGCTCTCATTGTATTGATGTCATTGGACCCTGTTTTGATACACGTTCTGTCCCTACTTATACCCCTTCCTCAAGGTCTCTCCAGCTGAGCATGGCCCAATTGAATTGCCCCGTCATATTTCTTATCCCTCCTTGCATATAAATATGTTGAGACGTTTCGAGGGTCCTCATAATTACACCGTTTGCCCTTCACGGGACAAAGTGCTACCTTTTACATGAACATGTATATAAAGTACTTCTAGGCTCGCTCAGTTGAGTGGGTATACATACGGTATAAAGCACATCATCATGTCAATTCGGCATACATTTGCCGTTTTCTATCATTCTTCTTTTTTCCTTGTTCCACTTCAAAACGCCTGCCTCAATGATACAGCTATGCTCATCCTCCCTCACCGATATGTAACGCCCTTGACCTGTCCCTTGAGCGTCGGTTTATCGGCAAAGACCACTTCCTGAATCCCCTCGTTACCGGCGCCAACTTCCAACCACTTGGACAGCAAATCGTTGCTCTCCTTGGGCTTCACCGCAGGATCTCGCGTTCCTACCGTGATGTGCGCAACCTTATTCACGCATTCCCACTTGTTCTCCTCATCGAAAAGACGGACAACAATAGCCATGATACGGTCATCAAAAACAACCTATCAAAAAACGTTAGTTATATGGACCTGAGTTTCACGATGATATATATCAATTTACCCGTTCGAGTAACACGTCGCATCCGCCCATGATAGCATCACCACCACCTGCAGCATCATGAAGCTCGGTATACCGTTTCCACAGCTCCGGGTACTGGGCCGCCGTCGCCTTGTGCATCAGCGTGACGTGGAACTGGCGCTGCACTCTTCTTGTATTCTTGAGCTGCCAGAAGAATCGCGATATTTCTGGACCAACCCCCTTGAATGCCTTGTCAAGGACCCTGTCAATCTGATCTGTTCCCACACGCACAGACATGTACTCGAGCCCCTTCTTCTTTGGCTGTGCCTGCTGCTGCTGTCGCTGTCCTTGCTTGGCGTCTTTCTTGCCACCTCTATCGGGAATGGTATGTTTAAAGTCGGGGGTGTAGCTAAGCGCATACTCCATGGCCTCGTCGAGTTTCTCAGGGCTTGGCACTTCCTTGAGTACGTTTGGCAGAGACAGATGAAGTTCATTGACAAGGGTTTCCAGGTTCACTCTGCTGCCAGCCGTGGGATCCAGATCAATGACCAGGTCGAAGCCTGCGTCCGGGGGAGAATTGGGGTTGCATTCCTCAAATCGCTTGATAAATCCCTCCATGACGTCCAAATATTTATCCTTATCAGTCGCCGCATGGATCGTCTGGTGGTTATCTCCTCGTTCAATGACACGATCTTGAGTGATCCGGCGGATCTCATCAATTGTCTCTTCATCGTGTCGGAAATTCAAGCATACGATTCGTGCTTCCACATTCTGTGCCTTGACATCACCGATAAGCTGCTTTCTCTCATGCCTCTGTGCATTGTTTCGGTCTGCATAAACAACTGGGTGCTCCTTCAACTCATCCATGAGGGCCTTGACAAACCTCGGCGGCCGTCCCTTGCCCGAAATGTTGTCGTTCTGGATGTGGCCCCAGCCAAAAAGATGCTTTAGAGCCAGCGCCAAGGTAGTCTTTCCGCAACCAATGGTGGCGATGGGTGCCAGGATCACATCTTTGGTGACTTCCGACATCACTACACGATCCAAAAGGTCGAGGTTGGCGGCATCTGATCCCTTGATATTTTTGTATGCAAGGAAGTCGTCTCGTAGCTTGATGATGCCGTGATTCTGATTGTAGAGTTTGGACAAATTCGGGTTGGCGACAAGCTGCTTTTTAGCATAGGTGAGATATTCCTCGGTGATTTTGATGTGCTTCTTAAACTTGGGTTGTTTTCCAGAGATCATGGCCTTTGTGCATTCGCGCCACTGTCTGTACATCAAATAAGGCTCTTCGAACTTGAACTTGAAAAACCAGTCCTGGTAGGGCAGTGCAGTATGATTGCGGGACATTTTGCATCGGATGACGAAGCCCTCGACATCGCGACCTGAATATGATCCCGTCTTGGCCACATCCTCCAAGAATGTCTTTACCTCGTTCACATCCTCCATCACCAGCAGATCCGTCTTGATGAACCCCCATTGGTCTGCAAACTCTTGGACTAGGTTGCTTGGGTAGGTTGCAAACTCGGGAAGGTTGAGGTTAATGCCGTGAAGGTAAAGTCCAGCTTTATCATTCTCATAGGCCAGAATATGCTCTTCAAACGAGTCGTCGCAAAGCTCTGCTACAGCGGTGATGTTTCGGGAACGCAGCTCTCGTGCCAGGTCCTCTTTGGTCTTGCCAACGGCAGCCAGCTGCTTCTCCAGTCGAATCTCTCCGGCACGCGCATGGCTAAGCTCGACATCGCTGCGGTCGCCAGTGGAATGCTTGCTGCAAACGAGGAGGGTGTCGTCTTCGAGGCCGGCTACGAAGATGATGCAGCCGTTCTCCTTGAGCGTCAACTCGTACGGCCCCTTTGTATTCTTGAGAACCACGTCCCATTTGGTCTCGTTCACTTCGTTGACATTGAAGAATTTGTCGTAGCCTCTGACTGCAATTTCCGGAACGTTTCTGCTGGTTTTTGTAGTAAACAGGCCGCGGGCATATGTGGGAAGGCCCTTCTTCTTGTAGTCCCAGTCCTGCATCCTCCAAGAGTCGACCTCGATGCCATCTCGAGAGGACTTGATCTTGAAAGTAGTCTTTTTGCAGGAAAATCCACCATGTCGTTTGTCTTTTCGGGCTGCCTCCAGAGCTGAAATCATCTGAGAGACAGCCGACACATCCTGTTCCACATACGGAGCAGCCATCTTTGCTCTTTGGACTTTTTCTGTGTTGATCAACCAGGCTGTTCGAATGACGTAGTTGTAGATGGGCGTAGAAAAGTTGTGAGATATGAAGCCGTAAGACGAATGTCCAATCCGTAGCGCAAAGGTCATACACTGACTTCTTCCTGGCTACTTTGTGCTTCTGGAGCTGATCCACGGCAACGAGAAATGCTTGATGATTCAGCTTTCTACCAGAGCTATGCCGTCGTATTAATACCAGTTCAGCTCGTCTCCCACTTTGATGCAAACAAGGCACACACAGCTACCCTTGCAGTAATATCCTGGCGGCTAGTCGCACCAAACACTGCCCTCTTTTTACTCAGCCCTGTAAGTTTGGTGAGTCAGACGCAGACTAAGCACACAATTACTCCTCACCGAAAGGCTAATATCATGCACTGACCAACCAGAGGCCAGAGGGAGAATCGACCGGGATCTGCTTTGAGTCCTTGAATCGGATCGGATAGTGGCAGAGGTGAAAGTTTCTGGGTTCCTCAGGTGTTGATCTCTTTCAACGCACGATGAATTCTTTTAGCTCTATGTGTGGGGTCAGTGGGCAAGTGCCCGACGCTTGTAGATCGCCTGGTGCCTGCTGAGCCGCTTGGCCTGTAGCGATGGAGCTCAGTAAAAACGCCCGCTACAACGGCCCCTAGCCCTGAGTTACAGCGGCTACACTTCAGCCATTAGGCAGCCCGGGAGCCCAGTCGAATTAATGGATGTCACCTGCATGGTGGGGGAGGGGCAACTCGGAATGCTCAATTTTTCTGGACAAAAATTCTACCCCTCCATAGCTGCCAAATCAAATCCAAGCACCGACCAACAAATATCATCTGCGCAAGTAAAACTTCAATCATTCATCAGGCTACACAGAAAGTCTATAACCGAATACCGCGCACCAGCTTCGATCCAAATATCCCCATGGCGTCGTCAAACCCTTTCCTCCTGGCAGCTGACAACAGCCCCGCGCTGCTGCCTCTTCTTCGAGAAAAGCCCGAGTTGGCATCAGGCCAGGACGAACACGGATACTCGCTTGTCCATGCTGCGGCCAGCTACAACCACCTAGATCTGCTCCGAGCGTTGATCCAGGAATTCAAGGTGGACGTCAACCTCAAGGACGAAGACAACGAGACTGCCCTATTCGTCGTCGAGACTACCGACGCCGCCAAAGCCTTGGTCGATCTAGGTGTAGATGTCTTGCACAGAGGCTTGGAAGGGCTGACAGCAAGAGAAAAGATTGAGGGAGAGGGCGATTTCCCCGAAGTTGCTGTCTATCTAGCTACCGTTGAATCCGAAAAAGCCGGCAAGGAGCTCGAGGCCAGCGCAGCCGAGTTCATGAAGAATGCCCCAGAAGGCATGAAGGTCACAGTTGGCACCATGGACGAGACGCAGGATATCCCTGCCGAGTTCGATCCAGAGTTCCGCCGCAGAATCGAGGAGTTGGCCCAGAGAGAGGACTTTAATACGGCCGAGGGCCAGGCGGATTTGCGCAAGCTGGTGGAGGAGGCCCTTCTTGACCAAGGGTTGTCTGAGGAGCGAAATGTGCGGTCTAAGCAAGCCTAAGCTCCCATCTTTCCTCAGTCCTGACTTTTGGTCTCCCACATGAGAAATTCTCCCGCGCTCTCTGGCGGCCGAAGAAAACTCAATTCGTTGCATCCTCCAAGGATGTTGCGAGAAAAGGTCGTGCCGCTAAGCGCAAACCAAGATTGCGAGGGGCAGCTGGTGACTATGTCGACGAATAGACTCCTTAACCAGCTCGAGGATAGGAATCCTTGCCAACTCAGCTTACAGACTTGCACTTGGGCCGCGGTGCTGTCTGCTTCTGGTGGCGCATATCGCGAGAGATAGGGGTCGATGTCATCCCCGGCCACAACACGAGGGCTCTCCAGTCGGACCAGTGATAGCCACTCGTACATCTCTGTCGCAGAATACTCAAGAGCCTCGCGGTCTCCTTGCGCAAGGATTGTGGAAGGTATCCTGAGGGGTATCTGATAGATTCCAGTATCTTTGGATAGCGTTGGTGAAGATGTCATTTCTGTCGCGTTGAGATCCTGCAATAAATCTACGCTCATAGCTAGTAGTGTGTCAGATCCAATAGATGAAGTTTATATAAATAGGCAAATAACAACATGGAACAATATGAAGAGTACTTGTATGTGCACTTACCAGAGCTAGAGGCGTTGCAGGCGAGCCATGTTACGGGCTGGTTCAATACATTTTTACATGTATACACCAGTCTGTCGAATCCTTTTCTTCCGTGTAGCATGGATTCCTCTCTGAGGTTATATGATACTTCTGTAGGCCTAAATTAGCATCCGGGTATATAAAGAGCAACGGAAAGTTCATTGACGTACTCCATCTGGGTTTAGATCCCCGGTCGCCCTTTTTACCGTAAGGCTTTCCTTCAAGACCAGCGCGTTCATACGTCTCTCTATCGAGATATAGGTCTAGGTTTCCCTCTCGAAGAGTGAATAGATTCCCAATGGTTGTTTTGCCTTCGGAGAGCATCATGATGTTTCCTACGACAGATCAGCTTTGGAGCGCGAAAGGAGATGGGATGCTAGCTCAAGACAAAAGAAACAGACTCACCTAGCTTGATGTACTGAGTAAGAAACTTTGTTTCCAGAACCTGGCCCAGCGTCATGACGACTCTGTAATATGCCGGGGCTTCACGCTCAGTCATCTTCTGGGCAACAGTCTCATAGATGTCTTGAGGAATGATCAAGTCAACCTGGCAATTATTATTATTATTAGCACTACTTCATTCGATGTGATAATTCAGACTCTATGTCAAAGGATTGGCTGACCTTGTGGATAAAGTCGAGATCTGATATCGCCGTCCAAGGCTTGCCTTTACTTGGAATCTGCTTAGGATCAACGTGTCCCATCGTGCCGTACGTGACGAAGCATTTTGGCGACTGATATATCGACGGAGCCTGGTGCAGCATCGCTTGTACAATCAAATACGATGCTCAATTGACGAATTATGCGTATGACGAGAGTGAAATCGGCTCTATAAAACTGCGTGGTCGAGTCTTCAACTGTCGATTTTTAGAGGGAGAAGCTAAGAGTGAGATGGGAGGTACAAGCGACAAAGTACCCGCCTCAAGCCAGTGGCTGCCGCATCCAGCCCGATAAGATGCAGCGATGCTAAATTCATAATTTTTTTCCTCCATCATAGCGGGGCTACATGTCTATTAGACACTCGGCGATGAAATAGAGGCAAATCTCATTCATTCTCTTATTTTTATAGACTTGTGGTAAATATCTCCCGACTGATTAAAAATTGATTCCCTCTTGCTAACTTTATTACTTTGTAGAAAATTCACTTTCCATTGATTTTAAAGAGAGGGCACAAAAAAGTCATATAAGAAACTGCCATTTTCACTTCCATTTTTCTTCACTAGACGGAGGCACATCCCGGCTTCATTCATGATACCCTGAAAGCAACCACATCCCGTTCAACTCATACAAATCAGACGTCAAATTACACTAAGCATAAACTTCACAATGGATTTCCTCATCAAGTTTGCTTCCGAGCACGAGTCCTTTCGAGTACCCGAAATCGAAGCCCTCGCAATCATCGAAAACCTAGATCTCAAAATCAAAGAATACGACCGCGAGGTAAGCCCAAAATCCACCACCACACAACCTCTCTCATCAAAAAACACATCCTCATTCTTCCCTTCTACAGTCTCCATTCTGCGTCGTCCAACTCCCCTCAGTAGACGACGCAAAGAAGCTCCTCCGGCGCTCCGTCCTCGCCCACTCAATACACGAGCTCTGGGGAACCGCCAACACCCTCGACGCCCTCCACGAGGTGGTCAAGTCGCAAACCTCCCACCTCTGGCCCAAATACAAAGACTCCTCGTTCAAGTTCGTCGTAGACTCGTTTCAAGGCGCGCACACCAACAAGGAGCGCCTCGCCCTCATCGACACGTTCAGCTACCTCCCCTTCGACGGGCCCATCCGCATGTCCAACCCAGACGACACATTCACCCTCTTCGAGTTCTGGCCCTTTAACAGCGTCCCCCTGAAAATTCAGCACCCGGATAGCGTTCGCCTGGGCCGCTTCGTCGCTACTTCAGCCCGCGACATCGTCCACAGGTACGACCTCAAGAAGCGCGAGTACATCTCCACCACGAGCATGGACGCAGAGCTCTCCCTCGTCACGGCAAACATCGCCCTCGCCGGCCCGGGGAAGCTCTTCTACGACCCTTTTGTCGGCACGGGGTCCTTCCCCATTGCCTGCGCCCACTTTGGCGCCATCGGCTGGGGCAGCGACATTGACGGCCGTAGCATGCGCGGTGAAGGTAACAAGAAGAAGAGTTTGCCGGGCAACTTTGCCCAGTACGGACTCAAGCCCCAGCTGGGCGGCTTCTTCTCCGCAGACTTGACAAACACGCCCATCAGACGGAGGAGGATCTGGGATGGCATCGTGTGCGATCCTCCATACGGAGTGAGGGAAGGATTAAAAGTCCTGGGGCTGAAGAATCCTGAAAATGCCACATGGCTTATTGAGCTCGGAATAAACGAGTGGGAGTAAGTCTCTCCCTGGAAGAACAAGAGTGAAGATAGAGTTGCCCTAACATTGTCTCGCAGATCACCCGACTACGTCCCTCCAAAGAAGCCATACAGCTTCCTAGCCATGCTCGACGACATCCTCGCCTTCGCCGCAGATACATTAGTCGACAACGGCCGTCTAGCGTTCTGGATGCCCACGGCAAATGACGAAGAGCAAGAGATCCCCGTCCCCACACATCCCTGCCTCGAAGTAGTCGTAGTCTGCGTCCAAGTCTTTAACAAATGTATGCAACTCCATAATCTTTGGCTTTTCACTCCGCTAACAAATTCCTCAGGGTCACGAAGGCTGATAACCTACCGGCGTCTGCCAGATTCCCAAGTGTCAAGCACTGACCTAGAAGCACACGAGAAGAAAAGGCTTGAGGCGGCAGCCGCACACACAGGCACAACAGCAGACGACCTCAACCCGTTTCGACGAGGTTATTTTAGAAAATTTGAGGCTGAATAATAAGACACACACATTATCTGCCAGACTATATGCTGCCCCCTTGGAACAACTCGCATCTCGTAGCTTATTCTCCCCTGCAAATGTCATTTGGTCCCATCTATTTCGTATTGATTTCGTCACGTTATAGCTAACACACAACCTCATGACAGCCAGATATTCATTTCAAACCCGTGCAGTGCATCCCGACATACCTATACTAAACAGCCAGGCTCCTTGCACGCATGCTATGTATCCCGTAGAACACCGCTTCCATAATCGAATCCTCCCAAAAAGTAAAATATGTGAGAGTAAAAGCAAAGACAAAAAAAGAAAGACTTCCCTGTTGATGAGTCCCATAAATCACATCCGCTATTAATCAACAATACGAATATCCTCGCTTGGCATTACCGTGGCATTACCGAAACTCCATGGCACTGAAGCACCCCCTATCAGGAACATGCTTCAGCTCCAGCTGTTGAAACCTGCGCACAGGCCGTTAGTCTTAGTCTCCTCAAGGCGCATTAGAGTAGATGGCTTACTTTTCGCTTTTGGAGTGGAAATATATTCCGCTAATCTCTCCCTTGACCTGGTTGAAACAGATGTAGTAGAAGCCTTCGAAAGAGGCCCCGGTGATTGTTCGGACGCGGTGGTCAGGAACCAAGAAGTGTTCTTTCCACCGCATAAAGATATGGTCTCTTTGCGCAAGGTCAGTGATGGTCACTGGGCCCTTCCGAGCCATCTTCTGGTATGGCCGAAAGGCGCTAAACTTGGACCAATGGCTGAGATCGACTTTGGAATTGGCGCCCCAGTCATCATGCTTGGTAAAGAAGTTATACTTGGTACCGATGATTTCCCCCTCAAAGTAGGTGGTGAGTGTTGGGTGGTCTTCGGTCAATCCTATAAGCAGGGGTCGAAACGGTTAGCTATGACGCAATGTGGAAAATAATCGCCGACAGTGCTCGGGGCGAAACAAACCTTGGATACGCAAGTAGCCGCAGAGGAAAGATTCGCGCAGGTCAACATGTTTGATCTCGACTTGGACCTCGTAGACCTGTCTTTCGGATTGTTGTGTGCCGCGAAACTTGCTCCCGGGTCGGAGGAATGATGATGGTGAGATGGGGATTTTCTGCACATAGTGTAAGCACGCTACATACGCCGAATTATCAATGCAATGGCAGCAGTCTTACTCGTAGGTTTGTGCAGTCAGATGGCATGGGGGGCGAGTCGTATTCATCCTCCTCCTCGAGCCGTTCCAATGAGTCGGGCTCACGTCGGAAGGAGCCCGGATTCTCGACTTGTAAATGTGCAGACAAGGTGGATGACTCCCGGCTTAAGCGATCGGTTGCGGCAGCCCCTTGGTTCTTAAGGTCATCGTCACGTCCACTTGACATGGGAGATGTGGCAACCGTGCCGCTAGATGGTGGTCGGGGAGATGTAGTGTCCATGGGCGAGGCTCCCGCAGACGCCTGACCTTCTATTAACACCGAGTATTCTGTTGCAGGGCCGTCGTGAGATGATTCAGATGAATACGCCGTAGGAGAGGCAATGCTTGTCGCTGAGCTCTGGCTACTCCCCATATCTGAAGCCGGTCGCGTGGCGTCCTGTGCCGGTCGGGGGGATCGAGAGGAGTGTGGTTGGTCCTCAGGACATGTCGGAAAGTTATAGGGAGGAGGAGATGTTTGTTCAGGAGGCGGATTGGAGGATGGGGTCGGCATTGTGAAGATTGTGTATTGTGCTCGACAAACAGCGAGTCGGTCCGTGGCAGGCAAGGCTGGTGCAGGGAGCCGATGGAAGGAAAGAGCAGCGGTGCGCCGCAGAAGAAATGAAGAGTAAAAAAAGACCAGGTCGGTTATCTTGGCCTCTGGGCTGCTCGTCTACCACGATTAGACGATAAGCGAGGATGTCTCAACCGCGCCGCCGTGCTGGGGGTTTGTGGGTTGTCCGAGAGCGGATCGAGCTGCGATGGCGGTGATGGTCCCAGATTGCAGCACAAGTACAGGTAGCACGAGGCCGGGAAGGGGGGATTCAGGGACGGGATGCAGCGTGCATCTCGCAATGGCACACGCTGGAAATTGTCGAGATGATGGAAGACGAGAGGCGGATCAACGGGCACAAGAGGTGATGGGGGATGAATGAGAAAAGCCACAGGACAAGATGAGATGGATGGCTTTTCTTCGGGAGGCAAAGTTGGGCTTTTGGCGTGCTGGATATCGTTGAAGACGGGACGTACCCGGTACTGTCAATAAGCGGCGCCCACTTGGGATGGCCGCAGTACGGGGGACCTGGATTCGATTTCTACGCCCAACTAGAACACGGCGGTGCCGATGAGGGGTACCAGCGCAAAGCAGGTTATTTTGCGTAGCAGATGCTGTACAGTTGAGAAGGGCAATGGTTACCTTACTATACTTCTGTCGGGTTTGGGAGAATTCGGGGCAAAAGCACATGCTTGGGCGATGCCTTGCTCCGTATGTACCAAAGTATCTTGCACACAATGACAGAACTCAGATGGAGATTTGCGGAGGTGCTAGTGGCATTGCAGCGTGGCCAACCGGGGAAACGCTGTAGGTACTAATGCTGTACTTGAATAGCACGGGCTGGGTTGGGCAGCAGGGGAACTTCAGATGGATGTTGGAGTTCTTCCGCATTAGGCAGCTTATGCAGGTATCTAATAGGGGTTACAGAATACAAGTAAATATTGATGAACGGATCAATATCACGCCCATGCTGAATAAAGTCAATTATTTGACAACAAGCAAAACTAAAATACCGTTCTGACTGTCATCAACGCAGCGGTATGTACTTGATGGCTACCAAGCCACAAGGTAAGGGTGTGGATCAATGGCGGAACCATGTGCAGCCAAGTCCCACTCCAGTTCCAAACACGCATGTTATCAGATCATGGCTTGATCAAGATTCAGCAGATGATATTAAAGCAAAGCAAGGGGCCAGCGTGTCGTATTGACATCATGGAGCATGAATCATCCAACGAATTCATCTTTTTCATTGCATAGGTAGCATCATGATATGTGCACTCAAACATCGTACTATAGGCACCTAGGAACTGAATCATGCCAGCCCAAATAGTGCTGACCAAATATAAGACAGAGCCGCGTCTTGATGGGTGGAGGGGAAAAAAGTTACAAGAGACATTTTCCCGAGACGAGACAAATAAGACTTTAACAGTTGTAAGATTGAAATGCCCCATGGGAGGGCCGTTCTAGGGTACCCATACTGACTATATTCCCGATATGCTGATTCATATAATTACCTATGGCTTCCACATGGCTTCCGCATGGCCCTGTTATTGAATCAATAAATTGCTTTTGCATTTCCCCATACGCCACCCTAGACCTGGAATTAATTCTCCCATGCATGTTGTTACCGTGAACACCTTGTGACAATCATGCGCATCGCCGATGCCTCATTGAGGCGACTGGGTATCATAACTCTGCGCTGCCCGTCTCTCCAGCATGCCGATGCCGGCTCAGATTGGTTTAATCTTGAAGTGGAGGGCTATCAGGCTGAAAACAAGGGCCTTCAGGTCCTGCACGAGGTAGTAAAAGACTCGGAGACCCTCGGGGTCGGCTGATTCGGTGACATCAACCAATGATCCAATCTTGGCCGTCTATCGCAGAGGAATCAGTCTCGGTGCTACTGCCATAGTATTCGAAAGACCTTGATGCAAAACAAACCTCAAATGAAATGTGGTCTCCTCCCAATCGGATTTCCAGCTCCTGTCGGCCATCCTTGTTCTTCTGCGGCCACTTGGAATCGTCTTCCTTGATAATCTCGCTCTGCTTGACAATGCGCTTAATCTCTTCGATGACTGCGGAGCTCACACACACTGCAGATGCGTCGTTAGTGTTTCCAGTTCTTCCATCGACAATACTACCAAGTGAAAACCACAAAGGGTAATCCATTTGGTATTGGGTATAGCGCTTCCTTACTTTCTTTTCGAATCAAGCTGTCGTTTCTGTAGTTGGAGTTGTTTGCGTATCTAGCAACTGCGCTGCGACCATCTCCGACAACACGAAAGTCGAATTCTATCGTCCATGTAAGTATCCAGAAGTTGAGCCTCGGCGGATGGCTGTCGAGGTGGTTATCATACCCAAGAATTCGTGACCGAAACGGCCCATGTGGCCCGAGCTGCGCACATAATCAGCAGCTGTAGCAACAACTGGTCAGACACGGTCCATAGGAAGTCACTCACTAGTATCGGATGTAAAATTGGTCGTTTGGGGCCGCCATCGTTGCTGTTGAATGAGGTCTTGTCGAGTTGCCAGGGCTAGATCCAAAGTCGCGAGGCTGCGGCGAAACAAATCCATAGGACAGCTCCGTCACTGGATGGTGGGGCACGGCAGAAATCAATGGGCGGTGAGGCCACGACAGGTACGAAAGCACTGCAATGCGTACGAGTACAAGGGAATAGCTCCATCACGTGAGCCCCCACGCCTCCAACGTGCTGCTTAGTGCCACCTGTAACCAGCGAGCCATCGCCAGTGAAGAGCCAGATTGTCTGAAGCAGACGCAGCCTAACACCTAACAGCAACAACATCCTCCAGACGCCCGCCCGCTCTCCAGACTCTTCGCGGCGACTCTGGCAGCTCGAGCCTTGGAATTGGTGCTGTTGCGACTCTCCGGCACATGGCTCTGGTGAGCTCTGCGATATTCGAAGCTCCTCCCGCTCTCTCTTGAGGCCCCTTATCCTCCCCGCAGCCGCAGCCTCGACGCTGAGCCAGATCTGATCTCTCTCTCTTTCTGCGCCCCGAATTACAATTACAATTACACAGCCGGCTACACCATGTCTGGGTTCCTCGAAAATGCCTACAGCCTGGTGCACCAGGACAATGCCTCGGACGTGCCCTCCCTCTCCGACCTGCGCATGCAGCTGGAAAAGGGCACCGACGAGAGCAAGGTCGACACCATGAAGCGTATCCTGACCATCATGCTCAACGGAGACCCGATGCCGTCACTGCTCATGCACATTATCCGATTCGTCATGCCCTCCAAGTACAAGCCGCTCAAGAAGCTCCTCTACTTTTACTACGAGATATGCCCCAAGCTTGACTCTGCTGGAAAGCTGAAGCAGGAGATGATTCTAGTCTGGTTAGTCAAGCCTATTTATTATCTGCAATTGGCAGGTGTTATGAGCCATTGGAACGAACCTCGAATCGACTGACCATGGTATAGCAATGGTATCCGAAACGATTTGCAGCACCCCAACGAATACATCCGAGGCAACACCCTCCGTTTCCTTTGCAAGCTTAGAGAAGCAGAGCTCATTGAGCCTCTCCTATCTTCAGCGCGATCCTGCCTTGAGCACCGACACGCCTACGTCAGGAAGAATGCAGTCTTTGCGGTCGCCTCCATCTTCCAACACTCACCATCTCTTATTCCCGACGCCGCGGAGCTGATCGCAACCTTTTTGGAGAGCGAGACCGATGCCACATGCAAGAGGAATGCTTTCGCAGCGCTCGCCAGCATCAACCACGATGCCGCCCTTCTATATCTCAGCTCCGTCTTTGACGGAATTCCCAACGCCGAAGAACTGCTGCAATTGGTCGAATTGGAATTTATCCGCAAGGACGCTGTGCAGAACTCCCAGAACAAGGTACGACCCCCTACGCAGCTACTCATAAGGATCTCCTAAGCTAACAGAGATAGGCTCGATATCTGCGATTAATCTTTGACCTCTTGGAAGCCGGCGCATCCACTGTCGTCTACGAGGCGGCGTCATCGCTGACAGCCTTGACCAATAACCCCGTCGCTGTCAAGGCCGCGGCATCCAAGTTTATCGAGCTCAGCATCAAGGAGGCCGACAACAACGTTAAGCTCATTGTCCTTGACCGTGTCGACCAGTTGCGCCAGAAGAACGAGGGTGTCCTAGACGACCTCGTCATGGAGATCCTGCGAGTTCTTAGCAGCACAGACATTGACGTCCGCAAAAAGGCCCTCGAGCTGGCCTTGGCCATGGTCTCTAGCAAGAATGTCGAAGAAGTGGTCCTGCTGTTGAAGAAGGAATTGTCCAAGACGGTTGACCAAGAGTATGAGAAGAACACCGAGTACCGATCTCTCCTAATCCACTCCATCCACCAATGCGCCATCAAATTCTCAGAAGTTGCCGCCAGCGTTGTGGAGCTTCTCATGGACTTTATCGCCGATTTCACAAACACATCTGCTGTTGATGTCATCAACTTCGTTAAGGAGGTCGTCGAGAAGTTCCCTGAGCTCCGAACTACCATTGTGCGCCGTCTTGTATCAACCCTTAGCGAGGTGCGAGCTGGCAAGGTCTATCGTGGTATCCTGTGGATCATTGGAGAGTACTCTCTGGAGGAGAAGGACATTCGAGATGCTTGGAAGGGTATCCGAGCCAGCTTGGGAGAGATCCCCATTGTTGCTTCAGAGCAGAGACTGTTGGAAGAGCAGGATGGCGATGAGAAGAAGGACGACCAGATCAACGGCAATTCGAAGCCCTCTGCGCCAACCGGCTCCCGCAAGGTGCTGGCCGACGGTACATATGCGACTGAGACTGCGCTCACTAGCCAGTCGTCCGCCGCCGCCAAGCTGGAGGCTGTCAAGGCCGCTCAGAAGCCACCCTTGAGACAACTCATCCTGGACGGAGACTACTACCTGTCAACGGTTCTGTCTTCGACGCTGGTGAAGCTGGTCATGCGCCACTCAGAAATCTCAGCCGAGCAGGCACGAACCAATGCCCTCAAGGCCGAGGCCATGCTCATCATGATCTCCATCATCCGTGTTGGCCAGTCTCAGTTTGTCAAGGCGCCCATTGACGAGGATTCTGTTGACCGAATCATGGCCTGTGTGCGCTCCCTTGCCGAGTTCAAGGAGAAGAAGGAGCTGGAAGCAGTGTGGCTCGACGATACCCGCAAGGCATTCCGAGCCATGGTTCAGGTCGAGGAGACCAAGCGGGCCGCGAAGGAGGCTCGTGAGAAGGCCAAGACTGCCATTCAGGTCGACGATGTGATTCCCATTCGTCAGTTGTCCAAGAAGAACGCCTCTGACGGCTTGGATGAAATCGAGATGGACTTGGAGAGGGCAACTGGTGGCGAGGGCGGCGCTGAGGACCTGACATCCAAGCTCAGCCGTGTTGTCCAGCTGACTGGTTTCTCCGATCCCGTGTATGCCGAGGCATACGTCAAGGTCCACCAGTTCGACATCATCCTGGACGTTCTGCTGGTCAACCAGACCACCGACACTCTTCAGAACCTGTCTGTTGAGTTTGCAACCCTGGGCGACCTCAAGGTTGTTGAGCGACCAACCACACAGAACCTGGGCCCCCACGACTTCCACAACGTCCAGTGCACCATCAAGGTCTCGTCAACAGACACGGGCGTCATCTTTGGCAACGTGGTGTACGACGGCGCGCACTCAACCGACACCAACGTTGTCATTCTGAACGACCTACACGTCGACATTATGGACTACATCCAGCCCGCTACCTGCACTGAGACGCAGTTCCGCACCATGTGGACAGAGTTTGAGTGGGAGAACAAGGTCAACATCAACTCCAAGGCCAAGTCACTACGCGAATTCCTGGATCAGCTCATGGCCTGCACGAACATGAACTGCCTGACACCCGAGGCCAGTCTCAAGGGAGACTGCCAGTTCTTGAGCGCAAATCTGTACGCTCGCAGTGTATTTGGTAAGTACAGCTACATCCCCTTTAGATATCATATCCACATGCCCTCTAAACGACTCGTTTACTAACTATTTCCCCCCGCAGGCGAGGATGCACTGGCCAACTTGAGCATCGAAAAGGAAGGAGAGGACGGTCCCATCACAGGCTTCGTGCGCATAAGGAGTAGATCACAAGGCCTGGCCCTTAGCTTAGGCTCACTAAAGGGTCTGAATAAGATTGGCTCAACGGCTTAGACATAGGAACAACCCGATGCCGGAAGGAAGAAAGACTTAAAGATACACAACGCACACACCACCAAAAAAATTTAGATAATCTTACGAATCCCCTTTTTATTATTCTTCTCTCTTTCTTCTTCGCGTATTTTCATGAGGGAATGCTGTCTTCTTCTTTCTCCTATTCGTTTGTAGAACCGGTTAGATGGTGGTTTGTGCGGGGGTGTTTTCTTTGCCTTTTTTTTACCTATATTACTCTATTAGTATCTTTTAACGAGGCAAAAGAAGGGATTCGAGGGTGGGCGGGAGAGTTGGGAATTAAAAAGGAGGGGAACGAATAGGAAGATGCCGTGATGAAAATGCCATAAAGGGGGCGGGTTTAGCTGCGTGTACTGTTTTTGATGTAGGCGGAAATCTTGACAAGCATTTAAAAAAGATATTGTTTTGTTCTCATCTTAAAAGTTTATGACTACCTTGAAAATGGCAGCAAAATATCGATTAAATAGTAGTATTTGTAGCGTTAAAAACCGTAATGAGTAGCTTGTATGCTCCCCCTCCAACAGACAGACCAAAAAAAGTTCTTTAGATACAGGCTGATTTCCCTCCCGTTGCCATTTCTCTCGTCTGTGTCATCCGCTGCTCTTCCTTGCCGTCGTCATCAATATGTACTTTGGCAGAGTGTAGTGTATTTTGTTTGGGGTATAAATAAGAACGTTCTTGTGCAAATGATGAATGGAAATAAAATAAATACTCCGTTGAAACTCCAAGTTCGCAGCGTTGAGAAGAAAAGAAGAAGAAGAAATATGGGGTATTATCCAGACAAGGCCAAAGGAAATAGAATATGTGCGTAAGAGATTAGGAAACTCTCAGGTAGAGAGGATGTGAAGCGTTAAGAGGAAGAGGAAGAAGTAGTAGGACGGGGTGTTATCGGTTGAAAACCAAGGCGTTTATGACGTGGCCGGCGTGCCAGCCCTGAGCTTCGAGCGAAGAGTTTTCCTTGAGCATCTTGCCCATATATGCCAGGCGGATCTTCTTGTCTAGGGGAAGCTGTTGAGTTGCAAGTGTTAGCTGACCAATACAACAAGAAAACGATAACACGGCGACAAAAGCAAAGAGAAACTCACTGTTGACTGCTCTGTAATCTTCTTGATAACACTCCGCACGCTGTCTGTTTTGGCCACGGTGACTTTAATGTCCCGGCCCGTCTCGCTCAGCCGCGCGCGGAAAGTGACCATCTCCCGCTCGTCCAGCACTCCCTTGCCCTTTTCCTCCCTCCTCCTCTCGGCCTCTTCCGAGTCGGCGTCGTCATCATCCTCTCCGGCGGTTTCTTCGCCCGCAGTCGATCCGTCGCCCTTGGCATCCGGGTCTCGGTCATCCGCCAAGTTGTCCGGGTCTGCCACGACCCATTCGGGCAGCGCATACAAGTTGCCCAGAGCATCGTACGCACCATTCACAAGGTTGCCCGTCGGCAGGGAGATCTCGGCGGCCGTGAGAATGGTCTGGGCCGTGGCCAGGGCATTGTCCTCGTCCTGGGAATCTTCCGGGTTGGCCTCCCACAGGACCTGCAGCGCGGCATGCAGCGTCTGCCAGATCTCGGGCCGGCAGACGACTCTGGTATCGAAGAACTCGGCGCGCTCCTTGACGAGGTCACGGCGAGTCCACACTCGCTGGGTGGACGTCCATCGGTGGCGGCGCAGCGGCCTGTTGATGTGCTGGTCGAGAGGGCGAGGGTCCCGGCGGCGGCGGTGGTGGTGGCTCAGGGCGGCGGCTTGCGGGTTGCTGGATATGATTCCCTCGGGCAAGGTCAAGGGCGGCGGATTGATGGCGCGAGAGGAGGCATCGGGGACGCCTCCGGGATAGGGCGAGTTTGGACCCGCGGAACGAGAGAAGCAACAGCCCTGGAAGAGCGCATCGCGGTTAGTGATTTATAGTGAAGGCAGCAAATAGAGAAGAGGATATTTTGCGCACCATGATGTCGCCTTGGGTGACGGTTTGCTGAGCTTTGCCTTGCTTTGCTTGTGGCGTCTCAGCTCGCAACGCTTCGCAACGAGAGGGTGGATGGAGAGCTGGCCAACGCCATACCAGATCTGGCTGCGGATGCCAGACACCAGAGACACACAGAAGTTGGCCAGAGGGGAATAAGAATAGAAACAAAATAAAATTAAAAATAAGGAAAAGAAGCCAAGGCAAAAGGACCGAGCGAAGAGTAAACGGGAAACCTCAGCCTCTTTGAAGCCTTTTGGTTCTTGGTTCCAACTGCGGGACAAACGAAACGACCGGCCGGGTTGGAGCTTGCCGGGAAACGGCGCAGCTGACTGGCGCTACACCAGCGCAACTCTGTTGTGGCTGTGAGGGAGGGAAAAAAAGGCTATCTTTTTGGGCCAGGCCAGTGGGGGAAAAGCTTTTTGGGATGGATGTCGAGCCGAAGGTGTGTTGTGAGGTTTTTGGAGGAGAACTGACAGGACCGGGGTTCGGGGGAATAAAAGAGAGAGAGAGTGAGGTGAGAGTGACAATGACAAGGTATTAAACGCCGACGAGGTTGTGTATCTCCGGGTTATCTGCAGCGGATGTTGTGCAGTGTTAATGAATTGATGAATTAATTGCGATTGAATTAAATACTCTGTAGATAAGGTAGATGATTAAACGAGCTGGTGAATACGAGCAGACAGGACAAGACAGGACAAGACCAGAGAGAGAGAACCAAAGATGGCCATTTACACGTGCTGGCGGATGCGACAAATGAGATCCATCGATCCGCTGAAGCTACAAGCTGGGCCCCGTTTGTCAGCGAGCTCTAGGCGAGAAGACCCGCCATATCCGCCCACTGAACCGAACCGAACGCATCCACTGAAGCTTCAGGGCCAACAGAGCCTGGAAAGATGGCGCAGCGCTACTCGGCCAGATTCCATCCATCGCCTAGATAGAGGCTTCGTATGTATTACGAGTACATGGATTGAGTTGCTGATTCATCAAAGGACAAGGAAGGGACGCAAGCCATTGATGAGAGGCTGATGATGATGATGCTTCCATGCGTTCTGGTGGCGGCGCATGTCCATAATAAAAGCTTCCATGGTGGCCGCGTTGACGTAGTTGCTTCAATCTTACAGGTACAAAAGGGCGTTTACTACAGAATCAATCACTGAGGTGTTGCCTACTAATCTACATACTAGATGCAGTGCTAATGTAGTTCGTTTAGGAATCACCATCCATTCATTCTCATTGCACAGATAGACAGATTAGACTATCCAATACTCGTACAGCATCTGCGCGTAATTGACATGCACAACACAGACGCTTGCTCTCCCTTGCAGGTGGATCAGCAGCCAAGCAAAATTCATGAAAAATGATCCACCGGCAAGCAAGGCCTTGTCACCGAGCCCGTTTGCTCGTGCACTCACCGTGATTGATTTGGGTACCTCAGGTTCTCACCGAGGAGCTCCAGGTTAGGTCGAAACTGGACAGTGGCAATCTGCTGGCGATCCTCCATACTACTACATACCTTCATTCGATAATGCACAATCATCTTCATCCAATGCCTTGAACATCAGCCATCCATTATAGCGTCATTTATTCATTCGTTTTATCATCCATCTGCATCTCCAACACCGCATTCGCCTCCCACCACAAGTCAGAGGTCATGCTCAATGACCAACTCATCTTTTTCATGACAAGACACGAGATTTCACGAAGCATATCAATCAAGTGAAGAGAGCAACGAGACAACCCAACAGCCATGGAGGCCATCACAGGGCAACATTTCTTCTTCCACGACCAGCCGGTAAGCCGCGCAATGGCCATAAAAAAGAGACAAAAACCATCATCTCTCCGCCACTTCATCATAAGAAACCATCATCAAAGCATATTCTAACCAACAAGTCAGGAACACGCTGCCGAAAAAGACTCTTGCCACTTCTGCCAGCTCCGCGCCTTTCCCATTCACCAAACCACCCCCGTCACCATCGTCAATGCCAAGGACCAGGCCGTCATCCCGCCCAACTTCCGCTTCATAGACCGCATGGTCCTGGGCCAGGGCGTGGAGCCAGCTGAGGATAGTTTCCGCAGCGGATGCTCATGTGAAAGCGACAGCGAGTGCCAGTACATGGGATGTCTCTGCCTCGCCGACCTAGGGGAGGAAGAGGGCAGCAGCAGCGATGAAGACGAGGACATTCACGCGAATGGAGCCAATGGTGATGGACCAGAAGCAGGGCGGAAGGACAAGGTCAAGCAGAAGAGAAAGGCCTATGCCTATCACACCCACGGGGCTAAAGCAGGGCTTTTACGGTCCAAGATGCTCAACTCCAAGGAGCCGCTGTACGAGTGCCACGCGGGCTGCTCATGCTCCAAAGACTGCCCCAACAGGGTCGTCGAACGCGGGCGAACCATTCCGCTGCAAATCTTTCGTACCGACGACAGAGGATGGGGTGAGTCACTTTAGCTACTCACCAACAGCATCTTTCCTTTGAGCGTGTTCGCTAACCCCTCAACCAGGAGTCCGCACCCAAGTGGCCATCAAAAAGGGCCAGTTCGTCGACCGCTACCTCGGCGAAATCATCACCTCCGCCGAAGCCGACCGCCGCCGCGCCGCCTCCGCCGTCTCCAAGCGCAAGGACGTCTACCTCTTCGCCCTCGACAAGTTCACCCACCCGGAGTCGCTGGACCCGCGCCTCAAGGGCCCGCCGCTCGAGGTCGACGGCGAGTTCCTCTCGGGCCCGACGCGCTTCATCAACCACTCGTGCGAGCCCAACCTGCGCATCTTTGCGCGCGTGGGCGACCACGCTGACAAGCACATTCACGACCTTGCGCTGTTTGCGATTCGCGATATTCCGAGGGGGGAGGAGTTGACGTTTGATTATGTTGATGGGGTGACGGAGGATGGGGGCGGGATGGAGGGTGCGAGTGCGGGGGATATGGCAAAGTGTTTGTGCAAGAGCCGGAAATGTAGGGGATACTTGTGGTGAATCTGTCCATTTTTCCTTTCTCATCGCTTTTATTTCTTTATTTAAAGCTAAACACATAGGCAAATGTGCCTTTCCATCTGTGACGGATAGATATAGATACGCGGTGAATGTATCCCGTAGGGCATGGTCAACTTCTACACGAGGCCGAACAAAAGCAGCACAAGTATCCGTCCGTATCCTGAGATTTTCAACTATTAAAACGGCAATCTGCAGAATATTCTTGTTACGGGACACACGCCAATAATTAAAGTTCAGCGGGAGTTCCTGTTTGGCGGCATTAGTACGCCGTTGGCCTCAACATAACTCAACGCAACACAGCTCACCTCCCTACGACTTCTCCTCTTCGCATCTATTCACTACCTTCAAGGCGGAACAACGGGCAGCTTTATATCTTCACCTGGAGACCCGTTTGCAGCCAAGGCTACATGTCCAAAGCGTCTGTGTGCTTTACCGTCGCCGAACACGCAGGGTGTAGAGCATATGCCCGGATGCGGTCTCGCCATGTCTACGTCCACCTCCATGTGGCGGTTTCTTTACAGGAGTATAAAGTGAGCTAGGAGAAGCTTCACTTACATGTGGGAATAGAAATACAGAGTATAAAAGCTCTACATTTCTTACACAGTCTTACACAATGAGCACGCCACCTAGTAGCGACCGCATCTCTTCTTCGCCTCCTAGCCCTGTGGCTCTCACACTCCGCCGTCGAGAACGAGACGAGAGACGACGCCGGGAAGAGCAGTATTCGCACGGCCGGCCTCTTCCCTCGCAGAAGCTATGCGGCAATGAAGAGTGCGTGTTGCGCTGCTGCAACGTATTCAAGACGAGCCGCTTCTACCTGCCCGACTACCTCCTGGGTGACAAGGAACGAAGCGTGGACGATATTTTAGTAAAGGACATCCAGACGCATTTTGCGTACCTCGCAGCTACACGGATATGGCCCTCCATCGAAAAGCAGAGCGATGTGTTACTCAAAGCACAGTCGATTGAGGCCTTTGCTACCTCGCCACCCGTGAGAGCAGCGTATCTCGACTTTCGATATCTCTGCCAAAAGAACGACCTCAACTTTTCCATAGAGTCCCGCTTACGAGAAACGCTCTCCGTGACGATGCCTCGGTTCCGCAGCCTCATCGAGACGTTGGACACGGCAAGATTAGACGACGACTACACCGAGCTGGTCGTCCATCGTACGCTGCAGCCTCCTCACCAGGCTGACAAGGCAGTACAAACAGACAGGCCGCTGCCATGGACGCAGGAAGGGTGCGTGATGCGTTTCTTGCTGACGATTGAGCTCTGGCGATGCCACGACGAGAGATACATGCGACAACGCGGCTGGGCGTGGAAGCCGTGGATCGTGGCCGAGTTGCTTTCGGCGGTTCTTCTGCATTATTGGCTGCTGGACAGGGAGAAGTGCTTCGAGAGGGTGCCTTGCCGAGGTAGTGAGCAGTGTGACGAGGTCTGGCAGGATTGGCTGGACAAGTATCCGCTGCTGCTGGGCGACTCGAGTCATGACGATGATGAAGATGAGCCGGATCAAGGCGATAGCAAGAAGAGCCCGGATCTGGTGCCCAAACCAATTGGCCTCATTAAAGGTCTGGATCTGGAAAAGGACGTTGGATATGTTGGCGGCGTCGGGACGGCAGCTAGAGGGCCGTTATGGAGGGACATGAGGCAGAAGCACGGAGATGACGGGCTGCCACAGCATTGAGAGAGCCTTGGATATGCTGTAGTGCTTAGTTTTTGTTTGAGTACATATTTAGCGAATCGTGAGCCTTTTTTTTCTGTTTCATTAGTTTTCGCTGGCTGTGTTCGGCTATGAGGATAGAGGGAACTTTTGGATTGCCGAAAGGGACTGGAAACATGGAAAGCCGTGCCGTTTGCGGTGGTCTGTGTGTCTTGACTGAGAGCGGTAAAATCCGGGCAGCCGGTAATTGACGGCATTCAGAGCGTCACTAAAGAATAACAACAACAATACAATAATAATACCCTTTCATTTTTTGAAAATTCCGTTATCAGTTTGCATGAAGAAAGAATTCGGCAACGGACGCCGGGAAAAGGGATTTCGGCGTGAGTGGTATCGGTGGTCACACGATTGTTGGCGCACCGCCAGGGGAAATCAGGCGATGGGTATGCAACAGTGCAACCACAAAATAAGCAGCGGCAGACGAAAGAGACGGCCTCTGCCGACGATGACAAGGGCAAGTACCGAAGAGAGAGATGCTAGTTAGCTAGTTTGAGAGAGATTTTCAAAAGATGTGACAACACATGCATGATGCATACATGCAGCCAGTTTCAACTCCTACTCACTCATACATTCCAGCGGCTTACTCTCTCACCCTCACCATCACGAACAACGACTAAGACTCGGCCATGTAACATACACAAGTCCTGTATATTGCTCTCGTAAATGAAACAGCCTCTCATAACCTCGGACCAAGCTTGCAAGGCTCCCTCCTTACCCCACAAGGTCCGCCCATCAATGCCACCCTCCCCGCGTTCTCCCGTCGAATCGGACGCCGCGGCTAATTGGTCCCATCTCGCTCTAATGGTTCGACCAGTGGCTCTACTATACATCGAGGTATGGCCACCCCAAACCAAAAAAGAAACGCACATGCCACGCCAATGTGACGGAAGGGAAATTGGGGGGACATAGGACACAGTTTTAGTCCCCGGGGCACTTTCTCACATGATTTCTTGTTTTCTTGCGTGTAGTTAAGGAGGAGCTGAGCCACTCTCTCCCTTTTTTGAATATAGACCTGGTGGCGTAAGCTACGAAAATAAATTCGAGGTGTTTTAGACGAAGCTTCTCTTTACACACTGAAGCTGCTGCTGCAACCATCACCAACGTACCACATACAACACAATAACAACACCACATAATACGAGTAATACCTCGCTCGAACTGTTGCAAAAACACTCTCGCCTCTATTTCATAACTTAAATACTACGAACAAATATGAATTCGACAGTCAGAGGCTTCTCAACCGCCGCAAGAGTGCACCCGCCCTTTTTGCCACATCTCCGCCCATCGCCGCGCCGAGCCCCGATCCGACGCTGGTAAGCACTCTCTCTCTCACGTCCCCCATACCAACATCCCATATCAACAAAAAGACACCAACAAAACAAAACAAAAAAAAAAAAAAACCATAAAAAAATAATGCTAATAAATAATCCATCAAAAAGGCTAAAAACTGCCGCCGTCATCACCGCCGTCGGATACGCCTCAAAGACCTACTTCGACGCCACCCGCGCCCAGCGCCGCGAAACCGCCCTCGCCCTTGAACATGATTCTGCCGAGAGGCAGCGCATGATGGAGAATTTGTATGGTGGGCGGGAGAGCTTGGAGGATTTGGAGAAGGGCGTTGCTGAGTATGGCAAGCGGTAACTACTGAAGAAAAAAAAAACAACAACAAATGGGAAAAATTAAATAAGTTCAAGGGGGCGAGGGTGTTATTACACAAAAGCGGCGAGGGGATTTGCATCAGGGCTGAGGGTGCCCTTGAGCGAAGCATACATGGGAGTTTTATTATATACACTGGCTGGGCATTGCTATATTTCTTTTGTCTGATGGACTGAAAGGGAAATGGGGATTGGAGTTTTTGAGCCTGGCATTCATACATACCTATACATATACACATCCGCCGTGGCGGAGAAATTGAAGGCATATATGGCCTCATCGCCAACTTCATTACAGGTTCTCATCCTCGAATGCGAGTTTTTCCATACATTTTCTTTTCTCGTTAATACATAAACACAGGCGAGGCTCCATTCGCTGTGCATCGCAAACCTAGCACTTGAGGGCAAAGTTCCGCTATTCTTTGTTGACCGTTGCTAGCAGTAAGAACCGGTTTTAATGCTGCTCTCTCTCTCAGCTGCTCAGCTCACCCACCCGGGCTTGCCAATCCATGCCAGAAAATCATAATAGTCCTTCGCCAAACCCACTGCAGAAAGCGCAGCTTCATCTCCTCAATCCCTCATACTTCACTCCACCTTCGCAGTCAGCATTCACCGCGAGCAACAACAGATGCATGAAGCTCACCGTCTCATACCACCTTAGCAAAGTTTCCAACCCTCGTCTTCTCCTCATAAATATTTTCTCATGGACCACCGAGCTCTTTGCGCTTCATCTTGGATCTTGCAGACATGGCTTCCGACAACTTCCTCGCAAACCCTTTGGAAACTTGCGCCACAAATTTGGGCCTGTGCATCACCTCTTCCATATAGCCGTCCCAAGCCTCGTAAGAGATGCCTTCGACAAAATACTCAATAATGTGCTCCGAAAGGTCCTTTTGCAACGCATGGCCGTGCTCAAGTGCCTCATATCCGTCCGCAAAATCTCTCATTAGCGCCTTTTGCTGCTCCTCATCCGAGAACGAGCGAAACAAGGCACGGTGACCGTCTCCGATGCTCGTTTTGATGCATTTGAGCATAAATTCGCCCATCTGGGTGCTTAGAAACCGATCGCATAGCTTGTACACCTCTATATAGTCCCGGAGAGGCGTGCGCAGTGCCTTAGCCTCGGGATTCATAGAGGGGGCCGGGGGCGTGTGCGGCATGATGGATGAGTAGCTGTATGCTACGCCTAGGTAAAAGGCCAAGTACCGGGGCTCGATATCATCAAAGCGAACCACGCCATCCGACTCGGTGAATGGCTTGCTCAAGCAGGTTTCAAAGTATTCCGAATGCTGCTTGAGGACACTCGTGTGGACCTTGAATGTTTCGTTTTTGCAGATAATTTCAACTGATGGCTCGTCGGATCTGTGTTTGGTCCTTTAGTTAGTTTTAGCTGATAGTTGGGAAAGAGTGGCATAGGCAAGACTGCTTGTTTTGGAGACAGACGATAGGAGGAGGAATAGAAGGGGACAACGGCATCAGAGTCACCAAAACGATGCTAGGTGGGAAATGGAAACGGATACGTACGCGAGGAGCCAGGCGGTGCGATAATCAGCGAGGAGCACCGACGTGGTTCTATCATCGGACTGCGCGGCTCTCGGCCTCTTTCTCGCCGGCGCCATAGCAAGCAGCAGACGGCGTTAAATGCTATCGATGGGGTGGTATTTGCTATAGATGAAGAGATGGAATAGCTTGTGGTGGAGAGAGGTGCGTGACTCTTTGGTGGTGGGTGTGAGCCTTGGTGGGAGTGAAAGCTGAGATGTGTGCCTGAGTAAATTCTTAACCGCCTGGAGATATTTAATCCGCGGCCAGAGCGTTTCGGAGCTCAAACGGCCATCGTTGACTACCCCGTTACGAGGGTAAAGTGAATGGTTGATAATGGCCCCCCCACGGAGGGTGGTGGGTGAATCCCCTTTTGCTGGAGCTTCGATCGAGGCATTCCGGAGGGCCAGCTGGCTGACAGTTGTCAGAGAAACATGCCAGCTCACACACGTCTCTAACATAGTATCGTGGGCGTTTAAATAAAAACCACCACATTTCAGGGACCATGGCCTCCTTGGTGTGCTCCGCCATTACCGTGCCCTGACCTTGCGAATCACCACCTTGCTTCCCTCCAGGTCCCAGCCAACCCCGTCAGCCTGCTTCAGGTCCAACCACTTTGATCCCGTTGTCTTTTCCAAAAAATCCAATTCGACAGACAAATACGTTCTTCCAAAGCATTTGAGGGTGTGCATTCTCACATCCCCTTCCGCCCACTCCATAATCTTTGCCCGATGCCCATCTACACTCCGCTTCACTTTCTGAAACACGACATAGTTGTCGTGCGTCAATGCTGTGAGTGCCGCGTTTACTTTGGAGTCCTTCAACTCATATCTCTTTCGCAGAGCAAAGGCTTCTGCCAACTCCCCGCGTCGACAAGCCGTATCTAGTACCAGGTAGCCTACTACCTCTTGCAGTTCGACAGATGTGAGGGGCTGCTGCGGGTGAATCGAACGCAGCAGGTGAAGAATGGCTGGGTGATAGGATTCGGGATGTTTGACTAATATGGAGAGTCGAATGCAGAAAAGATAGGCCTGTGCAGCGAAATCATCAGCCCGCTTCGTGGCGACAATGCCCTCTCTAAGTTTTCGTAGAGCCGCCATGACATCGGACAGAGCCTTGGTGTTGGCAGGGTTCTGAAGCTTTTCATGATCGACTGTGGGTAGAACAGGTCGAGAGCTAGCGGGAGTCGAGCCTGGTTTTGATGATGATATTTCCAGTGACGAGAACCTCCGAAGGAGTTCGTCCCGCTGACCTGCATCGGAGCAAAACGTCATGTAGCGCTCCACTATCTTGGTGTAGTAGTTCTCTTGAGTCTTGAGGTCCAGTAACCTGGTATGTAGTGGTTAATAACATGACTTTGGTAGGTAGCACACGTATAAACCATCAATGAATTCACCTGGTGTCGCCCTTGGATGGGAGCCCGATGCTTTCCAAGGGGTCTTGCTCCACGGGCTTGAGGCGGCCCCACGGGCCCGATGAATTTCTACCGCCTCTATTCGGCATTATGAAATGGGCATGGATATGAACATGTATTTGCAGAGAGACAAGACAACTGGAAGTAAACCAAAGGCTTAGTAGACGTCGCTTACAGTGAGTGAGAAGTGCAAGTAAAACAAGGCGAGATGAAGTTCCCCGCCAGGGCAGCTGCAGGCAGTGGGGATTCAGGTTATCTAATCAGCACGCATTTGATACTGCGGGAGTGCAAGAGCAACCACGACGACGCTTCATGCTTGAGCCTAACAAATCTTGCAGAATATTAATGGAAAATGAACAATAAACGATAAAAATACAAATCACATGTAATGAACAGGGAGTACAATTATCATCATTCTTCATGGTGGGATTTGGTCATATAAATGTACAACTCTTACACATGAGGCTCCATCTCTTAAAGACTAGCTCATTGCCTATACCATGCATGATGCCCTGCACATTCACATCGATCCAGAGGTTGGTTGACATGCAGCACAGCTTATTAAATATGAAATATTCGAGACACCGTTTATTTGGCCCCAATTCGGCCAAGATGCCGTCGTCGTATCGGATTACCCCAACTGCCAAGAAGCTGCGGGAAACATCGGCAGAGAACCACTGCAGGGGCAAAATCATCGGCCGAGGCTATGTCTGCTCACACGATCAGTACCAAGGATTGAACGCATCAGCATTATGTACAAGTTTGTAAAAATTATCAAACTCCAATTTCCGGAAATGATGGTTAAATAAGCGGTGTATGCATTCCCGCACCCCGTGCACAGATCCATGTGGTCACTCTTATAGGAGTCCAGTTCTGAATGGCCTCCCGCGCCGGGCCGGCTCAAAAGTACCTGCATTGGAAGAAATCGGGACGGCAAGCCCCATCTCGAAATTACTAACTACTCCAAATACCCACAATCATGGCGATGCCATGCGGAGTACGAGAACAAGAGAGAAAGAGAAAGGGAGAGAAGAGCTATTGGAATGAGGTATGGTGCAAATTGTGTGCTTTGCTATATGCGTGGCCGTGCGTGAATAGGTAGACACGACACAGCAAATGCGTCTTGTTGAGCTCAACTTTGAACAAACCAATGCCAACAATTGACATCATACGTAAGTAAATAAGCATTGATGTAATTAAAAACAAGTGACTGGCTGGTCAACAAAGTCAAGTACAGCAAACCAATGAAACCGCCGCCATTCACTCCATAAGCAGCCTCGTCCCGCATGTTTCCGTGGCCTTCCCCGAAGCTTCGGCTACGACAGGAAGAAGCTTGCCGGCAAAGAGGAGCAGCTCTGAGGTCACACGATTTGGAGCTATTGCCAGCGCCCCGCCCGTCCCCTCTTAGTTTCTACATCTACATCAGATCTGCCATCGCCATCTCCAACTTCTTCTCTTCTCTTTTCTTCTTCTCCCTTCATCGTCATCCCTTGAGCCTCTGTGCCCGAACCAACGACTCCCAATTGCTTATCGCAGCAGCCCCCTGTAAGTCTCTCTCACAACGCCCCTGTTTTCGGCCCTGTTTTCTACCCTTTTTTTTGCCCCTCACACATCCCACGTTGCCCCTCCATCGGCGCATCAGCCCCACCATGATGTCTGTCTCAGCAGCTGCAAAATCGGCAGAGCATCCGTTGCGCGACAGGATATCGAATGATGGAGACAAGCTGGGAGAGGCAAGAATAGGGGTGATAAGGAGCACAATCGTCAATCCGAGACGGCGACCTGGTGATGGCGATTGCAATGGCCAGACCAGATGGCAATTGGACTGGACTGGACGACAGCACGCACGAGGCACATTACATCAAATGGCATGGAATGGAAACTCGCAGCCAATGATATCTCCACCTGTGACACGCTGATTGCGCTATCGACGAGCCGTGAGCCACTCAGGTCCGGCATTTGGAGCAAATCTCTCAGCTTGTCCCATCCGTCAACGGAGCTGCCCCTCCTTGGCCCTCATTATCGATAAACTCAGCCCGTCAATTACGCTGAGCCTTGTGGTTGAAAAACCCCGCGCTCTTACGAGTAGCAATTACCATCCAGCAATTCGCTTCCATTTTTTTCTCTTCCATTCTCATTTGATCCTTCACCGACCAAATCGTATTTATTAGGACGCCTCCATTGCTAACTTGTCCTCTCGCAACTTTTGCAGAACACAAATCCTTTACTCTCCTACGACCTTGCTTTAGTACAATTAACTCCAAATCCTCGCAAAAATGGGTGCTACCGAAGTCCTGAGCCGTAAGACCGGTGTCATCGTCGGCGATGACGTCCTGAGACTGTTCGAGTACGCTCGCGAGCACAAGTTTGCCATCCCCGCCATCGTAAGTTTGAAAACGAGTCTCTTTTAGCTCTCTATTAGAGGGATTTGCAGCTAACCAAGTGTCTAATTAGAACGTCACCTCCTCCTCCACCGTCGTTGCTTCTCTTGAGGCTGCCCGCGATGCCAAGTCTCCCATTATCCTGCAAATGTCCCAGGGTGGTGCCGCTTACTTCGCCGGAAAGGTATAAAAAAACCCTCATTGAATCTCTAGATTTCAACTGCGCGAACTCCAAGATGAAAACCGCTAACTCGCAATTAGGGTGTCGACAACGCTGACCAGGCTGCCTCCATCGCCGGTGCCATCGCCGGTGCCAACTACATCCGATCCATTGCCCCCGCCTACGGCATTCCCGTCGTCCTCCACACCGACCACTGCGCCAAGAAGCTCCTCCCTTGGCTCGATGGCATGCTGACTGCCGATGAGGCCTACTTCAAGGCCACCGGCGAGCCCCTTTTCTCTTCTCACATGATTGATCTATCCGAGGAGCCCGTTGACTGGAACATTGAGACCACCGCCAAGTACCTGAAGCGCGCTGCTCCCATGAAGCAGTGGCTCGAGATGGAGATTGGCATCACTGGTGGTGAGGAGGACGGTGTCAACAACGAGGATGTCGACAACAACTCCCTCTACACCCAGCCCGAGGACATCCTCAGCATCTACAACACCCTCTCTCCCATCTCCCCCTACTTCTCCATTGCCGCTGGCTTCGGCAACGTCCACGGTGTCTACAAGCCCGGCAACGTCAAGCTGCACCCCGAGCTGCTCGGCAAGCACCAGGCCCACGTCAAGGCTGCCATCAAGTCCGAGAACGACAAGCCCGTCTTCTTCGTCTTTCACGGTGGCTCTGGCTCCTCCAAGCAAGAGTACCTCGAGGCCATCAGCTACGGTGTCGTCAAGGTCAACATGGACACCGACATGCAGTTCGCCTACCTGTCCGGTATCCGTGACTACGTCCTCAACAAGAAGGACTACCTCCTGACTGCCATTGGCAACCCCGATGGTGACGACAAGCCCAACAAGAAGTTCTTTGACGTAAGTTATCCACTGCTACCTGCGAGACGATTCGTCGAGCCTAATGACTAACTGCCGTGTAGCCCCGTGTCTGGGTCCGTGAGGGTGAGAAGACCATGTCCAAGCGTGTCGCCGAGGCTCTCAAGGACTTCAACACTGCCAACCAGCTGTAAATGTCGTTTGCTTTGCTTAACAATGGGACATGGCTTTGAGAGTACATCGTGAGGACGAACCAAGCGTTCCGAATATTTTGTAGTAATCCTACCTACACCTCTAGAATACTCTACGTACCTATTGGTCTATTCAGAAGGAAAATGGGCACCGCAAACCGGCTTTTATGCGTTGGGAAAATGACGAAAAAAAGAAAGAAAGAAATGATACCAAAAAAAGTTGACAGAATTCAATGGTTGAAAATCCAAAAGAAAAAAAAAAGTAATTTTCATCTCTACATTAAAAATGTTTAACTCTCCCGTGAAAACCGTAGTGTACTCAAAAAGGTGGCTAGTGACCCATCCATCATGCCTCATTTATTCCCTTCCCCCCTTCACACAAAACACATCCAAAAAGGTCCCGTAATATTTCGCCCAAGACAACTGCGTTCTTGATTTAGCCCTCGCAGTGCCTTTTTTTCCCAATTGATGCCCTCTTTTGTTTTTTTGGTTGCATATATAAAAGTATATATAGAAATCGAAACGCGCCGTCTATTGTACCTTTGCTCATACGTCGAGTTTATTACTGACCCAAGAGCGTTGTTTCGATCTGCGCAACCTGCTCGTCGGTGAGCTGCTCGGCCTCTGCTTTGGCCGCCTTGGCGGCGTCGAATCTCCACAGGCCGCCCGTCTTGTCCTTGTCGCCGTCGAGGGGCACGCCGGCGGCCTTGCCCAGCAGCGCGAGGGTCTCGTCCTCCGCGACGTTGTTGAAGTACCTCCGCTCCCAGGGCTGGCCGTCGGCGGCCTCCTTGGAGCGCTGGGTTCGCTGGGCCTGCTCGATTTTGGTCTTCTCGACGGAGACGGCGTCCATGTCGCCCTTTTGAATGGCCTCGGCGACCTTGCTCCACGCGCGGCGGGACTCGAGGGGGTGCTGCTTGTCGAGGTCTGCGAGGGCGAGCTTGGTCTGCTCGGTGCCGGCGGCGTCGTAGGTGGACACGAGGGTGGACTTGGAGTTCTTCTTGGCGGGGCCCTGGTAGATTTCGAATTCCTTTGTCCACTGGCCGGTGACGTTGTAGAGGACGTCCTTTTCGTCGCCGGTGGGGAAGACGGAGGCGATGACTGTGTTCTTCTTACCGGACAGCCAGCCCTTTCCGCTGTAGTCGATCTTGGCGGTGTAGCCGCTGGAGCTGACGATTGTGCTGGAGCCGTCGAGCTCGACAAAGGGGGCGCCGAAGATGAGGCCCTCGATGTGGAGCGAGGGCAGGGTGATGAGGTAGCGCTCCAGCTGCTCCTTGTTCTCCCCGACGGGGACGGTGAGCACGGCGTGGCCAATCTGCTTGACGATGATTGTGCTCTTGAACGTGGCCTTTTGCGCGTTGTAACCCTCGAGCTGGATGCCCGTCTTGTCGTTGCGCACGCAGTAGGCCGTCGCGGGCGGGTGGTGGCTGACCTGCTCGGAGATGAGCGTCGTCTTGCCCGCCTCGTCGTTCCAGCTGCCGAGGAAGAGCTCGCCGAGGAAAGGGTTCAGGGGCTTCTTCTCGTTGCCAAACTGCTCGCTGCGGCTGGCGTACTGGTGCTTGAGGGTGGAGAGGAACCACTTGAGGACCAGCATGGCGCGCTTCGCGGGATCGGCCTCTGCGGCGGCGGCAGTGAGGATGGGCGGGTGGGTGGCCCAGTAGGAGGAGAACTCGGTGAGGGACTGGGACGAGAGGATGAAGGGAGGGGCGGTCAGGGAGGAGAGATCGCCATTGAAGGAGGCGATGGACTGCGGGTTTCGACGGTTAGAGGAGAGAGATTCTTTTGTTTGCGCAATTGAGGGTGTGATGGGGAGTTGGTAATTACCTTGAGGAAGGCCGACCAGCTGCCACTGTTTGCTTCCGCCATTTTGAAATGATGCTGTTTCTCGCTGAGGTTTGGTGAGGGTCAAGAGATGGGAGGAGAGGAAAAGTCGAAGATGCTGTTGGCTGTGCAGCGTGGGGTTGGTTTTCGACTTGTTGGACACAGGAGGCTTAAAGACGGAAAGCTAGTTGAGCGCTAGGCGGAGTTGATGATTGCGACTAAAAAGGATAAAATACTCGGTAGCTGGAGCAAGAGGAAGAAATACAGGAAATAGATGAGATGAAAGGAAAAAGAGGCAGCTAGAAGGGAGAAGAGGGAATGCGGACTTTGTCTCAAGAGGTTTTGAGATGAGCTCGTTGGGGTTGGAATTATTAAAGGAGGCAAGCCCACAATCCGGGTGTGTGCAGACAGGCCTGTTTTGGGACTAGCAAGTGATTGGGGTACGTTGTATATTTTTGGTTGACATGACACTCGAGATCAATGCTGTTCATGCAGCTGCTTGGATGCAGAAATACGGTATGGAATTACAGAGTAAAAGCAGGGATTGCGGGCGTTAAAGAGCATGCGTATTCCTCCATTGGAAGCTCGAGGCGTATCATTCAATGCAAGGAACCCTCCAGCAACGACATCATTGGGCCGAGGCGGCGAGAAGCAGAAGCAAAAGCTGCAAATGCCCTGGAAAACGCTGCTCCAGCACGTCACTGACTTTGGCCACGCGACAAGCCGCCATCGTCATCAGGGGAGATCGATGTACCGGACTGGGTGCGTGCCGTGTGGGGTGCGTACCGCAGCAAGGCAAGGGCAAGCGCTGGAGCGAGTTGCGATTGGGCGCGGGTTTAGTGGACATGTAGACTAACTCGTAGGGCCCTAAGCGTGCAGCTGGCTGGGGGGGCAGGGCAGGGCTGGGCGGAATACGAGTACGAGAGAGAGCGGTTCGGAGTTGGTGTCAGCTCGACTGCTTGTTTACTCCGGGAGGAGCTCCGGACTTTTTGCATGGGTGATGAATGGATTCAATGTAATGTTCTTTTGCAGCTATGAATGACACGAGATGATCATGCTTGACAAAGGACCCCTGAGAGAGTGTAAGATGCTTATTGTTGTGCCAAGGACCGACCCGTTGGTTGGCAGTTTGAGGCTGCCTCTTTTTTCAAATTAGCAAAGCTGCATGTACATGGTGGTACCTCAGCTCGATGTCTGTTGTCCAAATAGGAACTTGGAAGACTTGGCGGAAATGGGTTTCACAGCTGCCAGACCCCTGTTACAAAAGATTCCAAGGTTCCCAAAGCTGCGCCAACAATTTGCAGACTCGGTCCCAGTTTCGGTCATCTTCTGACACTCGCAGCAGAAGCCAGCTGAGGCCTCAAATCAACGTGATTTCATAACAAGGCAGTGCTTTCTTGATAAACGATGCTATTTCAAATTCACCCCGGCTTGAGAACCAAGGTGCAGCAGCGCTTTCAAACTTCAACGTAACCTCAGCCTGCTAGGTCGGCTAGTACCCGTGAGCTTTCAGGGTGCTCGCGTGAGCTTGTCTCAGCTGCTGCAGGGACGCAACTGGGACGGGCTGCACAGAAAATGTGATTGAGCCTGGGTTACAAGAATCCTACTTGAGCAGTCACATGGATAAATACAATGGCATTGAACTCTGCAATTCCCATAATCGATAATACTGTATTGATCTCAGATGCTCTCGGAACAAATCCATCTTCAATTCCATGTACCACCAAGTACCCCAGCGGCCCTCCCTGGCGGGTCTACGTTGGTCCGAAAATCGCCCCTGTTGTTCCGGCACGGCGCCGTCTCTTATTGAACTTTGGCCCCATCATGCCATCCGCCTTCGAGGTGCTCGCGTCACTCTCAACTCTCCGAGCCTCTCCATCCTCGCAGTGACATTTGCGACAGACGCACAGCCCAGCGAGCCGCGTCACCGCCTGAAACGCTTTGCCTAGGCCGTTCTTCTTCATTTCCCACATAGTGGCGGGAATCCTGTGGAAAGGCGCCACTCCAACAGCGGAAGCTGTGGGTGGCTCCAGTAAACCGGAGTCCATCATGTCGCAGCCTCCCGGACAGCCTCGCCTTTCACCTCAGTTTTGCTTCTCCTTTGGCACGCTTCGCGGTATGTAGACTCTTGGGGTGGCAATGTGGCTCGGCACTGTACTTATTATTGTTATTCAGATTTCCTGCGGCTGTCTCGATCGTCAATAGACGACTCCATCACTCAGAATCTCAATGCTCTGGTAACACCGGCTCGGACGGGCTTCGACCCTAGCTCAACTTCAAAACGTACCCCGCGATCCTTTGCCGAGCCGATCGACCCCGAAGCATGCCAGTCGTTCAAAGAGAAGGTCTTGTTTCCTTCGTGGAAGGCTAGAGCCGAAGTACTCAGCTATTGCGGGATCGTTGCCACCAGCCCGGACCCCGATGACCCCGAGGCTACTATTTTAGAACTGGAAAAGCAGAGAGACCGCGAGCGGATTGTTGACGAAAGACTGGATCCGTATTCAGGACGATTCTTCCCCCGAGAAGCTCGCACTCAGTCCCTTGCCCTCCTGATGCGACAGGAACGAGCCGTAGAGAACATTGTCCGCAGCAGGACTTGGGATGTCATCCAGGGAAGATGCGGTACCTCTAGCCAGAGCTGGCAAGATGCCATGAGCAATTGGGAGGCTGCACAGAAGCTCAACAAAGGTGATGGCAACCCGACTTCATCATGACACCGGATGTGACAAGAACCAGCACCAACTTGGGAGTATGGATTAATGATGCGGCATGTGCTTGTACGATTTTGAATGCGAAAACGAACATATGGATTGGAATATAGACGCCAAGCTTGTATATAAAACAAAAAGTGTACTCGTACCACCTATTACTACGAGGCCAATGTGCACTCTGTACAATATGAAACCCCCCTACCTTTTTATGTTTGTCTCTTAAACAACTTTATAACTTCTTTGTGCATTTCTTTCCTCGCACAGCATGTAACACCATTGATGTTATCCCAGTCGAGTCTTTACAGTGCCTCTTTGTTGAATTGAATCAACTCTGGCCACCTGCAGCCGAATCGTTCCCTCCGAATCAAGCCCACAGCTACCCCGCCAAAAGCTGCCTCTTTGTCTCGGGTTTTGGAGCCTCGAGATGGTGGGGCATTTGGCATTTGGCCTCGTTCGAGTGGAGGAACCCAACTCCGAAGTCCCGCCGGCCAGCGTCCAGTCTTGCTGCGCCGATTTCTGGCCTCCAATCAAGCACTGCAGGCATCCGTACAACTTCTGACGAGAACGCGCAACCGAAGCTCGAGACGGCTGTTGACGAGGGGCGAAATTCGACTTCTTCACTAGTGCAGAGGACAGGAATTCTCGTGCATTGTCAACCTGGGAGCGGCCATTTGTCCTTTTGACTCTCGAGCCACGCGACAAGAGCAACAGCAAACCACCTTTCTTTTGGGCTCGCCTCGACTTGACAGGCAACATCCGTCGCTACCTGATTGGCTGCATTTCGAGTCGAAATCAGAACCTACCATCGACCAAACATCGAGTGATTCCATCGAGCTACTGCCGACAAATTCGTCACGATGCCCCAACCACTGGCGCCGAAAGAAGCGGCGCAGTTCCGAACCATCATCCGCAGCTTCGAGGACAAGCAGTACAAGCGAGGTCTGAAGACGGCCGAGATGATCCTTAAGAAGCACCCCAAACATGGAGACACGATGGCTATGAAGGCGTTGATTCTCAACAGCCAGGGAAAGTCAGACGAGGCTTTCCCTCTCGCAAAGGAGGCCCTGACGGTCGACATGAAGTCCCACATCTGCTGGCACGTCTACGGTCTCCTGTATCGATCAGTCAAGAACTTTGAGGAGGCTATCAAGGCATACAAATTTGCTCTCAAGCTCGATCCTAGCTCTGCCCAGATCCAGCGAGATCTTGCCATCCTCCAGGTGCACGTTCGTGACTACCAGGGATACATCCAGAGCCGGACAGCTATGCTCCAGGCGAGGCCGCAGCTGCGCTCCAGCTGGACGGCATTGGCTATTGCGCACCATCTGGCTGGAAGCCTTACAGAGGCGGAAAAGGTTCTCACCACATACGAAGAGACGCTGAAATCGCCCCCTTCTCGGTTCGACGTTGAGCATTCCGAGGCAGTCATGTACAAAAACTCCATCATTGCCGAGCAGGGTGACTACCAACGAGCCCTAGACCACCTGGAGACTGGTGCCAAGCACAACCTCGATCGACTGGCGGTGCTGGAATGCCGTGCCGACTACCTCCTCAAGCTGGGGCGCAAGGAGGATGCTGTCAAAGCTTACCGACTCCTCCTCGACCGTAACTCGGAGCACACTCTTTACTATGAGAAGCTGGAGGAGGCCATGGAGCTCTCTCCTGACGATGTGGTCGCACGAAAGGCTATTTATGACGAGTATGCTGCCAAGTACCCTCGTTGCGACATTGCTCGACGAGTCCCACTCGACTTCCTCAGCGGTAAGCAACTGAGCCCCGTTCAAAAACGATGATTGATGGATACTCTTGAGAGGAAGAAGTTTTTTTTTTCTAACAATTTTTCTTGTAGGTGATGAGTTTCGACAGGTTGCAGAATCATATCTGACCCTTGTGCTGAACAAGGGAATCCCCTCTCTTTTTGCCAACCTGAAGCACCTTTACTCTGATTCGTTCAAGAAGGATACTCTGAGAGAGCTCGTTGAAAAGTACCTCACATCCCAAGACGTCGACTCTGAGAGTAAAGACAAAGGAGAGGCCGCCGCACTTTACTACCTGGCTCAGCACTACAACTACCACATGAGTCGCGATTTGGCAAAGGCGCGCGAGTATGTTGATCGTGCCATTGAAAAGGATCCCAAGAGTGTCGATTTCCACATGACCAAGGCCAGGATATTGAAGCATGAGGGCAACATCAAGGAGGCGGCAGAGATGATGAACCAGGCCCGAAGACTTGACTTGAAGGACCGATACATTAACAGCAAGTGTGCCAAGTATCAGCTTCGAAATAACGAGAACGAGAAAGCTCTCAAGACCGTTGGCCTATTCACACGAGCAGAGACCGTCGGTGGCCCCCTTGCAGACCTTTTGGAAATGCAGTGCATCTGGTTCTTGACGGAAGATGGAGAGGCCTATGCTAGACAAGGAAACACTGGCCTTGCTTTGAAGCGATTCCACGCCTTGAACAACATCTTTGAGGTTTGGCAGGATGACCAGTTTGATTTCCACAGCTTTTCACTCAGAAAGGGCCAAATCCGAGCTTATATCGACATGGTTCGTTGGGAGGACCATTTCCGGGATCACCCGGTCTACACGAGAGTGGCTCTTGATGCTATTAACCTCTATCTCAAAATGGCCGAAAAGCCCTCGGCCAACGGAACCAACGGGACAGATGAAGAGGATGCTCTCGAGAAGAAGAAGGCGGCCAAGAAGGCCCGAAAGGAGCAGCAGCGTCTCGAGAGAGAGGAGGCGGAGAGACAGGCCAAGCAAAACCCCAACAAGGGCGACAAAGCAGAAGATGCGAAGAAGAAGGACGAAGACCCTCTTGGCTTGACCTTGGCGGCGACGACAGATCCCCTCGGCGAGGCAATGAAGTTCCTAGGACCAATGCTGCAAGTGAGCCCGAAGAGCATCGACGCCCAGATTGTTGGATTTGAGGTTTACATGCGCAGAAGTAAGCAGCACTTGTCTTTGAAGTAAGAATGTTTGAAATAAGGAGATGCTAACAAGCCATTCTAGGTAAATATGTCCTTGCGCTGCAGTGCCTTAACCGAGCTCTGGGAATCGATGCCGAGAACCCGAGGGTGCACGAGCAGGTCGTTGCCTTCCGAAAGCTGCTCGACAACGCCCCGTCAGACCTCCCTCCCAAGGTTCTCGAAACCCTCAAGGCTGAATTTAAGCCTGTGGACGAGACTGCGGATCTGAGCAAATACAACGAAGCCTTCCAGGCAAAGCACCAGGCTAGCCCCCTTCATGTGCTCTCCGCCATCAAGGCCAGGCTACTGTTGGGTGTCGATGTTGCAAAGTGCGAAAAGGAGATTTCTAGCCTTATTGAACACGCGAGTGCAACATTTACGGATGCCGTAGCTGCGCTGGAGACGCTCAAGAGCTGGAGAAGCAAAGAAACAGACGCGTTCAGGACAGCAGCTCTGGCCAAATGGCCCAACGTTTCAAGACTATCCGAGTAGATTATCAAATGCGGTACCTAGTTGAACAAAAAATGGATAAAATAGGGGCACTGGTGAAAATTGAGGATGTGGTATTTACAAGTTGGTAATCTGATAGAGGCCCTTTTTTGGAGGAGGAGAATGAAACTGGCTTGGAAGCGGACTTTGAGATACCGGGATCTGGGTTACGCTTCACATTTACGCATCATGCAAATCCATCCGGCAGAGAGCCTGTTGACGGGCTTTCTGCGGATGGAAATGGTTTTCTCTGGGGAGTTTGATTTTGGAAGGGAGGACGGATGCATTATATAAAAGTTGGTAGGCATTTGTGGAGTTGAAGATCTGAAAGATGAAGGGAAGAAGATTCGAGAGGTGTTTTGCGTGTGCGTTGGGGGAGTGAGCAGTGACAGAGGCATTGCGTTGATGCGAGCGTTTTGCTGCAGAATGACGGACATTTATCAAATGCTTAGGTACTCACTTAGTGCTAATTTGTATTGGATCCCTCTTGGGTTAAAAAAAAAACAGTCAACATTACTGCATATTTGTACATACTCGCTACTACTGCCATAAAACAACAAATCTCTACTCGACAATTGAGATTCTTTCAAGCTCTGTTTGTCTTCACCTTCAATCTAGACAAACGCCAGAAACAGCGGGTGCTTATGCTGATTCATCCTGGCGCGATTCTCCGGATAGCGGCTGACTGGAGCACTGTGGAGCGCTGGAGCTCTTCTTTAGCGCAATCTTCCAGGAGCCTTATCCCTTATCGGGGCTGCTACAAGTTGCCGCGGCCGTTTTACAAGTCACTGCATCGCCAAGTTGAATCTTACGCGTGAAAGGGGCTTGAAGCTTCTCCCTTTTCTGCTTGCCGGCTTGTTCCAGCTAGTTGTCATTCCTTAGCCCAATATCTCACGCTCGCTGACATTTATCTTTTTTTACTCGTCATCCTGTCCCTCTCTCTCCTCTATCTACAGGTTTCTCTTTTGTTTCTGTTACCCTGTCGTTTGCTTCTTCGATTCACTCCTTGTTTAGCGAAAGCTAGCTAGCGAGCTTCAATTTCCCAAATCCACGGACGCTCGGGTACCTCGGCCGCCGAGACTCGTAACCCCCCAAAATCCTCGATGCAGGACCCCGTGCGACTTGCGAGTATTGAGAACGGCGCAAAGAAGATGGTGGCCTCTGAAGCAATTGGAATGCGCCTGGGCCTGGGGGGCAACAAGACGCTGACGATTGGCGAGAAGGATCTCGTTCTTTTTGGTACGGAAGCAAAGAAAGACATGCCGTGATTCTGGCTGGGATTTAGGGCTGACAATGTGTATTCGATAGATCCCGATGGAAAGAAACACAACAAGTCATCCAATGGCAAAGCTTCTTCCGGCAAGCAGCTCCTCGACGACCTCTCCTGCTTCAATTGCTTACCACTCGGAGGTGCAGATGGCAAGGGGAAACACACGATTCCACTGTATAATGTTCTCTGGGCTGAATTGCGTGACGATTCTCTTGTAGTGGATTACGCGGCACCGCGGAAGTCGTCGCTGAAGTTGCAGAAGTGGACGTTTGCGCTCCCCACTCCAGAGGTTGAGGCTGACGGCCCGTCACCCGAGACGTTTGTGTCGGCGCTCATTGCGGCCGCGTATGGTGAAGCAAAGCCGCGAAAGCGTGCATATGTGCTTATCAACCCTAACTCGGGACCTGGAGGAGCGGTGGGCAAGTGGAAGAAGCATGTCAAGCCAATTTTTGATGCTGCCAGGATGGAGATGGATGTGGTGAACTTGAGCAGGGGCGGAGAGGCGACGGAGCTTTCAGAGAAGGCGGATCTTGACAAGTACGATACCATCATGGCACTTTCGGGAGACGGAACGCCATTTGAAATCTTCAATGGGCTTGGGAAGAGACCTGATGCTGCGAAGGCGTTAGCTAAGATTGCCGTGAGCCACATTCCTTGCGGATCAGGCAATGCGTTTTCGCTGAACTGCAATGGAACCAACGATGCTGGACTGTCGGCCCTAGCAGTTGTAAAGGGCGTGGTGATGCCGTTGGATCTCGTGTCCATCACACAGGGTGATCGACGCATCCTCTCGTTCCTGTCTCAGGCTCTGGGACTCATTGCCGAAAGTGACCTGGGCACGGAAAATATGCGCTGGATGGGCAACACGCGCTTCGAAGTTGGCTTGGCGACGCGCGTTTTTAAGAAGAAGTCGTATCCGTTTGACTTGTCTGTCAAGCTGGAGATTGAGGGCAAGGAGATGATCAAGCAGCACTACAAGAAATATGCTTCTGATTCCGCTCTTTTGAACGTGGATGCTGAGGTTGCCGCGGCTGGTGAAGAGGGCTTGCCGAAGCTAAAGTATGGGACGGTCCAAGATGAGATTCCGGGAGATTGGCAGACGGCGTCTCATGACAACATCGGCACATTTTATGTTGGAAACGTAAGTCTGCAAGATGAGGAGTATACTGTAAAGGTAACAAGAGCGCTAACACAATGGTGATAGATGGCTTACATGTCGCCCGACGCCAACTTCTTCACTGCCGCCGTGCCCACGGACGGCCTCATGGATCTGGTCATGATTCCCGCGGATATCTCACCCGTGGCCGTCACCAAGGCTCTTCTCGCTGTTGAATCGGGCAAATTCTTCGATAATCCTCATGTCACGTACAAGAAGATCTCGGCGTACCGCATCACCCCGCGGAACCAAGAGAGCGGATACATCAGCATCGACGGAGAGCGCATTCCTTTCGAACCGTTTCAAGCGGAGATTCACAGAGGTCTGGGGCGCGTCATCTCGAAGAAGGGAGTGTATGAGGCGGAGGGCCCGGCCGGATGGGAGAAGGCATAGGAAGCTTTCTGCCGGACGGTGTGATATGGCATGTCTATTCAACGAAAATAAGGTGCAGGGTCTGAATGACCAGAGGATTCAAGCAGGCGAGCGGATTGATTGATGGATGTGTTGTTCACAATTTAAGAACGGATGAGGCTTTAATGAGGATGGGGATGGTCTCAGATGGATATTCCCCCTTCCTTTTCTTACTTACTTGCTTTTTTTTAAAGCCTTCGCTGTATGTTGCGAGGATGGATAGTATATACCCAGTTATTAGAGGGCGCTTCTGCCCCTAGGTTACACGTAATGGTACAAATGTTGAGGTTGATTTGACAAAGTTCAAGGCAGGCTCATTCGAAAATTAGAAGAGACTCCCTGATATGGAGATTATGGGAGGCCTCGTGATACGGGGTAATGGCAATGAGAGTGTTTCAAACATGGAGTAACGGAAAAGTATCTCTGGTGGAATATTGGGGATTGCGAGGAGATGGGTCTTGTTGAACTTACTCCTCTATTCTGATACGGTTTGGAAAGTTTATGAGATGGGGTTTGGTTGTGGCTTGGAAAGTTATATGGATTTGTGTTTCAGGGCGAGATTAAGTTTTATATATTTATATAGGTATCTAATTCTCCGTATTGTACCGAGTTTGTCTCGTATGATGTTTCTCCAGATGTACCATGTTTGATGTTCACCGAGCAGCATCTTTCTAAGTAATCTACTTGGTCTATTCGTATCGTTCAAGATACCAACGATGTTCTGTTGAAGCAGCCACTCAAGGCAACCAGAGATTTTATGGAGACGGTGATATCAAGTCAACACTCTTTTGGGATTATTGAACTAAGAGATAAAAAAGCCTTTGTAAAGGTGAGGGACAAAACAAGCCCCCAGAAAGACCGCAACCCATTAGAATGGCTCGCCCTTCACAGGGTGCTCTTTGTCAATCTTCCACCAAGTATGCGCCGCCTTCACTTTTTCGAGCGTGAATGTTGGCTCCTTTTTCATTTCCCCCCTTTCCTCGATCTCTCCCATTTCCCCGTGCCCACACAATTCCCCGTGCTTACACAATTCCCCGTGCTCACAAATATGCCCGGCCTTTTTCATTTCGTCTGCCTCACACATTTCATCGGTCTCTCCCCTCTTCTCACTCTGTCCCCCGTTCTTCTCTTCCTCTTCCTTTTGCTTCTTTCTCTTCTTTTCCTCTTCCTTCAGTCTCTTTTCCTCTTCCTTCTGGTGCTTTTCGAACTCTTTTTGCTCTTCTTTCTTTTTCTTCGCTTCTTCCTTCTTCTTCTTCTTCTCTTCCTTTTCCTTTTCCTTTTGCTTCTTCTTTTCTTCCTTTTCCTTCTTCTTTTCAGCTTCTCTCTGCGCCTTATCTCTTTCTTTTTGTTCCTTCTCAGCCTTCTTTCTAGCTTTTTCTTGCTCCTTTAGTTTCTTCTTTTCTGCTTTTCTTTTCTCTGCCTCCTTTCTATCTTCCTCTTTGCACATGGCCTGCACTTGGGGCCTGACCTTTTCTATATAGATTATTAGTTTTACGTTCCTGATAGTAGCGAGAAATAAGAATAAAATACGTACTCAAGGTCTTTTTGGCACCACATGTACTAAGGATGCATTTCTTGGCAGACTGTGCAATCTTTGCGCGCTGTTTGCACAGGCAAGGGAGATCATCAAGCTGGCAGGTGGATGCCGACTTGACGGCGATCTGAATGCAGGGAACAGCGCAGGAGGGCAGGCTGTCGATGCCGGGAGTGGTGGTGTTTTTGACGAGGTGTTCAAAGGAAACATCATTGTCGGATGGATCAACATGGGATGGAGTAACATCCTTGAGAGATCTGAAGTCGAAGTAAGGATGGGCAGATGCCAGTAAGGCAAACGCGGGAAGGAGGGCGAAGAGGTTCTTCATCTTGTATTGATAAAGGATTGTATTATTGGGAGGACTGAAGTGTCCAGCGAGATGGTGCGTAACGTTTGGAAAGAAAGGAGAGAAATGAAAAAGAAGAGGACCAAAGGCCACCTTTATAGTTGGCGAAGGGAAAAACAACTTTGGGATCGGCACTCGACGAAAGTCTATCAAAGATTCGTCGAAACTGATAATGTGGACAACTTTTACATTGTAACCCTACCCACATCTCGACTGGAGATCTGTTATGCCATAAATAAAGTCTCAGACTCTTAAAGTTACATTATATGTCGGTTAATTGGTGAGAATACTGCTCTTAATCCATATATCTCAAAGTATAGACAGGTACGTGTACCTACTATGAAGCATGTGACCAAGTTCGAAAAGTATTTTGTGAGCCACAGCGAGCAAATGGCTAGTGGAACCGAAAGAGACCGAAACTCTACATAGAACTTTTATTGTACTCGAAGAATAAATGGACACGTACGTGCTATGGATGATACAGTGGCGAAATGCTATAACGCAGAAGCAGAGAGATGTGGGTTGTCCATGTTTTGGGAGGACTTTGAGAAATGTCACGATCAACAGTTAGAGAGATCTCGTGCGTCAGGGTGGATATTTAATTTTTTCCATATGAGTGCGTGTAAGTTCATGAAAACCCATATTTAGTATGTAGCCAAGACGGCATACCGCTTAGATTGCTAGAGCTTTCCACATCACCATATATGGAAAACCGACATGAAGAGGTAGTCCAGAGCCAAGCCCACTAGCTTCAAATGCAGCCTCAATCGGACCGTGATCTTAGTCGCCAGCAGGCATATTATAGTAAGACTAGACCATTCTCAAGTTGGACCGCAGCGCGTCGTCGTGCATGTATCTAACCGAAAAAAAGGCACAGCCTTGACTTAGGGGTAAATCTGCCTTGGCCCGCAAGAGGCATCCTATGAGACCTACCCCTCTCAATAATTATCCATATGCAGTAGACATAGCATATCAATAATACACAGACTGTGGTGCCGATATCTAGGATAAAGAATCTGAATATGTCCTTTGAGAATCCCGAAGATGATCTGGGCGGCAAAAAAAATGATGTGGCCGCGATATCTTTGGTCAGTGGACAGGCTGAATCTGATACTCCTTTGTATCAACCACTTGATGATCGCTACATCCGTCTATTGAAGCTATTACCAGGCAGTGGCCCCGATCCTATCCGGATCCAACTACTATCCATCTCGCTGGAAGATCCAGGTCCTTATACGGCACTATCGTACGTATGGGGAGACGCCGAAATCGACAGACGGACAATATACTCAGGCGACACGGAGCAGCTGAGTGTGACAGCCAATCTCTTCCATGCTCTCTGTCGCTTTCGCGATGTCTCGGAAACGCGAACATGGTGGATTGATGCACTTTGCATCGATCAGAGTTCCATTTCTGAGAGAAACCAGCAAGTGAGGATGATGTTGGAGATATACACAAAGGCTGAAGAGACCGTCATGTGGCTAGGCGAAGATGGCGATCCGAACCTTGAAATGCTGTTCAAGGTGGCAAAGGCACGGCATGAATATGCCAGATCCAAACATATTATTGAACTACCAGGAGGGAAAACGCCAGTATATTTATACAGCAATGACTTGGAGTCAATGAAAATTGTGGCTAATGTACGGGATCGATATGCTAGTCGGTGGGTATCTGAAGATGCTCGCCGTCACTATGGGTCTCCCGATTCAGATCCTAAGATGGTCACCGTGGCATATCGAGATTTGGAGACGGGAGAAATGGGAGAAACACACGGTGGCCCCGAATATCTTATTCTTGCTCTCGACTTTGACAAGTCTCGCGTTCAAAAAGCTGAAAAGGAAAGCCTTCCCGACTTTTGCACGTTTCTGTTAGAAGCTATAAAGCCCGCGGAATTTGATCTGACGGATGCTCAATGTATTGGACTCCTGCATGGCTTGGACTACATCGCATCTAGGCCATATTGGCGACGAGCTTGGGTCATCCAAGAGGCTATTGTTTCCGAGAAGGCTACCTTGGTCTGTGGAAAACATGAAATCGACTTTGATGTATTTTGCACGGTCTATGGATACGGACGCGCGATTGGACTGGATGTGAAAAATGTCGTTTTGGATGACGTGCGTATATTTGACGTGAGGACATCATTGAAAATGCTCATGGAAGTTATGACGCAACCGCCAGACCAGAAACCCATCAATTTTATGTCATTACTGGAAACGATTTCGCAGATTGGCTTTTATCGAGCAAGAGGGCAGTCCAAACAAATGCGTGATCTTACTCTCGGACATCTGATGGGTGTCTTTGGCGGACAATTGGCCACAGACCCAAGAGATCTTATCTTTAGTGTGGTTGGGCTGTTACGACATTTTTCAGAGCTTCCATCCCAACTTCACTGGGCCAAAACGTCCATCGACTATTCTCTAGATGTTCAGGCTGTGTTTAAAAATGCGGCCAAACATATCGTTGACAGCTACCCTAAACATCGAATTGACAACCAGCCGAGAAGGGACTATATCCTTTCCTTTGTTAAATTTAACCCATCTAGGGATACCTCTCTCCCAAGCTGGATTCCTAACTGGATCTCTAACAGGGGCGCTTCAAATGTTCTATTTGCTGAAGACGACCCCCAGATCGACACTTTAATCGAGTATGATGCAAAAGTTGAAGGTGATTACCTCGTTCTTTCTGGTCACATTGTCGACACAGTAACAATGTCTATTGATATTGGACAAGATGAAGATTTTTACAATGAGGTTGATCTATACAATATCGTGGTGGAGCAAAATCTTGGAACAAGATACGGTTCCCAAGAAGCTCGATTTGAAGCGTTTTGGCGAACCATTGTCGCAGACAACCCCATTGGGATGAGGGTCATTAATGGTGGCGACTTTGCTTCTTTAAAACTTGAATCTCTGCGCTCGTGGATTGCTCTCTGCTCGGAGAATTACCAAAAGCTTCAACAGATTTGGTCGCATCGACTCAAGTTTCGGCGGATACTGGGACCTATGATCGCCGATATGAAAGACAAAAACAAGCAAGGTGAACTTCCTCAGAGATTATTGGATCACATACCTACGGAAACCATCGAGGAACTGTTAAAGCAAGAGAACGATCCTGTATGGAGCTCCACTGAGGCTGGGGCGCCTAAACAGTTCATTATCACAGAGCACGGGTTCTTCGGGACTGGGCTCCCTGGCGTCGAGGTTGGCGATGTCGTCGCTATTCTTGCTGGCTCTGGAAATCCTTGGTATTTGCGAAAGCAAGGCGACCATTACATAATTATTGGGAAAGGTTGGATACACGGTCTTATGTATAGAGATGACGAGTACCATAGGCGAGGTTGGAGAGATAAGGTCGAGGCGATTCGACTTAGGTGATCATTGGTAGCAGGATTTATGAATGATGTGAATATTAAATCTTCTCTCACTACTCTGTATAATGTCTAAGATGAAGGTTTATTTCAATGCTCTACTTACAGCCCTGGAATAGTCCGATGGTGGTGTATCAAAGAGAAAATATTGGCGGCACAATGTTTTGGGCATTTATCGAGCCAACCATAGGCCATAAGTGCTTGGATCATCATTATGCTTGTCACCGAGTCAAGTAATCATATATCCTAAGTACTTTGCCTATCTGAGAAGCAGAAGCCAGTGAGACCGATGCCATGGCGTGGCCGTAGGGTCTGGGCACAATGCAATACTCGCCAAAGATTTTTTCTTAGTTGCCGGCTGGAGAGCAGACCGTGGCACCGCCTTCAGATAGCTCGCAATGTATCTTGGCCTTGGAAGAGGAAAGCTCATAAGTAGCTTGAAGAAGTCCTTAGTATTGGGTTCAGCCTGGCCAACAGTAGAGGGGTGAAATCCTCCCAAATTACGGTGGAGGCAGGTTTTCTCTGAGACATCGATTCGCGCCGCCTAAAGACGAGCAATGGAGAACCTGACCGTCAAGAAATGTTGCTCTTCCAAGTTAACTCGGCCGTCGTGGACTGGCTCTCGGCTTACCCCCAGAGTCACCACAAGGCGCATATTTGGCCATGTCAACAGGTGGGCCAATGCAGAACGAACCAAACTTCGGGGGTTAGGCTGACACGGTAGGATTCCTCTTTCCCCCTTTCTTATTCCTCCTTTCTCCTTCTTTTTCTCCGTTACAAACATGGGTGCCATGATATTCCGGCATAATCCCCGGCATAACCCCCGGCATAACTCTCGGAGCCCCAACCCGTCCGAAGAATCCTGCAGAGGCTCCTGGCGGGGATTTCAGGACACGGGGATGTCCTGGTATATCGCGATAGGTTCGGGCCTTTCGTAAAATATAGGGTGGTAATGCCTTTCCTTTCCTGCCTGAAATAATACCGCTGAAGAAGACCCCCTCCTTACATTTCCTCAGATTATTCGTTGTAAACCCTTTCAAAAGCTAATCTATATAGCCTTCTCCCTGTTAACTTAGATGGAGAATACAACCTTTATTTCCCTCCGTATACCAAAATATAATGAAAGCGGACGGTAGTTTTGTTGCCCCTTTAGTTCTACTGCCTGGATGTGATTCTATATATCTAGCTTACTTAGTGGATATGAATACTACTTGAACGAGTAATGAAAATAAGCTTGTAGTTATGTAAAATGGCTTACTCTCTTAAGCGGCTCGCCTGCTTAAGTGGCTCATCCGCCTATGGACTATCTTGGTCTGAGTTACCTTATTGCCAAGTAATAAAGAGGGACGAGGAATTACATGTACTAAACTAAGTTACATAGTAGTAATTAAAACCAATTAGCCTACTTAGTGGACGTTAAAAGAAAACGGACCAACAAACAAACATCTGGTTTGTATTGGCTGGCGGTCAGGCTAGCAGTGAGTAATCTTACACGCAGCCGGTAATACTGATAAGAAGGACTTTAGGGTTTTAATCTGAGTGTATTGTGAATGTCGTGTCAACGACAGGTTTTCAAAGCTATCTAGAACGGGTGTAGTGAAGTGAAATTATCAGCAGTCTCTCCAGCTCGTTTGTGAGAGCCAAGATTAGTTGGCTAGGTAGAAGCGTTAGTGTATTCAATGTTTGATGTTGTGAAACGGGATGCTTACGGCTGTCGATACCACGCTCACCCCAGAAATGAGCTCCCAGACCAACCGTGCTCTGGCATCGGCGGTTATCGTTAGAAGTAGGATCAGCGTTGCAGCTGCAGCCGAGGGCGCCGACGGCGTGCTCGTCAGCGCAACCACCTCCGTTGCTGCTGAAGAAGGTAATGGACTCGCAGTTATCATTGAAGTTGTTTTGGCAAACAATAAGCCAACTGCCAATGCCTCCATTGGGCTGGGGTAAAGCATCGCAATCTCCAGGAAAAAAAGATCCAACGAAGTTTTGGCAGTTGTGGTCTGAGTATATGTTGATTTGCAAAGCCGTGGCAACTGTTCCCATTGCCATGAGGCCAAGGAAGGAGATGTAGGATCGGTTGAGAATCATTTTGGCTGTTGGATAGTCTGGGTCGAACTTCGAATCTGGGACTTGATAGCTATACTGAAGTTGTAGATGTGTGAAAGGAATGATTTTTTTTTGGTGTTAACAGTTGGTGGTTATGTTGTGATTTATATCACTCTAGCTGACAGCAATAGGCCCGCTCAACGAAGTGTCTACAACTACAATGATACATTGATCCCGCTCCTATTGACAAGGTCTCATCTTTGCATAGAGACCTTTGACATTATGCTTGATTTCAAGGCCATCTAAGGGAAAACATGTTCGGCTAAGACGGCACTCACAATAATCTTGGTACTTTCCACGTCGTGGTTAAAAGTGCCAAGACTAGCGCTTACAGCTGCTGTCTAACCAGGAACCGAGCTAAGATTCAACATGCCTACATGTAAGCAGCGTGGAGAATCCAAACTGGTTAGCTGGCGGCAGTTGTGATGCTTGTTTGTCCTATCTGTATAAGCACCCTATTCGTTCTACACCAAGAGTAAGATACAGTGGCGCCCATAAAAGAAGAGTTTGAGCATGAAGAGAATTTGAAATTACTGTACACATCACTTATCTGTGCATTCATCCAAATTCACATGCTTGGCTTACCAATGTGAATTGGTTCCAGCTTGTGAATACGTATCTGTAACTCCTTGTTATCTTAGTTGATACTATCCTCTGTACTCCCAAATATAAGAATATATCCTAAAAGGGAGTGAAGTGTTGACTATCCCAGGACCACTCTGCTAGCCTACTCTGACGGGTCATAAGATAGGAACGGACACACGGGATGATAGACTGAGAAACCATGGTTGTTTTCAAGCTTACTATGGATTTCGGCGTTATTAACACTCCGCTATGTTCGCCTCCTCGACAACATTACGCCGGGAGCTGCTTTTAGTTCAATAATTTTAAGGAGTATTACAAGCATTACATTCCTCCTCTTTCTAACACTTCATCTTAGGATTCCCTTCGGCGTCATTAACACTCCGCTGTATCCACTGCCTCGACAAGATTACGCAACAGCTTTTCATACAAGCATTAAACTATTCCTCTTTCCAATACCTTGTCTCATAATTTTAGCAGTAATACTATCTCATTTCTGTCATAACTGTAGAAGTCCACTCTCGTTCAATATTCAAGAGAGTTATAATCCCATTACAAGGGCTAACTTGTACTCCTAAGTCCTCTATTATAAATACCGGATGGAAATGCTACTTGCCTTTCAATCTTACACTTCCCGGTCGAGATCTCAACACTTCTAGTATCCGTATCCAGTATTCAAGTCGTATCTACTGCAACTAAGTTGACGCAAATGTGAGTTAATTTACGACTTGGTGTTTTACAGACATGAATATGCTGACCGTTGACTTTACCCAAACTAGGTGGTTTGATTCACCATGGTCAAAAATTTTGAAGTTTCTTGGAGCGACGACATACGAGAAACTTCCGCGTCTAGTAGAAGCGTCTATGGATGAAGAACCGGAAATTTCGGGGCACCATGAACCTGAAAGACGCTCCAAAAGGGCCATCTCTCTTTTCTTGCGCCTTTTTATTGTAATCCTAGCAGCATGGGGTTTGCTCAATCTGTGTCAGCAAGTATGGTCTCACTTCATGGCCCGCCAACCATCCTGTTATTGCGGGGAAACACCCACAGAAGCGGCCTCCCGCGGTTGCATTTATGATCATATGGCGGCAGCTTGGCTTCCCAATGGCTGCTGCGATGAGGGTTTGGTCAAGATTTTCGAAGAACTGGCTGATGGCCATAACTGGACATATTTTGACTACCCTGAGTTAACCAAAGAGCTTAGCACTGCTGAGGTCTCAAGTCTCGCAGGGGTTGGGGTTCAAATTAAAGATGGTGTCGGTGTTGTTCGTACTACTATCGACTGGCACCTATCGCATTGTTTATATACGTGGTGGAAGCTCACGAGGGTGGCATCAACGGGTAAGCTTATGGGTCCTAAGTATAGCAATGAGGAACATGTAAAGCATTGCATTCTCGAGGTGTGGAAGCACTTGAAGCAATCTTCTAACCTTAATAAGCTATCTAGTATTACTGGGGTTTATCTTTTTCCTGAATGAGACAGTAATACCTATTGCTAATTGAGACCAAATTCGGACGTTGCACAAGACTGAACAACTATAGTTAGCAAACTAGCACTGTTAAGTTTATAATATTTTAATGTCTAATAAGCAATCTATAATGTGCCTTTTCCCTTCAAAGTTCTTGAGTCCTTTCATTTAGTACAATCTCATAATGTCTTACTATAATACCTCGTCTTGGATGTAAGAGGTGTTGACGGAAGACCGGCTGGAACGCGCGAGGTTCTGCCGGATACGGTATGTACGCAGACGAGAAGCTAGTTGCAAATATACGAACATTGACAAAAGATAGTAAAAACCAAGCCCAAGTGACTTTATACAGTCACTAGGCTAGAAACACCATAGTGCTTATATGTAAGCTCCATGTAAATGTACGTTTACGATATGTTTTCTCCGATTGGCCAAGCTACTCTGCTTACTTATTGCATTGATCCCAAATCAGTCCACGAATCGGACAGAGCATATCGTAAAAGTAGCTTACGGAGAACGTTACTTCAATTTCCACCACCCGTTGTCGTGGCGGCCTCTTCAACGGAGTATTACTGAACATAGTGTTCCGGTCACCGTCTAGCGTTTACGAGACCCTTCTACATTTGGATATTTAGTGTGTCTATCTTAGAGAAAGTCACTTATTACGTAGAAGTAGATAGAGAAGCACGTCATTCAAGGAGAGGAAAACGAACCATGGCCAGAGGGAGAGCCTGTGCTCAATGGTGGCCGAGCAGCAGCAAAGCTGACATTTCACTGGTCCCTCGACGGACGAGGGCCAGCCGACCCAAAGTTCGAACGGGCTGTGGTACATGGTGAGTAACAACACACCTCCCCATGTGTCGAGCCTCTCTACGATGGGTTCTCTGCCTGTGCTTTTGCTAACGAGCCTCTAGCAAGTAAGTGCTTCGCTGTGATATACCGGCGAAACTTTCAGCTGTCTCATGCATGAATATGATAGGAAACGTCGGGTCAAATGCGGAGAAGAAAGGCCGCAATGCCTTCGATGCATCTCGGGGGGCTACACATGCGACAGTTACAATGGCGGGACATCTGCTGCTACGGACCTACATGTACGATGCGAGTTTATTTTTTCGGGACCAGACTTCGAAGCCCGCCAGCGATCCTGTGGTTTTCGAACCATTACGGCGACCATCGACGGCACTGATATTGAGAAGCGATACTTCCACGAATTCAAGAATGTTGCGGCGCAGGACAACATTTACGAGCCCGACTGCCAACTTACTCGTTTCTTCAGCCGTGTGTGTACACAAATCAGCCATCAAGAGATTGCTGTAAAGCACGCCATGGTTGCTCTTGGCTCTGCCTACCAGCTTCTACAGCCAAAGTATCCCTCTACGTCAAGTTCAACATTGGAAGATTTAGAGCTCTTTACTACCGGACAATACAACAAGGCTTTGAATCGATTGCAGAGGCTTGTCAGCGCAGGCGAGTCAGGAAACCATCACGTGCTTCTACTCCTCATCTGCTCCATATCTTTTATCTGCCTCGAGGCCCTACGATCGAACCGCATTGTCTCAGGAATACATCTTGTGAACGGTCTGAACATAATTGGTAGCCTGCCATCACAGACGTTTAGTTTCCCCAATGATCCTTCAGAAGCCACTAGGCGATCCAGAGGTGTAGTAGAGACTGCGTTGGAGGATATTATCAAGATATTCAGCAATCTCGAAATGTTTGGATGTTTCTTCTTACCTAACTTTCAACCTGTTATTGCTCCTAAAAGCTACAACTTCCGCAGATTCTACGATGGCTCCGACATGATAGCAATACAGAGTCTGGATGAGGCACACTTACACGCGTGTCACTATTTTCGAGATATAATTAGCCGCCTATATGAAACTTCCTTTCCCGCCTACGTGATCATGTCACACCATGAGGAGCATCAATGTCACCGGGCTCTTAATATGAGAGGCTATAATATCCTTGCCCTCTTCAACAAGCTCGCTAGCTCTCCAGACGCTCCACATCCCGGCAGTTATAGGTTCTTCTCTTTACAGCTAGACCTACTACATATCTGTTGCGGCAATATTCTATTCCAATGGATAGACGGAGTCAGGACTGAAACTATAACACGAGGCCCTCCTCTGCAATCTCCAACTGGAAATTCAATTTTGCGAATGAAACTCCAGGATGTTTGTTCATTCCTTTTTAGTAATACTGCTAGTATACAAAGCAGGAAACTAAATTTTGGCTTCAACTATAACCCAAATATTATCGGGCCATTATATTATATTGCTGCTATGTCAAGGAACCCGATTAGAAGAAGCGAAGCTTTTGATTTATTAAAAAGTGTTAATGATAATCACCATAACTGCTGGGACATTGTAGTTTTGAAACAACTTTTAAATATAGTTCTTAAAGCAGTTGTGTAATAAGCCAGGCGCTTCCAAGTTAGCCCTGGAGTATAAATATGGAAGTTTATTATAAATTAGACTCCTATAGTAATAATAAGTTATAAATAATAATGAAACTTTTTCTTTAAAAAAAAAATGCATATACACTTGTACAAACATATTCATTAACGCAATCATAGGTCGAATGACCACAATAATGCCGGCAGGAGTAGAGAGTTAGCTGTTAACTTGAGCGTAGAGCGAAATAACTTCCAACCTGTGTATAGCACTGATGCTACGAGTGATATGAAGGAGAGGCCAGAATTGATGTATAGCTGCCTTACTTTATTAAAATTTGCCTGCAAATCCCAATATCTATATAACACCGCCTCCATCCCTTCCTGCATTGCCAACCTTAATGCCTTGGTTAATCTGCTAACGCCGTTCGCAAGAAGCAGTTGCACTATGTCCCCATGCCCTTTTTGAGCGGCCCAATCTAGTGCAGTTCTGCTGGGCTTCTCTGCATCCTTTGTGCTCACGTCCCAAGCACCATTTGCAAGCAAAAATTGCACTGTAGTAGTGCGACCCCTTGCGGCAGCCATCTCCAGCGCTGTGTACCAGATGCCATCATAATGGTACAGATGCCTTGCGTTTATATCAGCGCCATTCTCGAGTAGCATCCGCAGAATATGATCGTGCCCTCTCTCAGCAGCCTGGATTAATGCTATGCTCACGCTGTATTTTATATCAGCATGGACGCTCTTTGCGAGCAGTAATCTGACTATGGCCTCGTGGCCTTTCCCAGCAGCCACCCCCAGCGCCCTGTCGAATGCACCATGTTTGCTATCAGCACCATTTTCGAGTAGCAGTTGTACTATCGTCTCGCGGCCCAGCCACGAAGCTTCGAATAGCGCCTCGTCCTCAAGTTTAGCATCGGCACCGTTAGCAAGCAGTAGCCGTACGATAGCTTCGTGGCCTCTATTGGCGGCCCACCTTAGTGCTGTATAACCATTTTTATCTTCCAGGTTTATATTAATATTGGCGCCATTAGCGAGCAGCAGCCGTACGGTGGCCTCGTGGCCATTGCCAGCAGCCAGACTTAGCGGTGTATATATACCACGGCGGGCAATAGCCGAGTTAACAACGGCGCCTTTGGTAAGCAGCAACTGGACTATATCCGCGTGGCCGTTTGCTGCAGCACCATTCAGCGCCACGCCGTTACCTGGAAGTTCAGGATCGGCGCCGTTGGCAAGAAGCAGCTGTACGACGCTTAGATGCCCTCTTGTAGCGGCAAGTTCTAGTGCCGTCCATCCCCAAACGCTGCCTTCCGACTTCACGTTAACATCGGCGCCGTTTTCGAGAAGAAGATGCACCACGGAGTGCTGACCCTCTTCGGCGGCCAACATCAGTGGCGTCATGTTATGCTTGTTTCTCTGGTTAACATATTTTTGGAACTTGAGACTAATACGCCACGCGTTTGCCTGAAGCAGCTTTCGGACCAATGAGTCGATTCCGAGATACGAAGCGATGTGCAAAGGTGGATAATCTCCAAACGGAATGTAGGTCGATTCGACAGCTTTTGTGTAGGATCGCCACCAATGCTTCCACAAATCATCTTTCTTCTGGAAGAAAGTCTTTGGGAAGTCCAAATCTTCGGCTGTATGCCTTGCATGTTCTGGCCAGTGTTTTGTTGCGTAGCCCAAGAGAGGCGATTTCTTCAAAACTGATGCATCCGTGATATTCAGAGGTTTATGGCGGAAGTCGCTGGTTTCAATGCAAGCAAGACATATTCTTGCTAGGCTAGTATGCGCTTCTTTTCCCTCGATTCGAAACTCCTCAAGTATTGGATCAGTGTCGACTTCTTCCCGTAATAGGTAGTTCCTCGCTGATTGATGGACAAGACTACATGTACCTGTGTCATGTCCTCCGGAAATCCGGAGGATGGGTCCACATGAAGCTATCCGGTCACACATGATTTGAGTGCTATCAATCGGCGTATTGCACAAGAGAGAGACAGCTGTCTTCAACTCTTCCAATGTCATTGGGCGACGGGCTATCGTGACGCATTTCAATATTGTCGATATGATGTGTCGTTGGCTGCTCTTAATCTGCAGTAACATTCGGCCGTACATGGCAGGGAGTCCTTGAGGAAGAGCATTTAGCACGTCCATTACCTCCATCCGCGTCGACATGTCTAAAAGCGCCTTCATCACGAATCCTATCCACAGAAAAGTGCCATTGGACCGTCTCAGCAGAACATTCTCAATATCTCTGACGAAATCATCATCATAACCTGGACGGCGTGATAATTCTTGCATTGCAGTAGATATGAACCGTTTGATATCTTCATTTATAAGACTGTCGTTGTCAGGATCCAATCGTATCTTGGGGAAGTCTTCTAGTCCGTTTATTTTTCGACTCACTATCGCCAATTTCAAATTTTGGGCGATCGGTCCTGTGTGATCTGATGGCGAGTAGAAGTCTCGGAACTGTTTGACTAGTTCTCTAATGGATTTCTCATCGCATTCATCGAGTCCATCGAGTATACAATAGACGGTACCGAGCTTTGGGGCTCGCAATAGTGTTTTGAATACCATCCAAAGAGTTTCTGGGGATATCAATGTGTTTTCGGTATGCTTTGCTGTCTCGAAATATGATGCTACAGATGTTGATATATCTGGATGCTTGCTGAGTAGCTGATATGCTAATCCTCTTAACACGGCTATCGCATTGTTGCAGTTTTCATTTCCATTGGCACAAAAGAAATACAACGATGTTGTATCCTGGTCGTCCCCTCTTTCGTGCTGTTTTCTCTCAAGTTCTTCTGTCAAGAAGATTGAAAGCATTGTTTTACCTTTGCCGGGGCCGCCACAAATCCACAAACAATGCTCATCGCCGTTAAGCCAAGATCTGTAGATCTCATTCTCTAGGATCCATTCGCAAGTTCCGGAGGCTCTTTCCCCCTTGTCGTTTTTGAGGCTCTCTCTATATATCAACGGGTCTTTGAGTAGGATCGCCTCTCGGCAATCGACTGTTTTTGCCGTGGTTAGTGTATGAACAACGTCGAAATAGATGATGATTGGGTGAACAAACTTTTAGGCTTCTCATTACTCAGGTAAACATTATCTCCTTGGTGTAGAATGCTATCGAATACTTTATTGGGGCCATATGTATGTCCTCGTCTGCTTGACTCTTGGTTCGATGCCATCTCGCCTCAAGCTGCATTGACGTGTTTCTGTTGTCTGCGAAGTGATCAAATAAAGCCGAATTAATAAGGAGTAAGACATAACCTGCAACTATACTTGGAGATTACCATTTATATACTGAGCTTTGTCGATCTCACCCCCCGGTCTGCCCATTGTTGAGATGGAGGCTTAGCGTCGCCTGATGAATTTATTGGGTATCGGTGTAGATGCAAGCGCTTCGTGATTGAAATTGATAGGCTATTTCTGTCAAGTTTCATGTATTTCTATTACTTATGTGCTACCTGGGCAATACACTCAAAGGGTACCTACATATACGATGTTACACCTCACAAGTCTCCGGGAGGGGTAAGTTCGATGTGATCAGGCATTACTGGGTATCTAACTCCCTGCATATATAATTTCACATTTTATATAAAGGCAACTAAAGCAGGCCCCCGCGGTATTATTGTACGATGAAATATCAGATCAATCGTTCCCTCAAACTAAGTAAGCGTGTCGAATGATTCCCTCGAACACTAACTAGTCTGATATATCTGTTGTGATGCCTCTTGATTCTTATACTGTATGACAACAATATCGAAAGGCGCTTAATACATTCTATGGCCAATCCAGCTGTAGCCCTCTTCGAGGCCATGTCGCTTGCCACCTCACTTCCAGCAACATTTATTTCCATCGTGGAATGTTTCGAATATGTGGAGCTTGGTCGGCGTTTCGGCAAAGATTTCAACAAGTGTCAGGCCCGTCTAGAAGCACTAAAACTACAAATCACAAGATGGGGGATCTCCAGTGGCGTGCTGCCTGACCCGGAGACAGGAAAACAGAGAGTCGTCAGCTTTGACGCGCATACGACTGAGACCGCGCAGAAGCTCCTTGACTTTATCCTGGCAGATACCAGAGAGTTGGAGAACAAATCTAGGAAATATTGTGATCAACCAGGAGTCACGAGTGAAATAAATTCAATGGTACGTATTCATTGACATGTGTTTTCTTCAAGAAACAATGACTGATTGCTGAAAGCAACCGGACCTGATCGACGAACCGACCCAAGCCTTAAAATCGATAACAAGCAAAATATTTTCTCGGCGTATTCAAGGCGTGGCATTGCAGAAAAAGACGACATGGGCTTTGCGCGATAAAAAACAATTTGACAGACTTCTTGAAGATATTACTGAGAATCTGAATCTTCTGGTATTGATGCAGCAAGTCACCGAGCCTCAACGTGAGCTCTGCCGCATGGAAGTGGAAGAAATCCAAGATGGTCAGCCCCTCGTTGTCCTGGATCTACTCCATGACGCTTCACAGGCCAATACCGATAACCTATTGGAGCAAGCTTTACAAAGGGCTATTAGCAATATAGACCCTGGCCATAGTTGGGAACGAACAGAGGTAGACGATGATGTCAAGTTACAGCAGGGCGATCGCATTGCGAATGGTTTCAGGGGCCAAGTACTAGGGAATAGGGGTAATCATAAATTTGGGGTAACGATTTGGAAAGGGCCGCTCAGATATTCATCAGGGAGATTCTTATGGAACGGCATAGATACAGTAGCGCCATAGATTGGATTTGTAGAAATGCAATAGTTCCTATTTCACAACTTAGAAAATCTGGCTACATAAAAAGAACACAGGAGGTAACTTTTTATTTATTATCTGATATCTTAAGCACTGATCTCTGGTCTATTCAACTTTGCCCATCGTCGCTCCACATCTTATCTATCTATAGACGGATTGAGACCTCTTTTTAAATCTATTTGAAGCTTGTTTTCTCGATTTGGTGGCCCTTGAATTTATTTGTCTTCATGTTGGTTGTCCAGCTGAAGCTTCGAATTTAAGCCTTTGGGTAGCTTCTATTAAGACACAGTATGTGTAGCGACGAAGTTGTGTCTTTGCTTCATGGACTTATTCTACCACCAGCCCCTTATAATTAATGACATCGCCCACGATACTCACGGGAACGATATGGCACCAGTAGACTTGCTGTACGCAGCCAGCCACTGAGAGGTATCCCGGTTTGTCCAAGTGGTCAGTGAATAAGTACTATGCCTGAGGATACCATTAACTATGGGTCACTACATCCTAAGGGCTTCGGCAGTGAGGTTTCGCAGACCGTCCTTGTATTCACATAAATATATAGGGAAAACCTAAATACATCGGGGAAAACCTATAATAAGACGGTCGTCAAACAAGGCACCATAAAACATCGCGTATTTCTTCCCCGATGGCTATTGAGCACGCTACAGAGCTCCATACCCCAAGATCGTGGTTTTGATTTGAACTTTTGAGCTCTCAGTTTATTTAAGTCGGCGATTTAAAGTTCTTTAGCCCTGATAACTGTTAGATACGATCTAGCATTCGGGGCAATTCTCTTACTCCTCTTCGGGGTCGCCAATACAATGATCAGAGTTCCCAAGGCCGGCATCATAACACTCTCTGGGTTTGCAAATAGCCTCCCATACAACATAATCTTCGTCACTAGTGCAGAAGAATAGCGAGTCAAGAATATGATGGCTATCGGTTGGCTTTCCTCCCCTCTTAAGGGCCTCGTTGATCTGCTCATGGTAGTTGCCTGTGGAACGAGTCAATATCTTTATACGTATCCTCTTGTTAAATCCTTTTCATGAGTTTGTAGGTAGTTGCATACCGTGTGCAAGGAGACTGCTTCCACAGTAAGTTAATCCTCGCCGACAACCTTCAGCTGCTGCACTGGAAGCAACAGCGAGAATAGAGAGAACAGTAGTGACCTTCATTATGACAATAATAGCTGGGATTGTTGAAAAGGCTTTAGTTGATTGTCTAAAGTTTCTTTGAGATCAAGGTGGGAAAGTACGGGTTCTAATAAGTCTTAGATAGTGTGGGTGAAACTTTGGAGCGGTGAGATGGGCCAAATCAGGGTTATGCGGCGTGGCAAAATGGATCAGATGAGACCTCATTGAAACCTTTGTCATAGTTACGCAGCAATATAAGACATCAGTAAGCCAGAAAAGAAAATTACTCAGATTGTTTGAGTGTTGACAACGAAGAGGGGGTTGGGTAATGAAATTGTCTTAGATTTTCTCCGCCCTCAGAATGTACTAGGCAACTTCTCTTGTACTACCTAGGTTCTTCATATAATTTATTAGTATAAGCCTGAGGTAAGATGTGTTTGAATGACGTGGAAACTGTGTTACCTTTGAAAATGAGAAGACAAGCCACCAAGGAGATGTTTATGGGTGGTGGGGGCTGTGAACGATACCCTACACATGCATATCCGCTGCATCTGAAGAAGAACAACATGATTGATACGGATCATCCAGTTAGATTAATGCTAAGATAAATCGAATGGACCTCATTTTCTAACAGCCACTTCAAGTGTATTCAGATATACTACCATCTTGCTGCGAATACGCCTCATCTCAACATTCATAGTAATCCTTGGTATGTTTAGCTCTTCCCATCCTCGCTCGATGTCTCGCTCAAGGTCTTAAGCGAAATGCCCCATTCAGTTGCAACTCTCTCCTTCCACTCATCTATTGTAATCTCCTCTCCACTTCCATCTTCTACATAATAAGCCTTCAATATTCTGTCGTCCCCATCTAGAGGCCTCACATCTATCGGCACACGCACGTTGTTGGCTTTCATGCTCACATACATGCTGTTTCCCTGGTGTGGGATTTGCAGCCACCTGTGCTTTGCGCTGCACTCCATAAAATCTACACCAGACTCTGGGTTGCGAAGTCGCTTAAAACAGTTGCCGCAAAAATCTTTGTTCGAACAGTAGATACAGTGGTAGAGGTCGTCCTCGAAACTGTTCCAACTATCGCATTCCCTGCCGTCCGAGGTGCGGCCATCACAACTCCAGGACCATGAAAGTTGGCCTTTGTCAACACTGGGGGTGTGTGCCTTGTGAAGAGGCAAGATGCGAGACTGGAGCAGGCGGTGCGCGTAGGCAGTGAGGTCAGAAACTCTTGGTTTTTCGTCCTCACTGTTGCCATTCACCTCCGTCTTGGCTTCAGCGGTAGCTATAAGAGTGTCGATATATAATTTGGCGGCTTCAATGCGTTGGGATTGGAGTTTGGTTTCCGGAATTTGAGAATTGATGACACGGATCACTTCTTTAGCCAACTCGGAAACCACATCGAATGCTTGCAACTTTCGCTCGTCGTCAACTTCCGTGATGTCGCCAACGTCAAAATACAAGGCTTCCGTTACAAGATCTGGCTGTCCCAGCAGAGACAGAGCGACAACTGCATTCCTGAAATCTTGGTATTGTTCCAGCGCCGTTTGGAGGATAGAAAACCCGATCTTGTCGTTTTCAAGTATGTCATCGGAGAGGATCTGCAGACCTTGTTTGATCCGCGCCATTAGTACCTCTTTGGCCGACTCTTTCTTGCCACAAAGCACATGAGCGGACCCTAAGAAGCCGATAGCATCGCTTCGATAGAAATTGTAGTCGGAATCTGAATTGGCCAGCTTGGTCAGCTTGGCTAAGGCATCGTAATAGTTCAGCTGTAGCCCTTCTGCGATGCTCTGGAAATAATGGGCTGCTAATGCCGTCGTGGCACGCTGTCGCGTAAATAAAGCATTTGTGCCGCCGACATTGGCGAGCAGATCACGGCTCTCTTCCCACAGCCGCAGGGCTTCGTTGACGGATTTGAGGCCGTCAGAAGAGACTTTGAACAGGTATGCTGCGAAACCTCGGTCGCAAAGGAGAACGCTGCGAGCCTCATCCTCGGCGAAACGCTCGTCCCCTGTCAACACCTTGGAGCCGTTACCAGGCGTCAAGTTCCATATTGCTTTCTCCATGGCATCCAAGACTTCTTTCAGGAGATCAGGATCTTGCTTCAACACAGCGAACATCCTCGCAATGAGATCATTATGATCGCTGTCTAGCGCAATCATCTCCATAGCGGCCGCCATCTCCGCTTTCCCATTCTCCTGAGCGAATGTAGTCTTGAGCGCCTGTATTGCCTCTGTGTTGGGGAAGCCCAGCCTCGACTTTAAACGACCCAACTGTCCGTCTCTTACCTGGGATTCATCGCCTCCTTCACATGCGAGTGAGTAGTACTTGTCTGCATTACGCACATCACCTGCTTCATAGGCGTACTGACCCAACAGTAAGTATAACCCAACAATATCTTTTGTTTCCGGTTTGGGAGTAGCATCTTCTTGTTGAGCGCTCTTCAGCGCTAGTTCCACTTGAGTCACGGCCTCTGAAGTTCGATTTTGCCTAGAAAACGCCGTTCCCAATCCTTGGTAGCACAGCCAGCTAGGGTTCTTCTCTTCTATGGCGCGCTGGTATAGGGATATGGCAGCCTCGGGAGCGACCCTATCATCAGTTGCGGCTGTAGCAAGACGCTCGTACCAGAGCGAATTGAGCTCTAAATCAGGCAAACCTAGGATACCTTGACACCAGGTGCTCATGCGGTTCCAGTCTATCTCAGCGAAGGCATCCACATTGTCATCAGGGGTCTCAGTATGTACCTCGAGTTTTCTCTCGTCCTGTTTCAGAAAGTCAGTTCATGCAACATACTTTGAACTACCGGACCAGGAAATGCCACTTACTGCCTTCATCAGTTGAAGAAGCCACTGGCAAGCAGAATAGATATTCCAGCTTCTTTCTCTGAGAAATCCCTGGATAATTACTCTCACAAGCTCTTTCAAATATCCTCTTGTTGGACTTGCTGCCAGTTGCACCTCATCGCGCCATCTTTTATCCAGTCTTCGCATGATGGCTGAGTCCATTAACCACTTTTGCAAATCCTCTATTTCGCTCACTATCCACCATGCGTCCTGGAAACTCTCCTTGTGACGTAAGAAAACTTCATCGTTTTTGAACAGTTTATACAGGTTCTGTCCAATTTCGGACTGCTCGCTCGGCATAAGCGATCCTTGGTCATCGTCTTCGAGCTGGCGGAGGCGAGACAAGTGAAATGGAAGCCAAGTGACAAGATATGGCCCAATATTCTCAGTCTGTTCCTTAGGTGGCTTACTCAAGTATTCAAATGCTCGTGTCACGATGGTGTGATGCGCCTCAAATTCGTCCACTGCGATAGTACCCCTGCCACCATGGAGGGCATTGGAGGCGTCCCCATCAAGGTTAAAGTTGAACTTGTCCCGAATTGCCTTGTGTGCAAGGTCCCAGAGGAAATGTCCGCAGAGTTCCTGGTCCACATTATTGATGGTGATAGTCATGCTGATAGTGGCGCGATCTTTGGTGTTTGACGCCCTCCCGGATGAGTCTATGTCTTTACGCAGGTATTCTTTGACGCCATCTTGACCGAAAACACATCCATCGTCGAGCTTCAAAACAGCTGAGTATTTATTTTTGATGATATACTCAAGAGACGCAAGCGATTCTGTCCCTGAGTATAAGAACTACAGCCTGTTAGTCCAGCACCAGTTTACACATGAGAAGCACATACCATGGCGGCTTCAAGTTTCTCCAGAGTCATGGTATCGTTGCTGAAAAGAACCCATTTCAGTAATTCATTCAACTCACTGATCTCGTCCGCTGTCAAAGTCCTCTGCAGGTTCTTAATGGCCGCTTCGTGGCTACTCATTGACTGGTCCAGCATCCGGTCCAATTCGCGCATTGCAGTGCGCGTGCTTAGAAGGCGCATGACATCGTCCAGCCCAAACTGAAGTCTCGAATAGCTTCCCTCAACATTCTGCGGCAGCTTGTCAAGGATTTTGTCTCTGGCTCTTTGTTGGTCCGAGTCGGGCTTCGTGTTCTGTAGCATTCCTCGTTGATTGAGCGCTTCCTCGATTACTATGCGCATGTCTGGTGTATTGTGCTTCTCCATCTGGATCTTCAGAGAATTCCTACTCTCTTGCCAATTTGCGAACTGATCATCCGTTCCGCTCAACAGAATCTGAACGCGCTCGGAAGATTCTTTAGTCATTCTGGGGCTGAAGACGAAGTCTAACAACATCTTAACCTGTTGATCGGGTAGATTTTCAATGCCATCGAATACGAGATAGTAGACGGCATTCGATCCGGATGCTCCAATCTTCAGCTTCTCCCAGAGGCTATCCAAAGTATCGAGGCTCCCCGAGCGGCGGAATGCAGAGGGCTCTTCCTCGCACGCCTTGCCTAGCACTTTTTGAGCTGCCACATCAACTCGGGCAATCTGGAAGGCCATGTACTTTAGAGCCGACTGAATCGAATTCTTTTCGCTATCGGCCTTCTTTGTGCTAGAAGGAAAGAAGTAATGTGCAACGTATGTGCGCCCTTTTTGCTCTTCCAGGCGCTTAGTGATGAGGGCAGTGGCACATGTCTTGCCTGAAGATGGAGGGCCAGACACGATTAACAAGCGCTGCGCATCCTTGTCTCTGTCTTTGGTGGTTGTCCAAGCGGTATATGCCTCGTGTGTCCAGAGCCAAGATCCCATGCCACTGAGACACCTGTCGGCAATATCGTTACAGGTCTGTGTGGTGTTTGTATCGAGGCGGACGGTTGACGGCACGCCCAGAGTATCGCGAATCTTGATGAGTGTCCTCATGCGGTCAACGTCGTCTCTTAGGGCTTGCACTCCTTTCTGTGTCTCCTGTACCGCTTGATGCGTCTCTTGAACAATGTTGCCAAAAACGATAGACTGTTCGAGTAGGAGCGCAATGTCTTGTTTCGTCTCAACAACCACAGCCAGCGTGACCGTCCCTTCAACATCGCGCTGCTGCTGCAAGGCGCTCCGAAACTCTGCCATCTGGTCGGCCAAACCTGAGTCATCATCAAAAACTGACTTGAACTGCTTCAGGAAGCGATCCCTCTTGCGACCTTGGCGGTACTTGACGACATAAGCGCAGACCTTGACGAAACTGACCAAGACCAGATGGATCTGTTGAATGAGTAAAGGGTCCGCATTGTCTATCGTCTGGTAGATGTGAAACTGAGACAAAGCTGAGGACACTTCGCTAAAGACTTGGTTGATGGCATCGTTATAGCCTTTGATGGTTTCGGGTATGTCAAAGACGAAGCAGAGTGCGGAGCCGGTAATGTTGGCCGCTGCCTCAGGAATTGGTATCTACAGTTGTTAGCATACGCGCATTTGATATATGGCAAATGATGTGGTCTGATATACAAATGAGGAAGCCTGGGAAGCAGCCCCGACAAGCATCTTGAGATATTTGAGCGACTGAAGGCCCACGCTCTTTGCCTTTTCCCACTTTACATTCTGTTCTTCGTCGGCGCCATTTGAGATCTGGTTGGCGCTCTTAATTTTCTTTTGAACATCCTCGAAACTCTTGATTTGTCCCCTTTGCAGTGACTCTCCGCATATTGCCTCGAATTCTTTGGCTGCCGCATCCCATATCTCCTTCATAGACAGCTGCCCCTCAGGCGGCTTCTTAGTGGGCGCATTGTCTGGTACTGGCTGGCTTTTCATCGTGCGATAGAGTTACAGTTTCCAACGAGTGTAGCCAAAATGTCATATGAGAAAAGAGTAAGCAGAGATGATATTTAAGAAGTAAGACTCTGATGAAGAGAAAGCACCGCCTCGTTACCCCGCAGGCCCGTGATTTTTTTCCCATCACGAATAGGCAGCCGTGGAGGATCATAATTGAAGCATTTCTTGGCGGGTTTAAATGATTCTATGGGCAATTACAACATCTTCACATTCTTGGAGATTAGCAACAATTGGTCTGAGCATATTATAACATATATATCTCGAGTATCCCTATTTTCGTTTACATGCAATTCGATGGCCCGATTGGGTCAGACTCCAGGGCTATTCGCCCTCGTTTCATGTCTCGTGAGATGTCCATGATCATCGGGTCGGGCCTAAGCGATCCGTCAAACTAGAGACGTTAGCCTCATCTGATGGGAGAACTAAAAGTGACCATGGAACCCTCCAACTCATTAGCGCCATGTTGCTGACCAGTGCTAAGAATATTGTGAATAGAATGCTGATATCGCTCTCTGTGTCAAATGTTTTATCTTAGACGTAGATTCAATGTTTATATCGATGAAGAAGGATAATTTTGAGATTTAAAACAATATCAAATCGAACTCAAAATTACTCTTTTCACTCCAGTCATCGCCCTCAACGTTCACCACATCACGATTATGCTGCCTAAACAAACTCTAGCCTTGATCTATATAAATGACAGACTGAGGAGATATCGGTACAAATATGTTAACTTGGCCACGTTGCGTTTGACGCTTGTGAATCAATTTACAGCACGGCAGAAGCAAGGATTGGTAACGCACTAATTGTTACAGCCTCACCTTGAGTATCGTTGGTTACCAACAACTTGATCACCGACAGTGCTAATTACAGCTGAACAAGGTTCAGCTGAAATGATATGAAATTAATAAAAAGATTTAATCAAGAGCGTATTGAAGAGTTTTTTATTTTTGATCCTTTAGTTTCCTTTTTGGAAAGAAAAACTATTGTAAGAAGCGGCTTAGGAAAACATGCGTGAGAGCGTATACATGCGTGTCCACGTGTACATACTCGTCATTTACTTTAGTATCTGGTTGCACAGGCCAACTTTGCGTGACAAATCAGACTTGTACTATATGCTCCCTGGTTGGATCTTGTTTTTCGTGCCGAGCCGGTTAGATGAATACATCTAATCCTCATCACAGTGCAGCTTAACATTCATCGCACTCATCACAACTGTTATCAAGTCGTTCACGGTGTCAAAGCTTTGTGGTTTCCCAGATCTCATGTATCAATATTATTAGTGCCATGGTATCTAGATTTTTCGACTGCTCAGTGTCTGGTTGCGAAAGGCCAAGTGTCAGAGCAAACGGTGGTTGCGACAGCTGTAGTCGCCATTTATGCCTCGCCCACTTGTCTCCTTGTCTTCATACGTGTGACGAGGTACGAGAAATCAATTTCCTTTCCCATTCTTCCACAACGTCGTAGCTTGTATTACACCTTTTTGAGGTACAGTACTAAACGTGGTTGAGTGACAGGTCTTGGATGATGCAACTTATGAGTCCCAAATTACCGCCGAGATCAATCGTCTCCGATCTCTGATCAACGACGTGGCCGTATGTCAACTTGCATCCAGGCTCAATGGCGGTACAAATTGCAAAATTGAACACTCGTCCAAAGTTGGACCGAGCGCCCTCATGGGAAGCGCCAACTATCATGCCTGTATACGCTTCCAAGACGGCTCCCCCTCGTGGCTCCTCCGAGTTCCTCGAGTGACGAGCTGTGCCGTTGGTCTTCCCATCACATTGGCGGATTATCTGATAGCCAGCGAGTATGCAACATTGAAGTTTCTCGAAGCCACTTCAGTGCCAGCTCCTCGAGCTTTCAGCTACGGCGTATGCAGCAATGGGACAGACCATGGCGTCGGCGTGGCTTTCCTTCTTATGGAAGAGCTACCAGGAAGACCCTGGGCAGGCGAAGGCGTGGCGGGTACAATGGCCACTGACGAAGAAAAGGTAAGGATTTGGAGTGAACTTGCAGACATCCTGGCTGAGTTAGAACGTCACCCTTTTCCTAAAGCTGGATCATTGTGCTTCCAGTCATCTAATGTCGAAGTTTCGGCTGTAGCGAGCGACAGATTCGGCGTACTCACTCCTTATGGCCCATTTCATAATTCTGCAGCATATTATACTGCCTTTGCTGAGCAGTACTTGGAGCTGATTGCAGACGGCCAACTCTACACTGAGTTTCCAGTTGACGCGTACCTAGTGTACCGCTTTCTGAAAGACAATGTATCACAGATAGCCGAACAAGGGGGAGAAACGAAGTCTCCAGAGAAATTCTTTTTAAAGCACGTTGACGATAAAGGCGACCATTTACTTGTCGACGACGACCTCCACATCACGGGTATCATTGACTGGCAGATGGCACGTGTTGTGCCACGACGGGAAGCCTTTGGCCCGTCGCTTGTGACTGCCGACATGGATGCGTTATGTACCGGTAAGGTTTCGTTCAGTGCCGATGATATTGCCTTAGCGGATACTCTGCAGCAAAAGGGCCGCTCTTCAATGACTAGCTGCGTGGTCGACGAGAAAGCCAGGAGGTTTTTCTGGGGCCTGGCCTTGGAATCCGAATGGTCGGATGCCTTCCCGCTGGCAACGGCGATACTAGAAGCTTTTGGGATCCGACAAGATTGGGCACAGTGGAGGGAGATGGAACTGAAGGAATACGAGAGTGATGAGCGTCTAAAGGGCCTTGTTCAGCATTGTCGTCCCTGAAACCGGCAAGGGGGAATTCAGGCGTGCCAACACCCATTAAATTATATTACGCGCTTCTCAATAGTTTCATTTTTAGAGGGCCCTCCATGAACGTACTGACCCAAGCAGGATCTTCAGTGTAAAGGTATCAATACTTCGTGCCATACAGTTGCATTGCTTGGTGTCGTGGGACATACCATGCAAATACCGCTCACTGCAACATCATTACACCACTATATCTCAACTGCACATAAAACTCCATAGTTTGCGCGTCCTATCTTCACAACAGTCAGCTCTATTGCCGCTTTAGGTGTCCAAAAGAGTGAGCAATCTGAAAAAGACGCATAAGAGGCATCTTTCACACTCGAGCGGTAACCAAAAACTTAATGAGAACCATAATCGGGGTTCACATTGACCGTTGTAACTTGATTCGTAGAATCCAACTTGACTGGCCGTTGCAGATTAAAATACGACGTCGCTTATAAGCAATAAACATCCCTGGGTTTCCAAATCCTGATTATGCAGCTGTCCAAAATGGTGTTGTAAATAAGCCGCAATTAAACTCCACGTATCAAATGACTTGGAAATGTCCTTACACACCTCGTTAAACTATAATGTCGTATCTTGTATATTAACGGTCTCCGTGCAGAGTCGCATATTTGACCAATCTTTGTATAAGATCTACCTTAGTCCACCCATGCTTCCGGCAAGTCAGTCCGACGACGCCTCAATCGGTTACAGCAGCTATGTCATTCACACCTCTCTGGGTCGCATCAAAGAAGCTCGCGAATTGGGGTTTGAGCATGTGTAGATACTAGTGGAGCATGATAGAGAAAATTGTAATGAGCCCCGACGTAGGATTCGGGCTTTTGCCGTATACCCGCTTTTGGAGCTCATACTGACTTTACAACACTGTGGGAGTTTCCAACTACAAAAAGGCTGATGTTTCTGTAACAATTTTTTAAGAAAAATGAGGAATAGCACAACATCTGATAATCAGTCATATTGAAATCAGTTCAGCATGAAGTATCTTCTCTCTCTTGTGGCTATCTCCACTTTGAGCAACATCGGGGCTGCTCAACTTCTTGACCTTCCTCCTCTCTTCGATCCATATGACCCCAAGTTCGACGACTGGCAGCCTGCAGGCCCCGATGACTGTAAGTGAGACAAGACATGAAACTATTTGGAATCATCTCAATTAATTGTTATATAAAAGCTCGCGGACCTTGTCCTGGCCTCAATTCCCTCGCGAATCATGGCTTCTTACCCCACAGCGGCAAAAACATTACTATAATCGATCTTCTTCGTGGAGCCTACCTGGGGCTTGGGGTCTCACCCGAGATTTCGATCGTTGTGGGTGCAGCTGAGCTCATCAAGTCATATAGACTGGCCGCCTTTGACCTCCATGAGCTGTCCAACCATGGATTTATCGACCATGACTGCAGTTTATCACGAGCCGACATTGGAGATGGCAATAACAATGACTTTAACGAAACAATCTGGTCTGTCCCCTTGGAGGTTCTCATGAATTACACTATTATCACCCCAGAGGCAATTGGAGCAGCTAGGTCGGCAAGAGATCTATTTGACATTGCTCACAACCCCAACCAACAGTGCGGCGCCCGCTCCATTGCAATTGGCGCCTTGGAGAACGGTCTCCTGATACAGAGTCTTGGGGGAAAGCCAGAACTCGAATGGGTTCGAAGCATATTTGAGCAGCAGAGAATTCCGACGAACCTTGGGTTCCGTCCTAAACCTATCGTACTCAACAATGCCGTCGGGGTCGCCACTGTTGGTCTCGAATCACTCTTGTCTCAGCCCAATCTAACCGATCTTCTGGGTAGTGTTGTGATTAAAACTCCAGCGGTAAGGCTAACAAACTTTCGTGTGAATTCATTGGCTAATATAGATGTAGGACCTTTTGGCTGAGGTGTTCCCTGTCAAAGAGTATAATTTGACTTACATTCTGGAAGTTCTTGGGCTGGCGGGATTTCCTGCCGTTGATCTGTCCTTTCTGACGGGCTATAAAAAAGCCATACAGATAGGAGCTTGATACTTGTAATCTTATTTTTTTTTTAATCCTGGAAAGACTAATGTTTTCTAAATATGTTTGTTACGCTATACGAAATGTCATCTCCGTGACACGATCCATTGTTTACATACTCCCGATTGGAGTCCCACCGCTCGTGACTGATCCGCGAAGAGCATGGTCATTGAATAGCCCAATTGTTTCAGGACTACACTATTAATATATATTACCCCATCCCTCGGTGGCGTGATTTTGGAAGTAATAGCTCTACGCCACTGTAGCTTTATTCTCGTCAATGTGTATCCTTACAACTGAGGACCTGTAACACAAAGGCTCCAGAACCTCGTCGATACAGCCAGTCGGGTTATGAAAGCTAGGTCGTGCCGCATTAGCTCTACAGAAAGATAAATGTTATTGTTTCCTTAGCGTTCCTAAACCAGCCTTATTTTAGGCAACCATTTGAGCCAAAGGGAAACATGTTCTCCCCTTCTCACATATAAAATCAGGCACCGGAATCTAAATCTTTTACGATCAAGTTGCTCGAGGCAGAGCTATCTACACAAACCACAACGAGATATTAGCATTCTATTATTCAAACACGAGATGGCAGCAATCGATACAGGCAGGATTTATGTCCTTAAAAACAGCTACACAGCTGCAAACAAGATACTTGCTATGACTTCAAATGGTGATTCCCTCTCTATGGTTGACGCTCATAGCGTTAGTCCTAACGCCCTCTGGTTCCTCACCCCGACAACCATGAGCAACTGCTATCGCCTCCATACAGTCGCCAGGGGCGTGAAGCAGTCGCTCGACGTTATCAATGACGGAATAGAAAACATCAATCTCCACATGACCGACACTGGTAACTACTCGGGTCAGTTTTGGAGATTCGACAACTGGACTCCAGGCGGCCAGGGATATCCATACCGCCTGAGCAATACCTTTACGGGACAGGATAAGCACCTGGATGTATACTCGGATACGTTTGTTGCTCACCTCGCTGGCGGCAATCATACTGGGCAGCATTGGGAGCTTACTCCTACAAGCACTGTTGCGGCATCCACAGATGCTCCTACTACGTCCTAATCACGAGCGCCGCAGTCACTTTGTAAGATCATCTCTCGCTATTCCCATCAACTATTAATCGCGTTTACTAAGCTATCTAAAGAATACACATAAGATCTCAGAAGGGATTCGAAGGATGTGCAGAGTCGGACTTGAGTCTTGTGATAGTTTGGCTTTGGGCACTCCGTGTTCAATAGCCCAGATATTTACCTTTAAATTGAAGCACTTATTATTTTCAACTTCCAGTTCCAACTGATTGGTCATTCTCGCAATGGTCAAGACGTAACATCACCCTCCACCACTTACACGAAGCGGGTAGAAGCCGCAGCTAAGGTTGCGGGGAGAGCCGAGCGGGGCTTCACAAAGGATTACAGAGGCACGTCGTATTCAGAAGAGGCTAGAACTGTCTCAGTTAGTTGTCGTACACCATCAACAGCTTGACCAATGGTATGATGGCGCCCCCACGATGGACACACCTTGCAGCCTCCCTTGTGTAGCTGAGTTTCGGTGTCCAAGAGCCTCAAGTTGCCTAGAATCCTGCATACTTATCTATTTGTACGCAGTTGGAGTGCTTTATCCTTGGCGCCTAAGTTCAGGTAGGAGAGCTTTACCCAGTGAGGGTGGGCAACCTCAACGCAACAAGCCAGTCAAAAGCATCGAAGCATGCCACCAGGCCAGTTTAAACACGGAAGCTGGCCGCCTGTACTCCTTATACACGTACATATGCGCCTGTGCCACTGGGGGCGGCAAGGGCCATACATAAACTTTCGGGTGACTACCTACCAGAACAGAAACAGACGGCCAACAACATGACGCTCCTAAACCATCAACTCTGAACGACCATCTACTCCTCTTTACCTAGAGGATCATTACCTTTTAATCAAGTATTCACCGTTAAGTCTTTCTTTCACCCCTGCTAGTTCCGCGTGAGACAGCTTGAGTAGTAGTCGCTACTTTAGTGTGTCTGGGCGGTATTATCGCGTCCTGGCTAGGCGATGGAGGCTCTTTTCTCTGTCAGCATACAAGATGGCGTACGGAGTACATGGAGGCATACAAGGCCGATAAAACTTTGATCTTATTATTTCATCTATTTCAAGTATCCTGAGCTAGCGAAAGGTTTGTCGACAAAGGTATGTCTGTAGGATCGGATGAGCGCGAAGAAGCTGCTTGCAAATGGGTGTGCGAGGGCGGGCCTGCATTGGTAATGCATGTCGGGGGTGTCTGGACGCTGGATCAGGCTCCGCGGCTGATTCCCAAAGGAAAAAGCAAAGTTGCGATCAGAATAGCATATAGCCCGACTGGCGCAACCTGACCTCTTGAATGCCACGATTTGCATTTGCCCTCAAGTATGCCCTCCTCATAACGACAATATTCATCCCTCATCAACCAGCGCGTAATCGACATTGCTCTGACGCTGTTCAGGCGCAACTCAGCGTCTCAAAATGGCTCAGGGTATGGTTTCCTCGATTTTTTTCATGCTTTGGCTTGCAGGTCGTGCATCTGCCGATGGTGGGGATGATTTTGCGAACAATTTGGCCTCGGACCTGGGACCGTAAGTAAAAACTGAGCGTGTCTAAATAGCTCGTCCTACTATTCGTCTTTCAAACTTTAGGTATACTAATATCACATGTTTGTAGTATTATTGCGCTATTTGGCGAACGGGTCGTCATGCAGTTCATGAGCCAAGCCATGGGCATCGCCGACTGCATACTCTTGGCCGTCGCCCCGATTGGCGCAATCACCACTGTCGTGAGCGCTATCCGAGTGGCCGGCCCGGCATGGCTGAAGTCGTTTATTGGAAGAGCCAGAGAAAATCTCTCAGCAGCAGAGATCGATGTCATGTCATCCACGTCCAAGGAGGCATGCGAGCTTTGGAACGGTCACAGCGTCGTCAGATGTCCGGGATCGGCCGATATATATCAGTTCATCTGCCTTCTGCCAAACGGGAGTAATCCCGACTCTTTATCTCAAAAGGACGTTCATATTCGGTATGAGAAACTGGAGGAAGTAGAGAATAAAATGATTCTCCAGAAGATCGGTAAGCGTTCATGCATTCATACCCGCTTCTCGGCCGCCTGCTAACATACATTGGAGAAACTGCTGGTCCAAGATATGCTTGGAGATCGTTTAAAAAAATTCTAGCACGGTTTTCGAATAACATAAAGCGTAGCTGCGGAAAGCTGCTGCGTTCTTCCGCTTCATCTTCCCATAATCGACCACGGATAAAAAGAGAACAAACTATGTCGTCCTTCGAGACGGATCTAGAATCCGGAGGTCAGCAAAATGAATCCAGCACCAGCACTCAAATAGAGGTCATTGCACCTGAAAGCACAAAGAACCCCACCGTGATCAGCGGTGTTCCTGTGATTCGAAAAAGAGACACTGCCAAGACCGATTCTAGCAAGACGACCTCGGGAAAGACTGACTCTGGAAAGACTGATACCGGCACCACATATTCCGGGCTTTCGCAATCTGACAAGACAGACAAGAAGGAAATGATTGTTGTTGTTGAATCTGATGAGAGCGCACCGAACCTTCTCCTCAATTGCCACGATAGAGTCGAACGAGGCGAAATCTATCTTGCAGCCTCTATCGGCGTGATACTACAACTTGGTGCCCTTGTATATTTTGGTTTCATCACCTATCATCAGCCTATCAAGGGCAAATTCCTGAAGGATGGCAAGAGAGTCGTCGACTATGCTTTTCCATGTGCCGCTGGAGGAACCCTTCTCTTGGTGCTCGGTCTTTTTATGTGCGCGTGGGTCGTTGAAAAGAGCACAGCAGAGACGTGTTATAAAGCGGATAAACATCAGATTTTTATCGTATGGTTGCAAAAGCATCATACTGTGGCCGAGCAAGTCTTTAGGCCATTTGCAATCTACCCAACTAGGAAACGAAAATATATCACAATGTCCCGCCGAAATATCAGGGAAAACGTGCAAGAGAATCCCACCGCGGGCCATAGCGAGAAGGATGTCGAAGATACAAAGGAGAAGGACGAACAGACTCGGGAAAGAATTTTGGAGAATGTAACATTTACCGGTGCTCTCATTTCGCTCGTTGGATTCATTGGACAATTTATTGGAATGAGAGGACTAAATTGGACAGCATCAGTCTTACAACTTGGCATTACAATTGTGGTGACAATTATAAGGGTCATTGTTCGACGTGGGCTCGGAAAATCTCCGATTCGCACGCGCTTGAAGTCAAAATCCGAGTTGGATTGGTTTGCTCTGAGCTTTGGAGATATAAAATCAGCTCCCTGGGCGATATTTGGCGATATTCCTGGCAAAGGGACGGAAAATGATGCTTCGAAAGAGGACAACTCTCCCAGGTGGCGTGTCCGCACCGGAGACAAGCAGACATATCCCTCTTTGAAGCTGGTCGATGATAATAGCCGACAGATTGAGAAAACATCAATGGCACATAAGATGATGGTGGCGCGACAAGAACTAAGAAAGCTTTCCAAGTGGAAAAGTCCGGTCCGTGAAGAGGCTGCCTGTTTAACATCTGCAATTGAAGCCATTGCTCAAACATTTCTGGAAGAATTGCCGGAAGAAAATCATGTGTGGAGCATTCCAGCAATTTATAGCGGGTTACGAGATGAAAGAGACGAACATGTCGATATAGAACTTGTGAAGAACAAAGACATGAAGTGGCAAGTCAAAGATGGAAGCGAGAGGATCGAAGCCATTCTCTCGCTATGGTTGTACTCGAATTCACCTACGAAACTTTCTGGTGGTTATCAGCCTCACCAGCTGCGGCTGTATGGATCAAGTGAGCATCAGAAGCGCTTGTCCCGAGATCTTCATTGGTGGATGCCAGAAGTCATCGCGGAGATGTCTACACAAACAAAAGCTGAGGTAGATGAGAAGAAAAAGACCGGCACGACAGTGGTGGGGTTCACTTCAGAAGGACCACCCGATAAGTCTACAGACGAAGACGGAGCAGATACGGAGTATCTTGTTCTTGAGTGCCAAGAAAAACAAGAAAGGCTTTTCTCTAAGGACTTGCTATTCTCCTTCTTACGCGCAGTCGCAAAGATGCCTGAAGTCACCATCTCAAGCGCGTCGAGCATACAGCAGATGAACTATAGCAAGATGACAGAGGACTGGAAAGAACTGAAAATTAAAAACGACACCATTTCCAACTTGGCCAGGAAGCTGGAGAAGATCGGATTCGGGACGCTATCGGATATATACTTCGATCTTATTGTACCCTTAAGCCTCGAGCAGAAACTTAGCAACATCAAGAATGTCATCGACGACGCTACAAAGCAAGCACAAAGGTATGAACGAACATGCCAATGGAAAAAATTAGTTGATAGCTGTACTTCCCTTCTCGATTTGGCTATACAATTTGATCTAGCAAAGGAATCGTCTGGTCCATTGGCCATAGCTGTGTGTCTAGGGTTCCTCAGCAGGCTGCGTCATGAATCTGTGCTTCAAAAGGCGGAAGGGAGAGAGGAAGAGGAACTTACCAAGCAATTGAACATTCTAACGACAAAATTGAAGGACGACAGATTCACAAAGCAAGCTAATATCTCAATACCGACGAGGCAGCTAATGAAGGAATGGCACTATGCTATGCCCTTTAATACAATAATCGGTCCTGCAGCAGACAACATGAGATCATTACCAGAGAGTTTCCAAATCACGGCTGATCACCAACAGTTCATGCAAGAAGTCGAGTCGGAGAAAACTCTATATTTCTGGGACTTTGAAAAGCTCGAAAAGACAGACGCCTTCGGCTGGTCGCCGCTTCATTATGCTGCCAACTTACAAGCTGACAATATGCGCATAGTTTTCCGTAAGGAAAAAGAAGCTCTCAACCTTCGAGACTTTATGGGATGGACGCCGTTGCAGCATGCTTGTCTTGTGGGCAACGAGAAAATAGTGGACATCCTACTTGATCGCGATGCTCCAATTGAGATTGCCGGATATGATGGAATCACACCAATGCATTGTGCTGTTCGGAGTGGAAATGCCGATATTCTGCAAATGCTGGTTGATAAGGTCAAATCAGGGCGCCAAAAGTATACTGGAAAGGGCGTGGTCCACGTGGATCGCAACGAGAGGCATCCAATTCACTGGGCTGCGGTCAGGGGAGACGTGGACTCAGTCTGGCTACTAAAGGATGACATTAGCCTCAAGGATCGATTTGGTTGGACCTGCCTTCACCTGGCCGCGATTTATGGCCACGAGGAGTTACTCACATGCATCATTGAAGATTGCGGAGCAGATATCAATATCGGCGATAATGATTCCCGTACGCCTCTGCATCTCGCAATCGAAAACAAGTCTCTGCCAGCTATCCCTTTGTTGATCAACGCTGGCGCGGACGTCAATGCCAAATCAAAGGATGGCTCAACTCCGCTTCACATAGCAGTTAAACAGGTGGAAACTGTACAGCTACTTCTAGAAAATGGTGCCGATAAGGAAGCAACCGATCTAGAAGGACGCACGCCACTCTATCAAGCCCTGGCAGATGGTACAATTGAAATCGCTACACTTTTAGTGGACAAGGGTGCAAACGTTACGACTGCGGCAAAGGATGGGAGAACACCACTACATATGGCGCTTAGTCTTGGGACAAAAGGATTCAGCATTGCAAAGAGACTTCTTCAATCTGATTCAGCTACAGCCACTTCTTATGCTCAGGCTAAAGCCAAAGACGAAGCAACTCCACTTCATATAGCAGCAGAGCATGGCCCATCCGAAGCTATAGAGCTGCTACGTGGACTTGGAGCTGATGTTAACGCACTGGACGATTTCGGACAAACGCCATTGCTCATATCAATCTACAAGAAGAAATGGGATATCGCTGAACTGCTGATCAAAGGTGGTGCCGATGTCTATGCTGACAAAAGAGAGGGATACGCGCCCCTACTTGGTGCGGTTGCAGGAGGAAGCGATAGAATTGTACAACTACTGTTGAAAGCCAAGGTCAACGTTGATGCCGTCGACGAAGATGGATATTCACCATTGCATCTTGCGGTCTCCCAACATGAACTCAATATCCTTCAACAGTTGTTAAAAGTGGGCGCGAAAATCGATGCTGTTAGTGAGGCTGGTAACCAAACGCCATTACACATTGCTGTTCGCAACAAGTACAGGGATATTGTAAAGATCTTACTCGATAAGGGAGCCAGCACCACTTTATACAACTCGCTTGACTTCTCGCCGCTACAACACTCGTTGTATATCGGTAACCTTGAGCTTGTACAAGACTTTGTTGCACATGACAAGAAAGCAAGCGTGAAAGCGGTGTTACAAAAGGGAAAAGACGGTAATACTCCAATGCACACCTTGTGTCAATGGACCTATTACGAGAGCGATGAAGAAACCATGCTCAAAATGCTCGATGAACTTTTAAGCATTAGCCCGGAGATTGACATCAACGCCAAGAATGATGAGCAACTGACTCCGTTAGATTTGGCAGTTATTAGAGCGGGGGATTATCGCAATTTCGTATGCACGTTGGTGAGAAGGGGAGCCACGTCAGGTTCGGAAGAAACATCAAGAGAGTTTTTAACATGGAAGAAGGATATGGGTATTAGCGATGAGATGCTTGGATAATGGCAGAGGGGCAGGAGTATAATAATTTGGGGGGTATTTAAGTACGTGTGGAGACTGGTTCGGAAACAACAGAACATGATAATGAAGTAAATAGAAAGAGAAAAAATATTTGACTCTGTAAAACGGGTCTTATAAATTCCTACGGAAATTTTTTACTCAAGTGGCGGCCCTATGGGCTATCGAGCACCATGCGATGTACTAAAACTGTCTACCCTACTAAACAAGACGGGCTTGTTCTTGGTCTGATTCAATGACAGCGTATGAATCTTCGAAGAGTTTACTAACGAAATCAGCTAGCATAATGTCGCTGCCCTTAGCAGCTATGAATCCAATAGCGGCAGGAAGTTGTTCTTCCCGTTGCGTGAACTTTGAGTCATATGGCGTAGAGCCAACTATACATCATAGATTAGTAAATCCTGGGAAAGTCTGAAGAACAAACCGATCATCTAATTGTTATGTACTTACCAGGAAAAATAAGCTCTGGACATTGAGCATAAGGACCAACATTATAAAAAAAGAACCCTTGGCCTGTAAACTCTTGTGGCCCCATCTTATACGTATCCCGATAGTTTGGCTCGCCATTTGTCCAAGGGAGAACGATGATGCTGCTGGAGTAGCCATCCTTGGTAGGCGGCATGATATGCTCATAGAACCAGTCGTGGTATGTCTTGAGAAGTCTCTCACCCTCTGCCTTTTGCTTCTCTGTTACTGTCGGTGTATATTCCCTGCGTAGCAGTCAGATATTTTAATCAATTTCATGCAGCCATCCTACTTACACTTTGAATCGAACCTGGGGGTTGAGGATAGGTGGTTTACCCATCTTATCCGTGTATTCTTCGATGAACGGTTTAAGAAGTCCTGTCCACTGGTCGCGGTTGGCAGACCAGTCGAAGGCGTGATGAAAATATCTGCTGATGGATTCGTCGGCCCCTTCTGGGCGGGTTCTTTTCCATGTGTCTGCGAGATTGATATTCGTACGATTTACACCCAGAAACTTCTCAACACGTACGATAAAACTTTCCATGACCATTTGGCTTTCTTCATGGTTAACTGGCCAGTAGTCGGTCAAGTAGATTAGCTTAGTTGGTTTCTATTGAAAGTAAGTACGTCAGCGGTTGACGAGAAGCCGTGGATTAAATGCATACCTCGTAAATCTTGCCCTGCGTTTCCGCCGAGCCGTATAGTGCTTGCGCGAGAGTCTTGAACTCCGTTGCCGTTCGGGCAAATCCACCAATCGTATCCCAATTGCTAGGTGATAAATATGTAAGCAAATATAAGTTCATAGATGTCCGCTGAAAACATACGAGCTGTACGGCACTAAGCCGGTGGTGTTTGCGGCTCCAAGCGTGGGCCTCATTCCGAAAATTCCCTGAGCCGCGGAAGGAGATCTGATACTCCCCAAAGCTCGAAGATAGTTAGCAAACGCCTATTGATATACAGTAATAATGTATCTTACTGTCTGTGCCCAAGGACATGTCAAGCCACTTATACGTGGATACGGCAGAAGCACTGCCAGCACTGCTTCCACTGGGCGTGAGATAGCCATCTCCGCGCGGATTCCAAGGTCCATGATAGTCGACCCAGTCACTCGTTGGCCATTCTGAGTCAGCAAATTGTGTAGTCTTTAGCTTTCCAACTATGACAAAGCCCAAGTCGATGAGCCGCTTGACTGTTTCCGCGCTTTCTGTTTTGGGTGGATAGAGCTCGGTGTAGGCACGCGAGGAAGCTCCAGTCTTGAGCCCTTTCAAGTCTATAATGTCTTTTATAGCTATGCGCAAGCCCGCGTACGGCTTCTCACAAGAGTTGGTGTAATATAGGCGAGAGGGTACGGCGACAGTGAGAGCTGATGGAAACTGTTCTCCGTACGCAGAAACACCCAGGGATCGAAAGCTTCAACAGTAATCAGCTCTGGCCACAACAGGCAGAAGTTTCAAGCTCAATACTCACCCATCTCCATCATCTGGGACTGTGGCCACTATAAAGGCATCAGCAGTATCTGGGTACAACCGATAGGCTTGGTAAAGTTGACCGTGATGCACAAAATAAGGACCCTGGGGAAGCTGAACTTCCGCTGCACCATTGTAGAAGAGACGTATATGGTTAGCTCCAAGGCTGCGAAGAATATCCCTGTCGTTTTCTGTGAGTTCAAGATCGATGTCGGTTGTCTGGACTATTATGGTCCCAATGAAATCCCTCGACCAGACGTCATCTTTGGTGCTGAAATCATCCAAGATGGTTTGGAGCTCAGCCGCGTTGGGAAAGTGATGATCAATCGTAAGAATGGTGCACGCTTCGGCAGCCGTATCGCGGTCAAACGTCGGTGTGTCAAGGTGAGAGTCCTATGGATCATCAGCAAATGATTCGAGCTGCACGACGCATTCAGGCCTCACAGAAGGAGCTAAAGGGTGGATGTAGTAAGAAATGTCGCCGACTCGGACAACTGCCGACACAACCTCTCTAGCCATGGCTTGTCTGTAGAAGATGGTGAATATTGCTGCGAGTAGTACTGACAATATAGCCATCTCATGGACTAAAACTCTCACGTTGGGCTGTGCGAGAAGGGAGGGGAAAGTGATAGCAGCTGCAGCTGCAGCTATGGGAATGGAATAAAAGTTGGGAAAGATAGAAAAGCTGAGGTGCTCAATGACGAAGAAAAGGCGGGGGCATCAGAACTCCCAGAAAATTGAGGCTCTGTGGTGAGAGTATGTGACGGTGTGCTTTTGGGTGATGTATCTTGGGTACACGTCAGTATATGTAGTGGTGGTGACACAGATGGATTCACGTACCCGTATACTTATATTAATACGAAAATGAATTCTCAAGGTTGGTAACACGGGCCGCACAGCACCAGGCTTTGCTAAAATTGGCGGCCCCTGCATATACGAATGCATGTATACCTTACCTGGCTTTGTGTTTCCTGACAAAGAAGAGCAAGGCCAGCCGTCCGACCAACAGAGCAACACTAAGAGGAGTAGACGTTGGTAACATCGACCTCATGCAATAGGCTAGCGCACTGATTGGGATCAAAGTGAATGGTTTCATATTTCCTCCGGCGTGCACATTTACCTTTCATCTCCACGGGGACAAAGCGCAGGCACTACATTCCAAACCACACCTCTTTCATATCTGTCTCCTCAGCATCCAGAAACATGGAGCTCAAGCCTGTTGAGGTTGAAGCAGCCAGCGAGCATTCCAGCGAGAGCACAGACGTTTCATCGCTATCGCTTTTCACGAATTTAGACAAAGAATGGGAGCTTGACAGCTCAAAGCCATCTCTACACAATGCCAGCATTTTTTACATGAAACCAAGTCCCCAGTACGACGCCGAGAAGCCGTATTTCTTCAATGTCCCAGTGGAGGCCTCTTGGTCCCCGAAGGTAAAGCAAACTAATGTGTGCTATACACGCAAAACCGTCGCTATAGCGGATGTGCGTGGACATGAGCGAATATTCTTACTGGACAAGCATGGATTCCAGCTAGGAAACTTTGTCACGTCTCTCTCATACGATGAATTTGCGTCAACTGATATCATCGTCGGGCGATATTACGAAGAGGTAAAACAATTTCTCAAGGAAAACATAGGGGCTATAGATGTTCTCCCGTTCGATTTTCAGGTATACTAGCCTTCATCTAGTGCTCCTATATTTCATTGGTTAACCAATCATATAGGTCCGTCGCAAAGATCCTACTCTTCCGTTTGGATCTAGAGGAGCCCCGGGGAAAGCTCAGCCATTTGCTGCAGTTCATGGTGGTAAGGAGGCCATAATTAATGGACTAATATATTGCTCCACTTGGAGAACATTTCCTGATAAATCGACAGACCAAACAATCAATGCTGCCTACAGGCGCTTGAAGCATTTTCATCCCGAATACGCTCAGAAGTATGCGAAAAATCGATTCCAGATCGTCAAGTAGGTGATCTTGAAAGCGTTTGAACGTCAAAGTAGGCAGCAACATCAGACTGATGGTAAAATAGTGTTTGGAAACCACTGAGAGGTCCAGTCTGTGACTCCCCTCTAGCTGTCTGCGATTACAGGACTGTCAAAGACGAAGACCGAGTTCCCACCGATATCATTTTCCCTGATTATTTAGGTGAAACATACAACCTTTGGCCGAATCCTAATCATCGCTTTTACTTCATTGATAAACAACGAGCTGAGGAAGCATGGATGATCAAGTGCTTTGACTCGGAATCGATGATAAGCCCAGAGATTGCGCAATGTACTGAATGATTTATACATCAAAGAACAAATTTGGTTCTAATGTGGCTAACATTTTATAGTTGCACCTCACGTATCGTTCCCTTACGGGCATCGAGGGGATAACAACCCTAGAAGAGAGAGTGTAGAAGTAAGAGCATTCGTCTTCTATTAATAATTATCGAGTGTTCTGGAATCTAGTAGACACTTCACATCTTTGTCATTCTATATCAATACATGAGTTTTTATTCGATCTCTAAGATTACAACATAGCATGTGCCTTGGCCATGTCAAGCTGCTGCCATAGAGTTGGTGCACAGTGACTTGACCAGAAGACTCTAAGCCTTCGACTATAATTCAATGAGCGATATCTCTCTACTGCAATTAAAAGGTAAGTCGAATTATATGAATGTCTCAAATTTGGAAAGAAGTAGATAAGACGAGGGCGCTTCTAGATTTTGAAACTTCTATTGTTAAACAGACACAGGTATATTTCTTACGGTTGAGTGTTATCCCATTTGTCAGGACTTGGTGATTTAGATACATGCCAAAATATTGGTGGAATGATTTATCAGGAACAGCTGAGATCTACTTAATTCTCACATTTTACAACAAAACTGTAAAAGCATAATTATTTTCTTTACCCGGTAGGCATCTGAAAATTCACGTCTGTGATAAGAAAACATTTCACAACGTTGAAAAGATGATCGTAGTTTCTTTTATTCTATACTAGAAAAGACTTGTCTGAGCTATCTATATTTAGCAAAAGTATAACTATCTCTTCTAGCCCAATAGTGTTTATATCGTTACCTTAACCGCCCTCTGCGACAGTGGTGCAAACATGCTGCGTATGATATAGTTAATATAATGTAGCTGGCATAACCATAGAAAAAGATAGAGGGACATACGCATCCCTTTCCATTGCAATATCGGCAATCGAAAGATTCGGTATTCTTGCAAGGGACGTCTACTTCGCCTTCAAATATATTGCACCAATGATACCACGGTTTTTCGTTAGGGTTGGATGCGTCTCTCTTCCATACCAGCCAAGGCTTAGCCTTCAACTCTGCGCGAGTAAGGTTGGCGGCATTAACAGGAGGCCAGAATTCTCGCCACGGTTGATAGTTAGGCCCTCTTTCAGGACGATTTATGGTATCCCATGCGAGAGAATGGGCATCCACGTCTTCAGAAAGATTCTGGTAGTGAGACATATTTATCAACGTAGCAGTGGCCTAGGTCTAGATGTAGAGTAAGAAAAGATCGATCAGAGGTTGTGAGTAGGAAGTCTTGTAAATTACCTTTTTTTGCTTCAATTTTCACAAAGACATCGATATAAAAATGGAATTTAGGGACGTAAGTTGAGGAAAAGCGGTGAGTCCCGCTCCTCATATATATATACATAGGATACCGCATAACATAGGTATTTATGCGTAAGTTTATAGCCTTAATTCTCTAAGTATCTTACATGTGTATTGTCACTCTAGCGAGTCCAGAGTCCAGTATGTGAGTGTACAGGCTTCATTGTACGTATTGGAAGAGATATTTGCTTAGCCAAAACTTCGGCTTGTACATATTACATTCTCTCAGTGTTGCTCATGCAAACGGCAACATATCTAGGTACATGTAGATATAGGTAGTTCGAAGTACATAGAGACAGCTACATGTGATAAGTCCATTTGACATTACCCCTCAGGATAAAGCACCGTAATAAAGTCTCCGAAATTGAACGTGCTACGCGTCTGATGATGATTGGGCAATTAATATAATATTTGGTGATCACGATGCGTACCTAGTGTAACTATGTTGTTGCACCTATGCTTTGTAACCCAAATATTGGTCTCCATTGGCTATAGCATCCACACCTGTCCTACAATGTATTCCAACAAGTCTCCGGTTCTGCTACATCCTACAATTCTAAAAATATACGAGATGTATCAGCTTTTCTTGTGCTCACACCCATGTTCGTGGTAGACTTTTGACGCGAAGCGGTGAAGCCTTACTTCGTCCGTAAGACCTCGTCAATACTCAGCTGGAAAAACAATGGTGTTACTGATATGTGGTCACACCATGTATACTATTCGTATTTCAGTACTTACCTTGTTGTAAACGATGAAAAGAAAAGTGTTTCATACCTGACTACAGTGGTAGCAGATTGAATGTAGATAGCGAGAGGTGCAAGTCGCTATCGGAGTAATGTTTCGCTTGCCAGTATACACTTACTAGAATCCATACCGCATAGAATCGAAATCAACCTAAATCTACAATGAACAATTCATGCGAAGATCAGTTGTCAAATCTTACAAACATGGTACGTAAACTCCGGTTACCAGCTGTTAAGTAGCGTGACATCTTGTATCATTGATACCTCGTTTCAAACCGCTCTTCTCTTTCCTAATTGCTAGACTAAATTGGCGTTGTTGTATTGCTTACAAGTTATTGGTCTCAATAATTAGGAACCAGAAATGCCCAATATTTCGAGATTCGAAATCACTGGTGTTTTCACACACCCCAACGCCAAAGCCGACATCGTCCTCGTCCACGGTGTCAACGGACACCCCCGGAATACGTGGACAGCCAAAAATGGGACGTTTTGGCCTGTCGAATTACTTCCCAAATCTCTTCAAGATGAACACGCCAATATACTTGTATACGGCTACAACGCTGACGCTTACTCACGGGGGAAAGACCAGCACGCTAGCCACAATATTATCTTGCAACACGCTCAAACTCTCGTGACTAATCTCACAGTGTATCGCAAGAGCAACGCTTGCTTCAAAAATCCTATAATATGGGTTGCGCATAGCTTTGGTGGTATCCTGGTGAAACGCGCTTTGTTGTACTCAAACGATTTGCGCGCCACCGATCATGGGGATCTCCGCTCTATATACGTATCCACGTATGGTATTATTTTCCTTGGTACACCACACGCGGGGTCCATTCTCGCCAATTTGGGTCTTTATATTCACCAAGCATCCCGTATTACTATTCCGAGGTCGATATTCCAGTCTGAGTCCGCTTTGCTAAAAACACTCAAACGGGATAATGAGCGGCTCCGGGAGATCAATAACCAATTTCTTAACATCTACGAGCGTTTCAAGATACACATGGTACACGAGAACCACAAAACCGATTTAAAGATAACAAGGTAAGCTCTGTGTGATCCTGCTCTTCGTGAGATTATGTTTACAACTAGTACCTGTTAGGGCGTTAGTAGTAGATGGCCCTTCGGCAGGAAATCCACTTCCGGGAGCTACATATTATGGAATAGAGGCGACTCATTCCAATATGTGCAAGTTTAAGGATATAAATGCACCTGGATATCTGATTATTTCTACGGCGATCCGGGATTGGGTTGGCGATTCTACTGAGGTCATAAAGAATCGATGGGATAATGAAAAGGAGGATCGACATGCGAAAGTGCGTCGTGACATAGACGAGATGCAGAAATCATCTGTAAGTAATGTAGAGTAGTGATATTCTTGAAATGGGTGTCTCGCCCCAAGGAATAAGATTGCTGAGCTTTTATTTAGATCTCACTACAGCCCTTAGTAGCTACAAAGCTTTCCCGGGAAACTGTTATAGCTGACATGAAAGAAGTCCATCAAAGGACTGCCGGCGTTTCTGATACCTTCTCATCTGGACTCAGTTTGCTTGAGCCATCAGGTAAGATATATCACTTCTATGTCTATCATATAGCGAAGCAGTTTTGGGATAGAGAACTTGTTTTGAAGCAACATTCATTGACAGAGAGAATTTATTGGTATCTGTAGCGAACGTCCATTATCTCGGCCGCCGCCTTGCTCAGGCACGCATTGACGGCCAAGAATTCTTTCAAAGTCTGCAAACTATCGACGAGAGTATCAGCGCTTTTACTGCGCCAATCCGTGTTGATATCCAACGAGAAATTGTGTTTGACATCCCTTATCCCAGGAACAGATGGTTTACTGGGAGAGAAGAAACACTCTCTAATATCCAAGATTTCTTGGTACCCAAAAGGAAATTAAGAACAAGAGAAGTCTCCCAACTAGCCTCATATTCCTCAAAGATTTTTGTGATTCATGGACTTCCAGGCATTGGAAAAACCAATCTTGCCCTTGAGTTTGGGTATCGTCAAAAATTAGCATTTACTCACGTCTTCTGGATATCTTCTGACAGCGAAGAGAAGCTTAACCAAGGACTATACAAAATCGCACAGTCGTTGGGATTAGTGAGGGATACCATAATAGAAGACGAAAAAAACATTGTGAAGGCAGCAATGACGTGGCTCAAGAACCCTAATCCAAGTAAGAATCCCAGAAACACATCAGAAAATAATCACTAAAGCTATCTAGAATACAAATGGCTTCTCATATTGGATAACGTTGATAATGCTCAAGTCTTAAACCCTCTCTGGTCAGATCTTCACTGCGGCTCAGTACTCATCACCAGTAGAGATCCTATTCCAGGAGTGGCAGCGGTGACATCTACGAGCCGCAGCCATCGGCTTGTTCAGCTATCTCCATATGAAGGAACTGAGTTTGTGAAAAAAAGATTGAAAGAGAAAATACAAGGAGACATCGACGATGATTCAGCAGCCGACCTAGCAAAGCGGTTTGCGTACTATCCACTCTATATGTACCATATGACGTCTTTTATTGAGATGGCATCGTTGACGTTGGATGGATTTTACGAACAATTGGAGTCTGAGCCTGCTGCCGACGACGAGCTTCAGGATTTGTGCGTCGATAGCCCATGGTATACGAAGAGTGTCGCCAAAGCAATCGAATCCCATATGGCAAAACTAGATCCTCAGGCCCGGGAGATTCTCACAGCCGTGGCTTTTTTTGATCCCGACTCAATCCCTGAGAGATTACTCTTGTCGACTGATGGGAAAGTGTCCTATCTTTCTAGCGCTATCAAGCGACAAAAGATTCTCTTCTCGTTAAGTCAACCCTCTTTCATATATATTAATACAGACGACGAGGGCTCAGAGAGATGCATCAGTCTGCATCGCTTAGTACGTGATGCAGCACTTCGATCAGATTTTGAACCACAGAAGGCATTCGAGACTGCGGTTTGGCTTCTCAGAAAATCTTTCCCACTACACAAAATGTCGCGAGACCATATGGTAGAAGACTGGGCTGAATGTGAAGTCTTTCAGCCACATGTTCTTACCCTTCATGACCGTTACCTAGATTTTAGGAAACGCGGGGTTCTCGCTCCGTCGTTTGAGTCTATTGAGCTGATTTACTCATGCGCCTGGTTAATAACTCTCTCATTTTCTTTGCGTTCACAACATTTGCACTGACAATATGCCGGGCAGGTACCTTTGTGAGCGTGGCCGGTTCAGTATCAGCAAGACCCTTATTTCCACCGTCTTCGACGATTACAATAGCCTGAGGAAGATACCGCAAGCTGTTCCTGTTGAATTCCTAGCTGACCTCTATACTGTTCAACTATACTATAGCAATGAAACGGACAAGGGGCTCAATCTTGTTGAGCTGGCTACACAGGCTATGAATATCCGCGAAAATGCGGTCGAACAGGGTCTTATGGATCAGTATCACCCAAATCGAGCAAACGGCCCAATGAATGTCGGCGTTGTCTTGGCCTTAGAAGACCCTGAAGCTGCAATTCATATGCATTCTAGAGCCCTGGAAATAAGAAAGGGATCTAGTAAGTACGAAGCTGAGCAAATATATGGCTTTGCCCTGAATTATCTCAATATCGGAAGATGTTGGTGGGTGGTTGGAAAGTTAGACATGGCCGCATCCTGTTTCAAGCAGTGTCTGAGTCTTTGTAAAAGACGCGAAGCCGAGGTCGGCAAGCGGTTTTCACTGTAAGTCATTCTACCTTATACGCATTGATATTACTTGCTGAGAAAGAGAACAGGACAGCCTGGGCACTATCGGCTTTAGGGATCATTCGAGCATATGAAAATAACTTTGTGGACGCAATGAGGTTGATGTCTGAGGGCTTAGAACTCCATATATGTACCATGGGTGAACGTCACATAAAGACATTGGCGTGTTACTACCGGCTTGGGTGGTTGTGCCAACGAGTTAGAGAATACTCACGAGCAAGGTAAGACAGGGACGAGCAGATTTACACGCACTATGATGGTCCAACTCTTTCTTACGCTTTATTTAGGCAGCTTCTTGGTATTTGCCATGATGCATACAGCGCCTTATCGAGCAAACCCGAGTTAGCACGAACAAAATTTCAGCTCTCGAAAGTTCTAAAAGAAATGGGTGCCGCAGAAGAGCAGTGGAAACGAATGGATTTCGAGTCACGGGCGCTTTTGTCAGAAGTCTTGTTAGCAAGAGGGGCGACCCATATAAAAAAAGAGCTGTTCGAAGAGGCGGATTTTAACAATGAGATCAATTATTATTATCGATAAATGCAAAGAACTTTTGCATCTTATCCAGCTGTTCTTAGCTTTACTCGCTCACAGTCACAAGTCCAGGCTCTGTTGTATTTTATTATAGCTATTGGTCCTATTATTCCATTTCTCCTTCAATGCCGTTTTTGTTTCGACCTATATCTAAATATATATCTCCTCAATACTTCAGAGCAATATTTCTTTAAGTAATCCCCGCTATTACATCACATTCTTCTTCTTCATGAGGATCAAATATTTGACTAGTGGCGGGGAGCAGGACCGACTATATAATAAATTGAGCCGTAAAGAGTGAGTTTCGCTCGCAGACAATGATGAGGCAATGAAGCAAAAAAAGAGAGAAAATATTTGATTCAGCAACGTGTATATGACAAAGAGGTATACGCATCAAAGCAAAGACAATTTGTCAAACAAAAGATGCAAAAAAGAAATTTCCAATTCCGGATAACGCATTGGGGCATCTTGCTCCCGGCAGGGCTTGAACCTGCGACCTTCGCATTACCAAGGCTAGACGGTTAAGTCTAGTATTAGTACGAAGCTCTAACCAACTGAGCTACGGAAGCGCATCCGATTTAAGAAATTATCGGGTTCGAAGCCGAGAGGCTCCGAATTGTTGAACGACTGATTCATTATTGCCATTCATATAGGATAATAGTACCGTATCTCGACGATTATCCTCAGCATTGGAGAATATTATATCGTATCGCAGCTCTACTGCTATTGGGAAAATAAGTTTCCTCCAACTATATACCCTTTTTCTTTCTATGCAAGAACCAGCAAGGAAATTCTAGTCTCAGCAATTATACCCTAAAAACGTATCACGCTGGTCCAGGCTCTCCGTTTATAAGAATGTCATCTCGCTAAACGCATTTCTGCTTCATCCACGCCTGATTGTAGCTTTGTAATAGCTTTTAGGAACAACAGAGCCTGATATTTCGGCTTTTGACCATCATGAGTCCACCTTGACTTAGCCATAAGGCTGGCACACCAACAGCGAAGACCAGTCATAACTGGTTAATATCGTGGGAGCTTTGACATAGCCACTATGGGCATCCGTTGAGATTGATAAGATACACATACTGGAGGATATATCACTTCAGTTTTTCCCGAATTTATTATTTTCAACTTGGTTTTTGAGTCCTTCGTCGGGAATCAAGAAGACATACCCGGAACTCCAAGTACACTGTCGGTAGATTGCCTGCCATGGACAGAAATTTGGTGGCCAAACGGGCGAAATTGTATTATCTACCGAACTTATGCGACCAATGCTCCCGAATTGACCTGTTGAATGTATTCAAGTATGCCGATACACATTTTAGCCCAATAGGTGCCTCCAGCGGCAAAAATATTTCTTGGACACATTCTTCGAAAGAGGGATACTTTGTGACGTGATGTAAAGAACCACCCGCAACTCTGCGGCAAGTCGATTCACTTTGACGAATTCGCTGCAGAGTTTCACGACGCTGACTATGGAGATCACGGCCACCGAGGCCTACTTCAAATCAATGCTGAAGGTGGCCAAGCAAGCCGACAAGGATTTTGCAGCATACAGCTAGGAGTCTCTGCACGTTGGGGAGCACCTCGTTGAGTTGCTGGGCGGCATCGACCCGATCCTAATGGCGATCGAATTTATTTGCTCGACGTTCCCTGAGGCGACGGTTAACGGTCCTCCCTGAGCCCATCACCACCCGCATCTTTGGCGTATTCGAAGACGTGCTCCGCACCATCGATGAGTTTAGGAAGGGCCGCGACCAGACCATCGCAGACACCTGGCTTCTCGCGCAAGAGTACGCGAGGCCTCACAGTGAGACGCCCAAGACATGCTCGCTAGAGGACGTATGCCGCACGAAGGCGCATGGATTGGGCATGGCTGGGCTGTCTTCGCTCATCAAGACGCCACGGGAGCGGCTCGACAGCACCAGCAGAAGCTTTCAATCCATGCACGACCTGGGAAAAGCCCCCTTCGATGGCTACAGCACAGAGCCGCCCCCCGATGGCCGGTACGCCAGGCTGGATTCCGCGTTTGCTTTTGTGACTGCTGCTGTCGACAACACCATCATAGAGGTTCTCGGCATTCAAGGCCATCTCGGACCAGTGCACGGCGGTCGAGGCCCGGCTGCTGGCCGCCGACTACGCGCGTGAGCAGCGCACCAACATTGCCAACATCGCCGGGCCGGTGAAGAGCGTACTGGAGGTTTGGGATCCGTGCCGCTCACTTCGAAGGAGACTCTGGCAACAGCTCTCCCGGCTCAGCGGCGGAGGTGATGGTGTCGTACGACGCCTCCAAAGCCCCAAAGGAACCGCCTGGCGAGATCCAGGGCTGGATAGCCGAGATCCTCGACACGCTCCTGTCCGCAGCCGCTGAGACCGCGACGCAAGAAGCTCTGGCAAAGGTGCTCCACCTCGACAACGTCAGTGACGGCATCGGCGGGTTGATCGCGGAGCTTCAGGGTTTTTTCCACAGAAAAGTCGGAGCTGGGCATCGCCGTCGACAACCTCATGCGCAAGGCGGCGCCAAACCCCCAGGAACACATGCACCACGCCACCCAAAAAGAGAGAGAAAAAACAAAAGGGGAGGGGGGAGAAGGAAAAAGAAATTGATTCTATGGTAGTTGGCAAAAAGTTCACCTATTGTACCATAGGTTATGAAAACCCCTTTTTCAAGATTTTCTTGCACCTGGAATTGAATCTCGAGTGCACTTGCTTATATGTATGGTTCGGAACACTAACCGCTCGGCTAATGCCCGAGGGATTTACACCATTACTACCTAGGTAATCAAGGTATAAATGAGAGTGCGGGCATAGTAAACGCGATATCTTCCACCAAAAGAATCCCCGAAGTCAGTAGAGGACAAGAAAATGGTGCGATAGCTCCGTTTGTTATACATAGAGAAGATACAAATTGGGCTAAATCGTGAGCCTTGTCTTCCAGAAATGGAAGCATGCGCTTCCAGTTTCTAAGCGCCTCTCTGCAGAAAATAACGGATTTTGCTCATTAATGAAGATCTTACGGAAACGTGTCCGATTTCGGAAACATTTGGATTCAAAGTCGGAAGGGCTCCGAATTATTAACAGCTGAGGTTATTATTACCATTCATATAAGATATCTATTATGTTCTGTCTTCACCAGGCCGTATCACTGAGCTGCTTCCCGCTCATAATCTCATTATTGGAGACTTAATCACTTACAGACATCATTAGTCTTTCATTATCCTGACCTGCCGCTAGCCTCAATATGTTATCTCCATTGGCTCCAAGTTGACATGATGACTTGAAAAGTCTGTTTTCTCATAGACATATTCGCAGGGTGGCAAACTCAGGTGCAGGTTCGCACATTTTGGCACTGTATTGCTTAGTCATCCCAAATAGCGAAGACTTCTTTTCTGGTCATCGAGATTCAACAAATGTTCCATCTCAGCCAGGTTTCGGCATGTCTACTTCACCATCACCTGCATCAGTGCTAAACTTCAATGCGCTCTTCGATAATCCTCTGTTCGCCGGAGGTATCGGCCTCGCCTCCTTAGGAGCTGCCGCAGCGTTTGCCCGCAAAGGATCAATCGTCGTCCTCGGAGCTGCTCGCCGCCGGCTTCTTGTCAATGTTGAGATAAGCAAACAAGATCCGGCATATCCCTGGATCCTCGCATGGCTGTCACAGCCTCGTGAGACGCCGGGCTTTATTGCCTCGCGGCTCACAAGGATTCACAACCTGTCAGTGGCGACTGCGACAGCTTCAAGAGGACCAGGAGCAGGCGGGCCTATCAACGCTCATTTCTTTCTTCAGCCGGGATATGGACGCCACATTGTCAAGTTTGGCAAGGCTTTCATTTCGGTCAACAGGGAGAAACACAATACGGCGAACATGAATACCGGAGAGCCGCATGAGATTGTCCAGTTAACCACCCTCTGGGCGCATCGACATGTATTTGAAGACCTCTTTCGAGAGGCGCACCAATTGGCCGCAAAAGCCAACGAAGGAAAGACGGTAGTTTACTCTGCGCGCGGGCTTGAATGGAGTCCGCTTGGAGATGCTCGAAAGAAGAGGCCGCTCGGCTCAGTCATATTGGACGAGGGGATCAAGGAGAGCATAGTTGGCGATGTCAAAGATTTCTTGTCAAGGCAACAGTGGTATGTTGATCGAGGCATTCCCTACCGGAGAGGATACCTTTTGTTTGGGCCTCCAGGAAGTGGCAAAAGCTCTTTTATCCAAGCGCTGGCGGGAGAGCTTGACTTTAGTGTCGCCATGATCAATCTCAGCGAAATGGGTATGACGGATGATAAATTGGCATACCTCCTCACAAAACTGCCCAAGAGAAGTCTGCTTCTGTTGGAAGATGCGGATGCTGCCTTTGTCAATCGTCGACAGCGGGACACGGATGGATACAGCGGTGCCAATGTCACCTTCTCAGGTCTTCTCAATGCGCTCGATGGTGTTGCCGCCGGTGAAGAGCGCATCGCTTTTCTTACTACCAACCACATTGAGCGCCTAGATCCTGCGTTGATCCGACCAGGTCGAGTGGACTTGATGCTGAAAATTGGCGAGGCAACAAAGTATCAAGCTACACAGATGTGGGATCGCTTTTATGGCGATGTTGACCAGGATCACTCGGGTCGGGCACGGTTCTTGGAACGGCTGGAAGAACTCGGCTTATTTGGACAATACAAGGACGGTCAAGCTTCTAACCGGCACACAAGCGCTGCTGCTATTCAAGGATTGTTCCTGTTCAACAAAAATGACATGCAAGGTGCCATCGACATGGCTGAAGGTCTAATTCCAAGGAAATTTGAGGCTGAAGACCCAACTCCTGACGGGGCTATCAAGACGCCAGTCTGAGAATGTTGTGGTGGGAGACCATTTGTATAACAATCATGTACATTATGTTATAAAATTGAAGGATACCCCGGGTAGACAAGGAAATATTGTGATGATAGCTTGGATCATTTGGGCCATGCATCCAATTTGTTGAATCAAGAGTCGATTGACCCATTTCACCTCTTTTACTGTAAATAAGAACACAGTGCTGCGACGTAGGTTGAGACAAGGATACGTAGTCCGGGTTAAGCCAATTGACTTGGTATGTCGACGTAGTCTGGAGGCAAGGCTTCTCAAGGCTTCCCAAGGCTTCTCAAGGCTTCCCAAGGCTTCCCAAGGCTTCCCAATGATGGAATGTTTGGGACTAAAGCATTGTCCAATATGCACTCAGGAATCGTTGTAATCGAATAACAAATTTCCTTATCTTAACTCTTTTATCTCATCCAATTTTAACTCGTTTTGTCCTCGCTCAGTGTCAGTGTCAACGAGGTGTCCAAAATATCACCAATGCAACCTAATCAAGATTGACATAATGTTTGACACCCCAAGAGACCGACCGTATGGTATATAATACAGCATAAATGCCAAACACAAAGTGGGTATTTCAATGCTTTTCCCCCCAGACAGAGAATCCGGCCTGTTCTTATCCTTTGATCTAATAGGGGAACATCTATGCAAGTCCTTGCTACTTGCCCAGCCTGAGCCAGAGCAATCTAGCATTCTATACAGATTCAATTTGCTTAGTGAAGACCTTGAAGTTGACACACATCCAAGGTATGACAGGTTGTGAAACCTTGCAGCAGAGCTGTCACATGTGAGTACATGGCGCATAAGATGGCGACATGAAAGAGCTGGTGTGAGCTCCCAAAGATATCAAATGTACCTGGCGCCAAACGCTCCGGGATTCGGAACTGCAAACAATTCGTTAGAATGAATTCTCGTCCTTCAGTGAGGTGAGCGTGCGAGACATACCGCGTAAAGGCTGACTCCAGTGCCATAAAAGGTAAGCTCAACCAGGTACCATTTCATTCCAGAGTATTGGAGCATGTATTCAAGGCCGTATCGTTGGACTCCATGTAGCAGTGGGATGAACGATGAAGCGCCAAAGACAACAAAGGCACCCACTTTCACTTTCCGCCAGCGCGGCGTTTTAAGAATGGGGTTCGAGATGAGAACACCGGTGATTGTGCCCGTGGATAAGATCTGAAACTCATGTTAGCGTACTAACTATTGGATGTTCAACCCAGCTACCGGGTGAGAGAGTGTGAGCGGTGATGGTCGCTCGGAGAGACTGACAATACCCCAATGCAGTTTTTGCAAGTCCGCCTCGCAGAAAAACACATAGAAGATGCCGGATGAGAACGTGCCCACTGTGACAATGACAATACCAAGCAAATCCATTCCGTGCCAGAACAGGTCTACGCGATGCGAGTGAGGCTGTATCAGGTGGTAAAGTGAGCTCAAGACCAAACAGATTTCCGCACACCAGAAGTAGACTCCAAACGCCGCATAGTCCATGGACAAGACGTTGAGAAATTGAGGCTGGGACAGCAACCGAAGGACGAGAGGTGCCAAGAATGGTAGGAGCAGAGCTCCGATCAGATGAGTGTACACATTGCAAGTCTCGTTGTGCAAAAATGTCAGGCTGGCCAGGACCTCCAGATAGTCTCCGTTCTCTGGCCGATACCCGCTGAGGATATACTTGTTGTCAAACTGCCAATCAGCAACCTCTTGCCACGATACCGTTCGCGGTTTTTTGGCCTTTGGCAGACTTGCGGGGTTGTTCGTGGTGCTCATGTTGACTTGCGGCACCTGTCGTTTCTTGAGTTGTGTTTCTGACATGATTCCTCTCACGAGAAGTCAGAGCCGCGCTGACTGACGATGAAGCACAAGACACCAATGCCAGCGGCTAGACTTTTAAGTAAAAAGCAGGGGGGGGGGTTAGATAAATGTCACAAAAGATTGATGATAAAAGTGCAATGCAACAGCAAATAGCGAGGCACGGACGCGCGAGGCCCCCAACAAACTGGTTGTCGACGTGTTTCAGCGCAGAGAGTGTGGCTTGAAATCATTTATCAGGCAATAAGAACCAATTACTACAGGCGCACACAATAGTTTCACTTCCCATCTTCAACTACGTTGAGTTGCCAATGGAGGTCATTGGGAGGCCAAGCAGAGCAGGGAATGCGTGCCTTCGCGCCTATGACCACACGCAAGTGGACACATGGCCCCCAACATAGCCGCCTCAGCTTTGAGATGGAGGGTCGGCTGTCCGTTCGGTTTTCAAGTTCTCATTCTCATGCAGTACCTACTTGGTACCGCTGTGCTCAGGTTACAGCGGGTGGCTCCATCGAATATGCTCGTTCATATCCACAATTCCCAGCTTACTCCCTTGTAATTGCAGTAGCTGAGCCTCAAGAGCTGGACTGAGGAAACTGACCTGTCAGAAGGCGTGGGCTGTAGACACACGGCTGGTGTGCTCATAGGAGGAGGATCTGCACGCTGGGTTCATCACGGCTTTGGGTGCGTATTCAGTATAGTACAAGCAGTTGAAGTTGAACACAGCCCGATGCGAGGCGAGGGGTTCTATCCTTGCATCCATACAATGGCGACGATTACCTGATCAGCTCAAGGTGGGATACCTATAACATTTTCTTGCAGCCTTACACGGCACACCTGATTTGTCTCTTAGTGACATCGCGGAATCTGCGAATTTTCGACGTACAACCATGAATGCAAGTAATTTACAAGTTCTGTTCAAGAGCACGGTCGATTTTTTGGTTGGAAGACAACCGGAAAAGACAGAGGAGCCCGTGTCATTGAGATCACAAACACAAGCAGCCTGGGTGCGCGCGGATGCATTTCTACAGAGCTACGCCGATGAATCCGACGAGCCTGAGCCTGAGCCTGAGGACATTGCAAGAGCGCTGCGCGCATTTGAACAGTATGTCCAATATAACCCGGATGAGAAATCGGCTTCTGTAGGTGATCCCGCTATACGGCAAGCTTCAGTCTTTCGGCCTCTCAGTTCCAGCTCACCTACTAACACCAGAGTACGGAGCAGGGTTTACGCCGCGATGTGCCGTATCCCAAGCTTCAGGCGATGCACGACATGATGGAGCAGCGGCGTCGTGGTGCGATTACAAACCCAGGCCCTCCCATTCAGGTCAGTAAACGGAAACGAGAAAGTGACGCTGTCATCGAGGAATTTTCGCAAATAGACCGGAGGGCAAAGATGCGCCGAGTTCTTCCTCCTCGCGAAGACCCGAATGCCATCGACAATTTTGACAAAGACCCCGATGCCGATTTCGCCGTGCGCATGAGGAAGCATCTAGTGTCGTTGGACAATGCGTTGCGGCAGCACTGGGTATGCGTTTGCCAGAGGTGCTCGGGGTTGAGCGTGAGACTTTCGCTGCCACAGCAGAACAAGGATTTCAACGTTGAGACGAGCTTCGAAGTGTTCTTCGGCGTGCGGGCTCCGGGTGAAACTGCATTGCAAGAAGCAAAAATAACGATCAAGTGAGCTTTGTGAAGCTTCATCCAATGACTTCTACTGACATTCCGCGGTAGAGACGTACACAACAGCAGGATGAGAAGCGCGTCTGAGCCCGTAGTTAGCACCACGCCCGAATTTGTCCACCTATGCCAAAGCATTACAGAGTCGCTCGGTCAGCAAAACTGCTTGCACTTGGCTCTTGAGGGTGGGATATTTCAGAGGCTTCGCCCGCAGCCAAAGACTTTTGGCGGCGATCAAATGTCGCGAACGGTATCTTTGTCGGCTCTATTCCAGCGTCAGCAAGAATTACGTGGTAAATCTGCATTACCACTCAAGGGGAAGCGAATATTAGCTGTCACACTAGCTGCTGCGCTGCTCCCATTCTTGGAGACGCCGTGGATACAGCCTTCCTTCAATCACTCACACATTCTATTCGTTGATCCGCTGGAGGATGGACAACTCCCCGACATCACGAAGCCCTTCCTGGCCATGGAACACGTTCCGATCATCGCAGCCGGCAGGGCAGCCAATGGAGTCAACGCTGACAGCTCTAAACACAATGTTCATCCCAATGCGAGTGTGCTAGCGCTAGGCATACTCTTGTGTGAGCTTCACTATTGCACACCTATAGAGTTGATGGGAGATGACCCGCACGGGACCAGGAACGTCAATTCCGATTATTATACCTGCCTTAAATTGCTCAACAATCTAGAAGCTGACGCCGGTAGAGATTACTTTCTCGCTACGAGAGCATGCCTGCGGTGGGAGTACCTCCCTCCTGGACAGCAGGCCGCCTTTGAATCTGACGACGTTCAGCGGCTCTTCTATCAAAACGTCATCAAACGACTCGAAGCTGAGATATTCAAGTCATGGGGTCTTCGAATGGAGAACTTGGGCTCACTTGATCCTCAACAGAATCAGCTCTGCTGGGGTCCCTTTGGTCAAGAAGTTGTCCGCCATGAAACAGCCAAGGTCGAGATCTCTGACAACGGATCACGGGCAATCCCATATCGTTCAATGTCTGACGCCACACCCGCGAGCTACACAACTCTCACGCCCGATACGGTATCACGAGTGCCGGGGTCGCGACAACCTTCTCCAAACCCCCAATTCCGTGCACAGCTCGTCGAGAAGAGTCTGTACTTTTTTGACGCAAGCCACCAGGCGGGCAATGGACAAGAGTAAAGTGTTTCCATAGCATTATGAAGCTTCACCATACTAATGATTTGCTAGGAGTCCGCTTTCGATACAATGGATGGACAACCTTCTGGCCTCGATTTATCACCATGTTGATCCTTTCGACGCTTTTGAGCCTGGTACCAGAACGTTCGAACCCGTGCGAATAGCCATCTTGGATTCTGGATGGGACCCTGAAAATCCACTTCTAATGACCGACCAGGGCCCGGATCCACGGATCAGGGACTGGCAAAGTTTTGTGAACGGAAAAGCCTCAAATGATACTCGAGACGAGATCGGGCACGGCACTCATGCTCTTGGACTCCTACTCAAAGTTGCCACATGCGCTGAGGTTTACGTCGCTAGAGTGGCAGGTCGCGAAACTCTAGATCGTGCTACTTACGATGACATTGCAAAGGTAAGGCTGGCTACATGACGGAACAAACTGTTTTTTAGACCAAACTAATTGTTTTTATAGGCCATTGACCACGCGGTGAATGTGTGGAATGTGGACATTATATCAATGTCTTTCGGTATTCGGGAATATAACAAGCCTATGCAGGAGGCCATATCTCGTGCACTACACAGTCAGACATTGCTCTTCGCCGCGGCATCGAATGATGGAGCAAATCTTGGGCGAGCTTTTCCGGCCAAGTATCCCAGCGTCTTTTGCATCCACTCAACGGATGGAAACGGCAATCCCTCCTCGTTCAACCCAACAGCAGACGACAAAGATGTCAACTTCAGCTTACTCGGAGAGAATGTCTCTTCTCACTGGCCGATTGGCAAGAATGGCCATTTTGAACATGTTAATGTCATGTCGGGCACATCAGTCGCGACACCGATCGCCGCTGGGCTTGCTGCAGCGATCTTATCTTTTGTGCGGCAGCAGGAACAACACATGGCTCCGGGAAATGAGTTACTAGGGTCGTGGCTGAAAGACGTCCATTCGATGGATGAGGTCTTGAAGAGTATGGTCAAGCAGAGGAGGGGGCAAGGTTATGACTACATCACGCCTCATACACTCTTTGATAGGAAGTCGACAAGGGAGGAGGTTTACAACAAGATTAAGAATATCAGAAAACACTTGTATGACTAGAAACGTAATAACGATACACTCCACTTCCAACAATATACCCAATTCATGAGATCTCAAGTATGTTTCAATTTATTTTTATTCTTTCATCATCAAGCAGAGACGCAATAGATAATGCCATTCTCAGCCACATCGGGAACGGCTATCGCAGTCTTGATGTCTGACCCATCTACATCCTCCACCAAAACAGCTATACCGTCATCTTTTTCATCGCCAATAGCCAAAAAGGCGCCCTTGTTATACTCTTCAACGGCAAGTTTCCGCCCAAACTTGAGTCTTTTGACACGGAACGCAAACACAAATTCAGATTCGCGATTAATCTCAGTCTCATCATCATTCGTGCTGTTCCAGCGCCCTTTTGGGCCAAAAGTTGTAGCCAGCGCAGGCACGTCAATACCAATGTTCCCAGAGACCTTTGTGCTCTGCGAAGTTGAGTACTTGATTCTGGCGCCTTTGACGAGCTTCATGCCCGTGACGAGGAAGAGCGAGACACTCGGTGCGAATTTTTGCTTGGGCTCCCTCAGCCATGTCTGTATGGTGGGTGCCTTGACGGCTTCTTGCACATACTCCTGCGTCGGCTCAAACGCCAGAGTCGTTACTGTGTCAAAAGCAAAGATACTCTTCGTCGTGTTCGAGTGTGCAACGTTGACTTCGGGACCGACAGGCAACCCGCCACTAGCCAGCTGTAGGAACTGTGCGTAAACACCCAAACCGACGCCCTTTTCGGTTGAAACGGTCTTCTTCCAGTCCGTCTCTACGACAGGTGGGAACGCGTCAGCAACGGCGACGGTTTTTGCTCTATTCAGAGGGTATTGCGGGGATGACGTAGAGCGAATTATAGAACCGAGGGATAACGGGCCGGTTGGTGGCGGATGGATGAAGTCGGACGTCGGACATAGGAAATACGTCTTTGCAAAGGCCATGGCTCAAGGGTTCGGTCGAGACGTTGCAAGGGTTTCCTTAGGGTTTTCAAGCTGTCCAACTTCCTATTTACTTGACAAGTTTCCAAGTTATATGTAGGTACCAGAACTCTCAACTACCTAAGTATTAGCAAGTATGCCTAACCGAAAGCTACATAATGATTGCAGTAGTCTCGCCGCAAAGTGTGGAGTGAAAGAGGCTCAACAAGTGTCCGTGTGCTTGGATCGCCTAGACAACTACGTAGTTGTATCTGTAGTTGGGATAGTTCAGACAATATAAGCCCCGGTAAGAGAGTGACAAATAGTGAGGCTTCCTGATGTTCCTTCTGTGGCGTCAGAGTTGCGGGCTAGGCTAGCAGCCTATCCTTGCCCCTGTCCCTGCTCTGATCCTGGTAACTCAAGAACGCCTCTGGCCACGTTGATTCGATAGCGAAATGTGAACAAGCCGGACCGCGGGACCAACCGAACTATCGCGCGCCTTCTCTATCATACGACTACATTCATGCAGAGTCTCGCATATGCCTACCAACCTGGGTAAGTGGGCTGGGAGCCTTGTTGCACTTGTTGCATTCACGCCCCCTTTGATTTTGGTTTTCCGTGTTAACGCAAATCACGAAAGCGTGGCCCATAGTATCCATCCTTGAGTCTCTCTTCAGACCCCAAAATATTATGGAATGGTAAACATGAATGTACTGTACTTTTATTCATTTCGCGCTTGTTTCCGAGTTCCAAGACTTTGTCACACGGATAAACCCCCTTGCTCGGCGCAAGATACATTTCTAGTACCACGCATTGATGATCCTTCATGCCGCTAACTGGTAAAGCCTCTGTCTGCTCGTAAGCGACTTGACGCACGAGCAAGGGCTCTACATGTTTCGTGCTTTGACTTTTACTGTGAAACACCCGCAAAAAGGATCTTGGGGTCAAGGTTGATGCCAATGCTCAGCGGGGCAAGTGTTTCTAGACAAAGACGACGGACTGAGAGAGCTGCGGAAGATTACGATTAAACGAGAATCGCAAGCCAATTGGCATGGATGTCAGTCGCTAAATGTCACTGGCGTAGCCGCTGCTCAATTACGTCCATGCCTTTTGTCAGATTGTCACGGCGGTAATATGTACCCTTTGTGCCGCTACGGTACGGCATACATTAGCTGAGGTTGGGCACAATTTGGCATTGACAATACAATACAATACAACACACATCCATCATCACATTCTCTGACACCTTGAGAGATTCATACGACGTTTTTAATCGCCATCTAATTGTTCACGAAATTTAGCAGCCTCTTTCTACGTAAAGACGGGCATCAGCTCCCTGCATCTTCATCTTTGGCGCAATCACGAAGTCTCGCCGACCGCATGTATCCCACTTTTTCGCCATGAGAAGTCTGGATCGCATGGAAGATGATCTTGTAGAAGATGTCTTTCTCCAAGAGGGCCTGCGCCCGACCATCGCAGAACACGCAGCACAATGCAACTCTCTATTTCGTAAATATATGGTTCTGCCCGACATCGTGCCAGATCCTACTGTCATGGACGACCAGCTGGCGCGCTTTACACTTTGGACATCAAACATGGACATCTATGGACCGCTCAATGTTTCGTTGGACTACAGACTCCGATTCAGTCCCACAGTTGTAGACATCATACATCAGCTCCTAGACGTCATTTGCGATACTTTGGCATCTTGTAAGTGCTCAGCGCACCAAGTTCAATCGGCCTGAACATCAAGGATTCTATGCTAATGGGAATTGGGACAACAGTGAAGCCGATCAACAACGACCCACCACCGCAGACTCCAAGCAGGAAACGACAACGTATATCAGAATACAGCGATTCGAAACTCACAAGGAGAGACGACGACGACGCAAGCGACTCAGACAGCGACGTGGATCAAGCAGAAGAGAACTTTTCGAAAATCACAGACACAATTGGCGGGACAGTATCACGACTCTTTCGCCTATCGAATGCCGTACGAAAGTCTGCAAAGACTAACCGGGCTATGAAAATTGAAAGATATACAGACGATAAGGAGGCGAACGAAAAGATAGCTGAATTAAGTCACTACACAGAATGCTACATTAAGTTTCGATTTCCTATGGCGCCCGAATCCCTTCGCTTGGCATTGATGAAAGCCAATGAGCTCCGACTTCGACGACTGTATTATCAGCGATCCCACCGAAGGCGCATCGACTTGACTGTTCAGAATCCTCAAACTAAACCACCTGAGGTTCAATTGCCCAAAATCAAGGAGAGTGCTCCGGCTGTACGCTTTGCTCCGAGTGCATTGCCAAAGCCTGCGACCACCAACAGAACATCGGGACAAGGTGGTGCCCCGGTGGTGCCGGTAACGACTGCAACTACTGCTCGACAAACTGCTGTTGGAGCTTTATTGGCCAAGTCGGTAACCGAGGTTCCTCGGGCTAAATCTGTTCTGGTGAACAACAAATTGTCGTTTCCTCCATTACCCCCAACACAGGAGTGCCCATATTGCGGCGTCATTATTGAGTTCAAGAACTCTAACAAGTCAATGATGTGGAAGTAAGCAGCCGATGCCTATTCTCTTGATAATGCAATAGCTAATCTTCTCTAGCAATCATGTCATCGGCGATCTAGAGCCTTTCATTTGTGTTTTCCCACACTGTTTAGAGGCAGGTCATCATAAAACCGGCCCGCTCACATTTGAATCATCGAAAGCGTGGATCGGCCACATGCAAAACGCTCACGGACATACATGGGAGTGCAGGGCCCCTTCTCACCCTCCCAAAACCTTTGATCAGGAGCTCGACTATCAGAAGCATTCAATCGAAGAGCATGGCGTGCCTGAAGAACATGCCGGGATGCTCAGCAGCGCAGCACGAAGACCAGCCCTTAATAAGTTGCTGGAGTGCCCATTTGGCGACGACTATCAGCCCCCAGAAAAAGCCGAATCTAGTGCCGTTTTCTCAAGTGATGCTCTGCAGTTGCACGTCGCTGCTCACATAAAAGAGATTGCTCTGCTTACATTGCAAAAATTACCTAGCGATGATGATGCTAAAAGCATCAAAAGCGACGAAGGATCAGAAAATGATGGGCAAGGGGTTGCAAACGTTCGCAGATCCATGTACAGTTTACTGGATGACGAGGATCTGGACTTCCAGCAAGACAGCTCTGAAGTTGCAGATGTCACTGGGGACCCCCGTGAAGAAGATATCAGGGCATCGGTATCAGGACTCGACTTGGAGGACAGAGACGAGGAAGGCATGACGAAGCTTCACCGCGCGGTGCAAGCTGGCGACGGGGACTTGGTTGAGTCTTTGATCAACGAAGGCGCGAATTTGGTCAGCAGGGACAATAGCGGCCGAACAGCGTTACATTATGCTTCCATGGGACAGTCGCAGATGGATATTGGTATACCGTCTCTGCTCTTGAAGGCAGGCGGTAAAGCCATCGTGAATCTAGGGGATGAGAGCGGCCAAACAGCGCTTCATTACGCTGCAGAGAGGAACCTTGTCGATAACGTGCGTACCTTGATTCATCAAGGTGCTGATATGCAAATCACTGACAAGTATGGATTCTCACCGTTTCTCTGGGCCGTGGTCACCAGGCAAGAAAGAGCTGTGGCGCACATGGTGCAAGAGGGCGCCGACGTCAATTCAACCACCGCGGATGGAAAGTCTGCGGTAGCTTGGGCAGCCAGTCTGGGCTACACTAGCGTTACTTACCTGCTTGTGCAAGACGGTGCCAGCATGCATGCATCTCTGAGTCGAGATTCGCTGGGTGTGCCACTGGAAGAAGCGGCAGCTGTTGGTGACTTCCATGCCGTAGATTTTTTCCTCCATCTTGGTGCGGATCCAAATTATCGCGATCGTGATGGTTGGTCTGCAATACATTGGGCAGCAGAGGAGGGCTATCCATTAGTTGTGGGCTCGTTGCTGGGTCAGGGGGCCAACGTCAACGCCGTCAGCTCTTATGGCACGTCACCACTGCACTGTGCTGCAAGCGGAGGAGTTGTCTCTATTGTGAAAATGCTTCTTGAAAAAGGAGCCGACCCTCTCAAGTCAACATGTCACGGCTGGACTGCGCTACATCACGCCGTTTTCATGGGGCATTCTGAAGTTGTCCAATTGCTTTTAGAAGACGACCGCGTAAGATCTAGTGCTACTCAGCAAGATAACCATGGCTGGTCCGTTCTTCATCTGGCCGTCCATAATCGAGATCTGGCTACTATCAATGTTTTGATGGATAGCTCTCTCATTACAGAGCCTCGTGCCTTCTTCGATGAAAGCGGCCTCACTGCAGAAGAATGGCTGGACCTTGGGCCAACGAGCCATCCCTACAAAGCGACCAGTAACTTGGCTTTTAGCAAATCACGCTGTTGCAGGGCGACCACAATGTTACGATATGCCGTTGTCATAGGCAATATTCCTATGATCAAACTATTCATCAGATCGGAATATTATAAAGTTAATGACATGGACTCCGGAAGAAGGACCGCTCTGTACTACGCCGCCAAGAAGCGCATGCTTCCCATCATGGATCTGCTTCTCAGCATCGGTGCCGATCCCAACATCCTCCCTACAGGACGCAAAACCTGGGAAGAATTTATCTCAGATAAAGACGTTTTACAACGGCTTCACCAGGCTGGATACCAAAGGCAAGATACTGACCCTGAGTTGGAGCGCCAAATCCGACGCGCACTTCGACCCAAAGGTCAGTTCTCTATACCAGATCGAACAGTCTCATTCGCACCGGAAGAGTCAGTCAGGCCAATGTCGTGGCGGCCTACTTTCCCTACTGAGCCAGAACAATCGTCCTCATCTGTCCCGGCTTCGTCAACGCCATCTGTTCCAGATCATTCAGCTTCAAGTACGCCGATGGAATCACCGGCGCCTACACCGCAGACAAATGACAATAAGCGCAAATCGAGGACGGTTCGGTCGCGCGCAACGGGCTTTTGGAAACGGCTAATAGGATAGCACGGTCATCTCGTAGAGGAGAGATTGTTTTAGTATATATGTACTTTTAGCTATAATTAAACCATTCACAATGAGTGGAGCTTTATTTGACTACATGTACTTGTGATTAATTGACGAAAACTAAACGATAGATATAGGTATCATTAACGTAAAAGGACGCTCAAAAGTTGTATCAATCTGCCCAAAAATACCCAAAATCGATTCCAAACGTAGACCCAGCTACAGGCACTCTTCATTACATGTACTTAGTTCTCACTCTGCGCTGCCCACTCCTCTACCAAGAAAGCCGTGCAGCATTACTTCATAAACCAATAATCCCCTTTATCATATTTTCGACTCCCGGCAATTCGTGCAGGTGCTGCTTCACTCTTTGCTTCAGTTCCGCCGCAGGCAGTGCCAACCCATACTGCTTTGCAATGATCAGACATTCCACAAGGGTTTTGCACGCCCTCTTCTGAAGCGATCCAGGTGGTTGTTGTGCTATCAAGGCACTGAATGCCTCCGGGATTGCCTCGCCAATCAACCACCGGTGGGCAGCGGCATTCTCCTGGCAGAGAATCAAGCATGATGCGGAGGGTATGTTAAGAAAACGGTCTAGTCCCTTGTCTTGAGAACGCTGAGCAAATTGGACAATACTCGTGAGGAAGAGAGATAGCCTGTGAGAGTCTTTGGTTTGGCTGATGACCATGAGCTCATTGGCGCATGCCTGATTCAGGTCACTGAACAAGTCAACTTCTTGGCCGCTGCCAATATATCCCTCGTAGAATTCTGCAATGACCCTAGCAAAGTAATCGATTGGTTTCGGCTCTTTGTTATCGAGCATACCAAACTGGCAGGTCAAGAGTAACGCCGAACGATGCACGTTATCTTCTCGGTTTCCACTTTGAATACAAGCATCGAAATCGTTCAAGAACTCGCGAACACCATAGTGCAGGTACTCCTCTGCATCTCTGTCATAGGCAACGGCGGCCCAATGTGAGAATGCCCTAGCTGTGATGAAATCCCCTTCTCTCCATCCTTGTCGATTGGCTGCAAGTTTAGTTTCCGAACCGACGAGGACCGCAATTGCCAGCAATGCGTGAAGATCTCCAGGAGCGACGGCCCGAAATATCTGCGTCGGTAAGTCGGTCATGGCCGTCAGTCTTCTAGGATTCCTGGCAACAACCAGCTGGACGAAGAACTCGCGATACTGTTCGGCCCATTCTCGCAGTTCGTCCGTTCTATTCTCGTCAACGAGCTCTTGTAGTACAGACATGTGTTCCCAGCGGTCGAACGCTATAAACTTCAGATATAGTGTCATTAATCTAAGAATGATGGGGAAGCGGAACGAAAGGCCTAGGGCTTTCATAACCATGCCAACATTTCGCGATGCCTTGTTGTATCTTGCAAGGAAAATTGGTTCTTGAAGCGTCAATAGCTCCTTTACCCGCTCTTCCATTGGGTCTGTAGGTGGTCTCAGGGATGCGACTCCTGGAGGAGTTGGCAATTTGTTGACGCGCGCTCCACGCTCAAGCAATATTTGGATGATTTCCCTCGAGTTCGCTTGAATGGCTCGAATCAGGGGTGTGTCGCCATGCTCGGATTTACTCTCGAGACGGGCACCTCGGTCGATCAGCACAGACACAATCTCCTTGTGCTGTCCAGTGACCGCCACATGGAGTGCCGTCAAATCGCTCCGATCTTTGACGTTAATACGAGCACCATGGTCAAGCAGTAATTCGACCATATCTCGGTGGCCTCTGTTGACGGCCCACGAAAGCGGCGTCCGGCCGTAATTGTCCTTTCGCGATATGGCACGAGAACTCTCCTTGATCAGCAGCTTGGCCCAAGCTACATTGCCAAGGTACGCAGCAAGATGCAAGAGCGTGAACTTGGGCGGATTTCTGCCATTCTTCTCCTGCTCCCAGTAGAACTTCCACCAATCGTCCCGGATTGGAGACTCAACCTGGAAGAATGGACGCGGGAACTCGGACGACGGATCAATCACATCCATGGCGTGCTGAAAATGTACCGGCCAATATTGACTGGCATAAGTCAAGAGAGGATATTTGGCAGATCTCTCTTTCATATTTCCGGGACTTCCATAACCACGTTCAACGTGTTCTAGACAGGTCCGCATAAGACTTCTATGAGTGTCGTGGTTCATGCGGAACCTGCTGATCCCCTTAATGTTGACTTGATTGCTCTGGAAAAACTCCTTTGCCGATTCGTGGACCAGATTGACTACATTTCCTTGGATTTTCACCATTAGTCCGCAGAGCCTGAGCCGATTCCTGATCACGTCCGTTGCCGAAAAGTTCCCAGATCCCTTGATCCCGGTGGCCGCCGTCAACTCATCTAGTGTGAGAGGCCGGGCAGCGAGAACAACCCATTGAAGAATGGGGACCAGCGCATCCTTGTCCTCAATTTGCTGAAGAAGCCGCTGGTAGACACCACCAAGACCTTTAGGAACACGATGGAGAATCTCATTCATTTTGTCCCAACTCCTGCCCTGAAGCTCATTGGCAACGAATCCAACCCACAAAAATGTGCCATCAGCGCCAGCCAACAATGCCCGTTGAACTTGGGCAATCTGTTCTTCCGAGAGGTTTTGGTCGTATGCCAGTTCGGCAACTTTGGCGAAGATGTACGTTTCTATATCACGCGAAATCTCTGTACCGGAAGCGTCCAACCTGATCTGTTCATATTGGCCAAGCGATCTCTCCAAAATGGCTGGCTGGGGTCGGGAGAGAAGAATGAGCTTCAGTCGTGGCCTTTCTTTTTCCTCAGAGGTCGATAGGTAGGTTCCAATGGCATCGAGAAGCTGTCCGAGCGATTCCTTTTCACATTCATCCAAACCATCCAGCACACAGACTACCTGGGAAGACCCGCTCTGTCGAAGCAGGGTAAGAAATACCCTCCACAAGGAGACGAAGCTGGAAACGGTATATTTGGTTGTTTCAGTGCCCTCGAAGGAACTTCTGACGTGTTGCGCCAGGTGTGGATGGCGGCTGATCCATTGATGTATGATGCCTCTCATTATAGTAAGTGCTGTGTTCCGGCTCTTATCACGGTTGCTACAGAAATAATAAAGGAGAACATTTTCACCAACGTCAACAATTGGCTGTAGCACTTCGGTGATATAGATTGACAGCATGGTTTTCCCTTTTCCAGGGCCACCTGAGATCCAGAGAAGTGGTTGGTTGGCGTTTGCCAGCCATCCCTGATAGCTGGGGTGTTGTATAAGCCACTCGCAGGTGCCGTCAACTCTGCGCCCTTTCAAAGCAATAAGGGATTTTCGATCAACTTCGGGCCGGGTGAGCAGCAAAGCATCCAGAACCGGCGCGGCCTCAGCATATGTGTTTGTTGCCAGAGTTGTCGCCTTGACAACCGTGGGTATGAAAGAAAGGACCTCTTTTGCATATGCCGCTGCGGCGACGGCGGCATAGGCGTGCCAGAGCTTGGAACTGTGCGAATCCGCATAGTCGCAGATCCCTCGAATGACCAAGTATTTGGCAGCATCCTTCAAACCGTTCACCTCCGTCTCCAAACAGAGAGCGCCTTGCTTCTGTGCTAGCTGGTCACGAGTCTCTCCGTGGCGTATCAGAGAATTACCAGAGACAATCAATCCATAATGAACTATAGGGTCTTGTGTCTCCCGTGGCTGCCGAGGCCGGATCCTATCTGGATTGCAATGTTCGCATCCATCTTCTTCAGACTCAATGGCGGTGTGGTGATAATCCGGCTCAAAGAGGACGTCTTGCCCTGGGCCCGGATGAGCAAAGGCGACGGGGTCTTTCTGCACAATTTCAGAGATGTACTTGGACATGTGACTCTCATCAAAGATGGCGGCTGTCTCAGCCTTTCCCATAGCTGTGAGAAGTAATGGTGTCGGCTGATTTGACGCTCCGCCGCGAACCAACTGATTTTGATCATCGACTTGCTCCCCGTTCACATCGTATTGGCATTGAATGACACCCGGCCAGTCAGCTGTCGATTTGCTTACAACGACATCGCCGAGACGAATATCCTCTCTGGTTTCTGGAACTCCTCCCGCAATGCCAACCATAAGAATGAACCGGAGAGATTTGAAGCTGGCGAGCAGCTGCGTGGCCACGCTCGCCACCGACACTTGGCCATAGACGCCAGAACTTGGATACGCGATCACGACATTGTGCCCTTGAAGACTCCCTAGAATGTAGTTGTTGCTGTTGTCCAAGTTGTGATCAGGTGATGAAGGCAGGTTATCGTGAATGTGATCAAGTGTCGCTTTGGCCGCCGCAACCTCTACCGGCAATGCGCAAACCCACCCAACTAAGTAGTCCTCACGGGACGCCATCCTCGGGCAGGTAAAGCGCACAGCTCCACAGCGACAAAATGAAAGTGGAAGTGGAAGTGGAACTTCTAGGAGCTCAGTGCCATTCGTTGTCTTAGAAGTGGGAGGTTGTTCTGGACAGTCTATTGTCTAAGGTTTGTAAGGGACAACGAAATCGATTTCGTAGAACATTGTTCGGGTTGATGTGGGCGAGAAAAGCAAAGCATGGAAAGGAATCCATCGGTCAAACAACCAAATGTGTAAGACAAGGAGTGTGCATCAGCGAACACGCGAGGATCACCTCAATCCTGTACCTTGACCTCAACTCTAGTGCTGCTATACCCATAATACCTTAGCACATACATGTAGGCAGCTTCAGCCCCGGAACCCCTGTGGAAATGGCCATGTATCCTCAAGTAGATCCCCCGCTTGGGTACTTGACAGGCATTATAAGCGCCTCCATAATAGGTTGTCGGTAAGTTTCCGCCCACAAGTTGTCAGTCTGACACCCCCCCTCCCTCAGTTGTCAACTGAACAGCATGACAATTACCTAGGTATTTACATTTACTGATGCCGCAGCCGTCTATGCCGTAGACAGCACTGTCTTTCATTGGTCTGACAACCGATTTTTACAGGCACAACGCGCAATCTCTAGGGTGAGGCATTTTTACCATTGGGCGAACACTTGCTGTAAACCAGGGGACAACAGAGCCTCACGACACTGGAGCTCATCATTTCTCATTTAGTAGAGAGAATGTTCAAGCACGAGGTGGAGTGGCCTCGTGTTGCATATCCGTGACAGGTAGGCAGTATGTGGTTGGGTGTATCCGTAAGTGAACGGCATAAGAAGGATTTCCGTCCCCCATCAGCTGAGCGGGCTCGCTTCCTATAATAGTATAATAGGACAGCGCAGACCGACGCCAGCGAGGGTGTATTTGCCAAGTACTCTGTACGGAGCATGTATTGAGCCGACAACAGGTTTGTATGGCAAATCAACGTTGCACATCTTCTTGCTAAGTGGGCGGTTGGCTCTGCGACGTGGTTGGTCCAAGGGCATCAAAGGATTTTGTCAGTCACTCAGCCCGTGTCGCAGGTTCATTGGTCTTGCAGGGTCTGGGACAAAGCAAACAATGAAATTTGGGCTTTTCTCTCTTCCATGCACATTCCAGCCTTTGTAGTGTGAGCGAGGCTGGCGCCTAAGAGCGACAAGAAAAGATACCGACGCAGAGTAAAGTCCCTTCTTCTTCATTTTCCATTCAACGTGTACCTATTCAGCCGCGACGCGCGACAGCAATGACATCTGCTCCCCGTCTTCGCCTTTCGTCCCCCCTGCCGCAGGTACCAGTGGCGCACCGAGACTCCAAGATCGATTCCATGTCCCTCAGCCCACGGCTTCTGAGCAGCACCTCCAGGGCCGGAAAGTCTCGCACTGTTCTTCTTTCGTTTAACGAACTACCACATTGGCATCAGGATAATGAGTTCATCCGTCATGGCTATCGCCCAATCTCGGGCTCGGCTCAGGTTTCATTGCGCAGCTGGTCATTTATCCACAACGAGACGGTCAACATCTTTTCTCACCTAATACCAGCAGTCGCTTTTCTTCTCGGCGAGTGGTATATTCTACAGTATCTTGCAAGCAACCACCATAACATGACTGGCGCCGATTTCTTCATCTTCGCCTTCTTCCTCTTGACTGGTGTTGTCTGCATGGGACTGTCAGCGACATATCACACCCTTATGAACCACTCCCACGAGGTTGAACAATTCTGGCTCCGGTTTGATCTGGTTGGCATAGTTATCCTGACGCTGGGTGACTTTGTATCGGGAATCTACATGGTGTTTTGGTGTGAACCTTTACAACGCAAAATTTACTGGTCTATGGTGAGTCTCCATCCTTTTTTTTTTTTTGTCTTTGGTTTCCTATCCAACGCTTACTTTGGTTGACAGATTGGGGTTCTCGGATCGATTACCATCTTCATCATGTTAAATCCCAAGTTCAAGGGCAAAGAGTTTCGCGTTTTCCGAGCACTGGCGTTCGTAGGGACTGGCTTATCTGGCTTTGCACCCTTGATACATGGAATCGTCATGTTCGGCTGGGCGCAAATGATGAAGCAGTCCGGACTGCCCTATTATCTAGCCGAAGCAGGATGCCTTCTGCTTGGGGCCTTGATTTATGTCGTAAGTCCCTAGAGTTCGCACGTGATGGAGGTTGTTTCTAAATGCCCTTATTCTACAGACCAAGTTTCCCGAGAGCCGGTATCCTGGTAAATTCGACATCTACGGCTCTTCCCATCAACTCTTCCACATCCTAGTAGTCTTTGCCACGGTGTCTCAGTTGGTTGGAATACTTACTGCCTTTGACTACAACATCAAGAATCGAACATGCTCGGCTCACTAAATCATACATCAAAGAAGATGTCGTTAACAGCTGAGGCTTCGTCTCGAGTCGTAGAAATATATCATTGCTATGGAGCTGGTTGCATAGAGCATGGGAGAACTTCACGGGTGACTCATAGTACCTAGATATTAGACTAGATAGCAGTTGTAGAGCTAGCAGCTCTTTGATCTTTATATCTGACGGCATAAACGCCATGATGAGGAATGATAGTCAGTTGGATACCCTGGGTTACATAGCGATTGGCGCTCTTCAGCGAGGGAAAGATACCAAGCTTTCGGAGTAAATATCACCCAAATAAAACATAAATACTAGCTAGGATCAAGATAGAATCATTACAGCAGATCTAAACAAGGCATTTAAGGTTATTTTATAAGGGAAGAAGAGATAACCTTATTTAGTAAGATGACAGCAGTCAATTGATACGTCATAACACATCTGCCTAAGTATTGAAGCAACGTTGCTGAGGGCCTACGACTCTTTTGTCTAGTAGTCTCGAATCAAGTCTCGATACTGATCCAATAAAAATAAGGGAGGTTTTACAAAGCAACTCCTCGATATATCTAGTGTGATTTGACATGCTTACTACAAACCGACGCTTTGAGTTATTCCATATCATCTAGCCGTAAAGACTCAACTCACGTCACTAGTTGAACACAGGTAGGTTGAGGAAAATCCATTATCCATCTCAATTACGTTCATGTCAGCGAATCGACTTTGAGTATATGTTTAAGATTTTCTCCCTTTTAGGATCATGTATTATGTCCAGCAGTCGCACAGCCCGTGAATAAAGCAATAATGTCCGTCTTGCATCTGTCATCCATTTGCAACCTTTGCTAATTGGCGATTTCAATATTGTAAGTTTGACAACAGTCGAAGAACTAGGGTAAAACAAACAGCTTGTGCCGATTTCGAGAGCGCCAAAGGTCGGTTGACGATTGCACAGTTGAATCAGCTGTCACCCATATCGTCCCCATGAGTCGCAATCTGACTTGGCAGCACCGATTTTTTTCGCAGCCATTGGCAAATTTGTCGAATGCTCCGCTAACAAGGCCATTGCAGCTTATGCGGCCTTGGTTCAATTCTCTGTGAAAAGCCACGCAGCAAGGCCGGGTGATGTCTGTGAGAAGTTTCCCGTGTGGTGGGCATTTGCATGCTCCTGTGGCGACGACAGGGCAGCGACGGCAAGGGTAGCGATCCTGGGCCTCATGTTTGCAATGAGTCATACAAAAAGTTTTGCAATGAAATACTTCGTTCTAATAATTTGTTGGATTTAATCGGTGGTCGAGGATGGCTGCTATCCGGAGTGAATCTATATCTGGGTGCCTCCGGCAGCACCACAATATCTTTAATAGACGAATTGGAACTTCGTCTTATTTGGTATTTTACGTAGACTCTAACATTTACTTAGGTCTACAATTATCTCGTTTTAGTAATATCATAAGGTGGTCTAATGTACGGAGTCGCGAAGCATGCAGTGTTCCCATACAAGAGGAGTACTCTCTACGAAGGTTATTCGGCAAACAAATGGTTTCATACGTTATATCATACAATTCATATCTAGGGCATGTAGTGCGCAGTACATCACGTAGCGTGTTCAAAGAAAGTATATTTTTGCTTCCTATGAAGTATAGCGGGTATCGAGATGTTATATACTTCGACCCAAACTGTTGTTTATGATCTAATACGATGAAATCTGTATCCTACTGATCAATTACTTACTTACCCGTATAAGTGGTTCACTACGATGCTAAATTCCTGCTCTTTGCCCATCCACCATCCGATCAAGGCCTTTATTGAGAGTGGTTCAGATAGCCTGAAAACTCAGTAGCAAAATTGTTCCCGGCCACTATTGAGAGTATGAGAGCTACACGTCTCATCTTATCTTTATTCATTAATCGAAAGTGGCATTTATGGTGTTCCTCCATCAATATGCATATGCATCGGTTGTCTTCATCTACGCACACTGCAGTTCGGCTTCTCGTTAAACCGTTTGCAGCACCTGGCACGATTGCTAAATATCCTTTGAAGAGTATTGCAATTCGTATCGACTTTGTTTGAGGTCGCGCTAGCCTAGTTGTAACAAACTTGGTTTATTTCTTTCATCAAGACTCCCTTTGATGAGCATTTATACGCTTCTCAAATGGAGAACGTAGGGACGGCAACAAAGGTAGCGCGACTTCAAACCCACTCTAACGAAATTGTGAGAAGAATTTGTCAGAAGAATGGAATAGGTTGATAGACGCGTGAACGTTAACTTAGGTGCAGAGGAGTGTGGATTAGTTGCGGTGAGCTGGGTTGCTGATCTTCAAACTGCCGCGCTACGTCCTTTACACATAAAGAACCAGCTCCTCACATCTAACATGTTATGTTATGTGAGCCTTAGACCGTCACATTTGGGACAGAAGGAGTTAGGAGTTAACTAAATCACCCGACAGTTGGTTCGTATCGAGGAAAACAATAAGCCAGCTCAATGAATAATGAAATAAATAGTTCCAGGGCGTCATGACGAATGTAATAAGTCACATAGCCTAGCACTTAGCTAATAATATACATGTATAGCAACAGCTCTCTGATGATGAGTAATACCGAAAAGAACATGTCTCATATCATCAGGATGGTCATACTGAGAATGGAGCAGAAATTTCCCTCGTAATACACAGGTCCAGCTCGGCTCACGAGATTTGATGCTTCACCGGCGATCCGATCGGACCCTCGGTGCATCATCTAGCTATGTGAATGTATCAGTACGCGCACTCATGTGTGCGTAGGCTATCTGACCTGGCTTTGAAGTCTGGCAAGCCCGTCTAGATCTGTTCACTGTACCAAAGGCGTTCATTGACGTAGGTGTAGACATCTACCCGATACCTTTGATAATTACCATGCATCCCTTCATCAAACGTCACTCTAGCAGCGCTAGTTCTAGAGAGAAGTCGACATATTTATGCGTACATGGATGAATTGCATATAGTCTCTGAGCTGCAGGTTGGTTGGTTGAGTCCAAGAGATACATCCCTTGAGTCTATTGGCTATATGATTGTGAGAAAAGCTCAAGGAGTAAGAAATTAGAAGATGAGATGACAATAGCTAATATGATACAATATTTAAGTTATTCTTGAAGCAATCCCTGATTGTATGGTGTATTCTGTCCCGTGTTGGGCCCCAGGTCAGCACAGATTCAGATATCTGCAACCAAGTCGGATAGTCTTCTACTCTATCACGGGTAGTGCTTCATGGATAGCCAAGTACCCAAATTATCTTCGTTTTCTCATCAGCACATACTCGTACATAATGTTGAATGTCACTGGGCCATATTCTGACCATTTGACAGCCTTGTGCCGCTTTGGCCATTGAAAGGCTCTCCACTATGGGTCCAAGGGCGATGTCGTGATCGGCGCCATTTTTAGCTCAATATCAGAGACCGGGATTATGAATGGATGCCTTGGACAGCGACGCATCTCGCGAGCAAGATTCTCGAATGAATGAGAAGAAGAAAAAGAATTAGGCGAATTTAGTAAATCAGCTGTGAGTTTAAGCAGATTGGAATATTGATCACATGAAGCGATCTCGCATACGTAGCACACATGGGTTTTTCTTCTTCCACCCAGCCTCGCATGTCTCACGCTCGCACACCGCAAACGCCTTTCTCCATCCACATCCACCATGTGGAGGCAAAAACGTGAAGTGACGTGATTGCAAGCTAGATGCCGCCAGCAAGGGTCTCGAATACCACGGCGAACTAGCAGGTCAACGAGTCAAAGCAGAAGTCACAGAGGAAAAAAACCACCATCGCAACATCACGGTTCGCGCTGTGCCCAGGTGCGTTAGTGCGTCGCAAATCGCAGGGACTCGAAATAAGAGAACTATTCGGACTTGAGCCGTCTTACATGAAATCTCTATTCTTGCATCATCACGGTGGCTGGATGGTTATTCCGCTTTTCTGGATTTTTCGGGCTCGTGCTGGGGATTTGTCTCTTTGAAGCCCTGCCTTGTTTACAGCTCGCTGCTCCTCCCCCGCCAGCACCTCTTCTCCTCTCTTTGTAACAATTGCTACAGCGACTGCCCAAGAGAGGGAAAAGAGAAGACGAGGGAACTGAAATATCGCCATGTTTCGCCATAACAGGTCTGGCAAGTTTGACGACGAGCCGCGACTAGACGATGTCTCTGCCGAAGACGCTCCGGCATATCAGCAGCAGTATGGAGTGCGCGGCGTGGACAACAGTGATCATGGTTTGATCGATCCAGATTCAGGTGTCAAGCGCGGGTTGAAGAATCGCCATCTATCCATGATGGCACTCGCCGGTATCATTGGTCCCGGTTTGCTTGTTGGCTCAGGAGGCGCTTTAAACAGCGGAGGACCTGCGTCTCTAATTATTGGATTTGGTGTAATCGGTATGCTTATTGATATCAGGGTCCAGCTCTTCCACAACTAAAACTTTCCAGGTATCATTGCTTTCTCAGTCATGCAGTCTCTGGGTGAAATCACCACTCTGTACCCAGGTGGCGGCGCCTTTGTCTCATTAGCTGAGCGCATGGTCGACAAGTCCTTCTCCGTGGCCGTTGGATGGAATTATTTCATCATCTGGGCCACCGTCTTAGCCAGCGAATACAACGTTATCTGCAGCATTCTCAACTTCTGGGCGCCTGGGGTTCCTCTCTGGGGCTGGTTCCTTATTCTGTGGACCGTATTCTTGGCCTTTCAGATCATTGGAGGCATCACGGCCTTTGGAGAAGCAGAGTACATCCTGGCGCTTATAAAGATCCTTGGTCTGACAGCCTATTTCATCTTTTCCATTGTATATGCGTCTGGCGGACTCATTGGCCAGGACGGAGCCATTGGATTTCGATACTGGCATCATCCTGGAGCCTTCAACGGCCACGGCTTCCGAGGAGTTGCCACTGTGTTTGTCTTTTGCTCTACCTTTTATGCCGGAGTGGAGTCTGTTGCTGTTGCCGCCACGGAGACGAGAAATCCGGGTGTTGCAGTACCGCGAGCTATCCGTCAAGTATTCTTCCGCATCATTTTTGTCTACATGGGATCTGCCTTTTTCTTTGGCCTCACTTGCCCGGCTGATTCTGACGAACTGATCAACGGAGGGGCCAAGGCGCTGCAGAGCCCGATGACGATAGCCATACAGAATGCCGGTTGGAACGGAGGTTTGTTTGAGAATTATCTTGATTAGCATTTCCAAATGTACTGACCAGTGTTGTATTAGGTGTCCATCTCATCAACGCTTTCATCCTCATTACCTGTCTGTCTGCTGTCAACTCCTCCATCTATATCGGCTCTCGTACCATCTTATACATGGCGCAGTCTGGAAAGGCACCCAAGATCCTCGGCTGGGTCAACAAGCGAGGCGTCCCTGTCTGGGCCATTGTCCTCACCAACGCCGTCGGTGCCATCTCCATGATGAATGTCTCAACAGGAGCATCAAAGGCTTACAGCTACATCATCAATCTTGCTGGAGTCAGCACATTCCTGGTCTGGGGAAGCATCAGCTTCATCCACATCCGCTTCCGCCGTGCTTGGACGACGCAGCAGCGCCGAGTAAGCGATTTGCCGTTCAAGAGCATGTTTTATCCTTACAGCCCCTACTTTGGCGTCTTCTTCAACGTCTTCCTCGCGCTGGTGCAGGGATGGACAACGCTGTCTCCGTTTACTGCGGGTAAATTTGTGGATGCGTATATTTTACTGCCACTATTTGGCGTTATTTACGTGGTTTGCAAGTTGTATTGGAGAGGAGAAGATCCTTTCAAGAGGAGCTGGGATATTGATTTGGATAGTGGACGGAGGAGCGATCTTGATAAGAGCGGCATTGAGGGAGGAGTAGGAGCAGGGTATGAGGAGGAGGAGCAGACAAAGAGGGTGCCGCTGTGGAGAAAGATTTGGTCGTCTCTGTAAAATGATATCCAACGGATATATGATTGATATAGTAGTAATTAATGGGTTAAGGTGATGGATGATAAGAATTTTGAGTTTTATCATTGACATGTGAATTATTTCTGCAGCATGATGCCTTATCTACAGGCTGTGATAGGTGATTGAGGGCCAGATGGTTGTCAAACAAAGTTTAATACTATTCCCGCTGCAAACCCCAACAGTGCTGAGATAACCCCTTGAATAATTCTTACATGCAGTAGAATAGTCTCAAATATACATCATCCAGCGAGTAATGATGGAGAAAGAGCAATAAACATCAAATCAGCCTCTCACTCCCGGGTAGCTCATCTCATCCTCACATGGAAATATTGATTCTTCCAGAGTGCAAATCGGACAATAAAATCTCCAGGGGCCCGTGCACACTCCCGCACCTTAGCGCACAAAAGGTTTCCAGGTACAAGGGATTCCAGGCTGGTCTAAGCCCGCTGGAGCAGAAACGCGTGGGATGAGGTCAGTCCAGCCCAGTCCATTATCTTCTGCAGCTCACCTGTGCTATCTCGTATCTTGACCTTGCAAACAGCTTCAGCCCAAGCATTTCCTTCGCATCTCAGCGCAAACCCTCGACCCTGCACCCGCCGATGACCCGATGCCGATTTCGTTACGATAGCATTCTATTGAATTGATACCTCGCCCGACGCACATTCCATCGTTTTTTCATGTCTCTCGCTGGCCGACCATTCCGCAGTCACCCCCTCGATCGCCCCCTCGATTCCCCCCTCGATCGCCAGCTCGATCTCCAACTCCAGCTCCAACCTCGGCTTCAGCCTCTCCCAACCAAACTGCTCCCGCTACTGCTCCCGCTACTGCTCCCGCTCCCGCCAGGAGATCGACACGGCTCGACGACGTTTCCCTAGCAAGTCGAGTGAATGCAACCACTAAACCCCTTTCTGTCCGCCTTCTTCAAGAGCCAGGTCGTTGCGCAGTGCACTCCCGTCCACCACCACATCTTGCTGGTTCCCTTGACCGATGTGCTTCTCACCCATCGCGAGACGGAGAGCGGCGCCCCGGCCCATGAGGTCGTCGCCTCGGAGGAGTTTCTAGCCAGCCATGTGCTGCGCATCGCCGGGCCTGACGGGCCTGTGGGCGCCAAGGACAGCACCCAGAACTTGCGCGAGGCGCGAGGCAAGGCTCGCCAGTTCAACACACTGAACGGGAGGAGCGTCATTGTCAAGGACTCTTTCATCTACAGTAACAAAGGTATACTACTAGCGAAACCTTATCCTTCTCCAAGCCGAAACACGGCTAACCTGGATCGCCGCAGGGTTCAAGTCTCTTGCGCAGGCCCAGATTCTCAACGACACCATCTGGTACCCCGACGTCTTCGAACCTCGACAATGGCTGGTATACTTCATCTCGAAGCCTCTTGTTGGAACGTGGGAAGAGATCAGACTCGAGCCCGCGGTTCTCGTCTCCGGTACCAGGAGCCGCGCGGCTGCGGAGCAACAGCAGAAGAAGCAGACCAACGGCGACTCAGCCGACAATGCCTTGCCGCGCAAGAAAGACATTAGGAGCTTCCATGATCTTCTCAACCACTTTCCCATGATTGCTCGGCAAATGCAACCCGGGCTAGAGAAACTCTTCATCGAATTCTCAACAGTCTTCCAGAAGCCGCTGCCACCCCCGCCGTCAGCCTCATACATTCCGGATCCGAAGCCAGACGGTCCTGTTGCGACCGCAGCTAAAAGGGCGAGGGCAGACAGCCTGACGGTCAAGGGCGGCAAAGCCAATCATAATAGCCTACCTGTTGTAGAAGACTTTTTCGTCGAGGATGACGAGGATATTATGCGCGCGGCCCTTGAGAGCGCTGTTACGGCTGCTATTGATATCTTCCAAGGAGTGGATAAGCAACAGCTGTCGCTACTAGGCGCTACAACAGATCTAACAGGTCCCCTTGTGGAAAAGTTAATTGAGCGTTACATTGCCGAGAACGTCCATGGCCTCCTTTTTGGCAAGCTCAGCGCCATCAAGCGGCGAGATGACTTGGAACTCGAAGCCAAGATTCGGAAAATGGAATTCATTGACATCTCCCAATTAGGAATCGCCATCGACGGGGGCATGAAAGCCAAGCACGATCTTGTTACACAGCTCAACCCTGCCGTCGAAGAATTCAGAAAGATTTCCACCGCTATGAGCCCACAGGAAATGCTGGATTTGTTACTTTCGACCATGAAGATTGCCTCTCAGCTTACCGATACCTCAAGACCTCTCGGCGGTGCTGCAGCAGACCTACCGTCATCTGAAAAGGCCATTATGACTGTGAACGCCGACACCTTGGTCTCCCTGTTGTTGTACGTCGTGATTCGATCCCAGGCCAAAAACTTACAGGCTCGTCTTGCCTATGTGAGGAATTTCATCTTTGTCGAGGATGTAGATAGTGGAGAGATGGGATACGCCTTGAGCACTTTCGAAGCTGTGCTAGCATATCTTTTCACAGATTCGGCGGGCTTGCGCCGCGCCAGCAAGAAGAACAAGGCTCTGTGGGATGCCGCCAAGGGGGCAGACCTGAAGGAGCTGAGGAACATAATGGAACCGAACCCTTGCGCAATTAGCAATGACGACGACATCGAAGATAGCGACAACGATGTGGACGATCGAACCCCTCCCAAGCCTGCGTTTAAGCTGGCGCATGGTTCGTCGAGGCGATCATCGCTTGTGTTGAACTCCTCGGACCGATTCTCTCACGGTACTGGGCTTGGCCACGTATTCCCCTTTCAGATTGCCAGCGGCGATGGCGCAAACGAGTCAATACTCGATCTACCCCTCAAGAGAACCAAGAGAGTTGCTATGGACACTAGGAGTTTGTCAAGTGCATCCGAGTTCTCGTACCACTCAATAGCAACCATCGGCACCCTGGGAAGCGCGCTGGAAGGTGACATCTCCGTGGAGAGGCTTGCTCAAACTAGCAGTGCCCTGGGTGAATCCGTTCTGATGATGGCCGTGCAGAGTGGAAGCGTGGAAACGTTGGGCTATCTCTTATCCTTGTCCGGATACTATCCGTTTGACATTGTGCTGAGAGACGTGAACAACGAAAACACCACGCTACTGAGCGCTGCCACTCAGCTAGGTAACCGAGAGCTGATTAACTCATTTCTTGACTACCTTCTCGACAAGTCTAATCCAGGACAGTTGGGCCAATACTTTTCAATACAAGACATTTGGGGCCGAAGTGTTGGACACTACCTGTTTAACGCGCCTTGGATGATTGGGGTCATTGGCCCCCTGATCCCCTGGCGCCAAAGAGACAAGAATGGGCAGACGCCGCTTTTCGCATTGTGTCGCTGCTACGATCATGTGGAGTACTATACCATGGTTGAGGATGGCATCAGGGCCGCGCAGCAAACACAGCTTGACGGGCAGCCGCTGCACGTGGATGAGCATATAGATGGAAAGGGAAACACTCTGCTGCACATTATGAATGACCCGAGACTGGCGCTCAGAATCTTGCAATACTGTGACGTGGATGTCAACGCGACGAACGAGAAGAAGTTTACAGCGCTCATGGTTGCCAGCAAATATGGCCGATATGATATGGTCAGGGCTCTTTTTGCCGACCCTAGAGTGGACATTGGGGCTAAAGAACTACGAGGTCTCACGGCCGTGGAGCTGGCCAAAGACGACGACGTCAGAAATAGAATTGACGACCTCGGTCTTTTCAGCATGCCACCCGCAAGGGACGGGCGGATAACGGGAGTCGTCAGAGCCTTTTTCGTCGAGGACAGCACAGTTAGGTTGGTGCTGAAGTCGGCAGCTCCAACAGATCATGACAGTTACACGGTTACTACGAGTCGCCGGTCTTTGACTGATTTTGAGCAGTTGGCACGCTTGCTGGCCGAGGAGAACCCTGCGTCATGGATTCCCTCGATATCAGATACCAGGTGGCCGTTCCAACTACCCTCGAGGCCGTCTCGCGCGGCGCTGCGAGATATCCAGATACGAACGGACTGGTTCCTGAAAATCATGCTGAGCCATCCCACGCTTTCTACTCACGAGATGTTGTGGGAATTCTTCCTCGTACCAGAACTGCAACTGGAGGCTATGGAGCAGAGAACAAAACTCAAGACAGAAACAAGGGTAGAGAAGATCCGCGAAGAGTACGAACCTATGGAGGACGTACGAGAAGTGGAGCAATTCGTCAACCACGCACGAGAGATGGTCCGAAGCATCAGCTACTCCACGAAGAGCGTGACGAGGCGTGCGAATGCTGTTGGCCAAGTTGCTACAGGTGAGTGCTAATGCTGAGCTTTGATGACCACCCGTCGACAATGGGAACACGGCTAACGATGAAACAATCACTCCTCTTGCTAGATTTCTACGATGCATCAGCGCTGCTTTATCGAGCAGTATTTACCATTCAATATCTGCCCCCGCAGCACATTGTAGGCATGGAGGTGTTTGTTCGGGCCATGGCGCCCGTTCAGCACAACCCACAAGCTGTGTTTCACACGACGCTTCTGGCGATTCAATCCACGGTGCAGGCACTACTCTCTTCGCTAGCTAGGCCGACAAACCTTATTGGACAGATCACGGCAGCCAAGAGGGAGGCAGACAGAAACGACAGCTCCGCGCTGCGACCTTCGCGATGGCCACTGGGCTTGCTCGACGACTCTCGACAGCGACACCAAGAGGAGAAGGAGAAGCGAGCGCGCCAATCACGGGAGCAGGCGTCACAACTCTCCAGGGAGCTTCGATACACGCAACAGACAGTAGCCAGCGAATTGGCTGGATGGCAGGAGCTGCACGATCAAATGGGCCTCCGGGCCATTCGCGAGTACGCCCGAAGCATGGTGGTGCAAGAACGGGTAAGGCTCGAAGGCATGATGCGAGCGCTGCGGATAGTACGACTGGGGAACTACCAACAAGGGGGGATGAATGCCATGTCACAGCGACGACCCCCATCGCCCCCAACGGATCAGAAACAAGAAAGCGAGGACGGGGATGAGGTGCCGACAGGAAACGAAACAAGAGGAGTGGAGTGATTGTGGTTGAGTCACAAGAAGAGAGAGACGAACTTTTGCTCACATGCCAGCGTGTAAGTGAGGCGACGAGCGACGACGCGTCACAGAAAAGACGCGACAGCGCACAAATCGTTGGCCAGGGACTTGCAGCAGTTGGGCTTCGACTAAGAAGGGGGCTAGAAGGGCGAATGGGACGGCTTAGTTTTTTGCATGATGTGTCTGTCGGTGCTGGATACTATTTTTTACGACTAAAACTTTGGTTTGGCACCGGGCGTTGGGGAAGAACCGATAAAAGATTATGCTACAATACTCCTATTATTTTTCTCTCTCTTTTAATTATCACGATAGAAAAGACAGCGATGAATTTTTTTTTTTTTTTTTTTTTTTTTTTTTTAATGCTTTGACCATATTCACTCTGTGATGGCGGCAGTAGTAATTGAAGATGATGGTGCCTTACCCGGGAATAAGAGATGAAATGCACATCGCTTGCTACCCTAGTGTATGACTCTTTAGAAGAAGAGAAAAATGAAGTGGTGGATGCCGTTGATGAGTTGGCATATCTAGACGAGGTTCTCCATCTCCACCTGAATCATGGCCGTATGTACGCCAGATAAATTAAATGACGGTGAAACCAATTTGATACCCGACGACATCTCGAGTAATGAATGGAATCTAAGGCTAGATGAGGAAAAAAACCTTCAGCCATGCTAAGGACATCGTGCATACGGGATGCATGCACGCAGCCTAAACTAAAGACGAAGAGTCATCAGGTTCGTGAGTTGTTACGAATGCCGTCACCGCTTCGGGCATGTTTCGAAACGAAAATTCGCAAAATGTTGGGTTCGTGGTGGGAAAAGATGAAACACCAAACGCATCCCGAACCCGAAAAGCCTAACTAAGGTAGCCAAGCTGATGACGAACCCTGGAGCTTGGGACTAGACAGCGCACACATGGCGAATCTCTCATGTGGGGTGCGTGCGAATATTCTCGGACTCTAGGTCTAAAGTGCAGAGTATTCTGGGACAAGGTTTAGAGAGTGAACTAAAGAAATGTTAGCGTGGGCACCAAACGGGCGATTCGAAGAGACGTGAGCCAATCAGTGCGCGGAGGAGGCGTGCGAGAAGCCGATTGGATGAGGAGAGACGCGATGGACGGGGAAGAAAGAAGAGGCGCGTTGCTGGAAGAAGAGAGATGGGTTGATACTTTTTTTTGGGGAGGTCTACGCGTGAAAGAAGAGATGCGCGATCTCTACAGACCTGTATGTAGTGCGGTAGGACGGAGACGGATCTTGCTTTGTGCGACAGACGCGCGGGCGGCTGTGGCGAATGGAAGGATACACGCAATGAGGGAGGCTTTGCGGATGGTTATTGGTTGGGGGATACGCGCCTGGATGGGAGGTAAGGTAGGCGAAGCATCAGTATTGAAGAATTAAATATTAATATTAATTCTTGGTATTTAATATTTGCTGTACTGTTTCGGCCAGAGTATAATCGACGACATGGACAGTGCTCAGCAAAGCGAATCTCCGCAGCCGCCGCAGTGGGACGGTGTAATCGGGAAGGGAACCGTAAGATTGATGAGAAGTAAAAAAAAGTAAAAGCGTCAATCCGATCGGTGGTGCGACAGGACGCTCGGATCACGGGCTGGTCTTCCAGGTTGTCTTTATGTTCATACAATGCTTGCTGCTTGCTGCGTGTAAGACAAGACAAGCCAAGGCAGGGCAGATGAGCTGCTTGCTGGGCTTAAGCGCCCGGCGGCTTTGTGGCCTCACCCCCGCTCTAAGCGCCCGGGAGACGGCGCTCCCATGGCTCTTTGTCTTGCCGTGCGCCTATTTGCGGCGGAGGGCAATTTTAAGTAAGCAAAAATAGAGCAGGGCAGAAGCAGAGAGCAGGTTTTTTCGGTACGAGCCGGACTGGGACAAGGCAGCTGCGTCTAATTATTTCTATTATTACGACGGGTTTGATTCAGTACTGCGGCAACGGTGGTATGATAGTACATGATACATTAGATGATACTGTACACTGTATAGTAGTACGGAAGAAGCATCTGTACTCCGTAATACCTCGAGCATGATGTGTAGGTATTTTCTGGGGTCCAAAAGACAAAAGCGCCCGTGTGAGTGGAGGAGCCTCTTTGCTTGGCGCGGCAGCAGAAACGCGATACGAATAGAAGTTGATGCCTCACTATTATAGGTAGGTAGTAGTAGTACAGACAAAGAAAGACTGGTACAGCCATCAAAGGCACGCACAAAGAACAACGATAGTGTATAAAAGAACGTGATTTAAGAATTTCGCGATTTCTGCAAATGCCAAGATCCAACGAGATCCGCGCGATCGCCCATCTCGCGCGCGTCCAACAACGAACCAACATCGATCTCTTTCAAGACACGCTCGAGTGCACACACACACGAAATAACCACCAGGGCTCCAATTGAAGCTAAAATGAGTCATGGGCAGCTGCTGGCCACTCACCGGGTCGGCGCCTGCAGCAACCCGCTAAGCCCCCGACACCCGCTAGAGCCTTCTGAGCCCTACGCTGTATTTAGGCGGGTGTCAAATTATTTACAGCGCATTTTTTCATCCAATTCTTGTGGTGCGAGAGAGGGGCCCCACAACCCCCACCTGAAAGTCGGGCCAGGAAAAGAAGCGTCCAGGGTGTGCTTTCGTGGGTTTCCATCCACTTAGAAGCCGCAATGCCGTGGCCTCGTCTGCCGGCAATTCTGCATGGACGGCCAACGGTCAGCAGGCTGGGGCAGATCCTGGTTGCATCGTCGTTTTTTACGTCTTTCAAGGTGAGAGAAAAACAGAGCGAGAATATCTAGGACTTTGGGGCGGGGGCGGCAACGAACCCGGATCCCAAGCTCTGGGCCGCATTGCATGGGCATGGGCATGGGCATCGTTACTGACAAACCCCAGCCTCAACATATTCGACTGACTGACGCCTTACGGTGCTGCTACTGCTAGCTAGCTTCTTGTACAACACAACAAATCGATCATGATGCTGGTCCAGGTAGCGTCTGGTTGCGCGTCCGGGCCCGTCAATGACCGACTCTGTCTGTCTGACTCTCAACCCCCCGTACACGTCGGGTCGCGTTTCATGCCATCATGATACTATATCATGCCCAAGACAGGCCAAAGTGGGCAGACAGACAGACGCGGATGGTGTTCGAGGGTGTGGGCAAAAGGCCAAAGGGCTAAGCAACTAAGCCGCCGCCTTGCTGATCCACGAGCCGCTGGCGACTCTCGCGGTAGACACAGAACACGGCTGCTGCGACATGGATGAGAGAGAGGGTGCTCCTAGTAAATATTTCGATGCGATGCCACTCGAGGCCTGTTCCTAAGCTGCTAATTAGGCTGCTCCACTCTCTCATACAGCACACGCCCTCGGCCGCTTGCCATCGCACACACCCCCCAACGACGGCCGTGGCCTGGCGACCATCATCGGACCTTTCAAACCCCCAACGCCTGCACCAAGTACAAGAAGACGGCCTCGTCCCTTGGTTTCCAATCGTTCTCTCGCCTCAGTCCATTCCTCTCCATAATATCTTCTCCTTTCCTCTCTTGATTTGTGCTTGCATCTTTGTTTTTTTGTCAAACCAACGTCGCATACAGTATTCACTTAGACCACATCCCTGCTCGCTGGCCGAACATATTCCAAACACTTGGAGATTCGTTTTATATACACCATTCTCACAAACAAGAAAAGAAAACAAACTCAACTATCCACACATTGGAGCCGGCCTCCTTCATCGCCTTAATACGGTTACTTAATCACTTTTTCATTTTCACCCTCACAACACCACAACAACCGCCATCATGTCAGCGTGAGTTACACTCTCCATTGTTATGAGATACTCTTGTGCATCTTATGCTTACGCATGTCCAAACACAGTCTGGTAGCCGACGTCGCCTTCGACTTCACATTCCCCTCTCCCTCGCCCTCACTGGAAGATCCTACAACCCCTCCCATGGAGAGCGTGCCTCTCATGGAAGCCTACAGCCTCGACCACTACCCATCAAGCCTCCTGCAGCTGCCATACAACTCTCACAGCCGCCATGCTCGATCTGTATCCAAGGCTTCATCCATCTACTCAACAGTCTCTTCAGCCTCCGCTGCCGCCTCTGCGGTAGACTCAATAGCGGACTCGGTGTGCTCTCGCTTCACCACTCCTCCTCGCGCAAGCCCGCCCGTCCGCCAACATGGCCCCCTTCTGCTTCCCAAGATTCGCTCCCAGGATCAGGATATCAGTCAGCCTCACATGGCTCGCGCATCGCACTCTCGCTCCAGCTCCATCCGTTCAGCAAGAGCAAGGCTTGCCCATCAACAGTCCACCCCGCCTCCCCCTGCTTCCAAGCCTTTCCGCACGAGCCACTCCCGGAGCTACACCAACCCAGAGACCGTCGCCAACATGGCCTTTGCTCACATCTCACCTTTTGCTACGCCTCCCCCGCAGACGCAGGATGAGCCCACGGCTTTCCCTTCATCGCTCCTTGCTTCGCCTGCAAGCTTCGCCCATGACAGCCTGCCGCCGTCTCGCCGGACAAGTCTCAACCTTGACGCCGCCACCATCGACAAGTATGGCTATCCCACTTATCGTCAGATGCCCTTTGTGCCTGCCACCACCACAGCCTCGCAGCAGTCGGACTACATGTTCCCATCCTACCTTCCTCGTGCTCCGTCACCCTTGAGCCTGGCCACCGCTGCTACTCCTGAGCCAGCGCCGTCCACCACTCTCATGGATCACCTAACATGTCCCAACCCTGCTGCGTCTCTTGTCCGCACCATCTCCTTTCCTCTTCGGGATCCTTCAATTAAGCACTTCTGGTGGGATGTTCGCAGCGTCTCCTTATGGTCAAGCTTCAATGCCTCGGCCATCCTGTCTCTCCCTGGCGCATCTGCTCTGCTCAACTCTCCTGTGCCTGCTCCTCTGCTTCAGACACCCGCCTTCTCATCTCGTCACCCCGAGACTGAGGCTGCCCTGCACAGCATCTACGCCTCGTACTACCTCCCTAAGCTCAACTCTGCACTGGCCATCTCTTCCAACCGCCCTCTGCAGCTTTCCGTCCCCGCAAAGACGGCATCAGGTGTCAACGACCTCATCTTCGTTGCCAACGCCATGGGCGAGTCTTCCACCGCTGCTGCCATCTTCGGCGGCAAGCCCACGGCAAGAGTGGTCGGCCTGGTCCGCAGCTTTGATCGCTTCAACACCGGTATGCGAGCCGAAGGTAACATCAAGCGTGTTGACTACTTGCGAGGCCTTGCCGCCCTGCACTACGCGATGCGCGAGCATGGTTGCCGCTACGGCTTCATCCTCACCGAGATTGAGCTTGTCCTTGTCCGCGCAGGCACCGAGTCAACACCCTTCTTCGGCGACTTGGAAATCACCTCCGTCCAGCTCAACGCCGCTGTTTCCGATGCCGAGCTAGACTCGTCGGACAGCGTTCCCCTGACAGCCTGTCTCGCTCTCTGGGGTCTCTGCCAACTGGCCAGCGACCACACGCCCGCCGGCCACGCCCACTGGAAGGCCGAGATTGGCGCTCCTGCCGACGGCACCCGGCGCAAAGCCAAGGCTCGCGACAACTGGATTCCCAAGCCCCAGCTGGCCGAGAAGCGCGAGGCCAAGCGGAGTCGTGGCTGGGTGTGGCCTGAGGATCCCGTCGGGAGGAAAGAGATGGGCAAGAGGGGCGTCAAGTATGGTGGCTTGTGATGGGGGTTTCTGCAGAGATGTTTTATGCGGCTGGTTCCGTACTCTGCTCCCCTCGTTGCAACCTCCAGAGTGAAGACGCCGTTTTTAGTAATTTTCAGTAATTTTTTTCTTTCTTCTTTTTTCTTTCTCTTGTGGTTTTTCTTGGTTTTATGAATGAAATGACTCATATATATGTAGATAGCTACTTAATCAGACACTCTTTGAAGATTTTCTTATAATTCAATACCAGATGAGTTTGTTTTGCCTGGCAAAAAATTGGTTCTGTCGTGATTTGAACTACTGTGTGAATAAATGAGTGAATGAGTGAATGAGTGAATGAGTGAATGAGTGAATGAGTGAATGAGTGAATGAGTGAATG